CTGTATCACTAAATATAACATCGAACAAACCTGTCTTTAAGCCGCCATAGACAAGAATTCAGTTGAACGTATTTTCTCCTTTTTGGTCGTTGTTTCCCTCCAGCTGCAAGTTGGATTATGTCGGCTTCATCAGTTACCTGTATCTTCTGAGACAGTTTTATAATCACAAATATAAATTGTGAAGAATCCAGTGTAGATAGATTCCGTTTTGTATACATTGTATAACTTCATTAATATGTAGGGAATATAACTGGCTGAGCAATCAAGAACATAATTAAAAGGTGCCATCACAAAACACTGCAGCAACATTGCAAAGTTTCCTCAAACTGTCATCAGAAGTCAAAATCCTATAACCTTGGTTGTCAGTAACTTTTCCCGCATTCAGTTTCCATCCATGAACCTTCAAGATTAACATCCTGTTGCGTGACTAGTAATTTTAGCAGAACCTTAGAGCGGCTTCTATAGAGGGATGTCTTGCAACTCTCGAAGGTTGAAATCCGACCTATCATGTCTCCAACATCATCGTCAAAGTCTCTGTCTCGTAATTTCATCATCATAGATGGTCGGATTTGCTACAGTTCATCTCGATACCTTGTTAAACATTGTTGATGTATGCATTCGAAGCTAAACCAATCGGACCAGCAGGATGATTGTGGTTCTGTCCAAAAGTCACTGAAAAACTGTTCAGAGTCTTCATTCTAGCCAGACGTTGAGAAGATATACATTCAATAAACACGGTCAGTCAGCCTTCTCTTTACAGACAACTTATAGCCAGCATGAAGAGCATATTAATCACCTCTACCACTTTCTTTTTAAAAAAAACTGAACTTGTGCGTTGATTGATTTTAAACTGATACCTACAACAGTTTTTAAAGAAGAAAAATCACCAAATCATCTAAGCTAGAATTTCTCACAAAAACATCTATTGATCATATACAATAGTTAGATGAATATTGTTTCTATTGCTCGGTTAAGTACATAAAAACACCATAAGAAATAATTGTCTTTGGAATCACAAACATGGGCCGTTGTAATTCTCATGTACATGTGTATGTAGACATATTTTGAATATAATTTGGTTACATAATTGTGATTTCGTTTCCGCCTTTACATCAAATTTCTGTTAATAACGGTGTTTTAAGGAACAATAAATACTATTAAAACGATCGTATTTGTTTTTTTTCAAAACTATTTATTCTTAAGATTGTTAAGTATTTCGTATACATTGTACATACATAAATGTTTATAAATTTGAGTTCATTCATTATTTCAACACACAATTTCAATAACTAGTTTTCACATTTCAATATGTATCTCTGTCTCTCTAGTTTTACGATGAGTGACAAACATGAAAAAATACTATATGCAATGCAGGCTAGGTGATATTTGGTAATTTCCAGGTGCAGGCTAAGTGAATGAACCTAGATTTCAAGCTATAAAATCTTAATTATTCCAAGAAGAAAAGCCATGAAGACTGGTTATTCCTCTAAATCCTATTTGTTTTTGTTATAAAAAATGGATAAACAAGTCATGCAATATCACCGTGTACAACCTCCATCCCCGGGTTGCTGAGGTGCGAGTGCCGGGATGGCGCGTTGAATTGCTTGCAAACGAATGCACAAGATTTTTTTATTTAAACATATTTTGTTGTATCAATATATACATTGGGATTGGGCACAAGTTTGCCAACTTATATTAAGTCCTTTCCTGAAAACTATTGTACAAACAAATATACAAGGTGGCATGTTTAAGTGAAAAATGTATCAGAGAGAGAGAGAGAGAGAGAGAGAGAGAGAGAGAGCTAACAACACAATTGTAATATGACGTTTATAAAGATAATATAGTTAATATGGTCTCTCCCAGACATGGACAACACCATGAACTGTTCACTGTACATTGCTTTCTTACTTTTCTAATGTTCATCACGTCCCGTGCTCAAGTGCTTTCTCCTCTTCATTTCGAATCCTTCTGAATACACACCCTTGGTGCCATCCATTCCGGGAGAGACCAATAATTATATTTATGTACATTAATTATTATTATATATCTACGGTAATATATGTTGGTTATAGCGACAATATTATAAATAAACGGGGTAAAAAAGTATATAACAAAGAGGAAATCAAAATCTATTAGAGTCTATAATATACTGTTGAGTGACTTGACTTATTCTAAAATTTTCATTTGCAGATAGATTGTCATTACCATATAAGAGCAGATGCAGGTCAATCGGAATATAACTATTTAATTCACGTAATAAAATAAGTCTCTGATTAACATAGTTGTTACAAACAAAGAAATAGTGAAAGGTGTCTTCAATATGGTGTCCACATTGACAGTGTCGATAATTTATCAAATTAACTCTATAGAGGTCATTGTTTAGAGTGCTGGCATGATTTCGTAGTCTAACGTGGAGTATATATTTTTTTCTATCGCCGAAATAATAGAAGTTTGGAACAGTTATGTTGCGTTTAAGGGATTTTTTTAAAAAAAAGATTGGTATGATATACTTTGCCTTATTCCTAAATCGAGCTGATTCCAGAGCCTAATAGTGGAGGGGAAGAAAGATGAGTTTGTTAATTGTAGTTGGAAATTTGGTAACGAAAAATTATGTGCATTACGAAGATTGTAAGATGAATTTTCGGAAACTATCGGTGGTAGTAAGGAAGACAAGTAACTTGGTGTTAGATTGTTAGTAATTTTGTAAAATAACTGTAACTTCCTTCTAGATCGTCTTTCAAACAATGGTTCTAGTCCACTTTCAAAATAAGGGGATTCCCTACTAGCGTAAGATGGTAATTCGGTTATGATTCTAGCAGCTTCTAACTGTAGTTTTTCAAGTTTGTCCGCATCGCTGAGAGTGCACAAGAGATTGTTGTTGGACTATTTATACAAGATTTTTATACGTACCTGTGGCTGAATACTGCATTGTTATTTCAAACACTTCGACAAATTTTCGTTAGGCAGAGTAAATTCTGACATTAAAGTTTTGAAATGCGGTTTTTTCTGGTAGCAATGAGATGTACAAACATAATTTGATGTTGAACATGATGACTTTTTAACAAAAACTTCATTCAAAAATACTCGTTTGAATTAATTGACTGTAGAATTTAGGAAAATATGTTTGTTCATGTAGAAACCCGGGGACTGGACGACTGTAAGCACCGGGGACTTTAAGGAAAAGATTCATCGTGGAAAAAATGAACAATTAGTCTAAGCCCATTACATGTAAGCATTTCAAATGTTGTACACCAACTGAATGAGAGATGACCCAAGAATCGCACTGGTAAAGAGCGAGCCCTGGACTACCATCTCAAGTCTATACAGTCGTCTTCTTAACCATATGCAGTTGTCAACAATGGCTGAAATGGCCATGGAAAACAAGTAGGCGGATTCCAAGATGTGTTTTGGTAGCGTCGCTTGACACATGAAGGTCATCTACAGATTTACGACCTATACTTATGTTGTGCAGGAAGAAGATTCGTGGTACACTCTTTTCGTTGCACGAAGTTTGCAGGACTTCGATTGTTTTCCATTAGCATTATCGGGACCCGTCTTGCACAATCATGTATCTTGGACATGTGTATTTTGTCGTGTATGGATTCATATTAAAGCTTTCTGGCCGTTCTGACCAGTGGTCATCTTCTTAATTCTTTCTGACACGCTGGAATTCCCTCACCCAACTTGTTGCAGAAGGGACGACTTACTCAAAATTTACTCTTCTACCTGTTTGATCGACTAATCCTTCATGGCTAGGAACTTTAAGATATCTCTCTAAGCTCAGTTATTTAGTGTGAACAGTTGCAGCATAAAATGATTTTTGGCCTCACTCCTCCATACCTCTCTAATCTACTCCCACATCGCAGGCACGATACTCACCAATACAATACGCGTGATGCTGATAAATTAAGCGGCATATTCTGCAAGACCAACTTCTACAAACGATCCTTTCTTCTTTCTTCTATTGACCTATGGAACTCGTTACCCCGCGAAATTAAAAATAATCCCTCTATAAGCAACCTAAAACGCTACCTGTACAGACACTCCCTTACAGTCCATTCTTATTATAGTTATGGAAAACGCACCGATCAGGTTCATCACGCCAGACACGTACATGTAATTATAAAGTCTGAACACTCCCCTCCCCTACCCCCACCCTCTCTCTCTCTCTCTCTCTCTCTCTCTCTCTCTCTCTCTCTCTCTCTCTGTGTCTGTCTCTCGTTCATTATGTCAATTATGTTATCAATGCTTAGCTACAAGTATTATGTTGTCACCTGCTTGTCACTCTATATTAGGAGACAGATTTACATAAGTATTGTTATACTTTTTTCTGAGTCCTATTTATATTTGTAATAATGATATACAATTATGACACGTATGAAATAAATAAAATATGTTTAAACTAATAGTTGCAGCCAGCTATATGAGTCTCTGCCACCATATTACAATTAGTTGATATAACAGATCTACACATTTCTAAACCATTCTCTCTATTCCTCTTTCTTAGTTACACCTAGACATATAATTATACATATAGACGCCTACACGTATGTCGTTTCATGAATTTATTATAGATCACGAGAGAACCTATACTTAGTAGGTCGCAAATATACTTAATCGTCCTTTAATTGTACCTTCCCTGGTTGAAAACAAAACGAATTAGGCAAAAGAGGTGAGACATTATTTTTTAATTCCCATTATTGATGTCGAGACCATAACCGTTGTGTCAATTTTTGTTGAAAGATCTTACTCATTGTAGTCGTAGATTTTATAGCACGAGGAATATTCATGGAAGATTCATTATTAGATCCTAAATTTAACTGCCATCTGATTGGCAATAAATATACACGGGAGCACGCATGTCTATGCCCCATATACTAATGGTCATACGCATATGAGTAAAACCATCCCATTTCATTGTCGGGCATTTGCAAGTCTCTAACTTTCGGAATCACTCGTGCTTTTTCCTTTCTTACCTTCCGAATGAGTCACCGTCTTATCGATAATAAGTGCCTATGTGGTTCGCAATATATGGACATTAATTCTCCGATATCGAAGTGAACGTTAGAACAATCGCCCATAATCCATAACCTTGATATACACTCTTCAAACAAGTTCATCTGTGAGCTTGTGTAAGCTACCGTCACACAACTTCACCGTGACCTCGCCACTTCCGCCTAAACATGTTCAGCGAAATGAAACTGGGTAAGCAAAAGACTCGTTCACATGTCTTCCACACTCACCATATTCAAGTGGAAAATAAATATGTTCTAACCGTTGACACTCCACCTATACTGACTAAAGATATATCGAATAGATATTTCAGCTGTTGTGTGTGTTCGATTGTGAGATAGCATAACGTGTGTAGTCCCGAGTGTGCTCAGTCCATTTGTCTATCTAGATCAACTTTAAGTTTAGTGTCAATATGTATAACATTCTCTTGAGCCGTGTGGTCATTCGGGCGTGGTGGACCTAATAGTCGTGATCGGGTGACAGTGTGTCAAAGGCACGCATACCGGTACAATGAATACACGAGTACCATGTGTGTTCAATGGCTGTGTATTTGACGGAACCGTAACAAGTATGATCATGTTATATTGATCTGGTATTGATCGCCAGGTATATACCCATAGCTATCCCACATACTTGCCGATACAGCCATGTTGGAATTTATTTTAAATAGACATCTATGAAATGCTTGTGACCAGTTTTAACACATATTCAAGTTATATAATGTTTTAACCCGGTCGTCACAATACATTCCAGAAGTATAACCCATTTTTTCAGAAAGGTAAGAATTCTTTTATGTGGGTCATTGCATTCAATAATTTTTGTATTATCTTTAAAATTCTGTTCAAAATGTTAGGGAAATCAGAAAGTTGATTTCTGTGTGAAATCCTATCAATATCTGAAGGAGGTTGTAGTACATTCACCATGAGACTGTAAACTAGGTCTCTATTAGTACTGTAATATACCTGTGCTTTCTCCGTTGCTAGGCTCTGAAAACAACAGTTATGAACAATAGCCATATACAGTAGCTATAGACATTCCAGCATATATATTTGTTTCTCTTTCACTGTCATATAAGATGTACACACAAAAACTTAAAATTTCACAATGGTATTTGATTGGTTCTAAAACTTTTCAGTCAGGATTTCTTTTCAATTTAAAAAGGTTTTCCTTTTAAGCGGTGATTGTATAATTTATTATGTATATAACTTGTAGAAATAAAGAACCGCAATAACTAAGTGAATAGATCCATGATAATTATTAAAAGAGTGTGCTGTACCTTGTGGCTACATTGGCATTTATCAATGAAGTTTCATGAAAATACTTTTAGGATTATGATATATTTCGAAAAGCATTGGGTTGAAGGGCATCAATATCCTTGTCTTGTTTTGTAGAAATTGCTACACTTAAACCATTGTCCAGTACTGCTTTTCCTATTGTTCTTGGTGATTTGTTGGAGAATTCTAAACATGACTGATGATACTGGCCAAAACTTGACCCATCTATTTACTACAGAGGTCAATTACACCAGTACTACACCCCAACTCAATACAACACAACACATACAGGTAAGCTTTAACAGAGGGTTATACAACACCCACAGGTAAGCTCTAACCAAGGTTTATACAACACTCACAGGTAAGCTCTCACCAAGGCTTATACAACACCTACAGGTAAGCTCTAACAGAGGATTATACAACACCCACAGGTAAGCTCTAACCAAGGCTTATACAACACCCACAGGTAAGCCTCAACTGAGGATTATACAACACCTAAAAGTAAGTTTTAACCAAGGATCATACAGTACTCTCAGGTAAGCTCTTTCTGAGGATTATTTCTGGTTGCACACTTTTAAAAAACTTGTATGTGTGTTTTTCGTGTGATGTTTAGACAGCTGAAATATCTATTATCACTACATAGATATCATATGGTATAATAGGATGCTCATGACATGCCTGTTTTTGTGTGTAGAAACAATTGGTGAAATAATAGAAATACGCCAAAGACTGACCACTAATCAGGGCATGGAAACAGAGGTGCCCTATAAGTACTCACCATGTCTGTCTGTCAGCACTTTTGTTTCAGGAGATTATCGCAGAATACAGAAGGCCAAACATTCTGAAATATATAATTAATGTTTATTACTATTAAATCAAATATTTTAGTGGAGCTCCATTTTCCTGTTTTTTTTTTTTAAATATTACTTTGTGGACATTTGATTTCTTTGGATAAATGTGGCTCTAGAAATGTACTTAAAGACTAATTATATGTGAATTCATGGATGGAGAGTACCCAAGAAATCAGTGAAAATAAATCCCCCACAAACATCAATGATTTTACTGTATATATTATTACTGGTAAAACATAATTCTTCAAATATGTTGTTCAACATAATCATATCCACGTTGTCATGAGAGATAAGCAGTAATACTTTTATCATTATATAATTCCAGTTAAGTTATTTTATTATAATGGGAGGTTATAAACCCAAGGGCCCTAAACAGTCAGCCAGATTTTACAAAACTAGTTGCCATCACATTTTCCTTGTCTGGTGTGGGGTGGGTAGAATTGTTCAGCCCACCCTGTATTAGTTCAGTTTATCATTCATGTCTTCGCTCCCTTGATTCACAGTGACAGAAACAAACACCATGACACAGATGAGCCTCGAAGTTTATATGATAAGGAACTTCTCCAAATCATTTATATGAACTTAGTTAAAGTTGACTACTATGCTGAATCAGTTTATCATAGAACTGTTCACATAGTGCCAACAAAGTGTTGTAGATAAGATCATAGTAATGTATTATATCAGGACATAAAGGCTTATCTGTATTCTAATAGCCTGTAAATGCCTTATGTTGTCAGGTTTATCTTTTCTACCAATACATATTTAAATTTTTGTTACCAAAAAATTGTCTACTTGAAATACCATCATTTGATCAAATGTCAAATTTTTCATAAGTCAAACTGTTTGATGTCATAATACATGAAGTGGGTTTGCTTTACCCTTCACACAGTAAATTGATGTATTAATAACAGGTTTGCTTTGTACCTTCAAACTGTAAATTAATATCCTAACAGCAGGTTTAATATACCCATTATAAAGTAGGTTTACATTGTATCCCTTATACAGTAGGTTGATATCTTAGCAGGTTTACTTTATCCCTTTCACAGTAAATTGATGTCTATAAACAGCAGATTTACTTTACCCCTAACACAGTTAATTGATTTCTTAACAGCAGTTTTGTTGTGTACCCCTTATACAGTAGGTTGATGTCTATAAACAGCAGGTTTACTTTGTACCCCTTATACATTGAATTGATGTCTTTACTACAGGTTTAGTTACACTTCACATAGTAAATTGATATCATTACAGCATCTTCATAGTATGATAGTTAAAAATAAAGACTGATTGACAGATTTGAAACCATTGTTGTACACTTTTCTTAATCTTACCCAACTCTGGTTATTTTTGTTTTTAATGTCCAACTGGCTGTATATTTAATTATGAAATGACTGCTAAACTCCAGTTATTTTCCAGTTGAAATGATAATAATAAGATTTTTTAAGATATAGAGAAATTTGTATTTTTTTTCTTTCAAGAAGAAGTCCCATATATTGTATGTTTCAAAAAAATAAAGATGTTATGATTGGGTCTTGCTGTTTCTTTGACACCTATACAGATTTGCTCGGTTGGCAGAAGTTTATAAATGTTCAATCATTGTGTTAATTTATGATGTCACAATGAATACAAAGGAGACATAATTGATATCTGCTTACATGTTAGGGCGATCCTGACACAGTCATGTTACTGGCATTATGAGGTTGTTGAAATTTTCACTTTGATTGAACCTGACCTTGTATAAGTTGATAAAATCAGACCTCAATGTTACAATTGATTGAACGAGACCTTGATGTAACAGTTGATTGAATCAGACCTTGATATTTCAGTTGATTGAACCTGCATGACTTTGATGTTACAGTTGATTGAACCAGACCTTGACATTACAGTTGATTGAACCTGCATGACCTTGATGTTACAGTTGATTGAACCAGACCTTGACGTTACAGTTGATTGAACCTGCATGACCTTGATGTAACAGTTGATCAAATCAGACCTTGATATTACAGTTGATTGAACCTGCATGACTTTTGACATTACAGTTGATTGAACCTGCATGACCTTGATGTTACAGTTGATTGAGTCAGACCTTGATGTTATAGGTGATTGAACTTTGGAAAAAAAGTGTAAAATGTTGAGCTACTTTTTGTTTCAGTTGAGTGATGTGATGACTACGGTTCTGTCGAATGTCACTGGAAATTTAACAGGGAATCTGGACAACACTACCTTAGAGATGGGAGATCCATGTGAGGTGGTGTCAAGTCAGAAGAGCATGGAGGGCACAGAATTCTACATTGGACTGTCGCTTGCTCTCAGCTCTAGTCTGTTTATAGGCAGCAGTTTCATTTTCAAAAAGTTGGGACTTTTAAAACTTGCAAAGAATCAGGGCACAAGAGCAGGTAAGGGTTGTAATGATAATTATGATGGATACAGTAAGAGGTACTGATACTTGTGTAAGCCCATTAAAACAGTTTGATATCTTATGACATTTGAGCTTTTAGCTATTGACACTATCTTATAAGTGTAAATATTGCACAGTCATGTTATTGCGTCATTATTTAGAGGTATATAGCACTAATGAACACCTTTGATATACCGTCTTTTACAAATACAAGGTATGGTAGTTATTAACCTGGAACTGTTGTCATTGAAAATGTATCTTTTGTATTGACATGTAGGGTATTGTAGTAGACTTGGGAGAAACATATTCACTCAGTATGTAGCTACATGTGGGATATGGATATTTTAAAGTCAGATATAGAACCTTCAAAGCCTTAGTAGAGCTTTCTGATTCTATACTTTTAGAGAATCACATAACTTGATTACCCTGTTTCTTTTGAACTGATCATTTGGTCGTTCAGACTGTATCATTATATATTCTTTATTCTCTGATTACTTTAACAGATACCCAACATTTCTCAAACTAATATTTATCCTTGTCCCTTTATTTCAAAGTATTTCTCCCACAGGGGACACATGTTAATTATGTCTATGGCTAATTACCAGATATGGGCATTAATTACCAGATAAACATGATTGTAGTTACAATAATTATTGAAATATCAATAAAAGACCAAATATTAAAAAATTATCATCACTTTTAAAAACTGAAAGTCTAAGTGGAATTTTTGTTGTAGGTCAGGGAGGCTACGGTTATCTGAAGGAGTGGCTCTGGTGGTCAGGCATGATTCTCAGTAAGTCAACTAGATAATAGAGATACTCTGTCCTTATATAACTACCAGTAAATCAGTTGATATTGAGGTGAAAATGAAGTGAAAGTTAAAAATTTCAAATAGTTGTTATATATGTAATAAATCCCTGTTTATGGCATCGATATTTTTTGTATCTTTTGAAAGTGTTATAAATTCAGAAAATTTATATCATTTGTATTTTATTTCAAGGCCAGATTATACTTTTATTATGTTATAGTCCTGAAATAAATATGGAATTCATTGGGTTTCAGTTTAAGAGATACAATCTATTTTCTTATTCTAGATCTGAATCAATATCAGAATCATAGCATATAGTTTAATCTGACCTTGTCCCAAGCTTGGTTGTGTTTTGCACTTTTACTTCCAGTATTAAACTAACATGTGGTTATTTTGCTTTAACAGTGATCACAGGAGAGTTTGCCAACTTTGCAGCTTATGCCTTTGCTCCTGCTACACTGGTTACGCCTTTAGGAGCACTTAGCGTCTTAGTGAGGTACAGTTATTGACTTTGTTTCAGGGACATCTGAAGGTTTGTTTACCTGATGTTCCAAAAAATAACAATGTTAATTGTAATGTCATAACTACAGCAAACAGTAAGTCTGACAACAAATCTTACTAAGGAAGTATCACACAACTTAGAGGCGATACCCTGGTAACTGGCAATAATTCAAATATCAAGTAGTAATTTTGGATAGTTCAAAATTTTGCTGCTTTTAGAAAAGTGTGTTTGGAAAGGAAAGTCATGAAACTGATATTGGTACTCACTCTAATTCCCCTGCTGGTGAAACAGGGGACTTTCCTCTCAGTCCTTCCCTACATCTGAAAGTGTGTCAAGGCTCTAGTGGCTTCATTCCTTGAGAGATTCTTGTGTTTACATTAACTGTTGTCTCCTCAGTGCTGTGATATCCTTACGATTCTTGTGTTGTCATTAAATGTTGTCTCCTAAGTGCTGTGATATCCTTACAATTCTTGTGTTTACATTAACTGTTGTCTCCTCAGTGCTGTGATATCCTTACGATTCTTGTGTTGTCATTAAATGTTGTCTCTTCAGTGCTGTGATATCCTTATGATTCTTTTGTTTACATTAAATGTTGTCTCTTCAGTGTTTTGATATCCTTATGATTCTTGTGTTTACATTAAATGTTGTCTCTTCAGTGCTGTGATATCCTTATGATTTTTGTGATTACATGAAATGTTGTCTCTTCAGTGTTTTGATATCCTTATGATTCTTTTGTTTACATTAAATGTTGTCTCCTCAGTGCTGTGATATCCTTATGATTTTTGTGATTACATTAAATGTTGTCTCCTCAGTGCTGTGATATCTTTACGATTCTTGTGTTTACATTAAATGTTGTCTCCTCAGTGCTGTGATATCCTTATGATTTTTGTGCTTACATTAACTGTTGTCTCTTCAGTGCTGTGATATCCTTACGATTTTTGTGATTACATTAAATGTTGTCTCCTCAGTGCTGTGATATCCTTATGATTTTTGTGCTTACATTAAATGTTGTCTCTTCAGTGCTGTGTTATCCTCACGATTTTTGAATGAGAAGCTGAACCTCCTGGGTAAGATCGGCTGTACACTGTGTGTACTGGGGTCAACAGTCATGGTTATACACTCACCAAAGGAGCAAGAAGTTAACAGCATGTCCTGTCTGCTGGACAAGATTGAGGAGCCAGGTAAGGTTTAGTGATTCATTTCATACAGTAGAACTTCTCCAAACTGTTCAGGCATAGGACATGAATATTTGGCCGGTTTAGGGAGAGTTCAGATAGTAGAAGTGAAGCAAGTTGTCCAGTCTGGACTCGGATATCCGATTCTGATCTGTACATTACATTAGCCATTCTGTTTTCTGTCAGCATTTACACTGCACAAGTCCAACTTAAAACAGAAATAAACTTTAAAGAATGAAGACATTTCTTTATACATTGTGTGTTACTCTCATGGAAAAGAAATCTGTACATTATCCAGCAATCTCAGAAGTAACATTTCATACAAATGTACAGCTCGACGTAGCTGCGATTGAATGGTCAGCTTGTCTGAAAGCATTACCAACCAATATATTTCGAGAATATGTGCTTTTGTTGATCATCATAAAAACTTATTTTCTAAAAAAACACTTGGTTAACATTTTGATTCTGTATGTGTTGAAATAACATTACTCAATTACCCATGATTAAGATGGGAAACTGCTGCTTTCTATTACTGTATTAGTACTTATTTTCCCTTTATCCGTATCCGTTCCTTGCTTCGGTGAAACAACAGACTCGTTTGATGTGCAGGTTTCAATTTGTCATTGCAGATAACTATACATTATGTTTATTATTGTGAGGGATCAGTATTGGGATGGTTTTTATTACTATAATAAAGAGGACATCATTCCGTACTTGGCCATTTCCTTCAATTTGAAGCAGTGATCAGTTTTGAGAAGGATCAGTTTGGGAAATCAGCACAATACTTTTATAAAGATGTCCAATAAATCCTGTTAACAGCAGGCCAGTCTTCATTCAAATGGAGAAGTCAAGTGTTGTAATTTCAAAATGAATAAGGGAAGACTACTCCAACCTTAATTGTAAAACTGTGACAGCTGCCTGACCTGGTCTATTCTCTCAACTGTAACTGGTTACTGTCATGGACTATCCTTTCAGCTGTGACAGCCAATTGCCCTTATTCACTTCCATCAGATGACGGCTAACTGGTCCAGTCTCATCTGTAAGGTGTGACTGCTCAATGGTCCAGTCTCTTTTGTCAGGTGTGACAACTAACTAGTCTAGTCTCGCCTTTTAGCTATGGCAGCTAACTGGTCCCGTCTCATCTGTCAGGTGTTCTGGTCTCTCCTGTCAGGTGGGATAGGTAACTAGTCCAGTCTCCATTGTCAGGTGTGACAGCTAACTGATCAATTCTCATCTGTCAGGTGTTCTGGTCTCTTCTACCAGGTGCGATAGCTAATTGATCTATTATCTTCTGTCAGCTGGGCTGTTTTCTTTCCTCAGGTGAAAGTTCTAGTCTCACTAAAGCTTCTTGAAGATATCAGTTTGTTTGTAGTCAGAGATCACAAACAAGTTAGGATGTAAAATTGTGTCTGGGATGTAAAATGGTGTCTGCTCTGTAACTAGCATCCTACAGTGCTGTTGAACTAATATTGTGATACTATAGTTGTTTGTCTTTCACTGATGCAATGTACAACTTCCCAGCTTATTGAGTTTGCTCTCCATACTATTGTTTCCTCATGCATTAAGAACCTCTGTTTGGTTGTGATTCTCTGCACTGTATGTTGATATGTTTTGTTTCACAACATTTTTTTCTTTTATTTGCAGGATTCATCATATACTGCATTTTCATTGTATCGCTTGCTCTGTTTGGAATATTCTTCCTGGCACCTCGCTATGCACACAAAAATGTGTTAGTGTACGTCATGATTTGTTCTACTCTCGGTTCCTTCACAGTGGCTGGGTGTAAGGGACTGGGCGTAGCTTTGAAGCAGACATTTAATGGTGACAACCAGTTTACCAGCTGGTTAACTTGGATTTTACTTGCAGTTGTTATACTCTGTATATTGGTTCAGTTAAATTATTTGAACCGTGCTTTAGACCAGTTTAACACATCTGTAGTGACTCCAATATATTATGTGTTTTTTACGTCATGTGTAATCGTAGCTTCTCTGATCCTGTTTAAAGAGTGGGGGGCCATTAAGGCACAAGACAGTATTGGAAATCTGTGTGGGTTCCTAGTGATCATCATTGGTATATTTTTACTGCAAGCTTTTAAAGACATGAATATATCAATGGCTAACTTGACCACAATGAAGCGGGAGGTGGAAGCCAGCAACAATGGAGATATCCCCACTCCTGTGGCGTATGATCAGAATTTCACTGACTACCATGATGATGAATTAGGTCTATTGGAGGAAGACACAGTGAGCAATGGAAACAGTGAGATTCAGCTTGAAACAGAATACAGAGATGATGTAGAGTTCAGATGAACAGACTGCCATATACTTATAATATAGTAAATAGTCATAGCAAACATTGAATGTTAAAGACACACAATTAATTTTTTCACTGTCTTATTTTGCATAATATGTGTCTTAGCAAGTAGTGCACAAAAATGGGAATACTTTTAATTAATCTCTGTAAAATCTATGTGTTTCTCTTGTTGGCTTGTTTCTATTGGAAGCCTACTTCTCTTTACCAATTGGCAGCAATTGGACACAGTAGGAAGGTACGAGGACCATGGAAACTTGTGGTGCTGCACCATTCTGGGGCCTGCTGGGTGGAATTCTGAGTAAATGTTTAAAGGATTTTTTATTGTTACTGGTAGTTGTGTGTGAAGTATTTGAAGTATCCATCCATTCTTGTTGCCCAGTGATACAGGGTACATAGTTATCATGTTACTTCTTGTGAACAGGTGGGAGAACTATGCACAGCCATAATTTTACAATTATGGTTCTTGTTTATTACTTTTCTGTATCAACACCAGCTGAGCAAAGAATGCTCAAAGTATGATCCCATGTTATTTAAACTGCATTTTATTCCTCAACATTCACTGCAGTATCATGAATACCACATCTTCGATAAAATATCACATTGTACTCTTTCACATTTTGCCGGACATGTGTCAGACAATCTGATTGGCTGAAATAAAAGGAAAGTGCAATATGATGTTTTAACACTGCCACATGTGCAATTTGATGTAAAATGGGATAGGTCATGATCAGATGTAAAACAATAAAGGTCTTATACGATACTGAAAAGTAATAGAAGTCAATATTTATCCAGAACTGAGTGTAGAGTAGATTTGGTTGGTTTTGTGTAAGATTGTGGGGTATATGAGGGGTACTTGGGAAAATGTATGCTTTATGAAGTGTTGATTGATGTCACAAATCAACAGTGGAACATCTGTTAAACTGTTTTCAATTTTAACAGTAAATAATGAAAGGTTTGAGAAACCTTTCTCATTGTCAAGGTCGCAAAGGTAAGCTGTGTAGGAAGATACAATTGCTAGAATTTTTAGATTAGATACATAATTCTAATGTTAACTAATATTGCTTATAAAATGTTGATTATAGCTTACAATCATCAATTGATAATCAGTTTAATTCACTTTTTGTCTGTCAGTCTGTCCTGTATTGTCTGTCCTGTAGTGTTTGTCAAGTCTGTTCTGTAAACAGTTTTTGTTACCACAAATTATAGAGAATAGTAGATCCTCATGAAACTTTACAAAGATAAATTTGAGTTGAGCATGCACACTTTTAGTTTAATCACAAAGGGATTTTAGAATTTGACTTTGTTACTGTTACTTCTAAAGAACTAAGTTGTTGAGGGTGAATTCATGTGTCATTGTTATGCATTCACAATGGTCACTGGCTGCCGTTTTGGATGTTTGCACTTGAAATTCATTACTGCTTTTGACAAAGAATCACATAAGAAATCCTCATGTAGCTTTATGAAGACCTCCAGTAAGCATCCGACATGTAGTTGTACAGGGTGAAATTTGAGTGTACAATATATTCAAGATGGCTGTCATTTTGGTATTTGAAATTTGTTGATGCAATTTCTCAGGAAGACAATTACCTTCAGTTTTTGTTAATACCCAAGATATTCAGTATTGGCTTTAGCTGTGCTTTTCTTTAGGCAGATCAGCATAAAGGCTCCCAATGGTGAATTTTCCTACTGTACTGTTAGTTCCTGATAGTAAGTTAGATACTCACATGGCGCCCAAGCATCTGATGGTAAGTGCAAAGGTCATGCTAGAATCTTGACAAGATCTCGCCATGATCACTCAAGGATCTTATCTTCATTGTCAAATAATGTAACAGATTGTTTGGTAGATGTAGTCATTTGATTGTATAAACTGTGGAAAAATGTAATATTTTATTGATGATATTTTAACAATGTACCTCAAATGTCAAAACATGTCATTAATCACAACTGTTTGTTAGTGCTGTTGTATATGATGTGGAATATTTAACATATCAAGTTTACTTTATAAAGATCATGTACATGTAACCTATATTTTTTCAAGTTACTGTTTCAAACAATATTTTGTAATCTTTTTTAATACTGAATATAAGTGAGAGTGTGATGTACAACAAGTGTGATATACTGAGGTCTCAAATTGTATTAAAACAGGATTTGTGCCAGATGACTTGTGCGTGTTGTTTTTTTGGGACCTGCAGTTTACCTATAGTGTACACTAATTGATATACTGAAAATAAACAACAGACTTAGTGGCCTTGACGGTCACTTCAGATAAGCAATATTGAATATAAAGGTTAAAAGGAAGTTATCAAGTGTCCTGAAACAGAAATTGTGACACTGAATACAGTAAGCCAGTGTCAATACATGCATACCATCAAAACTGTCATTCTATACTGATAATGCTTGTTAAGTTATTTCCAATGGAAATTTACTAACGTTATGCTCAAAATTGCATTTTTTCTGTATGAAAATTACAGTAAAGTTTTAAAAAAACTTCTTCCCCAGGAAGAAATATGAGACCAATTTTGGTAATTAAAGCACCTATGCTTCCATCTATGAAGAGCACTTGGTTCTACCATATCTGGAGGTCGAGATGAAGATTTTTGAAATCCAAGTAAATTTGATCCCTTTCGGCCCCGCCCATCATCCTATTTGGGGTCGGCCAGGATCAATCTATTCATACCATCAAGCTGTCATCCTACACTCATAATTCTAACCAAGTATGAAATATTTCAAATGGAAATTAAACAAGTTATGCTCAAAAACCTAGTTTTCCTATATAAACTGAAGTACTCATTACCCCGTCCTCATGGGGAAATGTAATTATTATGGTTCATCTTCATCAGAGTTTTTGGGAAGAAATTGAAAATATAAATTGTTTATGGAGGAACGACGTGCATTGCAGGATGAAGGTGATCACAACAAAAACATAACTCATATATTTTGGAATATTTTCTTCAGGTTGGTAATGTGAATAGAACAGATTTCTTAAAACACAACCAGTAGAAGATTATAGAGAGATTTGTTTACCATATTGTTTTCTACCTTAGTGTACATAGAATTATAGTACAGCTGAAAAAGTTGGTCGATTCTGTATCAGTTGTACACTACGTACGTCATGAAGGTGGCCATGTAGTCATCAAAATGTCACTCTAATCTTCTACTGGTTTTGTTATAAGAACTTCTATTCTACATAACTCAAATGGTTAAAATAAATGATTATTGGTGTTAATGTTACATTTCTGATTCAGGTCCATGTGAATTCATAATTATCGCCTAATTCATTTCATATCGCATCAAATCAGCAGTTGATGAACTCAATAGATCTAGACATATCTTAAATATATACTATAGAAACAACTAGATCTAGATATCCAGTGATCTACCCAGCTAAGGACCCCTCCTTACTTACCGGACCGACGTTGGCTCCTTCCCCCCTGTCAGTAGATCTAGATATATTTTACGTGTATATTATATCATAGAAACAAATAGATCTGGACATATCTGACATATAGTATATGATAAAAAAATAGATCTAGATTTATCTGACATGTATACAATACTATATAAACAAATAGATCTAGACATATCTTACATGTTACTATACTATAGAATCAAACATATCTAGAGACATCTTACATTTATTATTTACTGTAGAAACAAGTAGATCTAGAGACGTCTTACATGTAGGTATATTATAGAAACAAATAGATCGAGATATTTCTTACATGTATAGTATAAAATAGATACAAATAGATCTTGCATGGATAGTATACTATATAAACAAACAAATCTAGAGACATCTGACATGTATGCTAGACTTTATAAACAAACATATCTTATTTGTTACTATACTTTAGAAACAAACAGATCTAGAGACATCTGACATGTATGCTAGACTTTATAAACAAACAGATCTAGACATATCTTATTTGTTACTATACTATAGAAACAAACATATCTAGAGATATCTTACAAGTATACTATACTATAGAACAAATAGATCTAGACATATCTAGTTTTCGGAGTTCGGATCCGAGTTCGGTGTGTGTATTAAGCCACTTCCGCTTCTTCAAGAGTTTTGATGACAGTGATATAAAACAGTATGGAAGTCACGCCGAAAAACCGACAATTCTACTCCATTCCGGAGACTGAGAAACACGTGGACACTGTTGGGAAGACGAAAACTGAAGGTTTGGTCAAGTACATCTCAGAAAATATCATCGGTAACGAGAAAGTATTCAGTGGACCTTTTGGTCTCAGAAAAGGTAACTGACATAGCTATACTACGTTACTCCTGACAGCTGACTGGTTAGATGATCAGTTGGGATATGGACCGAAATGGAGGAAAATTAGACTTGTGTCGATCATATTTTAAGAGACGGAAAGATAGAAACACTGGTTTCGGCTCCGTTTCACCAGTTTCGGTGAATTAAACTCAGTTTCGGTAAATAACCCCAACCCTTCAGATTATTACTCAGTGTTAGATGTTTACACGGTGAAAAACTTTGAGTCAGGTAGTGCCTGGAAAGAGTGAAGCTTACATTCTTCATTGACACTCTCGATTGAAAGTATAGAAAAAAACCTCTGATAAATCTTGAATTATCTTGCCTTTGACTAGATTGCTTGCTTTAGTTATAATTTTTCTCTGCTAGACTGTGTTCATTGAAACTAAGACAGCAGCCTCACCCAGAATGCATTGTGGTACCCCAATAACACCTCTGTAAAAGGTTCATGCCATTTCAAGATTCTTGAATGATTCATGATTATTTTCTTTTGTTATTTGTATATTTATTTTGGTAATAGTTTTTTTTTTCATCTGGAAAATGACCTCATTAATTTATATGGTTGGAAACGTTATGAATTATATTGCAGAAAATCGATTTTGATTAAACAGTTATCAACCGTGATGTTTGCATTTTGTACTTTCACTTTTCAACAACCTACATGTTCTTGAAGGACATGTTGATAATCTGTGACATCAATGATGATGGTAATTTGGCTGCAAACTTTTACCCTCACTGTGTGGTCAACTGTTGGTAGTCTGTGAGCTGTAATAGAGGTGTATTGCGACTGTTGGGGAGTGACATCTCTGGTAGAGATTGCTAAGACAGGTCAGGGCCACCATCTTAGTTAAAAATTTGACCAAAACGACGCTGATTGGCCAATTCAGTCAATGAATCAATGGTTGGGTTTCAGCCTTGGAATTCCCTCATATTTACAATGGCGACCTGTGCCAGATGAACCGTCGGCAAGAATTAGTGAGAGATTGTCACTGTTAATTTTTTGAAAGTCATGAAAACAGTTTATTTCAAATTCAACACTTACTTATATGAACACTGTTTCAAGTACTTGGCCCCAAGTTTTCATAGTTAATGAGATGTTGAAATAAGGGACATGTCGATAGTCTGCATGAAACAAATCACATTTGATTTAACAAAATAAATATACAGAACAACGATAAGTGGAAATGTTACTATTAATACAATAGTAATATTGTATGGTGCTGTACAGATACACATTTGACTATATTGTCATGATTGTTGAGTGGAGACTTTTATTTTTTCATGAAAGATCCCCAAAATAGCCATCTTGGAAAGGAATACGCTATGCTAAATATAAATATTGGCCAATCAAAATTACATGATTGATAGCCATGAACTATTGCTGTATTTTCGAAGCAAAGTCTAGGAGAGAGTAGGAAAACTACAACAGGCAATCCAGTCTAATATGCTGAAGCTCACATGCCACATTGACATTTTGGTTAACTAGTTAGTGCTGCAAAAAGTAGAGATAATTTGGCCACTTCAGTGAGTGATTGATCGTGCAGTTGTTCTGATAATATTTTGTGTATTTCTGTGTTTGTGTCATCATGATATTGGTTAGCATTATATTCTGAGTACTTTGAGCACTGAAAGAAATTTTAATTCATGCCAATTTCATTTGAATTGTCATCTTCATATTAAGTAGTAATTAAAAACAAAAAGTCTAACAAATTAAAGAAAGCAAAAATGCTGTCATAGTACTTTTAATTGATACTAAAGTTAGCTAGAGGTAAATTGCAGAGCACCTATGTCCATGCTTTTCACTTTCGGATGGACATGAATAATGATCTTACATGTGTAACTGATATAGAGCTTGGCTTGGGCACCAAAGACCTTCTGTCTTATTAGTACTGTGCTGTGTGTTATGTTATTCAGCCATTAGGCCTATTGGTCATTTTATATAATTAACTTTAATGTGTTTCTCAGTAGACTCAATTGTGCATTTTGTAGACATAGAATCTGTAAATGCAGGGATTGTTTGATATTTTCTGTATCCATATCAAATTGTTACATACATAGGGTCCACTGCCTTGAAAAGTCAGGTAATTGACTTTACTAGGTTGGGTTAAATTAATGAATATGCATAAGCCAATCTATTCAAGCAGCCAACTAATCCAAAAAGGATGCATACAGCATAGTGTTGTGATGAGTGATGACCTAGATAATGCTAATGTGATGAATGATGACCTAGATAATGCTAATGTGATGAATGATGACCTAGATAATTATAATGTGATGAGTGATGACCTAGATAATGATAATGTGATGAGTGGTGACCTAGATAGTGTTCTTGTGATAAGTGATGACCTAGATAATGATAATGTGATGAGTGATGACCTAGATAATGATAATGTGATGAGTGGTGACCTAGATAGTGTTGTTGTGATGGTGTGAGAAATGATACCATTTTTCTTTTTTTCAGTGACCTATCTGGATTACACAGCGTCAGGAAGGTGAATATTCTGTAATGATCTGTTATATCTACACCTCTTCTCAGTCTCACTGATTGTGTGCTTTAGATTTACATTTTTTTTCGTGTTTGCTTCAAAATTCTAAAAATCTATAGGAACTACAGGAAACTGTCTTGATGAATAAGAATTCATTTTCATGTAGAAATTAATCTTTATCAATAGATAAAGAAATTGGTTTTATTATTAGGAAAATTATCTTTATCAGTAGGGAAATGATCATTTTTAGTCAGAAATGTGTATCTGTAGGAACCTGTATTTATCAGTATATTGTGTCTGTGAGTCAGAAAAGTATTTTTCAATAGAAATCTGTTTGAATATATATATAGCAGAACTCCCTCCTTTTACTGAGTCCCCTGTGATCTCTTGTTTATGAACTATAGGGGATTGAAATTCATTGAGGATTATATACAGAATGAAGTTTTACCTGAATATGGAAATACGCACACAACAACAAGTATCACCTCTCTCCAGACAACTCTTTACCGACATGAAGCCAGGTAGGACTTTTAAGGAATCTATATCAGTTATACTCAGTGTATATATGCTTATAAATTTTCTTTCAATGCAATCAAAGATTTCTAGTCCAATCCCAGATTGCTACCTCTGAACTGCTAAAACTTTGAGAACAGTTCCACAACACAGTCAAAGATTTTTACCTCAGAACTACTAAAACTGAGAAACAATTCCTTAATCACAGATTTCTACTCCTGAACTACTAAAATTTAGGAACAGTTCCACTAAACAGTTAAGATTTCTACCTCTGAAATACTAATACCGAGGGACTATTCTACAACATTATCACAGGTTTCTGCCCCTGATCAACTTAATTTGTGGAACAGTTCCATATATCACAATAACACATAATCATTCTGATGTTGAGGATTACAGTCAAACTTCTATGAATCAAACTTTGATAATTAGAGTTTCAAATAATTTACCCTTCCCTGGATTTTATATTCATACATATTACTTATAACTTAGCCTTATGAATCAAAGTTTCATTAATCAAAGTTTTCGATGTATCAAATAGTTTTTAAGGACTGTTACCTATGATAATATAGTCATTGACATGTCATGACTCAAACAAAAAATTTACCTATTCTGTACAGGTATTGTACCCCACGATGGAATTATACACATTTCATCAAAGGCGCTAACTGACAAATGGATTTCGATAGTGTGATATCATTTACTGTGTGTTTTGAGGTTAATTAATGACTGGACATAGATTGATGGTTTGATTGCATACTTACAAACCATGACATTTAATCAACACTGATAATGGAACATTATGTGGTATTAATATAAACTTTATTTGTTTTACAACAATTGCGAAACAAGTTATTTAAACTTATACTAATCACTCTTGTTGGCCCGGATGTAAGCGCGCGAGGGGCCTTATTGTGGGAGGAAACCGGAGTACCCGGGGAAAACCCACGCGGTCGGACAGGTGACCCCTTACCTTTTCACGTCCGTTCCGGGAATCGAACCCCGGTCGGCTAGGTGAAAGGCGAGTGCGTTAACACTGCGCCACCCGACCACCCATTATGTGGTATTCAGCACTGCCATTGTGATAATATCATAAGATGAAGTCAAATTTCAGGATTTGTAAAATACACAATGATTTCACTCCTACTTAAAGTGTCAGTTTCATTTTTAAGCATTGAAACATGAGAAACAAGGCGATTCATCCATTCTCCTATTGATTCAGACTAGCTGTCATCAAAACATTTGCAAACACAAGTGTAACATTTGCAACCTAAGATGTATAATGTCATATAGTAATTTTGTATCTAGACAGAATTCATAATGTTACATTATTTTAATTCATTAGTGCCTGTTATGTTAATGAATCACTGTTTAGATAATGACAGTAAAATGTGACAGAAACTTTTTTTGTTTAAAATTGATCTGTAAAGTACATATACTCAATATGAAGGTAATTGAAAGCATGTGTTGTCGATTTCTTGTCATTCCAATTAAAAGTTGTATTTTTGTTTCATGGATGAAAACATTTAATCTTTTTAATGAAAATAAATGTATAAGGTATTTCATCATGTGTAATCAACAATGTTCATGACCATGAAAACATTGATATGACCCACCACTAATGATTCAATCTCAGTGTATCAATTGTATCAAAGATTTTTGCGTGTTCCTTTAACTTCGAAAGATAGAAGTTGTACTGTATGTTATTTGTATGTTGATAGTTACTTGTATGATGATTGTCACTTGTGTGATGACTTACAGAGATATAGTGCGGAATGCTGTCCATGCCAGTGAGCATGACTCTGTGATATTCTGCGGAAGTGGAACTACAGCTGCTGTCCATAAACTGATTCATGCTTTGAACCTAACGAAGCCTCCGGTAATCTCACCTTGTTTATCAAACTGGTCAGAAAACATATAGATGATGAGGATGATGACGAGAAAAGATGTTTATGCTGCATTTAGAAATATATTGATAATCATGTGTATTTTGGAGAATAAATACTAAAGTAGCAGGATTATGGTGATATGACCTGAAACTAAGTCAGGTTTTAATGAGGTCGATGAAGATGTTGAAAGATATTTTTGATAATTTAAAAAATTTCACTCACCGAGTGTGTAAGGTAAGCGCATGATATAGTAAAATTTTGGTAATCAAGGAAAAATTCATCAAGAACTGGTTATAGGTCAGAAAATTGGTTTCAAGAAAATAATGCAAAAAGAAATATGAGAATGTTGTATGGTGATAATAATAAGATGACATTTTATGAATACCGTATAGGGTCATAATGAAATAGGATTGTAGACTGCATGACGATGACAGCGACAACAATGATGATGATATGATGATGATGATTATGATCAAACTTCCCAATTACAGTTGCTCCCATTCAGAATTAATTTTCATGTTATATTCAAAGTTTGTCCAACAGATGGTCCTTACTGTAATTATTGTTAAAGAAAAATTGAAATAATTGAACATTTTTTATGGAATTGCAAGAGAGTTAAGATTTACTACAAAATTAAGAAACCTTCCTTAACTCTTTATTTATTCCATCTAATTTTAATAACAAAAAAAATCTGTTCTTTTTGGTGTAGCTAATCAAAAGAAGACAATATGATAAACTTCATAATATAACAGTATACATAGATTTTGGAACACTTTATTCAGGTTGGTAATGTCAATAGAAAAAAGTTCTTATAATATAACCAGTAGAAAATTAGAGCGACTTTTGGATGACTACACGTTCACCTTCATCAGACAAATGATCAGTGTAGAGCGTACTAGCACTGACGTACATAGTGTATGAGAAAGTATTGAATTTACCAACTTTTTCGCTGTAGTAAAATCCTATGTACACCAAGGTCAAAAATAGTGTGATGAGATGGTAAACAGATTATAGACAAAATATATGCCAGATGGTAACAACATACTGTAGTCAATTTGGCTACGCTTTCTTTAACACTTGGTCATAGATGTGAAAGTAACATTTCACACAACTACTTCATCTCTGTTTTAGGTTGTATTTGTCAGTCCATATGAGCACCATTCCACACTACTACCATGGAAGGAAGTCGGAGCTAAGGTAAGACTTTAATCAGATGTTTCTGATTATTTCAAAATTCTAAAGAAACTCCAGACTGAGAACAGTGTGCATATGTAACATTACCCTTTTTGTTTACATGTCTTCTTTATTATGGAACCCAAGGTTATGGTAATGGAGCAGTAGCATTCTAGGATAAAGGACTTTTGTATCCAAGGAAACGTTCTGTCAGGTTTTGGTTTTACTGGCTTTGTGTAATTGCCTTAAAAAACATACCCAATGGTTAAAGGGCAAAGCAAGTGAAAATCAAAATGCAGCAAAAGCTTCCCCATATACAGTGTCAAGTTTGTTCAAATGAATGACCTTGACATACTTTGAAGATCATAGAGATCAAATCAATAATACCTTCTTCTGTATAAGAGAGAGGCCTAGGGTCATGATATTGGGCATCTAGCATACTGGGATAAATGGCTTCCACATTTGTTCAATTGAATTACCTTGATTCACAAACAAGGTCACAGAGGTCAAATGCATCACAATTTTCCAAATAACCATTAATCCCAGGATGTTTCTTCAAGGACATCTATGAGTTATCTGTTGAAACTTCCACCATACACAAACTGTATCATCACGGGGAACAATAGAACACATCATACAGTATATGAAGTATCTTTCATAGTCGTATAGCAACTCTGCTAGTATTCTGTAATTAAAAGTGATGTTTATTTTGCAAAAGGCTAGAGGGAGACAAGCAGGATGCATTTCTGTCTAATGTGTTTTGGTGTCATTCCAGGTGCTGAGGATTAAAGAGGACCAGTATGGCTGTTTGTGTTTGGCTGACCTTGAAGCCAAGTTACAGGTAAAAAGTTGACAGTGGTAATGTATTTCTCACTGGTTGTGTAGTAGATGTCACACTTTCTCATTAAGGAAGCTGTTCTAGTTCAGTAGATGTCACACTTTCACTTTAAGGAAGCTGTTGTAGTTCAGTAGATGTTACACTTTCTCATTAAGGTCAGGTGTGTAGCTCAGTAGATGTTACACTTTCTCATTAAGGTCAGCTGTGTAGCTCAGTAGATGTTATACTTTCTCCCTTAAGGCAGCTTGGTTTGGATTCCCCTGCAAGATATTAAAAGATCTAGGATCACAAATCCCTTGGGTACTAAATAATATGTTTCATTGGAAAGTTTGAACTTAACTTTAGTGAAGTGATTTGAAGATAAATACCATGTCATAGAAGAGTTTGCCCATTTCAGGTCCTAGTTATATATGGTTATGTCCAATTGTTGTGTCATTTCACCATGGATTGTACAATATCTGTTTCTACATAGCAATGGAAGACCAGCGACCGACAGCTGATTGGATGTTTGAGTGCGGCCTCAAACATCACAGGCATGCTGGTTGATGTTGATGCTGTAACCGTTTGTCTGCATCGTCACGGAGCTCTGGCCTTCTGGGACTACGCTACAGCAGCTCCTTATTTAAAGATTGACATGAACCCAGTTAGCACAAAGTAAGTTTTTAACTGACATGAACTCAGTCCTGTAGTGATGTGCTACTACACTTACAGACAGCTCATTCCTTACTGTACCTCTAATGATATGTTACTACCCTTACAGACAGCTCACTCCTTACTGTTCCTGTAGTGATGTGTTACTACCCTTACAGACAGCTCATTCCTTGCTGTACCTGTAGTGATATGTTACTAACATTACAGACAGCTCATTCCTTACTGTACCTGTAGTGATATGTTACTAACCTTACAGACAGCTCACTCCTTACTGTTCCTGTAGTGATGTGTTACTACCCTTACAGACAGCTCATTCCTTGCTGTACCTGTAGTAATATGTTACTAACATTACAGACAGCTCATTCCTTACTGTACCTGTAGTGATATGTTACTACCCTTACAGACAGCTCACTCCTTACTGTTCCTGTAGTGATATGTTACTACCCTTACAGACAGCTCATTCCTTACTGTACCTCTAATGATATGTTACTACCCTTACAGACAGCTCACTCCTTACTGTTCCTGTAGTGATGTGTTACTACCCTTACAGACAGCTCATTCCTTACTGTTCCTGTAGTGATATGTTACTAACCTTACAGACAGCTCATTCCTTACTGTACCTCTAATGATATGTTACTACCCTTACAGACAGCTCATTCCTTACTGTACCTCTAATGATATGTTACTACCCTTACAGACAGCTCATTCCTTACTGTACCTCTAATGATATGTTACTACCCTTACAGACAGCTCACTCCTTACTGTTCCTGTAGTGATGTGTTACTACCCTTACAGACAGCTCATTCCTTACTATTCCTGTAGTGATATGTTACTAACCGTACAGACAGCTCATTCCTTACTGTTCCTGTAGTGATATGTTACTAACCTTACAGACAGCTCATTCCTTACTGTACCTGTAGTGATATGTTACTGACATTACAGACAGCTCACTCCTTACTGTTCCTGTAGTGATGTGTTACTACCCTTACAGACAGCTCATTCCTTACTGTATCTGTAGTGATATGTTACTACCCTTACAGACAGCTCATTCCTTACTATTCCTGTAGTGATATGTTACTAACCTTACAGACAGCTCATTCCTTACTGTTCCTGTAGTGATATGTTACTAACCTTACAGACAGCTCATTCCTTACTACCCTTACAGACAGCATTCTTACTGTTCCTGTAGTGATATGTTACTACTTACAGACAGCTCATTCCTTACTACCTGTAGTGATATGTTACTAACCTTACAGACAGCTCATTCCCTTGCTGTACCTTACAGACAGCTCATTCCTTACTGTACCTGATGATGTTACTAACTTACTTACTCTAATGATATGACAGCTCATTCCTTACTGTTCCTGTAGTGATATGTTTACATTACAGACAGCTCATTCCTTACTGTTCCTGTAGTGATATGTTACTAACCTTTCTTACTGTTCCTACAGACAGCTCACTCCTTACTGTTCCTGTAGTGATGTGTTACTACCCTTACAGACAGCTCATTCCTTACTGTTCCTGTAGTGATATGTTAGTGATAACTTACAGACAGCTCATTCCTTACGTTACAGACAGCTCACTCCTTACTGTTCCTGTAGTGATGTGTTACTACCCTTTCAGACAGCTCATTCCTTACTGTTTCTGTAGTGATATGTTACTACCCTTACAGACAGCTCATTCCTTACTGTACCTCTAGTGATATGTTACTAACCTTACAGACAGCTCATTCCTTACCGTACCTGTAGTGATATGTTACTACCCTTACAGACAGCTCATTCCTTACTGTTCCTGAAGTGATATGTTACTACCCTTACAGACATCTCATTCCTTACTGTTCCTGTCGTGATATGTTACTACCCTTACAGACAGCTCATTCCTTACTGTTCCTGTAGTGATATGTTACTAACGTTACAGACAGCTCATTCCTTACTGTTCCTGTAGTGATATGTTTCTAACCTTACAGACAGCTCATTCCTTGCTGTACCTGTAGTAATATGTTACTAACATTACAGACAGCTCATTCCTTACTGTACCTGTAGTGATATGTTACTACCCTTACAGACAGCTCACTCCTTACTGTTCCTGTAGTGATGTGTTACTACCCTTACAGACAGCTCATTCCTTGCTGTACCTGTAGTAATATGTTACTAACATTACAGACAGCTCCATTCCTTATGATATGTTACTACCCTGTAGTGATATGTTACTACCCTTACAGACAGCTCATTCCTTACTGTTCCTGAAGTGATATGTTACTAACCTTACAGACAGCTCATTCCTTACTGTTCCTGTAGTGATATGTTACTAACCTTACAGACAGCTCATTCCTTACTATTCCTGTAGTGATATGTTACTAACGTTACAGACAGCTCACTCCTTACTGTTCCTGTAGTGATGTGTTTGCTATTTGACAGTGAGGACCAGCCTTACATTTATAAGGATGCCGTTTTCATCTCACCGCACAAGTTTGTTGGAGGAGTTTCCACTCCAGGTTTGTCTTATTTTCCTCAAATTTTCCCAAATATTTAGCCTGCCACTATCATAATATATAGTGGGCCAATTACCCCTGTGGTTCATTGTCTTTTGTCCATCTATACACCAACTACCCCTGTTATTTCTTAAAGTACTGGATGTTCCCATAGATGTGCTCATTCATTTTCATATCTGCCCAAGAAAATAAAATGGCTGACCAGAGACAAGTTTTTGGATTTTGACAGTAGTTATCATTATTTCTCTGAAAATCTTGTCAGATCTTTGTTTGATTTCATACGTACAATTCTTCATTATCAAATGATTAAACAGAAAAGAAGACAGAATGGAAAAGCAGAGAGAAAATCAGCCTTGCATAGAAACAATAATGATGATTGGTAGACACCAAGATCCCTCTGGGATCACTTATTAGGTAGTTAAACGTGTTTGATTTTCACATTATATTGATCTGTTTGTTTACAGATTTGTTACTTCCTACTCTCAACAGATTTCCCATATGAAACAGATAAAGAGTTGTTGCGAGTTACTTCAGGATTGTGATATAAACATCCCACATTATTATGTTGATTTGGATTTTTTTGTTTATTTCACAATTATGTTGATTCCTACAATCAACACATTTCCTATATGGGATAAAAAGTTGTCATATAAACAAAAAATATTGACTTTATATTCCATTACTATCCACATTTAAAAAGACATGTTCTCTACATGAAGTAATACCATTAACTTCTACACCCCATTCACAATGGTGGTCATCAATCAAGATGTCAAAGGTCATGCACACTTGACCTCATTAAAACAATTTGGCACAAGATACCTCATGGTAATCTTCACTGATATAGTTGATAGTCATGTTAGCAAAGTAATGGTGAGTATTGAGATCTTGTTCCACTTTCATAAAGTGTCTAATTTTAATGTTGAAAGGTGTTTTGGTGGCTAAAAAGAACCTCTTCCGTAATATCGTACCAGAGAAGTGTGGTGGAGGATCTGTGTTTTATGTAAGTATACCTTTTAACAATGTCTATGTCAGTTTAAGCAGTCAGATCCTAATGCTAAATCACATGTTGACATTGTCAGCTGTAGCAGTTGAGTTCCAATACTAAATCACAGGTTTATATTGTCAGTTTTAGCAGTCAGGTCCTAAATCACATGTTGACATTTTCAGCTATAGCAGTTAGGCCTTAATGCTAAATCACATGTTGTCATTGTCAACTGTAGCAGTCAAGTTGCAATGCTATCTAAATCACAATTTTTCATTGTCAGCTGTAGCAGTCAAGTTCTAATGAAGCTATATATTTACATTTGACAGGTTAGAAGAGATGGACATCGATACCTACAGGAGCCAGAGCTAAAAGAAGAGGGTGGCACACCCGCTATTGTCGAATCTATTAGGGCAGGACTCGTGTTTCAGCTGAAGGAAGCTGTCACTGCTGAGGAAATCATGGCTAAGGAACATGATCTTTACAAGTAAATGCTCATGGCTTAAACAATTTCTTTTGGCAAGTCATGATTATCCTTATTTTGACTCTGTGGCGTCTTGTTGCAGTCATTTGTTACATCAGTGGAAATTTGTGGCAGATGTGTCACATCTATGGTATTCTGGGGCAGTCCTGTCACATCTGTATACCGGTATTCTGAGGCTGTCTGTCACATGAGTGCATTTTGAGGCAGTCCTGTTACATTTAATGCAATTCTGAGGCAGTTCTGTCACATCAGCAGAACTCTTAGGCAGTTCTGTCACATCAGCAGAACTCTGAGGCAGTCCAGTCACATCAGTAGAACTCTGAGGCAGTCCTGTCACATCAGTAGAACTCTGAGGCAGTTCTGTCACATCAGTAGAACTCTGAGGCAGTTCTGTCCCATCAGTAGAACTCTGAGGCAGTCCTGTCACATCAATAGAACTCTGAGGCAGTCCTGTCACTTCAGTAGCATTCTGAGCTGTCACATCAGTAGAATTTTGAGCTGTCACGTCAGTAGTACTCTTGAGGCAGTCCTGTCACATCAGTAGAAGTCTGAGGCAGTCCTGTCACATCAGTAGAACTCTGAGCTGTCACATCAGTAGAACTCTTAGGCAGTCCTGTCACATCAGTAGAACTCTGAGGCAGTCCTGTCACATCATTAGCATTCTGAGGCAGTTCTGTATCATCAGTAGCATTTTGAGGCAGTAATGTCACATCAGTGGCATTCTGAGATGTCACACCAGTAGAACTTTGAGCTGTCACATCAGTAGCATTCTGAGACAGTCCTGTCACATCAGTAGAACTCTGAGGCAGTCCTGTCACATCAGTAGAACTCTGAGGCAGTTCTGTATCATCAGTAGCATTCTGAGGCAGTAATGTCACATCAGTGGCATTCTGAGATGTCACACCAGTAGAACTCTGAGCTGTCACATCAGTAGCATTCTGAGACAGTCCTGTCACATCAGTAGAACTCTGAGGCAGTCCTGTCACATCAGTAGAACTCTGAGCTGTCACATCAGTAGAACTCTGAGGCAGTCCTGTCACATCAGTAGAACTCTGAGCTGTCACATCAGTAGAACTCTGAGGCAGTCCTGTCACATCAGTAACATTCTGAGGCTGCTAAGGCTATTGTTACATTAACAGAAGCTCTGAAGTTGAGGTATTCCTTGGTGTTATTTGTCATTTACCTTTATTGTTCATTTTCTAACATTATGTAAGATGTCAAGAAAAGACATAGGACGATTGATTTCTTTTCAAGAAAGAAATTACACTACAAATATTTTATGAGTATTTCAAAGAAGGTAGAAATATTAAATAAACATACTGATGCAGAGAACTGATAAGTACATTGGATATTACAGAAAAGCGTGTGAGATGTGGAGCGACTGTGATAATTTGGTGATTCTAGGTAACCCCATCAACAACAACAGACTTCCTATCTTCTCCTTCCTGGTGTATCATCCCGCTGCCGGTCGTTTCCTCCATCATAACTACGTCGCCGCTGTGCTTAATGATCTGTTTGGTATTCAAGCTAGGGGAGGATGTGCATGTGCAGGGCCTTATGCCATGGTAAGTTTGATATATACAGGGCCTAATACCATGGTAAGTTTGATATATACAGGGCCTAATACCATGGTAAGTTTGATATATACAGGGCCTAATACCATGGTAAGTTTTATATGTACAGGGCCTAATACCATGGTAAGTTTTATATGTACAGGGCCTAATACCATGGTAAGTTTTATATGCACAGGGCCTAATACCATGGTAAGTTTGATATATACAGGGCCTAATACCATGGTAAGTTTGATATATACAGAACATTTTGCCATGGTAAGTGTATTCAATTTGAATTTAGCTGAAGTTTTTCATTCAAATTTTATTATTCCTAAATATCCAAGTTTCATTTGAAACATCACTTAAGGAGGGTATTAATTTCTGAAATGAGTATTTGTCAGATGACCATTAAGGTTCATGGGCCTCTTGTTTTAATTTAAGGTATGATGTATGAGCTGTCATCAGATTGTCTTATCTGTTTCATTATTTTGTGGCCAAACATTGTAAACCTTCAGTGACCTAGTTCCACTAACCTGGGTACCCTCCCACTGACTATGATATACTTTCTTGTCTGTTCATTTGTGGACACTTGAGTTTATAGATGAAATCAATGAAGAAAGATGTTACATGATTTCACTTTAAAACTGATATATTTTCATATTTTTTACTGAATATTTTTACTTTACATGTCCAGGTTATAATATTTCATTATGATGTTATTGCAGAATTCCCTTAGAGTGGCCCTAAATCCATTTTTTGATATTGCATTGTGATAGTATTATAAATTTCCCTTTGAGTGGCCTCATATGCTGACTATATTATTTCATTGTGATGGTACTGTAAATGTCCTTTTGAGTGGCCCCATGTTCAGGTTGTGATATTTTTTGGTACTGTAAATTCACCCTTAAATGGCCCAAATATCCATTGGCAGGATTTCAGATTTCTTAACTCTTTCAAAACATTAAACAAATGAAATTTTTCATCCAGATGATGGAATACAATTTAAATTATGCTGATGTTGTTTGTAAAGTCACACACACCCTTGTAATATTTGTGATAGGACTTGATTGGTTTGGATGAGAAGACAGCAACACAGATAGAAGACTTGCTAGCAGAAGACGGTAGACTGGACAGGACTCATCTCCGGCGTTATCGTGAATATTCACCACGCGAAATCATCAGGTATCATGTGATAACTATTACTATATATGTATGTTGATTGTCTTATTTATAATCTGCACACTGTAGGACTTCTAGATATCTACTTAACATCACAAACTATGTGATTCTACTAAACAAGACAAACTTCTAGATATCTACTTAACATCACAAACTATGTGATTCTACTAAACAAGACAAACTTCTAGATATCTACTTAACATCACAAACTATGTGATTCTACTAAACAAGACAAACTTCTAGATATCTACTTAACATCACAAACTATGTGATTCTACTAAACAAGACAAACGTCTAGATATCTACTTAACATCACAAACTATGTGATTCTACTAAACAAGACAAACTTCTAGATATCTACTTAACATCACAAACTATGTGATTTCTACTAAACAAGACAAACTTCTAGATATCTACTTAACATCACAAACTATGTGATTCTACTAAACAAGACAAACTTCTAGATATCTACTTAACATCACAAACTATGTGATTCTACTAAACAAGACAAACTTCTAGATATCTACTTAACATCACAAACTATGTGATTTCTACTAAACAAGACAAACTTCTAGATATCTACTTAACATCACAAACTATGTGATTTCTACTAAACAAGACAAACTTCTAGATATCTACTTAACATCACAAACTATGTGATTTCTACTAAACAAGACAAACTTCTAGATATCTACTTAACATCACAAACTATGTGATTCTACTAAACAAGACAAACTTCTAGATATCTACTTAATATCACAAACTATGTGATTCTACTAAACAAGACAAACTTCTAGATATCTACTTAACATCACAAACTACTAGACTTTTTAAGTAACATTTGTGTTTTATACAGACCAGACTTAGTGAGAATGACATAAGCTTATTTTTGTGTTTTATACAGACCAGACTTAGTGAGAATGACATTAGTTAACTATTTCGTTTTTTTTACAGAGGAGACTAAGTGAGAATGACATAAGCTAGCATTGTGTTTTATACAGACCAAGTTTAGTTAGAATGACATGAGCTAACTTTTGTGTTTTTTGAAAGAGGAGACTTTGTGAGAATGACATAAGCTTATTTTTGTGTTTTTTACAGACCAGGATTTGTGAGAATCAACCTACCATACTTTTTACAAAAGGACACATTTGAATTTGTGATGGAGGCAGTAAAACTGACTGCAGAACATGGCTGGAAGCTGTTGCCTCAAGTAAGTCTGGAAATGTTTAGAAGAGATACACAGTGAAATTGGAAATACTGTTTAATAAACTGAACATGTATGATCTCTAATATTATATTAAACAAGCCTTGATAAGTCAGAATTCAACTCCACCCAGACCTACATAATTTTATCTCTGATATTTTGAAATACCATTTGATCAAAATTAAATCAAAATCACTGTTCAAATGTCAATACACTAGTAAGTTGTGGTGTTACTTTAATTGAAAGTTAGGTTTTAGTCCCAATCAATGATAAATCAATATGTTGCTTTCCATATTTTCCGATTATAAGCCGCACCTATTTTCCTCGTGAGTTTGGCATGTGACTTAAATGCCAGTGAGGCTTATATGTGAATGAAAAAAAATCAGCAAGATGAAGAGAAAAAAGGAAGCATACCAGTTCACCAGTACGAGACGGCACTGAGATTTTTTATGAGTACCTGTCCGTCATGTGTTTGTGACGTAACAGATTGTCTCGAACCGTCATTTGCAATCGTATACTGGATAATTTGAAGATTGAAATAAGAGTAACTATCTCATGGATCTAATTAATCATACCCTTTAATATGAATCACAACAAAATTTTTTGGACTTTCATGGTTACTTCGAAGCCAAAACAGATGTTTACAATAGCCTTTAACATCCTGGGATCGATAGGTCATAGGGTTATTGGTAAATTTCTAGAATGACCGCCATGCTTGTTTACGATATGAATGGCTTCATGTAACTTACATGAGGAAATAATAGTGGACTATAAGAATTTGGTCATCATGCAAGGGCCTTCGTCAATATTTAACAGACTCCAATGGAGAGATTTTTTTAGTAAATTGTACTTAAAGTCAGGCCCTCTATCTGTGCGTAGACAATATGTGAAGGCACCCAAGCCAAATGAATTTGATATTTGCTATTTTATGTTTTTTGAAATACGTCAATAAAATAAAGGATTATCTGTGTATAATTCATTTGTAAACTTTATTAAATGTTTCACTGATAATCTTGATAAGTTGCTCTCTGTTGTCTGTCCTATCAACAAACTTTGGTCAATATAATGGCTACCACTTTGTAAGAAAGGGTGCAGCTTATATTCTGGTTTTGCTAATATGTGGATCAAATAGAAAAAATCAGTAAAAACCAGTTCTGCGGCTTATATACTGATGCAGCTTATAAATGGAATATACAGTAATTTGAAAACTGCATTAAGCCAGTCGTTGACAGTTGGTCCAGATCTACCAGGTGATGTTACTAAACAGTAACAAGTATGGGTGGGCATATTACTAGATATATACGGTAACAAAAATACAACAGAAATCAAATTCTGGTATCACATTATGATAAAGTTTTGAGGAATAAAACTACATTTTCACACATTTTGAGAACTGTTGATAACACAGTAAGTTAGACGGACATCTTATTTGTACAAAACAAAATGTCAGTAAACAACATCCAGTAAAATAGGATGTGGACTTGTCCTAGCAGATTGTGTTTCTCTGATTTAATTTCATTTCCCATCTTAAAATCAGCCAAGCTTGTTTTTGCCTTTAAATGATTTACCAGAGTCAGACCAGTCATGTTTGTTGAGGTAGACAAATTCTTCATTTTTTTTTTTTTTTGACAGTACATGTTCAATCCAGAAACTGGGGAATGGCGACAAAAAAATTTTCAGGTAAGATTTGCAGTGATTAAAATAGAGAATTTTTACTTCTACCAATGGAATAAGAAAAGACAAGATTTTACAATGAGTTTCATGATGATGGAAATGTACACCCTTTCAGTCATTGTGTATGGGAACTACACATGGAAACATGGGTAAGTCACACTCAGAGCTATATACTAAAACTCCACCAGACCTCTCATTCTCAGGAACAAAACAAGTTTTTATCCAATGTAATAACTATATCAACATAATTTTGCTACTGATCTGAAACAGCAGAGTGCAATTAAAAGGGCTACGTTTATTTAGTCACCCAATGCACTTCAAGGAATGAAATTCTACAAAGCCTTTTATTAAAAATTTGGTTTGTTTCAATTAAAAAAATTAAATGACTACATGATTCTGTTTCACATATACCAGTAATTCATTTTTTTTCTTCAAAAAAGGTCTTCAAGGATAGAAAATGGTTGGGCCATATACAGTACAGCTCAGGGGAGATGAAGTACAGAGTACCCCCACCTGTTGTCAAAGGTCCATTACCTACAGACTACCAAGTAAGTAAAATCATACAGGGTACTCCACCTAATATCTAGGCTTCATTACCTACAGAATACCAAGTATAACAAAACAGGTTACTCCACCTAATATCTAGGCTTCATTACTGCCACAGACTACCAAGTAAGTAAAACCATAAAGGTTACCCCAAGTAATATCTAGGCTTCATTACCTACAGACTACCAAGTAAAACAAAACAGGGTACTCCACCTAATATCTAGGCTTCATTACCTACAGACTACCAAGTAAGTAAAATCATACAGGGTACTCCACCTAATATCAGGACTCCATTATCTACAGACTGCCATGTATAACAAGACTTGGTACTCCACCTAATGTCAGTGCTTCATTATCTACAGACTGCCATGTATAACAAGACTTGGTACCTCACCTAATATCTGGACTCCATTATCTACAGACTGCCATGTATAACAAGACTTGGTACCTCACCTAATATCTGGACTCCATTATCTACAGACTGCCATGTATAACAAGACTTGGTACCCCACCTAATATCAGGACTCCATTATCTACAGACTGCCATGTATAACAAGACTTGGTACCCCACCTAATATCAGGACTCCATTATCTACAGACTGCCATGTATAACAAGACTTGGTACCCCACCTAATATCACAGCTTCATTACCTACAGAATGCAAGGTATAAAAGTACAGGGAATAGGTATGGTTTTTTTTGTTCACTGTACAATGAAAAAAATTGCATAGATGTAAGATTATACAGTGGTGTTTTGATTTCCTTTTCAGGATTGCCTTCAGAAAGCCAAGGATCTTTTCAGGCAAGCAGAGAAGGTGAGTTACCCCTATGGTATCTGAGATGATATAGTGATATCAACTATCATAGCAAAAGTCTCTTAGTTAATACAGTTATGAGGTCACACAAGGCACCACAGGTTATGGGTATAGTTTGCTTAAGTACAGTAGATCAGATAATCCTGAAAACTCAGAATCTGGATGGAAATGTTTGGAAACATCGTCCTTGTCAGCACTTTTGTGGCTTCATTTTGAAGGATTTTGCTCAAACTTCACACACCTATTGAGGATTATTATATTCTGGATGACTTAGAATTTATGGGTGGTAGGGTCAAGGTCAGATCACTTTTGATATTTTTAGAAAATCCTTGTCAGCACTCTAGTTGCTTCATTTCTTAAGGGATTTCAATCAAACTTTATATACATGTGAAGGACCATTTCATATTGGACAAATCTGAGTTACAAAGTTGGAGGGTCATAACCACCACCACTATTTTTTGAAAATAAGTGTTCTAGCAGCTTCACTATGATGTCTTGTTTATAAGTGATTTATCAGATTTGTGATGACAACACTTGAATCACACACTGTCCAACCATCAAGTAAATAAACTTATTGTCAAGCTTATCATTTTCTAATTGTCTGAATAATGTAGATATTTCAGCTGCTTTTGGAATTAACATTTTTCAGATTGTTTGAAGGTTCAAATCTTTTAGCTTTCCAATACATCTGAAAATTCAAACACTGCATTACATTTACAAATGATATGGTCAAGGATAAACAGGACCCTTTCTCACTCCTGTCGGTGTTATTGTTGTTATTTAAATTATTTTGTGGATTTTAAAACAGGATTTGATGTTGTTTTCAGACAAAGTACCAGCTGTCTGATCACACACAGATGTTTGATGAGCAGACCCAGACTTACAGGTGGTTCTTACTGCCAAGTGAAGCCGCCCTGTGTCTTAATGGGCACTCAGCAACAGCTAAAGATGATGGCTTTGTATTGCCGTTTTGTCCTCCAACTATTCGTGAACGTGTAGGACTACCATCGTTTGTGGCTGGTGGACAGGAGGAGCAAGTAGAAGTGGGTCCACTCACACAACAAGATGGTGTAGAGAGTTCACTTGAAAACAAAAATTGCCTCCCTACAGAGGCAGCAACTGCAGGGTTTAGCGAGAAAATGATGAAGGCTCTAAACAGTGGATTTCAGATTGACAAGCGTAAATTTGAAGAGGTTACTGGCAGCAAGTCAGAGGAAGAGGTAACATATCAAGAGGGATGTGATAAGTGCGAGGAGGAAGGTATCACTGATCACCTTAAGGAGAGTGTCAACAGACCCCAAGAAACTGGAGCTATCGAGATGTTGTGTAAAGAAACAGTGATATGTTCAGCAGCAAAGCGACGAAAAATGGAAGAAAGTTCAAATGCTGACTTTAACATGCAGGACACACAAAGGTCACAAGGCTTACTAAGGTCATCAGACACACAGAAGACAGAGGACACTAAAGAGACACCAGACACACAGAAGACACAGGATACTCAAAAGACACAGGACACACAAAAGACACCAGACACACAAAAGACACAGGACACACAGAAGACACAGGACACTCAAAAGACACCAGACACACAGAAGACACAGGACACTCAAAAGACACAGGACACACAAAAGACACCAGACACACAGAAGACACAGGACACTCAGGGGTCACAGGACACACAAAAGACACCAGACACACAGAAGTTGCAGGAAAAACAGAAACCAATAGATAGCAAAAATAAATCTCCTAAAGGTTTGAAAGAGAAGAAGAGTGGCTGGTTTTCTCCTCCCAAAGTGATATTTACACCATTCCTCAAGGTTTGTTTCCATCTTTATTCTTACCTTAGTACATTTAGTTTGCTGGTATGGATTACTAAACATTACTGAATCAATAGTCTGAAAAGTTATGACCACACATGTCACAACAACGCACCCAGTGTTATCACAATAGTCACCCCTATTAGTGGTCAATGTTACAACCACACGCCCAGTGTTATCACAATAGTCACCCCTGTTAGTGGTCCATGTCACATCAATATGGTCAGTGTTATCACAATAGTCACCCCTGTTAGTGGTCCATGTCACAACAACACACCCAGTGTTGTCACAATAGTCACCCTTATTAGTGGTCAATGTTACAACCACAGTACCACAGTAATCACTCCTAATAGTGGTCATTATCACATGGCTATTTAAGTGTTATCACAATAGTTACCCCTATGAGTGGTCCATGTTACAACCACAGTACCACAGTTATCACAGTAATCTCTCCTATTAGTGGTCCATGTCACCCCAACATGGCTATATTAATATTAACACAATAGTTACCCCTAAAAATAGTCACACCAACATGCCCAGTGTTATCACAATATTCACCCCTATTGGTGGTCAATGTCACGTCAACACAGCTAGTGTTATCACAATGTTCACCCCTGTTAGTGGAACATGTCGCCCCAACAGGCCCAGTGTTATCACTATTAGTGGTATATGTCACATCAACACAGCAAGTTTTATCACAATAGACATCCCTATTAGTGGTCAATGTCACATCAGAATGGTTGTATTAATATTATCAAAACAGTCATCCCTATTAACACAATATTCACCCCTATTAGTGGTCCATATCACACCAACATTGCTATATTAATATTATGACAATATTCACCCCTGATAGTTATCCATGTCACATCAATGTAACTAATAGTCAACCTACACAATTCACAACATCCAAAATGATAATATAAGAGGTAAGGTTTATGTCTCCATGAGCCCCTACTCACTTGCTTTTATATCTATTTCTCCATATCGCAGGCTGTGACAGAGTTTGATATGATACAGAATGGAGACAAGGTCCTCGTATGTCTGTCGGGTGGTAAGGATTCACTTAGCCTTCTCCACACCATACGTCAATACAAGTTCTACTGCCGAGGAAAGGTAAACTTCAGTTCTACTGTCTGAACAAGAAAAACATCAGTACAAATTTTACTGTAGAGCCAAGGTAAACATCAGTACAAGTTTTACTGTTGAGCCAAGGTAAACATCAGTATAAGTGATACTGTTGAGCCAAGGTAAACATCAGTACAAGTTTTACTGTTGAGCCAAGGTAAACATCAGTACAAATTTTAGTGTTGAGCCAAGGTAAACATCAGTACAAATTTTACTGTTGAGCCAAGGTAAACATCAGTAGGTTTTACTGTTCAGCCAAGATAAACATCAGTACAAGTTTTACTGTTGTAAACATCAGTACAAGGTTTACTGTTGAGCTAAGGTAAACATCAGTACAAGGTTTACTGTTGAGCCAAGGTAAACATCAGTACAAGGTTTACTGTTGAGCCAATGTAAACATCAGTACAAGTTTTACTGTTGAGCCAAGGTAAACATCAGTACAAATTTTACTGTTGAGCCAAGGTTAAACATCAGTACAAATTTTACTGTTGAGCCAATGTAAACATCAGTACAAATTTTACTGTAGAGCCAATGTAAACATCAGTACAAGTTTTACTATTGAACCAAGGTAAAACATCAGTACAAGTTTTACTGTTGAACCAAGATAAACATCAGTACAAGTTTTACTTTTGAACCAAGACAAACATCAGTACATGTTTTACTGTTGAGTCAATGTAAACATCAATACAAGGTTTACTGTAGAACTAAGGTAAACATCAGTACAAGGTTTATTGTTGAGCCAAGGTAAAACATCAGTACAAATTTTACTGTAGAGCCAAGGTAAACATCAGTACAAGTTTTACTGTTGAACCAAGGTAAACATCAGTACAAGGTTTACTGTTGAGCCAATGTAAACATCAGTACAAGTTGTACTGTTGAGCCAAGGTTAAACATCAGTTTAATTTATTGATTTTTTGTCATTCCTATCTATCTGTGCTTCTCTGCAGGGCCTAACATTTGAATTTGGAGCTGTAACCGTTGACCCGCAGACACCATCATATGACCCACGACCTCTGAAGGCCTATCTGGCGAGTCTTGGGGTACCTTACTTCTATGAAACACAATGTAAGTAACATGTCAGAAAAACTCGTTTTTTGCCTGAAACCTGTACAGTCATCTGGGAAAGAAGTGCAAAGATGGGTGAAATTTGGGATTTTGGAGATGCCTTGGCAGATTCTTACTGAGTTGGATGTGAAATATCCTGAGGAAAGACTAATAACATTTTGTATAAATGATGACTTCTTAAGGTTATAGGGGTTAGAGTAGGATTGAGTTTGTAGAAATGATATCGGATTTTGAAGATGTAAGTTTATTATCGCTATTTCTCAAGAAGTATTGGATAAATATTTCTCATTTTTGATATGTGGTTTACCTTTTAATTTGGGATTGATTAGGAAAATAGAATTGCAAACAGGTGACCGTCTTTTATTGTGACAATGAAATGTTTTTAATGCTCTTTCTTGAGAAGTATTGAATGGATCTCTCTCAAATTTCATATGTATATTTCCCTTGGTCCCTAGGTGTGCCATTTTGATTTTGGGACTGATCAGAAAAACAGAATGGCTTATGATGGCCATCTTGGATTTATTCAACGAAGTTTGTTATTGCTATTGCTATGAATGGCCTACAAGTGGCCATCTTGGAATTTGACTTTGTAAGATTATTATCGCTACTTCTTAAGAAGAAATGCATAGATCCCTCTCAAATTTCATATATAGGTTCCTTAAAGATTGTTGCCTTTATTTCTTAAAAAGTTCTGAATGGATCTCTCTCAAAATGCATATGCATGTTCCCTTTGGTTTTTACTTGTGCCCCTTTGATTTAGGGACTGTTCAGAGGAAGCAAACTGGCTTGCAGGTAACCATTTCTGATTAAGCAGGGAAACATTATCGCTATTTCTGCAAAGGAATGTTCAAATGTCTTATCATCAAGAGTAGAAACAGAGAAGGGAAAAGAAGGAAAAAGATCCAACTTTCAGAGAGCAAATAAAGATCAAACATTGGTGGACACAAATATCCCTCTGGGATCTCTTGTTAAGTTGATTAGTTGGAGTGGGAACCAAAAAATGGGAAATGCTTTGAAATTTTTTTTTACTCTGTGATGGGATGGGGGTTGATTGTTTCACCCTTGGGTACTCCTGTTGCACTTTATGGCAAAAATTATTTGTTATTGTTCGTTCTTTTCCTCAAACGCTTATAAAAATCAATACACCATTTCTTATACAAAAGTATAGAAAAAAAACTAAATTTAGGGATATTATTTCAGTGAAATTTTGTAATACCGGTATTTGTTTTTTGATGGTCTAGGTATCATGGAGACTGCTCAGAACTTGGACTATGAATGTGCATCTATCTGTAGCTTCTGTAGTCGTATGAAGAGAGGCCGAATCTATGCCTGTGCTCGACGAGAGGGATATAACGTTCTAGCTCTGGGCCAACACCTTGATGATCTGAGTGAAAGGTTAAGATTCATCCTTATTTGCTATTTTCTTTTTATCTTCAAATATAGTTTTTTGTCACATTACTTATGTTTATTTGGTTTTTAGCCCACCATTATCAGATGGTGGGCTATTCAAATTGCCCTGGGTCTGTGGTCTGTTGTCCCTCCATCGTCCTTCCCTAAACAATTTTTAGCCCGCCATATTCAAATCACTTTGCATCCATGGTCTGTGGTCTGTCCTGCTGACAGGCAGCCATCTTGAATTTTGCATTGTAAAGATTGTTATCCCTATTTCTTAAGAAGTACTTAATGGGTCTCTCTCAAATTTCATATGTATGTTCCCTTTGTTCTTTCTTTGTGTCTGTTTGATTTTGAGACTGATCAGAAGATACAAAATGGCTTCCAGGCGGCCATTTTTTATTTGGCAGGTAAAGGTTATCATCGCTATTTGTACAATTAAAAAATATTCAAATGTCTTATCATTAAGAGCTAAAACTGAGAAGAGAAAAGAAGGAAAAGATCAAACTTTCAAAGACCAAATAAAGATCAAATAAAAGTGGGTGCCAAGATCCCTCTGGGATCTCTTGTATGTGTATTAATGAGGTAAAAGTCCACCTATTATTCAGATGGACCAACCTCCATACAAACAAATGCTGAATAACAGTTTAATTAAGTAACTGGCTTTAAGAAAGGAAACTCATACTGTGATGAGTTAAGGTAACTCACTTCAAGGAAAGGGAGCTTTTACTTTGGTGTGTTTACAGAGCTTACATTATGATATGTTTAAGCTCATATTGTGTTTAAGGAGCACATACTGTGATGTGTTTAGGTAAGCCTCCGTATGGAAAGGGAACTTATGCTATGATGTGTTCAAGGAGATCATACTATGATGTGTTTAAGGAGATCATACTATCATGGTTTTCAGATATAAATTTTGACTGAGATGATCATCAGTGATACAAATAACGTTGGGTTTGTTGTATTACAGTTTCCTCATGTCGGTCTTCCATAATGGTCTGTTACGAACAATGAAGGCACACTACACAGTAGGGTAAGTTATAACAGTCACCATACATACTACACAGTAACACTGTCACTATATACACTACACAGTAACACAGTCACTATACACACTACACAGTCACCATACATACTACACAGTAACACTAGATACTACACAGTAACACAGTCACACTATACATACTACACAGTAACACAGTCACTATAAATACTACACAGTAACACAGTCACTATACATACTACACAGTAACACAGTCACTATACATACTACACAGTAACACAGTCACTATATATACTACACAGTCACACTATATACTACACAGTAACACAGTCACTATACATACTACACAGTAACACAGTCACTATACATACTACACAGTAACACATTCACTATACACACTATACAACAACACAGTCACCATACATACTACACAGTAACACAGTCACCATACATACTACACAGTAACACAGTCACTATATACACTACACAGTAACACAGTCACTATATATACTACACAGTCACACAGTCACTATACACACTACACAGTCACTATACATACTACACAGTAACACAGTCACTATATATACTACACAGTCACTATACACGCAACACAGTAACACAGTCACTATACATACTACACAGTAACACAGTCACTATACATAGTATACAGTAACACAGTCACTATACATACTACACAGTAACACAGTCACTATACATACTACACAGTCACTATATATACTACACAGTCACTGTATATACTACACAGTCACTATATATACTACACAGTCACTATATACACTAAACAGTAACACAGTCACTATATATACTACACAGTCACTATATATACTACACAGTCACTGTATATACTACACAGTCACTATTTGTACTACACAGTCACTATACATACTACACAGTCACTGTATATACTACACAGTCACTATATATACTACACAGTCATGCAGTCACTATATATACTACACAGTCACTATATATACTACACAGTCACTATATATACTACACAGTCACTATACATACTACACAGTCACTGTATACACCACACAGTAACACAGTCACTATACACACTGCACAGTCACACAGTCACTATACATACTACACAGTCACTGTATATACTACACAGTCATGCAGTCACTATATATACTACACATTCACTATATATACTACACAGTCACTATATATACTTCAGTCACTATATATACTACACAGTCACTATATATACTACACAGTCACTATACATACTACACAGTCACTGTATACACTACACAGTAACACAGTCACTATACACACTACACAGTCATACAGTCACTATACACACTACACAGTCACACAGTCACTATACATACTACACAGTAACACAGTCACTATACACACTACACAGTCACACAGTCACTATACACACTACACAGTCACACAGTCACTATACATACTACACATTCACACAGTCACTGTATACACTACAGAGAAATAAATATTGTATTTTGGTTTACTCTGATGTGTTCACAGGAAAGAAGACCTACGTGTGATACGTCCTCTTGTATATGTTAGGGAAAAAGAGCTTCGCACATTTGCCGAACAGGTTTGTTACATTTTGAGATTGAAAATGTCTTACTTTAATAATGTGTTTCAGAATTCTAAATATGTTCTTAGTTTACTTGGTTCAAAGTACTGGTTAAGTACTGGTGTCCTACCAGGGTATCTGTAGTTGTCAATTTTTTTTCTTGACAAGAAACCCCATGGGCCTGAACAACATTCTTACTATAAAGACATATATTAAGTTCCCTACTCATTTGACCCTGAGCAGTGACATTGAAAGTGGGTCAAGGTAAATAATTTTAATAAATTTTGGAGCCTTTCATCCAAGTAAGTTAAAATAACCATTAACAATAGGTATGGGAGTTAATGTGCTCCTAAGTCTGTGGCTCATTAATGTATTCATAAAAAGATACATTGTAGCAGTGTAAACATTCCAGTGACACATTGTTCACAACAGCCGTGTGTAGTCTGTAGAAGTGTTTGTTTCATTGTTGTTTCACAACACATTGTTCACAACAGCCGTGTGTAGTCTGTAGAAGTGTTTGTTTCATTGTTGTTTCACAACACATTGTTCACAACAGCCGTGTGTAGTCTGTAGAAGTGTTTGTTTCATTGTTGTTTCACAACACATTGTTCACAACAGCCGTGTGTAGTCTGTAGAAGTGTTTGTTTCATTGTTGTTTCACAACACATTGTTCACAACAGCCGTGTGTAGTCTGTAGAAGTGTTTGTTTCATTGTTGTTTCACAACACATTGTTCACAACAGCCGTGTGTAGTCTGTAGAAGTGTTTGTTTCATTGTTGTTTCACAACACATTGTTCACAACAGCCGTGTGTAGTCTGTAGAAGTGTTTGTTTCATTGTTGTTTCACAACACATTGTTCACAACAGCCGTGTGTAGTCTGTAGAAGTGTTTGTTTCATTGTTGTTTCACAACACATTGTTCACAACAGCCGTGTGTAGTCTGTAGAAGTGTTTGTTTCATTGTTGTTTCACAATTTGATCTTTCATTTACAGAACAAACTGCCAGTTATAGCAGAGAATTGTCCTGCCTGTTTTGAGTCACCTAAGGTGAGTATAGACAGTGTACCACATAAACATAGGTGTCAACTTGTACAGTGTACCACACAAACATAGGTATAACGTCATACAGTGTACCACACAAACATAGGTATAAAGTCATACAGTGTACCACACAAACATAGGTGTCAACTTGTACAGTGTACCACACAAACATAGGTGTCAAGTTATACAGTGTACCACACAAACATAGGTGTCAACTTGTACAGTGTACCACACAAACATAGGTGTCAAGTTATACAGTGTACCACACAAACATAGGTGTCAACTTGTACAGTGTACCACACAAACATAGGTGTCAAGTTATACAGTGTACCACACAAACATAGGTGTCAACTTGTACAGTGTACCACACAAACATAGGTGTCAAGTTATACAGTGTACCACACAAACATAGGTGTCAACTTGTACAGTGTACCACACAAACATAGGTGTCAAGTTATACAGTGTACCACACAAACATAGGTGCCATCTTGTACAGTGTACCACACAAACATAGGTGTCAAGTTATACAGTGTACCACACAAACATAGGTGTCAACATGTACAGTGTACCACACAAACATAGGTGTCAACTTGTACAGTGTACCACACAAACATAGGTGTCAACATGTAGTGTACCACACAAACATAGGTGTCAACTTGTACAGTGTACCACACAAACATAGGTGTCATCTTGTACAGTGTACTACACAAACATAGGTGTCATTATTTACAGTGTACCACACAAACATAGGTATCAAGTTGTACAATGTACAACACAAACACAGGTATCAAGTTGTACAGTGTACCACACAAACATAGTGTCAAGTTATACAGTGTATCACGCAAACATAGGTGTCAACTTGTACAGTGTACCACACAAACATAGTGTCAAGTTATACAGTGTATCACGCAAACATAGGTGTCAACTTGTACAGTGTACTACACAAACATAGTGTCAAGTTATACAGTGTATCACGCAAACATAGGTGTCAACTTGTACAGTGTACTACACAAACATAGGTGTCAACATGTACAGTGTACAACACAAACATAGGTATCAAGTTGTACAGTGTACCACACAAACATAGGTATCAAGTTGTACAATGTACAACACAAACACAGGTATCAAGTTGTACAGTGTACCACACAAACATAGTGTCAAGTTATACAGTGTATCACGCAAACATAGGTGTCAACTTGTACAGTGTACCACACAAACATAGTGTCAAGTTATACAGTGTATCACGCAAACATAGGTGTCAACTTGTACAGTGTACTACACAAACATAGTGTCAAGTTATACAGTGTATCACGCAAACATAGGTGTCAACTTGTACAGTGTACTACACAAACATAGGTGTCAACATGTACAGTGTACAACACAAACATAGGTATAAAGTTGTACAGTGTACAACACAAACATAGGTATAAAGTTATACCATGTATAATACAAACATAGTTGTCATGTTATACAGTATACAACACAAACATCGATGTTGAGTTTACAGGTACACGATTTGTGATGCTTTGCAATTAATTTGTCTCATTTTCAAAAATCATGCACACCTGTAAATGATGGCAATTGTTGATTTCATAAATTAGGTCTTCTGTTTTTAGGAGAGACATCTACCAAACACTGCTGGCTGCCAAGGAAATTCTATATAATTTCTGTTTCAATCTATTTCAGGAGAGACATCGTATCAAACAGCTGCTGGCTGCCCAGGAAATTCTACATCCTCATTTGTTTCACAGCCTGCTGTCTGCTCTCAAACCTCTGATGGCCATCAATAGAACAAACATTCATATTGCAGAGATGTTAAGGTCACAGTTGCCAAGTGCGGACGACATGGAGATATAACGACATGTGTATGAGGAACTTTACATGTATAGTTAGGTCAATTGAGACAAAGTCTCATGGTGACCTTGTGTGATCAACTTCATCCAGCATCTTCTCAAAAACTCCTGCTCTGATTTCTACGAAATTTTGCAGAAACCTTCCTTGGCTTAAGGTGAATTAAAATTGTGAATTATACAGTCCCCACCCTCACAGGGGCCTGAGAAGTGGGGCCAAAAGCGGTTAAATTGACTCATATTTCAAAAATCTTCTTTTCAACATCCAGATATAGTAAAATCAAATACTCTGCATGAATGGAAGCATCTTCAGGTGCTTTACCAAAGTCGTGAATTTTTCATGGACCCAGGGTCTCATATTTCCCTATGGGGAGGGAGTTAAGATTACTATAGTTTAAATAGGAAAATTTGATTTTTGAGCATAATTTTTTTAACTTCCATTGAAAGTATTTCAAACTTGGTTAGGATTATGAGTGTAGGATGACGGCTTGATGGTATGCCGATATTGATCCTAACTGACCTCCCAGGGGCTGATGGATGTGGCTAAAAGGGGTCAGATTGACTCAGATTTCAAAAATCTTCTTAGTACACAGGTATGGTAGAATCAAATGCTTTTCATGAAAAGCATCTCAAGGTGCTTTAATTACCAATTTGATTTTGCAACTGCTTTACACAAACAGAACTTAAAATTTATGAGTTTCTGATACTGCACGGAATGTTCAAAATTTGAAATTATCAGATTTGTCGCACAACCATCTGCAAATTATATGGTTTGTGCATCTATTCATCGATTGTTAGATGACTGTTAAGGGCTATGACCCTTGTGTTGAGATATTTGTTGGAAATGACTTGGTAAAAATCATAAGTATCAGATTATTCAAGTTAAATAGTCACATTACACCAGCCCTCAGTTTGATGATACCTGTAAAGCTCACAGAACATTATCTAATATGTGCCAATTTGCAGCCATCTGATGCTAACCTTGGGTAAAAAACAGAGAACTGACTATGTTTCTTGGTGTCAAAGGACATTTTATCCCCACAAAGTGCCTGCAGAATGGGCAGTTCCTGTCTCTAATTTATCCCTCAAGAACATAGATCTTGAGAATGTGTTTTTAATAACATCTGTAGTTTGTGTATTTGTAATTAGCAGTATGTATATATGGTGTACAGGATTACACATGACAGGTTTATGAATTAAAACCAAAATTCTGAGTGATGAGTGTGACTTACAAATTTAAGTTATGATGTATTTATTTCATTGTGTAAATAAATGTGTCGATACCCAGACTCTTCAAGATCCGTGTCTTTATATTGATCCTGCAGAATTTTTCATGGACGAATGATGACATTATTTGACAGACTACAATACAATTGGTCGCAGGATGTTGCATTTTGGCTGTTCTAGATATGTGATAGTAATTTCAAAGTACATTAATTTTGAACAAAAAGTGTCAGAGTGATCTGAATGCACTCGCTTCAGTGTTACTGGCTTCTGTTAAAATGTGTGCTTGTGAGTTTTCAGAACATGTTAGGTATCAATTGACCAAGTATGGACATCTAAATAAATGACAAGCTCAGGTCTGGTTCAGATTTCATATGAGGTAGGTTACACCCCAGATATTGTCATTTACATATACAGTTATCAGAAATTCTTAGAGTTAAATGACCACTGGAAATAATACATACCAAATGAGAACCCGAACTGCATATTATCAATATACAACAACAAACTTTTATATCTGTTAAAGAGTAAATACTGGAAACAAAAAAATATGATAGAATGACAGCCAAGGGTAAGATTATATTCCCTATGCCATACAGAGAAATGGTAGTTGATGGATAAGGCTGCTAACAAATGATGTCAAAAGAAACTCCGTGTGGGATAGATCTTTATTTGTCCCTGATATCTTAATTTATCTTCGTTTGTAGAGGCAGGGCTCCAAATGAAATTCCTCTGGTGCATGTTTTGGAGGCTTACTCTTTTTAAAGTCAAACAGACAAAACATCTTGTTGGTGGTATCCTGAAAGTACACAACAAAATATGAGCTCAAATCTTGGGTTGGTGATTTTTTTTTGTATTGACTCATTGAAAATACCAAACAGTCATTATATTGAAGAGCATTTTATACATTGGTACTTCACTATCAGTGAAACAGAGAATTTAAGTTGATGGCGGCATGTCTGAACATTTTTAGCTAAAGGAATCAGCTTTGTACATGTATAAACAGTGATCCCAGAGGGACACAGCCAGGTAGGGGCTATTGAGTTCTTTAAAATCCTTGAGTTTGAGTAAAAAACATTTGGGCTGAAGCACCTTTGGATAATGAAGACTCAGTATTGAATTAAAACTTTGGCTTTAGGGTGTAAGGGACAGAGCCCAATAGGGGGTAATTTAAAACCATTTTTCTGTAGGAATGACAGGATTTTGTCTGAATTTGGTCTGAAGCATTCTTAGGTGAAGGAAACTTATTTGTGGATTGAAGGTTTAGGTCCATTTCCTTACGGACCTCTTGCTGTTTCAGGCAATACTTATCAATTTAAATCCTAGGCACCTTTGGACATTGGGGACTTAATTTTGTATGAACGGGCCCCTAGGAACAGAACAAAATTTTTAAGTTGTAATAGCAACAACAAAATCCTTCTTGTGGTCAGATTAAGTGAATTTGACAAAGTTGTTTAGGAGCTTTTTTGGGTGAGGGGAAACCATTTTAATACAAGGAGGGTATGGCCCACTAAGATTAAGAGAGGCTCAATCAGTGAAAACTTTGTTTGGTGTGCAGCCTCATTCAGTGAACGGGGGTCTGTATTTCATTTGTTTTCCCATGGAAGAAAGTGATGATGCAATAACACATTTCTATCCCATTCTTACCTCATTTAGTAGACGAAAGCCAAACTTGTCCATGGTTCTTTTGAAGTTGGCCAGATTCCTGATACGACTTGTTACTTCAGCCACTTTAAGGGTACCACTACAACGACAGGTGTTTATATTGACAGGGTACCACTATAACAACAGGTGTTTATATTGACAGGGTACCACTATAACAACAGGTGTTTATATTGACAGGGTACCACTATAACAACAGGTGTTTATATTGACAGGGTACCACTATAACAACAGGTGTTTATATTGACAGGGTACCACTACAACAACAGGTGTTTATATTGACAGGGTACCACTACAACAACAGGTGTTTATATTGACAGGGTACCACTACAACAACAGGTGTTTATATTGACAGGGTACCACTACAACAACAGGTGTTTATATTGACAGGGTACCACTACAACAACAGGTGTTTATATTGACAGGGTACCACTACAACAACAGGTGTTTATATTGACAGGGTACCACTATAACAACAGGTGTTTATATTGACAGGGGACTTTACACTTCTAAGGTGAGAAGTAAAATGTACACCTGGAACAGCCACCTAACTTTACATTTCTAAAGGTAAGAAGCATGATATACACCTGGAACAGTCACCTAACATTACACATTTTTTAGGTGGGAAATGTAATGTACCCCTGGACCTAATAGACAATCAGGTCTGAATTTTACCTAACTTTACATTTCTAAAGGTAAGAAGCATGATATACACCTGGTACAGCCACCTAACTCTACATTTCTAAAGGTAAGAAGCATGATATACACCTGGAACAGCCACCTAACTTTACATTTCTAAAGGTAAGAAGCATGATATACACCTGGAACAGCCACCTAACTCTACATTTCTAAAGGTAAGAAGCATGATATACACCTGGAACAGCCACCTAACTCTACATTTCTAAAGGTAAGAAGCATGATGTACACCTGGAACAGCCACCTAACTCTACATTTCTAAAGGTAAGAAGCATGATATACACCTGGAACAGCCACCTAACTCTACATTTCTAAAGGTAAGAAACATGATGTACACCTGGAACAGCCACCTAACTCTACATTTCTAAAGGTGAGAAGCATGATATACACCTGGAACAGCCACCTAACTCTACATTTCTAAAGGTGTGAAGCATGATATACACCTGGAACAGCCACCTAACTCTACATTTCTAAAGGTGAGAAGCATGATATACACCTGGAACAGCCACCTAACATTACACATTTTTTAGGTGAGAAATGTAATGTACCCCTGGATCTAATAGACAATCAGGTCTGAATTTTATAACTATCAGTAACGGATATATGTAACTGAACAGCCCAATAAAAAATCTTAAATCTCGGAATTGAATGCTGACAGCAGACATCCTGTTTAACATGTTTCTCTAGATGAGTAATTAGATAGAGTGCAGATAGTTACAACATTCTGCCCTGATTGTTTATTCCTTAGTGATCAAAAGGTACAGTACACAGAAACTCTGATGAGTTAAGGTTATGGAACGGCTCGGGTCGTATTCCATTGAGTTACACCCACTCGTAAATCACAATCAGATCCCCAGATACTAATAACCAGGTTATATTGAAGAACACCCACAGATATTGTACATCACAATCATGCACCCAGATACACATACCCAGGTTTGAGAACTCGGCTTGTCTCTGTCAGATAATCTGGCAGATTTTTCCCCATCAATGACAAACAGAACACAGCAACATCCACACTGTCCTTCTTCAGTGGCACCTACAATAATAGACAAGAACAGCTCTGCATATGATACAGCGTGGTGAAAATTGCACAAGAATTTCTTTCATGGTAAACCTAAAGAGGTCAATGCCAACTGAAAGTATATCAACATGATAGGCTTGAATTACACACCAGTTCAGCAGTTTACAAGATGTCATTCTCCTTTCATTATGTAATTTTCTGCAAACATGGAAGCTTACTCTTAATAGCAGGCAACTACATGGATACATTCATACTAAGGCATTGCTTGTTGAAAAGAAGTGTAAGGTTTTTAAGACATTTGACCCTTGTGGCTTGAAATTATGTCAAAGTCATTCATTTGAAATTTCATCTCAACATTCCACAGGATCATTGTCATGACAATGGACCTCTTAGTTATTGAGAAGAAAACTGTTTTAAGATTGTGATCTAAAAAGAGGACTAAGATCATTTATAATGAACAAAGTGGGTTACTGAAAAAATTTGTTTGAAGATTTTAATAAAATTGACCCTTGTGACTTGAGAGTGAGTCAAGGTCATTCATTTGAACAAAATTGGTAGCCTTCAATCTAGCAAGATTCAGGCAATATCGGTACCTGAGATCATTTGGTTATTGAGGAGATGTTACTTGAAGACCTCACAACATTTGACTCCTGTGACCTTGAAAGGGACTCTAGGTTATCCATTTGAAGACACTTGGCACACTTTTATTCCAGCAGGCTAAAGTGCAAATATCAGTACAATAGACTTTTTGGCTATTGAGAAGAAACTGTTTAAAGGGAAACATTGACACCATAAGCCACAAGACAGCATAAGCCTGCTCGGCCTTTGGGCAAGTGTGCAAAACACTGATACAGAAACAAAACGTACACACTATCAACAGACCATCACTCACCTTTGCCATGTCACAGGCTGTCACATACTTATTGATAGCCACCAGGTCAAATGAGTGGACTTTGTTTGGGAGAGAGCGGGCTATGAGGGCATCACCACATCCAAAATCGGCTACCACCAAAGTCCGAGGTCTGAAATCATTCAAGACTTATTTCATCTCATCAAATCATAATTCAGTACATTGTACCTGATTCAGACACACGTGTCTGATAATAATGCTAACTGGGTTGGTTGAGCACCTGTGATTTATCTAAACTGTACCTGTCTGATAACATGACAAGGTTGACTGGACAATTGTGCTTTACCTAGTCTATATAACTATCTGATAATGATGTTAACAGGGTTGGTTGGGCACCTGTGTCTTACCTAGCCTGTAATTGTCTGATAATGACGTTAACAGGGTTGGTTGGCCACTTTGCTACCTGCGACTGGAATCCCTGGTGGTACACATGGAATGCCTCTTTATCTTCTTCAAACATCTTATATGATTCACTTCCTGTTTGGTTGTACAACTGCTCGTTAAGGTAACGGAACCTAGCAGATTTGAGTTTATCAAGCATGCGCTGTTTGAGTGAGAGAGTTATCTCCCTTGATTTATCTTTCTGTTCTATAGATCCAGAAGCTAATAAGTCAGATGTTTCTACATCAAAATCATTATCACTCTGTTCCTTCTTTAGTTTACTGTTTACAACTGTGTTAATTGGATATTTATCATCTTTCATTTCTTTACCAGATTTTGCTTGGATACCATCAACCCTTTTCCCCTTCTTTTTCTTGTGTTTAATTAATTTTAACTCATCACAATTTTCTGTCACATTGTTGAGAGGAACTAAAGACTTTGGCACACTTGTTTGTCGTTCCTTCACCATCTTGCCCATGGACCTATGGTCTGATGAATTTGTTACACTTTGTTTCACCGTAGCACCAGCAGGTACATCACCTGAAGATTGTTCCTCTGTTATATTATCATCACACACATTACTATCAGCACTGACTTCAGTTTTCTTCACTGATAAATGCTTATATTTATTCCTTTTATTTGAATTTTTCTTTTTCTTTTTCTTCTTCCTTCCTTCCTCCTTTATGTCTGTCACAGGATCTATAGGTGATATCCGTTTCTGTTTTTTACTAGGGATTTCAGTATGATCTGTCTTTCGCTTGTTTCCTTTTACAATCTGTGTGAACCTTTGTTCAGCATTTTCACCTCTTTCTTCTGTCACAAAGGTCATAGATGTCTTCCTCTGTCCTCCTGTTTTCTGACCAACTCTCTGAGGGCGTTCTTTATCCCTACTCTTCTTCAATGTTATTCCACCTTTCAATACCTCGTAGTTGTCTATATCCTTACAGTTCAAAGTCTGCCTAGAACCTACAGATTTTGAAAATTTCCTTTTGCCATCATCTGATAAGTTTGTGGTTTTCTTTTCACGCTTTTGTTGTTTCTACAAGATGACAATGAAAGCAAAAATTTGATTTCAGTAAGTTGGGAATGCATCAAGATTATGTGAAATTTAAACCTCACAATCAGTCGACATCTTGTGAATTATTAAAAGTTAATATGCAAGATAATTAAAATCAAAATTGTGTTCAGTTATATCTATGTGTGATTTTCTATCATAATTTATCTGCCAGAATGAGACTAGCATGATTAAGTAAATCTATCAACCAGTGGTGAATTATGTTTTGTGGCCACAGACATATTGTTGTTACTAAATCTACACATGGTCAATGTTATTAATTCATTCCCAGAGTACATGATTTATTATGTAAGCTCTATGTTGACATTTCGCATGAAGGTCATTGTGCTAATCTTGTGGAAAACAATCTAATTTCTACGACCATTCTGGTGTTTAAGTCGATGTCAATAACTCATGTATTACTCAATCATTGTCAGCCTGTTTATCTATTGTATTAAAATTACTGAAGCAACAGTTTTATAACATTTTGATATAAATAGACCTCTCTTGGTCTGCCAAATGAGAAGAGAAGAATGGAGGCCAGACAGGAGAGAGGGTTGTTCTCCGCTGGCTAAACACATGCTCGCTTGGGCTTTTGCCTGAGAAAGTACAACTTCACATCTGAACTTAAGTACTGTAAAGGCTTGGTTATCATAAATATTTACATGTTTAGTGTATATAGCTAAATACATGCAAAGATTAAACAATGTTCAACAATGACTGTTTGCATCAACTATTTCCAAAAGATTTAGAAAATGACTGGATTTCAACAATACTTTCATCATGGACTTTCAACATATTTAACATTTAACAAGTTTTGATTATGCTTGGTCAAACATCCCAGTAACACAAATCCTACTGAGCTGCTTATCTCAATCTTTTCCTACAATGAAGCCAACACAAACAGCTCTCCCCCAAGATTTATGATAAGCATAATGCTTTCAATGTTTCTAATGTGAATTTTCCATTTCTTGATAGTAACATGCCTGCATCCCTAACCTATGGCATTTACATGTTGCAGATTGTTTGATATTCAAGTGCCTGTTCTCATTATTACCATTTTCATGCAAGAAGTTATCAACTGATGAACAAACTCATAACACAAGGTTTTTAAAGATGCAGGTTCATGAAAGTTATGAGGAAGTTTTACGGTCAGCAGTCGCTAAATATTTGACATACATTATGTATTCTATATATAACAGGTTTAAGTATAGTAATAGTATATACAGCTCAAACCATAGAGATCTGTAAAAACCATTATTATCAACCAATTATTTGCCCAATATATCGCTTTTTGTACAATGGACATAGCCCATTTTGTTTTTAAGGCTGTGATTGGTAAAGTTAAATCCCTTGCGATTTAGTCCCCGAGAGTAAATTAGGACATTTTAAATATGAAAAATTGAATGCAAATTCATTACTTCATTGATTGTAACAGTATTTTTTAACACCTTGGCCTTTTACAGTCCTTAAGCATCAACTCACACAAGATATAATCCCACATTTGAATTTTTCATGAATTTGTTCACAATGTCAAAAGAAATGAAACCACTTGAATAATTATAAGGAGTAAAACTGAGTTCCAGTACCTTTGATGTTGCCAATTCAGCAGTATCAAACAGACCAGAACTGAGATCATCTGCAGCCTTGTCCACCATCCAGCCTTCTGTAGAGAAATCCATTGTCCAGAACACCTAGAAAGAAAGTTACAATGTATAAGGACATCATTCTAATGTTGTATTAAATGTGGTTCCAATCATCACGAAACTGCAAAAATTGAGTGAGCTTTTGTCTGTTTGTTGGGTTTATTATCCCCTGAACAGCTGTCATTTTGAGGTGGGGTCTCCTTGTAGCAGCTAGTGGGTACCTCATTGAGGTGGAGTCTCCTTGTAGCAGCTAGTGGGTACCTCATTGAGGTGGGGTCTCCTCGTAGCAGCTAGTGGGTGCCTCATTGAGGTGGAGTCTCCTTGTAGCAGCTAGTGGGTGCCTCATTGAGGTGGAGTCTCCTTGTAGCAGCTAGTGGGTGCCCCATTGAGGTGGAGTCTCCTTGTAGCAGCTGGTGGGTACCTCATTGAGGTGGAGTCTCCTTGTAGTAGCTAGTGGGTACCTCATTGAGGTGGAGTCTCCTTGTAGCAGCTAGTGGGTACCTCATTGAGGTGGGGTCTCCTTGTAGCAGCTAGTGGGTGCCTCATTGAGGTGGAGTCTCCTTGTAGCAGCTAGTGGGTGCCTCATTGAGGTGGAGTCTCCTTGTAGCAGCTGGTGGGTGCCTCATTGAGGTGGAGTCTCCTTGTAGCAGCTAGTGGGTGCCTAATTGAGGTGGAGTCTCCTTGTAGCAGCTAGTGGGTGCCTCATTGAGGTGGAGTCTCCTTGTAGCAGCTGGTGGGTACCTCATTGAGGTGGAGTCTCCTTGTAGCTCATTGAGGTGGAGTCTCCTTGTAGCAGCTAGTGGGTACCTCATTGAGGTGGAGTCTCCTTGTAGCAGCTGGTGGGTACCTCATTGAGGTGGAGTCTCCTTGTAGCAGCTGGTGGGTACCTCATTGAGGTGGGGTCTCCTTGTAGCAGCTGGTAGGTACCTCATTGAGGTGGAGTCTCCTTGTAGTAGCTAGTGGGTACCTCATTGACTAGAAAAGGGAGGCTCTTCACAGGCCATCCAGAGCAATAAGGATAAGTGTGTGGCACACTGACATAACCACAACAACAAAGACCAGTCCATTACATTACTTTGAGAGAAACACAAACAACCCTAGACAGGGAGTGACAAACCATGGCTGTATCCAAGGTTTTCACCAGAGGTTACATAGAAACTACCAACTGTTATATAGACTGGGTAATCTACAGCATAGAAAGGTGATTGGTTATCTACAGTGTAAAAAGTGCCTGGATTATCTACAATGTTAAGGGGTCACTGGGTTTCTACACTGCAAAAAGGAAAAAGTTTTTTTCTACAGTGTAAAGAGTTGACAGGTTCTCTTCAGTGCCAAGACGTGACTGGGTTACCCACAGTCTGAAGATCTAGGTGACTGGGTTACCCACAGTCTGAAGATCTAGGTGACTGGGTTACCCACAGTCTGAAGATCTATGTGACTGAATCATCTACAGTGTAAAGAGTTGACTGTAAGACATTGCTTTTCTCTAGGGTAAAGAGGTGAAAGGGATATGTACAGAGTGAAATGTTGACTGAGTTATGTAAAGTGGAAAGAGTTGATTGGGTTTTCTACTATATAAAGAGGTGACTAGCTATAGGTTATCAGTGTAAAGAGGTTTATGGGTTTTCTACAACGTGAAGAATTAAGTGGATCATCTACAACATAATGAGGTGGCTGGGTCATTTACACTCTAATGAGGCAATTTGGTCACCTGCCATCTACAAAGGTGACTGGATGATCTTAAGTGTAAAGAGGTAACCGGGCTATATATGGTGTTTATTATAGAAAGATAATTGGGTTATATATGGTGTTTATTATAGAAAGATAAGTGGGTTATATATGGTGTTTATTATAGAAAGATAAGTGGGTTATATATGGTGTTTATTATAGAAAGATAAGTGGGTTATATATGGTGTTTCTTATAGAAAGATAAGTGGGTTATATATGGTGTAAAGAGGTGGCTGGGTTTTTTCACAGTCTTAAGAGGCAACTGGATGAACTTTATTGTAGAGAGGTAACTGGGTTATATATGGTGTAAAGAGGTGATTTTTTTATCAAGTATAAACATTAGTATTATTTTGATAAAGCCTTAATTATATTTAAATTCAGGCTAACCAGTAACAAGTATTAACATATTGATGCACTTGTATAATCCATGGAATCTCCTAACCGTGATATCCAATGATGAACATACATACTGAATGTTGTTGCAGGGTTCCCTGTTTGAAACTATACAGAAATGGCACCATTAATTATTGACTGTTTGCTCCATAGTATAGAGGCCTAAGCAGTGACCCTATAGAAAAAGTACACAATACGTTTCTGGTTCCTTGATTGCAATTCTATCAGAGACCTTTGTAACACACGTCTTTGATATATACAACTACAGCACCATGGATTGATCATCTGTTTTCTCCACAACACAACTTAGCTATAAATAATCTGGTGTGCTGCTTGCTACTGAAGGGAAAAGTAGCCAATGTTTCTGTTGTTTTCAGTGTTGTAACTTTAGAAGTTTTTCAATGCAATGGCAATATGAGCAGACATTATAGATTTGAGCTTGACAGCATATATTTTAGCAAGTAAAACTTGTATCATGTCTCTTTGAAGTCAGATCATCTAATCCAGTCACAATGTACTCTGATTACCTATTGTATAGTCGCTATGTTCATTAACATAAAAATTTGGATTATTATGTGAATACTTATTTGATTATCTTTCTTATTCCTAATGTTGTGGACTTCCAATCATTTGATTGGTAAGAGATATGTTTATAGTCTGTAAATTATGTTATAGGTACGTATCTTATGATTTTACCTCTTATTATCTCATTAACGGCTGAATGTATTGAATTCATCTTTGGTATACAGTAAAACATGGATAAGTCAAAGTTAATGTCATCTTGTGTCTGTTTTTCATGAGTTACAATGACCTCATCTATTGACATAAAGTCTGTGAAAGAAATTTGGTTCTCTGAGATTGCTCACCATTCATTGACTTGTGTAGCTAATGGGATGTCATCGTCGTCATCCTCATCGTCATCTAACTGTCACTCAACGAGATCACAACCTCATCATGCAAGATACCGACCTTCAGCAAACAGTTATGAATTGTGGTAAGCATGACTCACTTCCACACGCAATATAGCCAGTCAACAGCATGTCAAAGATTGATTTCAGGAGCTACACCTTTTTCAAAAGCATTTCAGCATGTATTCAATGGGGAATATGTGATATTTTTATTTCAAATTGTTTATTATACCTAGGTTCATTGGTTGGAGTTTCGATATTGTACTGGGAGGGAGTAAGTTTTATTGACTTCAAACCCTCGATGTGTGGATTGGCAGTACAATTGTAACAGGTCACTTTTTATTTCAATGCCTCTGCTAGGAATCAAAGTCCTCTAGCTCGATTGGTTGAGCGTCAGATTAGTAAGCCAGGGGTTCCGGGTTTGATTCCTAGCAGAGGCATTGAAATAAATAATGACCTCTGTTACGCAATTGTCCAAGATCTTCAAAACCTGACACCCCTGTCGACTGAAGATTCAGGATCCACTCACAAAATAAATCGGAAACCATCCAAGCTTTCTTATTCGCACGGTAATGCACAGGAAGACTTTTTTTTAAAATAAAACTTGCACTTTTTACATGTACATTGATATCCAGTAAACACATTTAAAATCATAAACAAATGTATGATTGACAAACTAGTATATCAATCTGCATCGGCACGGTAGTTATCACCTTTTTTTCTTCATTTGGGTTCCGGCAGCCATTTGCATAAAAAGTAAACAGTAGATTTACAGTGTATTTTGGTTCAAGTTTGATTGCCTATTTCTGTATAAATTCTGATTTTCACCTGTGAACCTGTGTAAATGCAGGGATTGCTGTTCGATCAAAAATGACCATAGGGGTCATTAACACAGATATGACTGGCCAATCACACTCAGTCATTCATTCAGAACAAAGCCAGGAAATTTCTTCCTGAGACCACATGACGCCTGAGTGTTCAACACTAAAATGGAAATATTGGTAGAATTTAGAAGGGATGGACCACAAAATATATTTGATGCAAACGCAGAATTCAACTCTACAGTGTTTGAATCATCTGTGTTTAATTTACTAAGATAAAGAAGAGAAAATATTGCGACAGAACAAAACATTTGAATTATCCAATGTATTCGATTCAAGCGTGTTCGACACAAGTGAGTTTTACTGTATTATGTAAGATCACAAATAAATAAGATTTCTCAGTAAATAATCTACAACTTACACAGAAGACATTGTTGGTTTTCAAAAACATTTTCTGCAAACTTGAACCATATTCTTTACGCATGGTACTACACTAATGCCATTAACCTGAACCTTTTGCCAAAAAAGAGATCTCAACTCACTTAAAGCACGGTCAATTATTTGAACAAATCGGTGCTTTTCATCCATTTATATCAACAGTTTGGACCTTTTTATTATTAAGAAGAAGTCTTTTAAAGATTTTAACACATTTTATCTCTGTGACCTTTAAGAAGACAAAAGGCCAATCACATAATCAAAATTGGTAACAATCCATCCCAGCATGCCACAGGCCCAATTTCAGCACCCCAGGCCTTTTGGATATTGAGCAGTTTAAAGTCATTTAGAGATTTTTACACATTAGTCCCCTGTGGTCTTGAAAATATGTCAAGGTCATTCGTTTTTAACAAACTTGGTAGCCCTCATCCCATCATGCTACTAGCCCAATATCAGCATCCTGGAACTTTTGGTTATTGAGAAGAAGTTGTTCAAAGATTTTAGATATTTGACACCTGTGACCTTGAAAATAGGTCAAGGTCAATAATATGACAAACTTACATATGGCAGACTTCATCCCAGCATGCCACATTCCAAATTTCAACACCATGGACCTTTTGGGTATTGAAAAGAAGGTGTTTAACAAATTTTTATATATTAAAACCAGTGACCTTGAAAGTACATCACGGCCAATAACATGAACAAAATTGGTAGCCCTTTGTCCCAGCAGGGTACATGCCTTATATTAGCACCCTGGGCATTTTCTTTATTTAGAAGTCATTTAAAGATTTTTACACATTAGTCCCCTGTGATCTTGAGATTAATGCAAGGTCATTCGTTTTAATAAACTTGGTAGCCTTTCATCCCATTATTCTACGGGCCAAAAATCAGCACCCTGGGCCTTTTGGTTATTGAGAAGAAATCATTTGAATGGAAAGTTTACGCATGATGGATTACAACGGACGAAACAAAATGGCTTTAAGAAAGCTTGTCTGAAAAATAAACTTCCGGTTCTTGGGAGGAGTCAAAATTGAAAATGGCTATTTTGGGCAACGAAGTATGAAAAGATCATTTTCATGATCTGCAAGGTTTCATACATACAACACTCTGGTCAATGACTAAAAAGTTTAAATTATTAATATATATGATCTTGACCCATTTTCAAGGTCGCAGGATCAATTTTGTTTAAATCTTGGAGTGGTTTCCAACCAATAACCATGGGGCACAGGCTGATAATATTTGGTCACTTGTAGTCAATGATGGAAACTAGACACATCAATGATAGTCAGTGTTAGAAACTATAAACATTACTGAGAGTCATAATGGTGCAACTAGGTATCATTTGAATGAAAATCGAATGAAGTCAACTTCAACGTCTACAGATTTTTGTTTATGACACTTGTAGGTGTTTTCCAGGTTAAACCTCAGCTCTGCTAACACTTCCATGTGCACATGGTAGTCTTTTGCCTTTTTTTCTATGTGAGCACGTGTAGAGGTTTTATGGAAAGAGTACACAGCTGTTTTGGCTAAGTACAGGCCAGCCTTCACAAATTTCATGTCTAATCCCTGGTTCTTCTTTGTCCCAAATGGAGGATTCATAACCACTGTATCAAAACTTTTCTCCTTAATGAATCCAGCCACAGATGATGAGTGTGATGTCTCTGAGGATGCCTGGCCATGTGATTGTGTGTCAGAGGATGCCAGATCATGTGTTACATATTCACTTATCTTGGTTACATCCATTTGAATGAAATCTATATCAAGTTCCATGTCCTCTACATTTCTATGACAGACATCTAGAGCATCCTCATCAATGTCTATCCCTAACACATGCCCTGCCCCCAGCATCTTTGCCCCTATCCCCAGCACTCCACAGCCGCAGCCGAGGTCAACAACATTTTTATTATGAATATCATCATAGTTTGTGTCGATAGTGTGGAGGACACAAGCTGCAATATGAGGGGTTGTGGCATACTGTTCAAGCAGCATCTTGGGTTTGTTAAATGTTTCAACATCTTGTAAATAGCTCTCCAGCTCCTTCAAACGCAGTCTGGACCTTGTACCAGCCATAGCTATCAACACAGATTGTTTACTATTCTGATGATAGTTAACAATCAACACCAGCCGTCTCTCACACTGTGGGCCACCAGTTCTGAAATCAACAGCAGACTCTCCAAGTATAAGGTGGAAAAAGCTTCTACAATCAACTTCTTAAATTGCACTAAATGTATAACATGTTTATTGGTTTATTTATGAACCTTCTTTTATAAACTGTAACTTATGAAAACATTCAAAATTCAAAAATTGATTTTTTTTCATGATAAGTAATTTTTGGCCTTACACTTGAAAAGTCTGTTGTTATAGTGAACAAAGAGGGAGGCAAGTAAGTCTTGTAATTAGTTTTAAATTTTAACCTTTGGAAATTTTGTTAGCGCTACCTACATTTTCGATCCATCATACATGTAAATGTGTGTTTTGTCCAAAACACTTGCTTTATTCGGGTGTGTCTTATAAATATAAAAGAGCAGGTTCCTGCGGGATTCAGTGTCTTGAAAGGATCAGTAAACCGATCCAATTCTCCTCCTAAGGAGGATACTACAGTAGTGTTGCTGCCAACAGTACCCAGAGCAGTGTGACATTGGCTCACAGTGCTAAAGTATGATGTGTATTACCTGTGGATAGTCAGGGGCTTAGGCATCCATAGGAAACCTGTATACATTGGTTAGCTTAAGACCTGTAGGGAGCTAGGAGCATGTGGTCTGCTGGTACTATTGTAAAGTTACGTCCATTTACATACGGATACTGTACAGTAGTGGAGTTACTCAGCATTAGTAGTCAGAAGTTGGCACTTTATTACAATCCTACATTGTTATACCTGTATATATATTCATAAGGTTCTTTAGTTTAGTTTAGTTTATTACCAGTGCAGGATCCTTACGATCCTCTATACCGGTCTCAGTGATACAATGATAGTGTTTATAATTATTGTCATCTGAGATGTCAGATCCAGGAACTACAGAATTTCTACTTTATAATTATATACCAGTTCTTGATTTGCCCAGTGTTCATCTAATCTATTTTTGAAAGAGTTAACTGTTGGTGCCGATACAATATACTCCGGAAGATTGTTCCATATTTTGACCACACGCAAAGAAAAAGAATGTTTCCTGATGTCAAGTTTACAGTGCTGCATGTAAAGTTTTTTGGAGTGACACCCAGCAGCATTACTATCACAAAAATTGTTCGTAATTTTGAAGACTACAATCATATCCCCACGAATCCTGTTAATAAAAAGTTGTTTGTATATGTTGGAACAATCACGATTGGGAATAAACTGAGGTTCCTGCCAAGTGCTGTCCTCCCTGGACCTACTGTTCGCACACATGGCGTGTGTGGCCAGAGCAAGCATGTCAGAGATGTACCGAGACGTATGATGCCCCCTCCCCCTACCTCCGCAATTACACAGCCGTTAAATTAACAGTTATGTTTACATTTCTTACTTCAACTTTTCAATTACCAACCTGTTCTTGTGATGCATGTTGACATACTGTGATATCAGTGATAACTGATGTTCATTTCCCTACAAATAACCTCTCAAAAAGCACAAATAATGTTATCCTATGCTGTTGTGAGGAACAAACTTTGAACCTGGCCGCGAAGTCAACTCTTGGTAGCTCGTGAGCCGTTTACAGAGGTGAAATTTGACTGTAAGGACAACTCCGGTAGCGGCTGGTCTTCTGATGATAATTTGAGGATGCACCAGTGGACATTTTTGTTTAGAAAATAAATCACATTTACACACACATTCAGTTAACTATGTATTTGATTTATTTCAATTCGCTGATATAGCAAAGTTACTGAGATATTATTCTTGAGTTACGGGTCCGAAACCGATATGCCTGCGGTACATGTGCCATAATGTGGTCGGTCTATGCAACCTATACCAGTAGAGAGCTTCAGTCGGATATAAACGTAGACAGTCCTAAAGTCGTAATATACGATTTCCATTTATAAATATTGTACCGGATCTAAACAAATTGCGTACATCAAAACAATGGAACATACCTTTAAGATTTCCGGCGATCACTCCACATTGCCTACTGTAAATGAAACATGTGGTGTTATGTACTACAATACGGAAAAGGAATATCCGTGATCAGAGATGTAATGTATTGTATTTCTTACGTCTCTGTTATGATGCAGTCTAATTGATGCATTAGCATATAATGCCCGTCGTTTTCACCGAATGCATTCTATTATTCCTTCATCGACAGTTTACAAGACTGGCCTATGCAATTATGTTAGAATGTAAGCGTAATATTTTTTGTGCAACAGTTTCTTTGAAAAGGGCGTCTGTTTGCATATATTTTGTTAATCACACGGAACAGAAAGAAATATTGCTGTATAAATGTGAACATTTGCAACTTTTGATAGAAAGATAACGTAAGATTAATTTATAAATATTTCTATGGTGTATTTAGATATATTTCTGTGTTGTCGCCTTTGTGTGCAGGTCATACCCGGATGCATGTTATTAGTGTGTACCCTACTATCATCATCACTTGAGCGTTTGCGTAAAATGTGACGAAGGCACGAAATATAAGTTCGGGGCTGACACGGAGCTAAATAAAGCCAGACGAAGGCACACATGGTGCGTACTGTCCGAGGGACCGATCAAAATGCTGCGTCGAAAGCTTCGTAGAGAGCATCACCAGAGTTCGTGTTCATCCAGTAATGTGGAAAAGACTTTTTGTAAGAGACAAGTATTGGGAATATCAAATAAAAGGAAGGATGCGGAAGAGGAAGTTCTTGAAACACTCGTCCTAGGAAAACCAGATGAAGTGATAAAAAACCTTGATATTAGGAAAGGGAAGGTACAGTGACAAGCAATTAGAAAATTCCATATACCATTACGGAAACGCTTCAACCGCATGTATATAGGTTAAGATAGACTATTGATTATAATTTAGATAATTAGATATATTGTGTTTCCTTTACAACTGTTTACAGCACGGGAGAAATACAAATTTGCGTATAATATCGTCTCGACATCCATTCCGTTATGTATTTTGGAAGGACCATTTTGTCGAGCGGTATCACATGAATTATTGACGTGCGTGACCTGGCACCCTTATAATTTTGGTTCCTGTAACATGTCACGCTTCCAGAAAGAATAAAAAAATTGATTTAAACATTCTCAATAAAATATTATGAGGATATCTTTCATTGGCAAATGTGTGTATTGTTTCTTAATACACGTTTTTACAAATCAAAATCCTCTCAGACATGATGTAAAAGCCTATCAATCCATCCTCTGATGTCAATGTTTTGTTGTCGTCTGTCTTGTGAATAAAAATCGACCATGAATAAGAGGTCACACCTTTTGCAGTTTTTTGGCAACGGAAGTCCACACATGCATGCCTTATTTTTCAAAAATGATGATTTTTAAATCATAACGCTTGATGACACATTTCATATTTTATGTAACTAGCAAGTTGTAGACTGAGAGAAGCAAAATCAATTTTATTTAAATAGTTTGTTATAAAAAAGAAATTTACCAAGAAATATGGCTTATTCGAGAGCAAAAAATGACTAAACAATAATGGAACGTCCTTGCACATGTATATACAAATGTTTCCAAATCTGCCTATGTAGCTAGATTTGCTCATGCTTCAGTACCTGTTAAATTGAAGTGGAATTAGTTGGTATTTAGGTAGTATTAAGAAGTATTTCCCATTTTGAGTAGTATTTGGAGTATAGAAGTAACTGTTTGAGTTCTTAATGACTATGTTCCATTCGGAGGATAGAAAAAAAATCTTCCAGCTTAGTTTAAGTTGTGTAAAACCAGGGTAAGTCATAAAGTGTCCACATTGGTTTCATTTGTAATGATCAGACAATAAGCAAAGTCATATGAGAGTATATATACTCTAAAAATAAGAGAGGTTTCAACTATACACAGCAAGTTGTACTGTAGTTTAGAATGATTCCTTATTGGCTCTACGTAACAATGTTGGATAATAAATTGATTGGCCAGTCACATCTTGTGTTAAAATGGTACTCCAGTAGAACTCTCATTTTGTTAGAAGTACCTGTATATGTAGATATTTGACTATAGTCAGGGGTCGAAATTAACTGTTTTAGGCACTAGCAAACCATTGCTAGTGCCTAAAATTTCCACTAGCAAAAATGATGAACAAACTAGCAATTTTTTGGTGATTAGGTTTGACTTTTATTTACTGTTATATACAGGAATGTGATATTGGAAAAGTTATCCAAGACATTGGATAAGAATGGCTGATTGCTACCTGTATCAACATTTTAAATCTATATAACTTTGAATTTATCAGTTTTCTTTTTTTCATGTATGAGCTACATCTAATCTGACTGTCATATGATCAGATCCATTTATAAATGTAACTGTACCCAAATTTATATTATTTCAAAAATTGTTCACATTAACCATCATTTCAATAAATTATTATCAAGACAACTATCTTCCATGTTCTCGGCAGTCATTGCGCCATACTGTATTAACAACATCGTTACTAGATGATTTGTTGTATCCTAGAATAATATTCAATTCTTTTTCTCATTTCCGTACCGTTTTTAACTTGGCCATATATGCACGTTGTTGTGGCGGTGATTTTATATCAGCAGCGTCAGGAGAAATGCTCTCCGATTTCAACAATTTTTTTTCAGAAGGGCCAGGCTGTGGGTGTTGACTATTGTCTTGGTCATTGCAAGCACTGTCAGATGCTTTCCTTTTGAAAAAGTTTGTTATCATAGCTGATATGTCGCGTTTCACATGATGAGCAGACAGAAATCGTAGAGTTTTCAAAGATAACTTTTTATTCGGTTTACACATATATATATTCTAAAATGTATTGATAATCTATGTCAGAGTATTTGTAACCTATTTACTCATTTAAAGGCAGACGGAGAAAGGCATTTTGTGGCAGATGTTTCGTCAAAAATAGTAATTAGGTATAGTTCATTTCCACTTGCAAAATTTTGCTAGTTCATTATTTTCCAGCTAGCAATTACCAGATTTTAGCTGGAATTTTGTTAGTTGTATATAGTTAATTTCGAACCCTGTATAGTGATTCTTTGTGTTATAGAATAACATAGACACAGAAGATTGTGATTTAGAAGTTGAACCTCCCAAGAAAAAAGAGAAGAAACCAGTGTGGGAAGATGAGGATGATAATGTTGGAAGGTACAGTTTTTTCATTTCTGAAATACGTATTACAATATTTCTTAAATATAGGTAACAGTTATCAAATATCATAGTGCTTGTGTTAAATATAGTTATTGTAATGTTTGGAGTAAACATAGTTATCATAATATTCATAGTGTATATGAATAAATTCCATTCTTATAATCAAACACCAAATGTTTACTAAAACACAAACAAACAAAAACATTACTGTTTCAGTGTTCAACTGACCAAAGCAAAGAAATTTGATGGCGTGAAGCAAGGAGAAGAGTGCAGAATAGGCAAAGATCAGTACACAGTTCGCCTGAAGTCAAAGTAAGATCAATACACAGTAAAGCTGCTGGGTGGTCGGTTGGCGCAGTGGTAACATACTCGCCTTTCACTGAGCCGTCTGGGGTTTGATTCCTGGAATGGATGTGAAAAGGTATGGGGTCACCTGCTCAACCATGTGGGTTTTCCCCGGGTACTCTTTTTCCTTCCACACTAAGACCCCTCGCACGCTTCCATCCGAGCCAACAAGAGTGAATAATATAAGTTGGAAAAACTTGCTTCGCAATTTTTATAAAATAAATAAAGTTTATTATTATTATTACCTGGTGTCAAATTAAGATCAGTACACATTATGCTTGAAGTCAAAGTACAATCCATACACAGTTTATCTGAAGTCAAGGTGTGATCAGTAAACTCTACATCTGATGTCTAATTAAGATACACAGTATACCTGGAGTCAGGGTAATATCAATACACTGTATGATTCTCCACACTGTATTTGGGCATAAAAAGTATATACCTGTATATTATTCTGCTGGAGAAATGAACATTTAAGTACCATTTGACAGGTTTGAAAAAGTGTCTGCCAATCCAAACTGGTCAAAATTTAGAGCTGATGAAGCGAGACGGACTGGATCAGATGGTGAGTGGATAACTTTACATATCCTGGTATATTGAGGATAGCATTCTTCCCTTTTTTGAGTGTTCCAAAGTTGCTTGGGAAAGACCATGTTAACCCTTTTTTTTGTAGATGACAGCGATGTTGAGGAGATGATGACTAGGACTGGTAACTTCCTCACTACCACCAAGTCTCTACCTAAAGGTTTCATACAGATAAAACAGTGTCCTAATGCAAACAGGGACTCCCCTCCACAGGTAACTTCCTCTCTAATTAACAGTTCAATAAAGATAATATGGATTACACTATTGTGTTACTTTTACTGATTGATAAGAGTAAAATGTGACCTGACCTAATTGCTGGGGATTACCTAAATGTGACCTGACCTGATTGATGAGTGATTACCTAGATGTGACCTGACCCGATTGATAGGGATTACCCAGCTCTGACCTGACCTGATTAATGAGGTATTACTCTGATGTGACCTGATATTAGGATGGGGATTACCTAGATATGACCTGACCTGATTGATTTTGGGTTACCTAGAACTGTTTTGCTTGTTTGTAGGGGAAACTTTATGCTGTCAAGTTTCATCCATCGGCTCAAGTGATGCTGACAGCAGGTTCAAACCAAACCCTGAGTTTATTCCAGGTGAGTTCTTGAAATAGCAAGCCTACTGATACTTAATGGTGATTGAGATAAGAAAGAAGCAGAAACTGTTGACTTTCATTTTCAGGGGCTTTTCACCATGTCCAATCTCCTACCTAAAAACTCAATCATTTCCACAAACGTCATAGCCATCCATTCAAAAAATTTGTATATTACATAGGAAGATTCTAGACTGTACAACTTAAGAATATTTGTATTACCTAACTAGAACTTTCTAAACATGACCCCTTCTGAAAACTGGAAGTTGACATTTAAGACAATATTTTTTTATTACTATTAATAGTGCAATATGGTAACTGAACAGATATCATCACCCTGTACCTTTTTGTTGTAGAGAAGAAACCATTTAAAGATTTTAACAAAATTGAGCCCTGTGATCTCAAAAGTGGGTCAAGGTCATTCATATTATCAAACCTGATAGCAAACGACTGGGATATCTGATAAGTAGAAATTTACTATCAAACCCTGATATTACTTACAGGTAGATGTTTATGATCAAACCCTGATATTACTTACAGGTAGATGTTTATGATCAAACCCTGATATTACTTACAGGTAGATGTTTACGATCAAACCCTGATATTACTTACAGGTAGATATTTACGATCAAACCCTGATATTACTTACAGGTAGATATTTATGATGAAACCCTGATATTACTTGCAGGTAGATGTTTACGATCAAACCCTGATATTATTTACAGGTAGATATTTATGATCAAAGCCTGATATTACTTACAGGTAGATGTTTATGATCAAAGCCTGATATTACTTACAGGTAGATATTTATGATCAAACCCTGATATTACTTACAGGTAGATATTTATGATCAAACCCTAATATTACTTACAGGTAGATATTTATGATCAAAGCCTGATATTACTTACCGGTAGATATTTATGATCAAACCCTGATATTACTTACAGGTAGATGGCAAAAACAATCCTAAGATCCAGAGTGTCTTCCTTGACAACTTTCCTATCTTCTCTGCACACTTCACCCCTGATGGCCGCGAAGTGGTGCTCAGCTCGAAACACCAGAGTTTTGTGTACTATGACATGATTGCTGGCAAAGTGGTTAAAGTACCAAAAATAAAAGGTAGGTTTATCAGAGGAGTAAACACAATTAATATATTGCTGAAGTTAAAAACTAGCTAGACTTGGTGGCTGCGATATTTATAACTACTTAATTAGAAGAATGAGGTATGTGTAACTACTAGACCTGGTTACTGAGATATGTTTATAACTACATGACTTGGTGACTGAGGTATGTACAACTGCTAGATCAGGTAACTGAGGTTAATAAAATCTATAACTTGTAACCGAGCGAGATCAGGGTATTTCAGTCTTAGACTAAGACCCTGTAACATCCTAACCTCGGCTAACACCTCAATTTGGATTATGTTACAGGACCTTAGCCCTCAACTGAGATACCCCGATCTCACTCAGTTACAGGTAATAGATTTCTTTCTCGCACCAACTACTCTAAAACTTATTCAATATTTCATCAGAGTTTGGCATTTCCTGTGGGAGCCTCAAACTACCCACACAGCCTCTTCACTTTTAAACAACGTTTGGATGTGTCACGTAAACAATGTAAGCCACAGTTAAGGTCCTATAACATAATCCCAACAGAGGTGTTAGCTGAGGTTAGGATGTTACAGGATCTCAGTCCCGATCTTAGCCAGGTGACTGAGATCTGTATAATTACTAGACATCTTTAACATGATAGTATGAATGCTGTCCCAATATATTTATTTGTAAAATATCAGTAATAATAATCTAACCATTCCTTAAGGGCCCATAGACTCTATTGTCTTACAAACTAACCATTCTTTTATGACTCGAAGACTTTAGTGCCTTATAAACTAACCATTGCTTTATGACCCATAGATTGTACAGTCTTACATCTAACTATTCTTTTAGGACTCATAGACTCTGTTATCTTGCAAGCAAACCATTCCTTTCGAACTTACAGACTCTCATGTTTTACAAAGTAGCAATTCCCTTATGGCTCACAGACTCCGTTGTCTGGTAAACTAACCATTTCTTAAGGACTTACAGACCCTGTTGTCTGGTAAACTAACCATTTCTTAAGGACTTACAGACTCTGTTGTCTGGTAAACTAACCATTTCTTAAGGACTTACAGACTCTGTTGTCTGGTAAACTAACCATTTCTTAAGGACTTACAGACTCTGTTGTCTGGTAAACTAACCATTTCTTAAGGACTTACAGACTCTATTGTCTTTCTAACTACCAATTCCTTTAGATATTACAGACTCTATTGTCTTACAAACTAGCCATTCCTTTAGTGCCAACAGACTTCAGTATTTCTAAAACTTACCATTATAGTAGGGTTTACAGACTCTATTGTCTTACAAGCTAGCCATTCCTTTAGTGCCAACAGACTTCAGTATTTCTAAAACTTACCATTATAGTAGAGTTTACAGACTTTAGTTTCTTACTTCCAAATATTTGCATTTAAACTAGGATTGGGACAATCAAGGATGAAGAATTTTGTGATGTCGCCAGATGGTTCTTATCTCGTTTTTCTTGGATCTTACGGTTCCATGCACCTAATTTCTGCGAAGGTAAGTACAAACGTGACAAATCATTTGGTTACTCACTGAAATGTTTTGAAACTTTGGTAGTCATTTTAATTCCTTAACATCTCTAATGTGACTCAATTGTTATACAGTCTAAAGAATGGATACAGGACCTGAAGATGAATGGGAGTGTGGAGTCAGTGGCATTCTCCAGGGATGGAACAACTATGTACTCTCATGGCGGTTTGTACATTCTTATTTACTGTGTGACATCTTTTTCATCTTTGACTTTCAACAAATACTGGGTAGTAAATTTGGTGCATTCCCACATCATTTGAAGATGCTTGAACATACTTTGTAAATAAAGCAGTACAGTTTGACCAGAAAATTACAGGGTTCCAGAAAATGTTCTTCATTTCATACATGTGTAATTACTTGATACCAAACTAGTGATATATCTTTTTAAACCTATCCAGGGAATCTGTTTCATGTACGACTTCAGATTTGAAAAATAAGTTGACTGAAATCTAATGACAAGTCACCTGAATAAATGTTCTGTTCTCAGGTCAGGAGTCAAGGTTAAATCTTTAATTTTATATTGGTATAACTTTTTGGGAAAAAGTTGATCTAAATCAGTTGATAATTCCAATAAGTAACTAACAAATCTCTGGACTAATCATCAAGGTCATTGTGTTAAAAGTAAAGGTCAAACTTGTCACTTTTTATATGCCTGTCTGGATGTAATATAGTGTGGCATCATCTGTCTGTACATCTGTCCATCCTCAGTTCATTGTGAGCTTTTATTGCTGGCCAGTGAGCTGTTATAAACCAGAAATAAAACTTGATCTGAATGAGATAAGTACATGCATGATACGAGATTATAAAAAATAAGTGAATTTTAATAGATGACCTATTGCCATTGTGCATTGTCTGTTATCATCCATCGTCCACAAAATTTTCCTTTAAAACACTACTCCTGCTAAACTACGAGGTGGATTTCAACCAAATTTGGTCTGAAACACCAATGGGGGTGGGGGATCACTTCTTATGATTTTATAGAAATTTGATTCGACTCCTAGGGACCTTGGATGGGGCGCCAAAGGGGTAGTTAAACAAAACTTAACTTCAAAATGCTACTCTTCCTCAATGCTTGAATTCAACTTTTGTCTGTTACATCTGTAGGGGTTGGCAAATAATTCTTAAATTGATATAATTGATTCCACTCCTAGGGACTTGGGGGCGGGGTCCAAAAACGGGGAAATTAGACAAAATTAGTCAAAATTTTGCTTCAAAATGCTACTCTTTCTTAATGCTTAAAAGAATTTCAACCAAATTTGGCCTGAAACATTATTGAGAATGGGGAATCATTTCTCAAATTCGGAAAGTTGCTCGATCTCTAGTTAAAAGGAATGACCTTGATCCGCTTGAAAGTCACAGGGATCAAATGTGTTGAAAGGCTTAAGCAACTTCCTCTCAATAACTGAAAGGCCCAGGATGATGATATTAGAATGTTGAAGTTAAAAAGATGCATGGATATTTAATTAATAATTGACAAAAGAAGGCGTTACATTTTGCACTAGCACTTTCACTGTAATTGAATGACATAAGAAATTGTTATGCCAGTACATTTATCATATTTGGGTTTTATACCAACAGCTGGGTGCAAGGGATAATGCCACACTTTGCAGCTCCTTGTAATATTTCATATCATAGTTAAGCGCTTTTGCTTCAGATGATGGTGAGGTATATATTTGGGACATGAATACACGGGACTGTGTACACCACTTTACTGATGATGGCTGTACGAAGGGTACCAGTTTGGCTGCTTCTCCTAATGGCCAGTACCTTGCTTGTGGGTAGGTAAACTTTTTTTTTTTTTGGGTGGGTAAAATTATGTCTGTTTGTGGTTAGGTAAACGTATGTCTGTTAGTGGGTAGGTAAACTTATGTCTGTTAATGGGTAGGTAAACGTATGTCTGTTAGTGGGTAGGTAGACTTATGTCTGTTAGTGGGTAGGTAAACGTATGTCTGTTAGTGGGTAGGTAAACTTATGTCTGTTAGTGGGTAGGTAAACTTATGTCTGTATGTGGGTAGGTAGACTTATGTCTGTTAGTGGGTAGGTAAACTTATGTCTGTTTGTGGGTAGGTAAACTTATGTTTGGTTTTGGATTGATAGCTTACATTGTGTTTACGCATAACATCATGTTGTAGTTTGTGTTTACACATTCTTAACAAGGTCGTACAGTGGAGTGGTAAACATATACGAGACCAAGACCTGCAGAACATCTAGATCACCAAAACCCTTAAAAGCACTGATGAACCTGACAACACCATGTACAGATGCCATCTTTCATCCATCATCAGAAGTGCTGGCATTATCTTCAAACTTCACAGAAAAGGCTGTTAAATTGGTATGATGTTATTGTGTACTGTCAAAACTGATATGACAGGGTATTTATTTGTTCTTCAATATTGTGAGATAAATGATGACAGTTTGTGAGATAAATGATGACAATTTGGGAGATAAATGATGGCTCTTTATTGTGAGATAAATGATGGCTCTGTATTGTGAGATAAATGACGACAATTTGTGAGATAAATGGCTCTTTATTGTGAAATAAATGACGACAATTTGTGAGATAAAGGACTCTTTATTGTGAGATAAATGATGGTGAAATAAATGACAATTTGTGAGATGGCTCTTTATTGTGAATGGCTCTTTATTGTGAGATAAATGACGACAATTTGTGAGATAAATGGCTCTTTATTGTGAGATAAATGACGACAATTTGTGAGATAAATGGACTCTTTATTGTGAGATAAAGGACTCTTTATTGTGAAATAAATGACGACAATTTGTGAGATAAAGGACTCTTTATTGTGAGATAAAGGACTCTTTATTGTGAGATAAATGATGGCTTTTCATTGAGATAAATGATGGTTCTTTATTGTGAGATAAATGATGACACTTTATTGTGAGATAAATGACAACTACAAGTTTATCTCTGATTTTTTACAGACTCACCTTCCATCTATGACTGTGTTTTCCAACTATCCTGATCGTCTGGATAATGAGTTACGTGTGCCGCGGTCAATGGACTTTTCACCTAATGGTGGCTACTTTACTGTAGGCACTAATAAAGGCAGCGCCCTGTTATACAGGTAGTCAACCTTTTAATCATCAGATGAGTAGGCCAAAAAACTGGACTTATAATTAGATCTGTATCATTAGCTCAAATGGTCCATTGAGTTCAACTACTATTTGTTTTACAAAGAAAACATTGTTGGGTCATAAACCATTTTCTACAAACTTAAAATTTAATGTATGTTACTGCTCAAATACCATGGCTCTGGACCTATTGCTTCTTGGAAAAAGAATTTTAAGATCTCAATTCATAAGACCTAACCTTGAAAGTAGTGGTTATGGTCAAATTATTTGAATAGATTTAGGTAGCCCTTTTTCAAGTTATGAAAGACATTGCTTTTGAATAGAAATGACCTTCACCTTATCAAAAGGTCAAATTTTCTAACAGTAAAGAATCCATCGGTCAAAGATGTGTCTTTTAGACTTTGAATTTGCTTTTTCACATTAGATATACTCTCTTTGAATGTGTGTAAATCATGTAACACCAGGTGAACAATGCAAGGTTGGGTCTTCTGGTGTCTCACTGTATCCTATTAAGTATCTACCCATGACCTCTATCAGCTCGTGTCTCACTGTATCCTATCAAGTATCTACCCATGACCTCTATCAGCTCGTGTCTCACTGTATCCTATTAAGTATCTACCCATGACCTCTATCAGCTCGTGTCTCACTGTATCCTATCAAGTATCTACCCATGACCTCTATCAGCTCGTGTCTCACTGTATCCTATCAAGTATCTACCCATGACCTCTATCAGCTCCATCCTGTGGTATTCTCATGTTAGAAAGTATTTAGATGTATATCTGATAACCTCTTGGTTCTTTCTTTAGTAGGACAATCATTACCATTACAAAGAAAAGCCTTTGTTTGTGACAGTAGACAATAAATTTATACATTATTTTCTTCTTTATTTTTCTCTTTTCAGATTGAAGCACTATGGTAATTACTGAGGACGGAGTATGCAATTTTGTAAATAAAGTATAAGAGAAAACTGTTTCCTTTTGTATGTGGTTTATATCAGTTATGCTAGCCAAGGTATCTATCAGTCATGGTAGCCAGGGTAATATATCAGATAAAGTGGGTCAAGGCCATTCATTTGATTAAAGTTGGTAGCTGTTTTATACAAGCATGCTACAGGACTTATATCAGCACTCTGGGCCTTTTGATTATTGAGAAGAAATCCTTTCAATAGACAGTTTACACATGGTACACAGCGACAGAAAATCACAATGGCTATAGGTCATCTTGACCTAAAAATACAACAGAACACAATGAATGGGAATTAATGGTTTTGATTTTATTTTTAAAGAAGCAAGGTTGGTAATTAAAATATTCCCTTGTTGATATTGACTGTCTTATTGTCTTTGTCGTTGCCAGACATTTCATTGATAGATAATAGTTTTGAATCTTTATGATAATGTATGCACAGGAATTCAAATTTATTAAGCAGAAATAATTGTAAAATAAATAATGTAATGCATTACATCTCATGCGTTCAAAATATTCCATCACCTTAGTATTTCTCCTGGATGTCAATTGTCCATACATAGTGTGAAAGTACAGGATGTATAATGACAATAGTTACGTGTATTTTTACTAAACCATTAAATAGTATTTGGTAACCCACCAAAGAACCTAAACACAGTGTTAAAACTTTGTAACATCCACACTTTGACCGTTTAACACAGAGACTGGTGTCAATGTGTCACTGTGTAAGTCAGTAATGTAGTAATGTCCACACTGTGACCATTAGTCTCCACACACGCCGTGTTACTGTCTACATTGATGTGAAACACTGCCTTGTCTGAGAGGACGGTCTTGCCACGGTCAGGCTCATTAAGATCAGGAACCCTCCTCATCTCCTGCTCCGACTTAAACACCATGATTTCCATCTGATTAGGATCTAGAGTAAAAAAAATCACATATTTCGATGAATAAATACCATTTAAATATTTTCATTTTGTCAATGATTCATCAGTGATCCAACCAAAAACAATCCTTGTTATCACTATTTCTTGAGAAATACTCAAGGAATATTTCTCATACTTCACAGGTAAGCTCTTTCTGTCCTCAATTGTAACAATTTAAATTTGTGTCCCATCAGTAAGCAAATGGCCGACAGGTAGCATTCTTGAATTACAACAACTGGAAAATTGTTATTGCTATTTCCTGAGAAGTACAGAAGAGATATTTTGATGTGTATATTTCTCATAGTTGTGGCAATTCAATCTCAAGTCCTATCAATGAAACAAAAAGCCTGACACACAGCCATCTTCGATTTCAAAAGTTGAAGTTTGTTTTCAAAATTTCTTGAGAAGTAGTGGAGGGACATTTCCCAAACTTCATGTGTGTTTTCCCCTCTGTCCCTAAAGTATGCCAAATCAATTTTGAGGCCCCTGGGTCTTCATCAGAAAGAGTCATTAAGTGTCTGTTAATATCCTATACACTTTTTTTTGTATTAACACAGAGAATGAAACCCCATGAGTAGAAATGTCTAGACAAGTTTGAACTTATTTGCCATCATGACAACTAAAATGCATACAGAATAAACATGTTGAAAAATTAATTCTATATTTCTACTACATGTAGTTTATGCCTATCTGATGAACAATATGATCACTGTCCATATCATAAGGCCTAGTGGCCTAGTGGCCTTGATGGTCTCTCCAGATAAGCAATATTGAATATAAAGGTTAAATGATAGTTATCAAGTGTCAAACAAGAGATCCCAGAGGGATCTTGGTGCCCACCATTTGAGGATCTGTTTTCAGTTCTTGAAGATTTGTTTATTTTTTGTTTGTTTGTTACAGGTGTTGTAAATGTTCATGAACTGGTCTTCATTGAATGTACTCAATGATGGCACAAGATATTTTTATTAAGCACCTATTAGGAAATATCATTTGAAAAAGATCCCAAAGTATTATTAGATAGCAGTCAGTTACAGGTGGATAATGGACAAAATGCTTGTGCTGTATTACTGTCCACATCCAAGATGGCAGCCTGTGGGCCACCTTGATTTCAAATCAGTCCAAAAAAGGTACAATGCACAACTAGGGACCAAGGGAAACCAATATCTATGAAATATCAGAAGGATCCATCCAGTACTTCCTCAGATATAGCAGTAACAAGATTTTACTCTCAAAATCCAAGATGGCTGCCTGTCAGCCATCTTGACGGATCAGTCCAAAAAGGTATAATGCACAACTTGGAACCAAAGGAAACCTGCATATGAAATTTGAGAAAGATCCATCCAATACTTTCCAAGAAATAGCAGTAACAAACTTTTACTTCCAAAATCCAAGATGGCCACCTGTCGGCCATCTTGAATTCGAATCAGTCAAAAAAAGGAACAATGCACAACTAGGGACCAAGGGGAAACTGCATATGAAATTTGAGAAAGATCCATCCAGTACTTTTCCAGAAATAGCGGTAACAAACTTTTAATTCCAAAATCCAAGATGGCCGCATGTCGGCCATCTTGAATTCGAATCAGTCCAAAAAAGGTACAATGCACAACTAGGGACTAAGGGGAAACTGCATATGAAATTTGAGGAAGATCCATCCAGTACTTTCCAAGAAATAGCAGTAACAAACTTTTACATTCAAAATCCAAGATGGCCACATGTCAGCCATCTTGAATTCAAAAATCAGTCCAAAAAAGGTACAATGCACAACTAGGGACTAAGGGGAAACTGCATATGAAATTTGAGGAAGATCCATCCAGTACTTTCCAAGAAATAGCAGTAACAAACTTTTACATTCAAAATCCAAGATGGCCACATGTCAGCCATCTTGAATTCAAATCAGTCCAAAAAAGGTACAATGCACAACTAGGGACCAAGGGGAAACTGCATATGAAATTTGAGGAAGATCCATCCAGTACTTTCCAAGAAATAGCAGTAACAAACTTTTACATTCAAAATCCAAGATGGCCACATGTCAGCCATCTTGAATTCAAATCAGTCCAAAAAAGGTACAATGCACAACTAGGGACCAAGGGGAAACTGCATATGAAATTTGAGAAAGATCCATCCAGTACTTTTCCAGAAATAGTGGTAACAAACTTTTACTTCCAAAATCCAAGATGGCCACCTGTTTGCCATCTTGAATGCGAATCAGTTCAAAAAAGGTACAATGCACAACTAGGGACCAAGGAGAACCTGCATATGAAATTTGAGAAAGATCCATCCAGTACTTTTCCAGAAATAGCGGTAACAAGAATTGTTTACGGACGGACGGACAGACGACGGACGGAGGACGGACCACGGACGCAGGGTGATTTGAATAACCCACCATCTATTAGATGGTGGGCTAAAAACAGAAATTGTGACACTGAATATAGTAAGCCAGTGTCAATACATGGATACCACCAAAACTGTCATCCTATACTGATAATTCTAATAAAGTTATTTTCAGAGGGAATAAAGAAACATTATGCTCAAAAATACTATTTTTCTATGAAAATTACAATAAAGTCTAAAACAAATATTCCTCCCCAGGAAGAAATGTGGTTTTAGTAATTAAAGCACCTTTAGATGCTTCCTTTCATGAAGAATATTTGATTCTACCATATAGGGGTCTTGAGAATTTTTTTTTTTTTAAATTTAAGTCAACTGACCCATGTTGGCCTGGCCATCAGCTCCTGGGGGTCAGTCAGGATCAAAATGGGCATACCATCAAAAGCCATCATCCTTCATTCATCATTCTAACCAAGTTTGAAATATTTCCAATGAAAATTAAACAATTTATGCTCAAAAATGTTTACCTCCTCCCCACGAAGATATGTGAGACCTTGGGACAATGAAATTCAAAATTTTGGTAAAGCACCTGAAGATGCTTCCATTCATGATGAGTATTTGATTCTACCATATCTGGGTCTTGAGAAGAAGGTTTTTGAAATTTAAGTCAATTTTACCACTTTGCACCCTGCCCCTCACGCCCCTGGGGTTTTGGGACTGTATAATTCATAATTTTTGTTCATGTAATGCCAGGGAAGGTTTCTGCAAAATTTCATTGAAACTGGAACTGGGGTTTTTCAGAAGAAGTCAAAAGTGTTAAATTGTTTATGGATGCACGACGCTGGATGAAGAGTATAAGAATACAAGTGCAGCTATAATCATTACAAGAGAATATTTCAAAACTAGAAGAGACAACTCAAATAAAAACTTTGGAAAATTATTATGTTCAAACAGAGTTATCTACCCTAAGATCTGAAAATAAATATTCAACAATGCTTGTAATTGCATTTAGAGCACTTCTTCAATAGATCAGAACTTACTAAATGTGTATACAATAACTTTTCATTCAATGCTTCATTCACATTTTTCAAAAATTTCAAATTTTGGTTGCCATGGCAACTTTAAAATGCAAAAAGAAATTAATTTACTCTGAAATTTAACAAAAAAGCCTTTTTCAGGTTCCTATTATATATTCTGGTGGTTGACTAAACTACTAATTTTGTTATATACTAACCTTTTTTTATGTCATGAAGTTTGGGCAGCCAGATTAAATTTTATAATTTTAACAACATGTTATACTGGTGTTTAAATAGGAAGCTGATAACCATGGCAACAACCGTGAATGAGTAAATTTCTGGCACATACATATCCTTAGGTTCCTACTCTAGTAGTTCACAGTACTTTGAAGTTTGGAAACATTTTTGTTCACTTCCATCATCAAAAAATTTGCTAATTCCTGGGATTAAGGGGTTTAATACCTTTCATCTTGGACCGATCTGTCTTGAAGAGTCTGTTGATGATCCTTGACTTCACATCACCTTCATAGACAGGGAGAGTCACTTCAAACAGGCCACTATAGGGCTGACAGTTACCTATCCGTACACTGACACTGGGCTGTAATACAAAATAGAGCTGTCAGGTTGGCAGTGTGCAGTAACATAAAACCTGTCAGGTTGACAGAGGGCTATAACATAATCTTGGCTGTCAGGTTGAAAGTGGGCTGTAACATAAACATGGCTGTCAGGATGACAGTGGACTGTAACATAAAACCTGGCTGTCAGGTTGACAGTGGGCTGTAACATAAACATGGCTGTCAGGTTGACAGTGGGCTGTAACATAAAACCTGGCTGTCAGATGACAGTGGACTGTAACATAAAACCTGGCTGTCAGGTTGACAGTGGACTGTAACATAAAACCTGGCTGTCAGATGACAGTGGGCTGTAACATAAAACCTGGCTGTCAGATGACAGTGGGCAGTAACATAAAACCTGGCTGTCAGATGACAGTGGGCTGTAACATAAACATGGCTGTCAGGTTGACAGTGGGCTGTAACATAAACATGGCTGTCAGGTTGACAGTGGGCTGTAACATAAAACATGGCTGTCAGATGACAGTGGGCTGTAACATAAAACCTGGCTGTCAGATGACAGTGGGCAGTAACATAAAACCTGGCTGTCAGATGACAGTGGGCTGTAACATAAAACCTGGCTGTCAGATGACAGTGGGCTGTAACATAAAACCTGGCTGTCAGATGACAGTGGGCTGTAACATAAAACCTGGCTGTCAGGTTGACAGTGGGCTGTAACATAAACATGGCTGTCAGGTTGACAGTGGGCTGTAACATAAAACCTGGCTGTCAGGTTGACAGTGGGCTGTAACATAAAACCTGGCTGTCAGATGACAGTGGGCTGTAACATAAAACATGGCTGTCAGATGACAGTGGGCTGTAACATAAAACCTGGCTGTCAGGTTGACAGTGGGCTGTAACATAAAACCTGGCTGTCAGGTTGACAGTGGGCTGTAACATAAACATGGCTGTCAGGTTAACAGTGGACTGTAACATGAAGCATGACTGTTATGCCAGAGTGAGGAGAGAGAGGAAGAGACTGCGGGGGGCACAGTCCTCCCTTACCATGTTATAGTTACCTGAGTGTGGAGGGTGAGGAAGGGACTGCCAGGGACACAGTCCTCCCTCACCTTCTTGTCCCCTTCCTCTGACCACTTCACCTCTAGTCCCTCCACCTATAGGGAACAAAAAAGATAGTAAGCATCATACATGTAAAACATACAGACATTTCAAAGAGCAACATCACTGCCTGCATCTAAAAAGAAGTAACTGTGTTAATGTTTCATTTCCATTTATTTCTTTACAACTGACCAGATGAATTGAGATTAAGGAACAAGAGACCTTTAACATGAGATCCAAGAGAGATCTTGGTGCCCACTTTGTTTGATCTTCATATGTTCTTTCAAAGTTGGATCTTTTCCCTTCTTTTCTCTATTTTTGCTCTCAATGATAAGACATTTGAACATTCCTTTGCAGAAATAGTGATGATAATCTTTACAATTTTGTTTCTTCTGATCAGTCCCAAAAGCAAACGAGCACGCGGAGAGACCAATAGTATGAAACTTGAGAGATATCCATTCAGTACTTCTTAAGAAATAGCAATAACAAGTTTAACAAGGCAAAATCAAAGATGGCTGCCTGTCGGCCATTTTGTTTTTCTGATCAGTCTCCAACTCAAATAGGCACAACTAGAGACCTAAAGAAGTCTACACATGATATATGAGAAAGATCGATCTATACAGTAGTTCTCAAGAAAAAATGATAACAAACTTTCGAACTCAAAATCCAAGATGGTGCTTATGAGCCATTTCATTTTTTCTGATCAGTACTAAAATCAAACAGGCATAACTAGGGACAAAAGGGAGCCTACATATGACATTTAAAAAAGATCAATCTAATACTTCTCAAGAAATAGCGATAACAAACTTTCAAAGTCAAAATCCGAGATGGCTGCCTTTCGGCCATTTTGTTTTTCTGATCATGCCCAAAATTAAATAAGCACAACTAGGGACCAAGGGGAATCTACTTCTGAAATTTATGAAATATCCATCATGTACTTCTCAAGAAAAAAGCAATAACAAACTTGCAAAGTCATCAGATGGTGGGCTGTAAAATGTGAAGGTATAAAATTGAAAAATTCAAAATAAGTTTAATCAAATTTGTCACCGATTCAATAATTTTATACACTTAATCAGAGGTCAAATGTGCCTGTCTTGTTTGCCTGTTGTGCAGCTTTAACAAAACAGCTTAAGTTACATACTTCATCATGTTTTACCTATGTGACATTGAAAAGTTGTTCAAGATTATTCATTTCAAACCACTGTGACATTGAAAAGTTGTTAAAGATTATTCATTTGAATAAACTTGGTGTCCTGGCACACCAGCATACATACAGGGCTAACATCATTACATCATGGTTAATGAGAAGGGATGGTTTATGTAGAAGTGTTGACATAAGACTGACACCAGATGGCAAATGCTGAACCCTGGCATAAGTCAGTCAGGAACCTATATGGGCATACAATCCTTCGCTCAAATTCTGATCAAGTTTGAAACATTTCCAATGGAAATTTTACAAATTATGTTCAAAAATCTATTTTTCTTATATAAACTAGAGTAAACTTTACCCCCTCCCCATGGGGAAATGCAAGACCCTCGGGCCATCATATTCATATTTTGGTAAAGCACCTCATGATGCTTCCATTCATGAAGAGTATTGAATTCTACCATACATGGCTTTGAGAAGAGGATTTTCAAAGTTTTGTTTTATTCAATTTGACCCTTTTGACCCTGCTTCTCAGGCCCCTATGGGGTGGGTACCGTATACTTTACTATTTTGGTTCATCTTAGGCCAGGAAAGGTTTCTGAAAATTTTCACCGAAATCGGTTCTGGGGTGTAAAATGTTTACAAATGCACAACATTCGGCAAAGGTGATCATAATAGGTCACCACGAGACTGTCTTTGGTGACCTAAAAAGCTAGCACTGAAATCCAAACAAGACATTTCAATTGCTTCCCTGCATGTAATGTTAAATATCACAGTAATACATGCCCTGTTAAATAGATTTGAAATGTTCCATTCAACCTTTTTACAATGTTTCAGTTAAAAACAGGCCAACCTAAATTGTTCACCTATTCTGACTTATAACTATTACACTGTACAGGAAATTTAATCAAAATCTTCAAATATTGTATCTTTAATATGTTGCTGGTTTGCTTAGTCTCCTTGTTAATGATACCAACTTATATAGCTGTATCATTCCAAGCCAACATAAGTGCTGATACTTGGATGATATCTGGACACAGTGCATACCTCCAGTGTAGAGACAAGGTACTTATTGTACATCTCCATCACTTCCTTCTCATCAAACTCCATGCTGGTGTTGAGGGCCTTTATGCCAGAAGTTTTCACTCCCTCCTTCATCAGCTGGACAAATGGCATCAACTTCTTCTGGTATTTCTGCAGGTCAGGGACATTGTTCAAAGCAGTTGCAATCACCTTATTGTCAGGCAAGCCATTATGTTCCTGTGGGTGAGAAATGAAGCCATTTTACAAACAGAAAGCAAACATTGTCTGATCAGTCCTTTCTCTAGTATAAATTACCACTAGCTCTATTTAGGGAATAGAATGCTTGTCTTTATGCATATACTTGAGATTACATCATGAATTTCGGTTTTAACACAAGATGCAGCCGAGTGTTAAACCAACAAAGTGGTCAAGGTATTTGCTCACTAAAGCAGATCAATAAAACAGCAGACATCAACAAGGGAATAATGATAGTAAAGTCATCTGAAGTTTACGTATTGTATTTATGTATTGTTCCAGTAAAGAGACTATGTAACATGATTTTATTTAGTTGTAATATCGTAACCGAAGTTGTTCCCAGGATTGAGAATATTGCCTTTAGTATTGATTACTGTGAATCTTTATTAACATTCTGACATTACCAACAAACTCACAAGAAACAGAAAAACATGTCACAATGATTATCATCATACCCTCCACTTAACATTTCGATGCTAGTGGAAATTTTTAGGAAAAATATTGATGAACAATCTGACGTTGAACAGAAAACGGAGGGATCGACAGACTGGCCAGCAAGCTAATGATAAGGTATTTCCTTTGTGAAAAGTTTGACAAAACTCATTAGAAAGGAACTCAATACAGTGAAATCATTGAATTAATTGATTTTTTTTATAGTTTTGCTGACCTTGACTTACCTGTTGTAGTAAACATGATTGACCTACCTGATACAGTTGCAGTAATTTTTGGAGTACAGTGGTTTGCCAGGCTGGATACGTCTTGGCCACCCAGATGGTGCCATGTGACGGCTTGCTAATCGCCTGTTTCTTGCCCTTCCCTGGTGTCATCAACTGCTTTTGCCGTATGCGAAAGTTGTGTGCAGAATTCATGATGTATTGAGACATCTGGATGAGTTTGTCATCAACTGGACCAGCCTGTGGCCAGGATGCATGCATGATGCTTTCTGTATTACCAAGGAGGCCCCACAGATGTTCACAGATGTGAGGACAAATTGGGCTCAGCATCAGAGTCTGTGTCCGGATGAAGAGCAGCAACAGATCTTTGTGCATGCCTTCCAGTTCCAGCTCGCGATACTTGTCTCGTAAACCCTGTCAGATTAAACACTTTGTTGTAGTTAAGATATGTAGGTATAAAGAAGCGATTCTGTCCACAAATTGTTGTCAATAGACATCATAGGCATCTTGGCCATTGCTGACTATCAGTTTGATCATTTGAATCAGGGTTATTAATTCAAATTATGAAATAAGGATGAACCTACTAATCTGTTTTTTTGACAAATTGGAAAACCCTTTCAAAACTGTATGAATATCGGCAGGTCTGTCTCAATTTATAAATACAGTGGAACCAGCATAATATCATGTTATATTTTTCAGGGGAAAATGTGATAATAAGTGGAATGTGACATAAACAGTTGACACATTTTTCAGGATGTCTAAACCTGGAAGTTAATTTTCAGATGCACCAAACTGACTTGTTTCTTACAGAAATTGTTTAAAGACAATAAATTTTGAATATTCTATGAAAAATCCTTTGATACAAAAATAGGCCAAAAGAGTGTTGATTTAATGAAATAACTGAATGGCAATCATAATTATCATGAATGATAATGACAATTAATTCAGTTTAAATTTTGCTTAATTCTAACTTGAAGTTAGAATTGGTTATTTAAGCATTTTAAGCATTGTATCAGAAATGTGTTTTCAAGATGGCGACATTCGTAATGACAACATTGACATGCCGCGGTTTGGTATTTCATGGGTCATTGTAAAAAGAAACAAAACAAACACAATTTTTTGTAAATTACTGTTCATGGTTGATTATTTTCTTAAATGTTTTTACAAAATAATCTCTTTTTTTTGTTTTGAAATTGATCCCAGAATGCTTACTAAGACTTATTTTCGTGAAGTTTTGGCAGCTTGTTGGAAAACTCCCAACATTGGTTGCATCATGACAAGTTCCAAGTGACAAGGTCTTAAATCCCATTTAAACACTTGGAATGCACCAGCCAATTACAAAAACAAACGTACTTCCTTCAACCAAGCTGTACCAGTGTCTTTTGTTACCAGTGACTAATTTTCTAAATATTGTACATGTGTTTTTAGTGTCAGTGTCTAATTTACATTATTTTCACCATAAAGATTGCTGGGCAAATATTGAACTGACACATTTAAATTAAGAAAGAATGGCAATATTGTAAGATTGATTCCTGCTTTAAAATGGCAAAAAATAGATATTCCAATTCTTCCATAAAATGACAAAATCTGTACATAGTGAACTTACCTATAACACTATAACATATATGATTTATTTTTAATTGTTGTATTGCAGTACATATACAGTGCAACTTCTCCAAACCAATCCTTCTCATAACCAATCAAGACCCAAGACCAGCAGACTGTGAAATCGACAACAGTTATAATCTTTGTTCACAATAACTACCCTGATCAGGAGAGTTATAAGAAACATATTGTAAAATTGACTCTGACACGTACACCTGTCCGGGTTAGGCTTTGTTCACAATAAGTATCCTGATCGCGAGGGCTATAATAAATATAATGTAAAAGTTACCTACAATGACAAATTGAAACCATATCAAAAGAGTGAGGGAGAAAGAAAATAAGAACCGATGCAGAGTCAGAAATTATCAGCAGTAAATATATAGGTTGTGATCCAGTGAATAGGGATTATCAGTTCGACAAGAAATTCACTGAAGGGAGGAATATCTCTGCAATACCTCTCTAGAAATAGTGAAGTTTTGATAAAGAATTTGTGAGAAAAACAGTAAGAAATACCTATACTGTTTACAGAAGGAGTGATCTACACATCTCCATTAGACAAACAGTAAGAAATACCTATACTGTTTACAGAAGGAGTGATCTACACATCTCCATTAGACAAACAGTAAGAAATACCTATACTGTTTACAGAAGGAGTGATCTACACATCTCCGTTAGACAAACAGTAAGAAATACCTATACTGTTTACAGAAGGAGTGATCTACACATCTCCATTAGACAAACAGTAAGAAATACCTATACTGTTTACAGAAGGAGTGATCTACACATCTCCATTAGACAATACTTCTACCCAGAACCTCTCTTTATTCCTCATCACACTCAAGGAAGACGTTTCTTACCTGAAACTCGAAGAATCCTGTACGAATGGCCTCCTTATACATCATCTTCTCGTAGTGGACATTTGTCTCCTCAATAGCTTTATTCATGTCACTGTCAAATACACATCGCATTGTTTTACATACCAAATTCACTGATAATTCTACACAGATAAGCTATCTTCATAAAGAGAAAACCATGGGACAGAACAATATACCCCCGTTCCATACCAAAATGTATATAACTATATATAGATGTAGAAATAAAACGACAATTAAGTCAAAATACTTCTGAGAAAACATATTTTCATGTCATTAAGATCAAAGTTACAATACAAAACTAAGAGAATCTATAGACAAGAACAAAAAGATGATCCTAATTATTTGTTTAAAATGAGTTTGATTTTGGACCAAAGCGCAAAAATAAGATTTGTCCAGGACAATCATCTAAGGATCACTTCATGCACGTTTTATATCACTATCAACCCCTAATAATGTTTCAGACCAAACTTTGGTGAAATAAGCCCAGGAATTAAGAAAGAGTACCATTTTGAAGCAAAATATTGTCTTAATTCCAAATTTGGGGCCCCATCCATGTGTCCCTTGAGGTCAAATCAAGTTTCTGAATTAAAGAAATCCCCCCCTACTAACTAAGACTTAGTTCCTGGTTACTGTACAGACCTGTTATCTAATACTTAATTTCTGGTTACCCTAAAGACCCATATAGTTGAGTCCTGGCTAATTAACATACCTGATGAAGACTCTATCACTGCGAGTGTAATCAGCTCCTGAACGGAAACTTCCCTTTTCAGCCAGAATTTCTTTGACCCACTCCATAAAGGTGTAGAGGCGCAGCAGACCAGCCTCAGCCATCACCTCCATAAAGTTAGCATCTTCAATGGTATCCCCTGCTCCGGCCAGGGCCAAACGCATTCCTGTGGAATAAAATATCAAAACCGTCAATACAGGCTACATGGCCAGGGCCAAACACATCCCTGTGTATAAAATATCAGGACCATCATATGACAACGTGGCCAGGGCCAAACACATCCCTGTGTATAAAATATCAGGACCATCATATGACAACATGGCCAGGGCCAAACACATCCCTGTGTATAAAATATCAGGACCATCATATGACAACATGGCCAGGGCCAAACACATCCCTGTGTATAAAATATCAGGACCATCATATGACAACGTGGCCAGGGCCAAACACATCCCTGTGTATAAAATATCAGGACCATCATATGACAACATGGCCAGGGCCTAACACATCCCTGTGTATAAAATATCAGGACCATCATATGACAACATGGCCAGGGCCTAACACATCCCTGTGTATAAAATATCAGGACCATCATATGACAACGTGGCCAGGGCCAAACGCATTCCTGTGTATAGAATATCAGGACATCATATGACAACATGGCCAGGGCCAAACACATCCCTGTGTATAAAATATCAGGACCATCATATGACAACATGGCCAGGGCCTAACACATCCCTGTGTATAAAATATCAGGACCATCATATGACAACGTGGCCAGGGCCTAACGCATTCCTGTGTATAGAATATCAGGACATCATATGACAACATGGCCAGGGCCAAACACATTCCCATGTAATACAAGAGATCCCAGAGGGCCCTTGGCGCCCACCATTGTTTGGTCTTTATTTGTTCTTTGAAAGTTGGACATTTTGTTTTTCTAATCATTCCAAAACTCAAACGGGCACAACTTTGGACCATGAGGAACTTATACATGAAATTTGAGAAAGGTTGATGCTGTAGTTTTCGAGAAATAGCAATAACAAAGTTCATTGAAACAATAGGCCCAAGGTCACCAGAGTCACAATGGTTCTTGTAACATGTCATAGAAATGATTTTGTTAACTATATTGTACATGTAATACAAATATAAATTGTGTATACATTGACTGCTGTGACATGCTAAGTCTTCTAACAAAGTTTGAATTAAAAGAGATTTCACTCAAGATTTGAATTTTCCAATATAAAATCTTCCATCCAGGAACAGTAGAACATCTTTGAAATTCAATTTGACCCACTTTTGGCCCTGCCCAACAGCCCCTAGGGGTCAATCAAGGTCAATATGTGCATCAAACAGCCAGCTTATACTAATAAAAAATCAATTCTAACCAAGTTTGAACTATTTCTATACTATAAAATACAGTAAATCATACCCCTCCCCTGTGGGAAATGTGAGACCCTGGGGCCATGAAATTTACAATGGCCTTTCCATCCATGAAGAGTACTCTTGATGCACGACACACACCACACGATGCACAACGGTGGACAAAAGGGGATCATAATAAAAAGGATAGGCAACAACAGCAATGGGACAGTCAACCACAGAAATATGTCTGGTAACAACTGAAACAGGGCAGGCAACAACAGCAAAAGGAAAGGCAAAAACAGAACAAGCAACAACAGAAATGGGACAGGCAACAACAGAAACGGGACATGTAACTACAGCAACCAGACAAGTAACTACAGAGAAATGGGACAAACAACAACAGAAAAAGGATAGGCAACAACAGAAACAGGGCAGGCAAAAAGAGCAACAGAACAAGCAACAACAGAAATGTTTAATTATTTTTTCTCAATGTATTAGAAAAACAAGCAATCAAATCAGTGCTCCAGATAACCTTTTGACATGTGGGGTTTTCACTCCTACCTTTATGAATTGAGGGGTTTTTTCACCCCTGCCTTCATCAAGTGTATGGGTTTTTCCATATTAGGGTAACACTGAATTTGTAAACATTTTTGACAGCGCCATATTTGCTATGCGACTGGTTTATAATCACGATCAAGAAAGCGCTTGTTACGAGTTTCGTTTACTTGATAAGTGTCTGTTTGACTTAGATTATTGAGTTTTCTAATTAATATTGAGCCGGACATTGACGCAGAGTCCGGATTTCGCACGGGTTAATGACGCAAATCTTATTTTTTTCCTAGCGTGAAATTAGAAATATTGTGCGTGAAAACGCATTCACGCAGGCTATCTGGAGCACTGCAAATACATGTTAGTATGACCTGATGTGAAATTTATGATTCGTGATCAGTGTTTCACTGTAGGTAATGCCAACTGATAGAAGTATGTATAATCTCCTTATATTAAGCTCCAATAAAACTCACCATCAGCTGAGAACTTCTTCAATGCATCACTCAGTGTCAGAAAGTTTCCTGTAGATTTGGACATCTGAAACAAATCCACAACCATTACACCATCTTTATCCTGCAACCTGCACCGACATTGTCAGGATACACCTGACAAGTATATCTGATTCGGCTACGCTTTGTTAACCACTTTGTCATAGATGTGCGAGAGTGGTCAAATCAGTTCAGTACATTGTCATTAATCTTGTGCACTTATTTTCTACAATCTCTACCATCTCATCACACTATTTCAACCTTAGTGTACACAGGATTATAGTACATACAAACAAGCCTGTTGATTCCTTACTATCTCAGACACTACGTTCATCAGTGCTGATCGTAGTCATGGAAATGTCACATTTAAATTTTCCACTAGTTGTGTTATATAGACCCTGGACCATTTATGTTCCCAATCACATGCAAATGAAACAATTAAAGGTCGGGCAAACACAAACAACTATAATGGTCGGGCAAACATAAGCGACTATAAATGGTCGGGCAAACACAAACAACTATAAATGCAAATGCAAAAGTCCACAATAAATGGAAAAATAAACACTGAATGGTCAATGATAAAAACAAAATATGACGAGAGACCTAGTGGCCTTGACGGTCCCCTGAGATAAGCAATATTGAATATGAAGGTTAAAGGGTAGTTATCAAATGTCATGAAACAGAATTGTGACACTGAATGTAGTATGCACAATACATTACTACCAAATGAAATTCCTCTAAGGAGACATTTAAAGGTTTCAACAAATCTGACCCCTGTGATTTTGAATATCACTCAAGGTAAATTTCTTTTTGCAAAGTTGATTGGGCTTCATCCTGGGAAAATACCAGCCAAATACCATGCCTCTAGGCCTTTCAGATCAGCCATAAGAATTTGTGTGTGTAATTATTCCTTGTTAGCCCTTGTATGCTTAATGGTTCCTCATTAAACCTTGTATGCTTAATGGTTCCTCATTAAACCTTGTATGCTTAATGGTATCTTGTTAAAACTTGTGTGTGAAATAATGCCTTGTTGATATTATGTATAATTATGCCTTGTTAAAACTTGTGTGTGTTATGATGCATTGTTAAAACTTGAGTGTAATGATGCCTTGTCTAAACTTCTGTGTAATGGTACATTGTTAAATTGTGTGTGAAATGATTCATTCATTAAAAATTGTGTGTAATAAAGTCTAGTTAAAACTTGTGAAAGCAATGATGCCCTGTTAAAACGTGTTTGTGTAATGATTCATTGTTAAAACTTGCATGCAATGATGCCTCATTAAAACTTGTGTCTAATGATGCGTTGTTGACACTTCTGTGTAATAGTAAATTTTTAAACCGTGTGTGTAATGATTCACTGTTTTGAAACTTGTGTGTAATAAAGCTTACTGAAAAATGATGCCTTGTTAAAACTTGTGTGTGTTCCTTGTTAACATTTGAGTGTAATGATGCCTTGTTAAAACCTGTGAGTGTAATGATGCCTTGTTAACACTTGAGTGTAATGATGCCTTGTTAAAACCTGTGTATGTAATGATGCCTTATTAACACTTGTGTGCAATGATGCCTTGTCAAAACTTGTGTGTGTAATGATGCCTTATCAACACTTGTGTGTAATAATGCCTTGTTAACACTTGTGTGTAACGATGCCTTGTTAACACTTGTGTGTAATGATGCCTTGTTAACACTTGCGTGTGAAATGATGCCTTGTTAACACTTGTGTGTGTAATGATGCCTTATCAACACTTGTGTGTAATGAAGCCTTGTTAACACTTGTGTGTGTAATGATGCCTTGTTAACACTTGTGTGTGTAATGAAGCCTTGTTAACACTTGTGTGTTATAATGCCTTGTTAACACTTGCGTGTGTTATGATGCATTGTTAAAACTTGTGTGTAATGATGCCTTGTTAAAACTTGTGTGTAATGATGCCTTGTTAAATCTTGTTTGAGTATTGCCTTGTTAAAACTTGTGTGTGTTATGATGCCTTGTTAAAACTTGTGTGTAATGATGCCTTGTTAAAACATGTGTGTAATGATGTCTTGTTAAAACTTGTGTGTAATGATGCCTTGTTAAATCTTGTTTGAGTATTGCCTTGTTAAAACTTGTGTGTGTTATGATGCCTTGTTAAAACTTGTGTGTAATGATGCCTTGTTAAAACTTGTGTGTAATGATGCCTTGTTAAAACTTGTGTGTAATGATGCCTTGTTAAAACTTGTGTGTAATGATGCCTTGTTAACACTTGCGTGTGTAATGATGCCTTGTTAACACTTGTGTGTGTAATGATGCCTTATCAACACTTGTGTGTAATGAAGCCTTGTTAACACTTGTGTGTGTAATGATGCCTTGTTAACACTTGTGTGTGTAATGAAGCCTTGTTAACACTTGTGTGTTATAATGCCTTGTTAACACTTGCGTGTGTTATGATGCATTGTTAAAACTTGTGTGTAATGATGCCTTGTTAAAACTTGTGTGTAATGATGCCTTGTTAAAACTTGTGTGTAATGATGCCTTGTTAAAACTTGTGTGTAATGATGTCTTGTTAAAACTTGTGTGTAATGATGCCTTGTTAAATCTTGTTTGAGTATTGCCTTGTTAAAACTTGTGTGTGTTATGATGCCTTGTTAAAACTTGTGTGTAATGATGCCTTGTTAAAACTTGTGTGTAATGATGTCTTGTTAAAACTTGTGTGTAATGATGCCTTGTTAAATCTTGTTTGAGTATTGCCTTGTTAAAACTTGTGTGTGTTATGATGCCTTGTTAAAACTTGTGTGTAATGATGCCTTGTTAAAACTTGTGTGTAATGATGCCTTGTTAAAACTTGTGTGTAATGATGCCTTGTTAAAACTTGTGTGTAATGATGCCTTGTTAACACTAGCGTGTGTAATGATGCCTTGTTAACACTTGTGTGTGTAATGATGCCTTATCAACACTTGTGTGTAATGAAGCCTTGTTAACACTTGTGTGTGTAATGATGCCTTGTTAACACTTGTGTGTGTAATGAAGCCTTGTTAACACTTGTGTGTTATAATGCCTTGTTAACACTTGCGTGTGTTATGATGCATTGTTAAAACTTGTGTGTAATGATGCCTTGTTAAAACTTGTGTGTAATGATGCCTTGTTAAAACTTGTGTGTAATGATGCCTTGTTAAAACTTGTGTGTAATGATGCCTTGTTAAAACTTGTGTGTAATAGTACTTCATTCAAACCTGTGTGTAATGATCTTGTTATCTCTCTTCTTACCTTTTCTGCATTTAACAGCAGATGTCCATTGGCTCTGATTGCTTTCGGCCACTTGGATCTGATAATGTAAGGTTGATCATTAATAAATATAGTTACAGTATTAAAAATTAACACAACCTCAATAAAGCAATTACACATCATATTAAGACACTATATATTATGACTGTTTTTCCTGCAAAAAGCAAAGAAACAGACAAGAAAGTATTGTCAGTCCAGGTAACAATGGCTTGTGTCCTACTTGTGTACCACTAACAGGAAAGTGTTGTCAGCTTGTGTAACAAAGGCTTGTCTCCTACTTAACAGGAAAGTGTTGTCAGCCTGTGATTAAATGACCATTGGCCTACTTATCAGAAGAGTGTTGTCAGCCTGTGATTAAATGGCCATTGGCCTACTTATCAGAAGAGTGTTTTCAGTCTGTGATTAAATGGCCATTGGCCTACTTATCAGAAGAGTGTTTTCAGTCTGTGATTAAATGGCCATTGGCCTACTTATCAGAAGAGTGTTTTCAGTCTGTGATTAAATGGCCATTGGCCTACTTATCAGAAGAGTGTTGTCAGCCTGTGATTAAATGGCCATTGGCCTACTTATCAGAAGAGTGTTTTCAGTCTGTGATTAAATGGCTATTGGCCTACATAACAGGAAAGTGTTAAAGTGGTAAACTACTTTTTAGAGATAAACAGGGGGCTATGCAGCTGAATGTGAAAATACAGAATTTTTTTAACTTTCCACAAACCTAAGGAGCTATAGAAACCAACATATGGAATTTTATCATTTTTCCACCCCACTAAGTACCAGAGGAAACCTAAATATGAAGTTTAAGGACAATCAATCATGTACTTTCCAAGCTATTGCAATGACAAACTTTAATTCTTAAAATACAAGATGGCAATGGCCATTTTCTTGTTTTCAAAATGACTCTAAAATTAAATAGGAACAAAAGAAAACTTCAAATGAAATTCAAGAAAGATTAAGACAGTAATTTGAAAAAAAAATGTTATAACAGATCAGAAACACAAGGCAATGTGACCTACGGACATCATTAGAGCTGAGTTTATTACCAAGCATGAGCATATACTCAGTAAAATACCTCAATAACAGCATTAAAGACAGCCTAGTCATCATCTCTGTGTAATAGTGCTGTACCAACTTACGTATCATCAGGCCACATGGCACAGTGGTTATAGATGTAGTAGGTCAGGTGGTTAGGGACCAAGTCTTTGCCTGATACTCGTAGGTCAACTGGGTACCAGTAGTTGAACTCTGTTTTCATCCTGTCCAGTGTGGACAGTGGGATGTCTGTAGTGGGAACCTTGGCATTGCTGAAGAATATGTAATCCCATACTTCTGGCGTCAGCTGATCTGCTCTGGAAACAAAAGAAATATCCAACATATTTATAGTAATAATTATACAGTTTAACATCTTAGGATAAAATTGCTATGTAGTAAACACTTAATGACTGACTTACTTTTATAGTTAACGAAGACTTCTTAAGCCCTACTCTTAAAATATCTAAGCATTCCCAGTTGCTTGACAAGTATATATCTCAAGTGGTGTGTTCTCTCTATACAAACCTAACATTGATGGGACTCTCAGCACTGCCGTCGAACACGCCTCCCTGCAGTAGATGTGCTACAGTGTAGTAAGCCATGTAGATGGTAGAGTCTGACAGAGCTTCAATTACATACTTTGTATCCCACGGTAGTTTTGTCCCTAACAAAGAAACAAAAGGCAAATAATTACTAGAATTCTGTTGGGAGATGAGAAGGGATTGATGTACAAAACATGATGAATGATCTCTTTTCTAGCCTGGTGCAATAAACATCTCTTTTCTCATCTGGTTCAATAAACATTTCCTTTGTCTCAGCTGACCTATCAAAATCTTGGCTCAGGACTACCTCTGGACTTATTTTAGGATCATTTCAATGACTTGACAAGTTTAAAATGAGATAGAGTTTTATGTATGACAGATGGTTATGCTAACCCATCAAACAGTATAATACTTGCAATGAAAACAAGAGAATGGAGTTATGATCTTTATACAAATGGTTAATGTTTGGGTGTACCGTGAATTCTTACCTAAACCAAAACTTCTGGAGCAGGCATGTTCATGTAGCCAGTCTAAAGTGGCAATAAAGTTCCTGCGAACTTCGTCAGCATAGGTATCAATATTTTCTAAACATTTCAGGGCTTGTTCTTTCCATTTCTCTTCGCCATAGTCCAAGTACCTGGCAAATCAATGCAATTATTTCATAATCATCACCAATCCATTAATGTACAAAAGAAACAGGCAAGTGTCATCATTTTGAAGATTTAAATATCAAAATTTCATCTCCTTTATAATGGAAGCCTTTTGGTTGATATTGGTTTTATACTGATAGTGTTGAATGGCTGGGAACTAAACCCACAAGAGATAGCACCACAATTTCTTGTCCTGCTAAAATATCCCCTCAGTAGTTCAAGAGCTTAAGTGGTAAAATTAGATAAGTACAGCAACCATAACTGACGAGACATTAGGCCTCTTCATTAAACAAGTTGACTTACCATTGGTCACAGTTAGCCACCACACATTCATCATTGGACCGTGACACCACCAACTTCTCCGGCTCCATGTACTTTACAGCATCCCCCTGGTATAACATAGAAATACATTACCATACAAACAAAGACTACTCATACTGCTGTTACTGTAGAATAAATGGACCAAAGGTGGTTATAACAGAGTGTCTCGATAGGTCGGGTGATCAGATTAGTTATATGGAGGGATAAGTAGTGGTGAACAGGTATTAGTAGTAAGGAGGGATTTGTGGAGTAGTGGGAGTAGTGGTTTGGAGGAATTAGTACAAGGGATTTCTGAATTTCAGTGGATGGTACTGAGGTGGTGAGAGTAGTGGTGAACAGGTATTAGAGGTAAGGTGGAATTCATGGAGTGGTGGAATTATTGGTAAGGTGGTATTAGTGGTGAGATGGGATTAGTGGTATGGGGGGATTAGTAGTGAGGTGGGATTAGTGGTATGGAGAGATTAGTAGTGAGGTGGGATTAGTGGTATGGAGGGATTAGTAGTGAGGTGGGATTAGTCAATTAGTGGTATGGAGGGATTAGTAATGAGGTGGCATTAGTGGGGTGTTTGGATTAGTGATGAGATGGGATTAGTAGCATACAGGGATTAGTAGTGAGGTGGGATTAGTGGTATGGAGGGATTAGTAATAAGGTGGCATTAGTGGTATGGGGGATTAGTAGAGAGGTAGTATCAGTGATGAGGTAGGATTAGTAGTGAGGTGGGATTAGTGGTATGGAGGGATTAGTAATAAGGTGGCATTAGTGGTATGGGGGATTAGTAGAGAGGTAGTATCAGTGGTGAGGTAGGATTAGTAGTGAGGTGGGATTAGTGGTATCAGTGGTGAGATGGTATTAGTGGTATCAGTGGTGAGGGGGATTAGTGGTATCAGTGGTGAGGTGGGATTAGTGGTATCAGTGGTGAGGAGGGATTAGTGGTATCAGTGGTGAGGTGGGATTAGTGGTATCATTGGTGAGGTGGTATTAGTGGTATCAGTGGTGAGGTGGGATTACCTGTATGGTGATATTAGTAGTTAGGTGGAATAAGTGGTGAGGGGGGATTTGTGTGGAGGTGGTATTAGTGGTATTAAAGGATAAGTGGGATTTGGTGTGATTGGATAAGTAGTAGGGGGGATTATCATATCAATTACTGGAAATTGCAGATGAAATTTGTATACTTACACTTTTAATCATCTTTTCTTGTATGACTTTCTTGACCTCCTCAACTTTCTGTCCTTGGTAGCCTTCCACAATCATAACCTGTATAGAAATTAACCTTAACATACAGAAATGTTATATAGCAAACATCTAGGTAACCAATAATTCAATATAAACATACCATATTAATTGATATTACTCTTCTATAAAATGTTATAGAGCAACCACCAATGTTATCAAAAATTAAATATAAACATACCATATTAATTGATATTACACTTCTATAAAATGTTATAGAGCAACCATCTAGGTAACCAATAATTCAATATTAACATACCATATTAATTAATATGACTCTTTTATAAAATGTTCTATAAAGAGATTATTTGCTCTTACTTCATACTCTGAAGATATGAATTTGTCCAAACGATAGTGAAAGTTGTTGTAAATACTTTCAGGTGGAATAATTGTTATCTAATGTTTAAACACATCAATGCTTGGCATGCTATGAAACATACACACTTACATAAGTAATTAAAAGGTAAAACTTTGGACTTCCTTCTACTCAGACACCTTACAGATTTGTCAGAATGTCAATGTGACTAATTTGATATCCTACAGCCATTACATCATTAGCCAATATGATCACCTTTTCATCGTTTGGATTTCCCTATCAGTTTCAAAATAGGTAAAGGTAGGGTAAGGAACCAAGTATAACCTATATAGGGTAAGGAACCAAGTATAACCTATATAGGGTAAGGAACCAAGTATAACCTATATAGGGTAAGGAACCAAGTATAACCTATATAGGGTAAGGAACCAAGTATAACCTATATAGGGTAAGGAACCAAGTATAACCTATATAGGGTAAGGAACCAAGTATAACCTATATATGAAATTTTAAAAAGATCAATCAAATTCTCCTCAAGAGATTAATTGTCTGTGTACACACTTGTATGACAGTATAAGATTCAAAGCAGACAGAATGATTCTCCTACTTATTTCATGATCTGGAGCAAATAGAAACTCCAGCACTTTCTGATAGCTGGTGCTTAACGAATCAACAATGATGTAATTGATGTGTGATGGACAATGAATAGAAGGCATTTGATATGAAGCATTATTGATATACAACAAAAGCACAGCATGTCTTAAAGACACTAACTTATTGGTTCAGTTCATGGATTTCTGTAACAAGCAATGAAATCACAGTAACTTACTCCATCATAAAATCCTTTTTTGTAGACAGTTTTCTTGGCCTCCAGAAGTTTGTCTTTATCATTCTGGCTCAAAATCTTAAACTCTTCACAGGCTCGTACAGCGCACAGATTTCCATAATCTGGTATGTCAATGATCGGTACCTAGGGAATAATAATTAACATTAGTTACAAAAGTAACTTACAATGTTGACTACAGTAACTAACACTGGTGACAAAAGAAACTAACACTGCTGACTACAGTAACCGACACTGCTGACTACAGTAAGTAACACTGCTGACTACAGTAACTAACACTGCTGACAATTTACTGACACTGCTGACTACAGTAACTAACACCGCAGACTACGGTAACTAACACTGCTGACAATTAAATAACACTGCTGACAATTTACTGACACTGTTAACTACAGTAACTAACACTGTTGACTACAGTAACTAACACTGCTGACTACAGTAACTAACATTGCTGACAATTAACTAACACTGCTGACTACAGTAACTAACATTGCTGACAATTAACTAACACTGCTGACAATTAACTAACACTGTTGACTACAGTAACTAACACTGCGGACTACAGTAACTAACACTGCTGACTAGGGTAAATAACACTGCTGACTACAGTAACTAACACTGCTGACTACGGTAAATAACACTGCTGACTACAGTAACTAACACTGCTGACTACGATAAATAACACTGCTGACTACAGTAACTAACACTGCTGACAATTAACTAACACTGCTGACAATTAACTAACACTGCTGACTACAGTAACTAACACCGCTGACTACAGTAACTAACACTGTTGACTACGGTAAATAACACTGCTGACTACAGTAACTAACACTGCTGACTAGGGTAAATAAAACTGCTGACTACAGTAACTAACACTGCTGACTACGGTAACTAACACTGCTGACTACAGTAACTAACACTGCTGACTACAGTAACTAACACTGCTGACAATTAACTAACACTGCTGACTACAGTAACTAACACTGCTGACAATTAACTAACACTGCTGACTACAGTAACTAACACTGCTGACTACAGTAACTAACACTGCTGACTACAGTAACTAACACTGCTGACTACAGTAACTAACACTGCTGACAATTAACTAACACTGCTGACTACAGTAACTAACACTGCTGACTACAGTAACTAACACTGCTGACTACAGTAACTAACACTGCTGACTACAGTAACTAACACTGCTGACTACAGTAACTGACACTGCTGACTACAGTAACTAACACTGCTGACTACAGTAACTAACACTGCTGACTACAGTAACTAACACTGCTGACTACAGTAACTAACACTGCTGACTACAGTAACTAACACTGCTGACTACAGTAACTGACACTGCTGACTACAGTAACTAACACTGCTGACAATTAACTAACACTGCTGACTACAGTAACTAACACTGGTGACTACAGTAACTAACACTGGTGACAAAAGAAACTAACACTGCTGACTACAGTAACTAACACTGCTGACTACAGTAACTAACACTGCTGACTACAGTAACTAACACTGCTGACAATTAACTAACACTGCTGACTACAGTAACTAACACTGCTGACAATTAACTAACACTGCTGACTACAGTAACTAACACTGCTGACAATTAACTAACACTGCTGACTACAGTAACTAACACTGCTGACAATTAACTAACACTGCTGACTACAGTAACTAACACTGCTGACTACAGTAACTAACACTGCTGACTACAGTAACTAACACTGCTGACAATTAACTAACACTGCTGACAATTAACTAACACTGCTGACTACAGTAACTAACACTGCTGACTACAGTAACTAACACTGCTGACAATTAACTAACACTGCTGACAATTAACTAACACTGCTGACTACAGTAACTAACACTGCTGACAATTAACTAACACTGCTGACTACAGTAACTAACACTGCTGACTACAGTAACTAACACTGCTGACAATTAACTAACACTGCTGACTACAGTAACTAACACTGCTGACTACAGTAACTATCACTGTCTACAGTAACTAACACTGCTGACTAAAGTAACTAACACTGCTGACTACAGTAACTAACACTGCTGACAATTAACTAACACTGCTGACTACAGTAACTAACACTGCTGACTACAGTAACTAACACTGCTGACAATTAACTAACACTGCTGACTACAGTAACTAACACTGCTGACTACAGTAACTAACACTGCTGACTACAGTAACTAACACTGCTGACAATTAACTAACACTGCTGACTACAGTAACTAACACTGCTGACAATTAACTAACACTGCTGACTACAGTAACTAACACTGCTGACAATTAACTAACACTGCTGACTACAGTAACTAACACTGCTGACAATTAACTAACACTGCTGACTACAGTAACTAACACTGCTGACAATTAACTAACACTGCTGACTACAGTAACTAACACTGCTGACTTCAGTAACTTACACTGCTGACTACAGTAACTAACACTGCTGACAATTAACTAACACTGCTGACTACAGTAACTAACACTGCTGACAATTAACTAACACTGCTGACTACAGTAACTTACACTGCTGACTACAGTAACTAACACTGCTGACTTCAGTAACTTACACTGCTGACTACAGTAACTAACACTGCTGACTACAGTAACTAACACTGCTGACTACAGTAACTAAACTAACAGTATCAAATAGCAGCGATATGAATGAAGCACTTACCGGTTCAAAAGGTAGAACCATTTCATCTTTGATTCCATATTTTTCTCTTAGAGGCTGAAACATATAATCAAAGTATTTATTATCAAATCATTAATAAACAAGCACGAGGAGAGACCAAAGGGAACAAACGTATGAAATTTGAGAGACATCCATTCAGTACTTCTTAAGAAACAGCAATAACAATCTTTTCTAGGAAAAATCCAAGATGACAGCCTGTTGACCATTTTCTTTTACTGATCAGTCCCAAACTCAAACAGGTACAACAAAAGACCTAAAGGAACCAATACATGTAATTTGATAAAGAAGATCTGTAAAGTAGTTCTCAAGAAATGGTGATAACAGACTTTTTCAGTCAAAGTCCAAATTGGTCAACTTTCCACCATTTTGTTTTTTTGATCAGACCCAAAATTGAATGGCACAACTTGGGACAAAGGGGAACCTACATATAATATTTAAGAAAGATCCATCTAGTTCTTCTCAAGAAATAGTGATAAAAAACTTTCAAAAGTCAAAATCCAAGATGGCCACCTGTTGGCCATTTTGTTTTTCTGATCAGTTCATGCAAAATAAGATAGGCACAACAAGGGACCAAAAGGAACCTATATAAGAAATTTAAGAAAGATACATCCAGTACTTCTCAAGAAAAAGCGATAACAAACTTCCAAAGTCAAAATCTAAAATGGCCGCCTTTCGGCCATTTTTGTTTTTCTGATAGTCCCAAAATTCAATGTGCACAACTAGGGACCAAGGGAAACCTACATATGCAATTTTGGAAATACGACGGATCACGGATGCAGAGTGATTTGAATTGCCCACCTTCCCACAATCTTAAAACTTGACCCCTTGGTCTTGTATATGCGTCAAAATTTTTATTATTTGCAAGCCTTGTTAGGAGTCATACCAGGAAAATAGGAAAAGTGTATGACTGGCATCACATCACTGCATATGCTCACTTTGTGCCAGGTGGAAGAATAAACCATTTGGTCTTCTCCTCACCTGTGTCTTAAGTACCTGTTTGTGTATGATATTGATGGGTTTTTGTCTGTGATTTATTTGTTTCTTTCTTACCTGCTTGTTTTTCAAGTCCCTCAGAGCAGCAAAGTCATCAGGAGCATCTGATGGAACACTGGTTACCACACCAGTTCCTGCAGTAAAAATGTTGTTCATTTACTATCATGAAATATCCTGTCACTTTCAATCATCGGACTTGTCACAACAGTCATCACATTGTTACAATAGTCATCACATGTTACAATAGTCATCACACTGTTAAATGGGAATCATGTTATTACAATAGTCATCACATTATTACAATAGTCATCACATTGTTATAATGGTCATCACATTGTTACAACAGTTGTCACATTATTACAACCGTCATCAGACTTGTTACAGCAGTCGACAGATCTGTAACAATATAAGCTAATGTGCTACAGACTTAGTGACTGCAGGGGTAAATAAACCACAAGGACACCAACCTTTATCCTCTTTGATGGTCAGCATTGGAAGGGTGTAAATGACCTGGTACTTGCTGAGTGGTCCAGACAAAGCAGCACCCATTATATCCTGTAATTATAGATCAGTATTTCTGTATAACACTATTATATCCTGTAATTATAGATCAGTGTCTCTGTATAACTATTATATCCTGTAATTATAGATCAGTGTTTCTGTATAACTATTATATCCTGTAATTATAGATCAGTGTCTCTGTATAACACTGTTATATCCTGTAATTATAGATCAGTATTTCTGTATAACACTATTATATCCTGTAATTATAGATCAGTGTCTCTGTATAACTGTTATATCCTGTAATTATAGATCAGCATTTCTGTATAACTATTATATCCTGTAATTATAGACTAGTGTCTCTGTATAACTGTTATATCCTGTAATTATAGATCAGTGTTTCTGTATGACTGTTATATCCTGTAATTATAGATCAGTATTTCTGTATAACACTATTATATCCTGTAATTATAGATCAGTGTCTCTGTATAACTGTTATATCCTGTAATTATAGATCAGCATTTCTGTATAACTATTATATCCTGTAATTATAGATCAGTATTTCTGTATGACTATTATATCCTGTAATTATAGATCAGTATTTCTGTATAACACTATTATATCCTGTAATTATAGATCAGTGTCTCTGTATAACTGTTATATCCTGTAATTATAGATCAGTGTCTCTGTATAACACTATTATATCTTGTAATTATAGATCAGTGTCTCTGTATGACTATTATATCCTGTAATTATAGATCAGTATTTCTGTATAACACTATTATATCCTGTAATTATAGATCAGTGTCTCTGTATAACTATTATATCCTGTAATTATAGATCAGTGTCTCTGTATAACTATTATATCCTGTAATTATAGATCAGTATTTCTGTATAACACTATTATATCCTGTAATTATAGATCAGTGTCTCTTTATAACTGTTATATCCTGTAATTATAGATCAGTATTTCTGTATAACACTATTATATCTTGTAATTATAGATCAGTGTCTCTGTATAACTGTTATATCCTGTAATTATAGATCAGTGTTTCTGTATAACTGTTATATCCTGTAATTATAGATCAGTGTCTCTGTATAACACTGTTATATCCTGTAATTATAGATCAGTGTCTCTGTATAACTATTATATCCTGTAATTATAGATCAGTGTCTCTGTATAACACTGTTATATCCTGTAATTATAGATCAGTGTCTCTGTATAACTATTATATCCTGTAATTATAGATCAGTGTCTCTGTATAACACTGTTATATCCTGTAATTATAGATCAGTATTTCTGTATAACTATTATATCCTGTAATTATAGATCAGCATTTCTGTATAACTATTATATCCTGTAATTATAGATCAGTGTCTCTGTATAACTGTTATATCCTGTAATTATAGATCAGTATTTCTGTATAACACTGTTATATCCTGTAATTATAGATCAGTGTTTCTGTATAACTATTATATCCTGTAATTATAGATCAGTATTTCTGTATAACTATTATATCCTGTAATTATAGATCAGTGTTTCTGTATAACTATTATATCCTGTAATTATAGATCAGTATTTCTGTATAACACTATTATATCCTGTAATTATAGATCAGTGTCTCTGTATAACTGTTATATCCTGTAATTATAGATCAGCATTTCTGTATAACTATTATATCCTGTAATTATAGATCAGTGTCTCTGTATAACTGTTATATCCTGTAATTATAGATCAGTGTTTCTGTATAACACTATTATATCCTGTAATTATAGATCAGTGTCTCTGTATAACTATTATATCCTGTAATTATAGATCAGTGTTTCTGTATAACTATTATATCCTGTAATTATAGATCAGTATTTCTGTATAACACTATTATATCCTGTAATTATAGATCAGTGTCTCTGTATAACTATTATATCCTGTAATTATAGATCAGTGTTTCTGTATAACTGTTATATCCTGTAATTATAGATCAGTGTCTCTGTATAACACTGTTATATCCTGTAATTATAGATCAGTGTCTCTGTATAACTATTATATCCTGTAATTATAGATCAGTGTGTCTATATAACTGTTATATCCTGTAATTATAGATCAGTATTTCTGTATAACTATCTCCTGTAATTATAGATCAGTATTTCTGTATAACTGTTATATCCTGTAATTATAGATCAGTATTTCTGTATAACTATCTCCTGTAATTATAGATCAATGTCTCTGTATAACACTATCATATCCTGTAATTATAGATCAGTATTTCTGTATAACACTATTATCCTGTAATTATAGATCAGTGTCTCTGTATAACTATTATATCCTTTAATTATAGATCAGTGTCTCTGTATAACTATTATATCCTGTAGTTATAGATCAGTGTCTCTGTATAACTATTATATCCTGTAGTTATAGATCAGTGTCTCTGTATAACTATTATATCCTGTAATTATAGATCAGTGTCTCTGTATAACTGTTATATCCTGTAATTATAAATCAGTGTTTCTGTATAACTATTATATCCTGTAATTATAGATCAGTGTCTCTGTATAACTATTATATCCTGTAATTATAGATCAGTGTCTCTGTATAACTATTATATCCTGTAATTATAGATCAGTGTCTCTGTATAACTGTTATATCCTGTAATTATAGATCAGTGTCTCTGTATAACTATTATATCCTGTAATTATAGATCAGTATTTCTGTATAACTATTATATCCTGTAATTATAGATCAGTGTTTCTGTATAACTGTTATATCCTGTAATTATAGATCAGTGTTTCTGTATAACTGTTATATCCTGTAATTATAGATCAGTGTCTCTGTATAACTATTATATCCTGTAATTATAGATCAGTATTTCTGTATAACTATTATATCCTGTAATTATAGATCAGTGTTTCTGTATAACTGTTATATCCTGTAATTATAGATCAGTGTTTCTGTATAACACTATTATATCCTGTAATTATAGATCAGTGTCTCTGTATAACTATTATATCCTGTAATTATAGATCAGTGTCTCTGTATAACACTGTTATATCCTGTAATTATAGATCAGTGTCTCTGTATAACTATTATATCCTGTAGTTATAGATCAGTGTCTCTGTATAACTATTATATCCTGTAATTATAGATCAGTGTCTCTGTATAACTATTATATCCTGTAATTATAGATCAGTGTCTCTGTATAACTATTATATCCTGTAATTATAGATCAGTGTTTCTGTATAACTATTATATCCTGTAATTATAGATCAGTGTCTCTGTATAACTATTATATCCTGTAATTATAGATCAGTGTCTCTGTATAACTATTATATCCTGTAATTATAGATCAGTGTCTCTGTATAACTGTTATATCCTGTAATTATAGATCAGTGTCTCTGTATAACTATTATATCCTGTAATTATAGATCAGTATTTCTGTATAACTATTATATCCTGTAATTATAGATCAGTATTTCTGTATAACACTATTATATCCTGTAATTATAGATCAGTGTTTCTGTATAACTGTTATATCCTGTAATTATAGATCAGTGTTTCTGTATAACTGTTATATCCTGTAATTATAGATCAGTGTCTCTGTATAACTATTATATCCTGTAATTATAGATCAGTATTTCTGTATAACTATTATATCCTGTAATTATAGATCAGTGTTTCTGTATAACTGTTATATCCTGTAATTATAGATCAGTGTTTCTGTATAACACTATTATATCCTGTAATTATAGATCAGTGTCTCTGTATAACTGTTATATCCTGTAATTATAGATCAGTGTCTCTGTATAACACTATTATATCATGTAATTATAGATCAGTGTCTCTGTATGTCTATTATATCCTGTAATTATAGATCAGTGTCTCTGTATAACTATATCCTGTAATTATAGATCAGTGTCTCTGTATAACTGTTATATCCTGTAATTATAGATCAGTGTTTCTGTATAACCATTATATCCTGTAATTATAGATCAGTGTTTCTGTATAACTATATCCTGTAATTATAGATCAGTGTTTCGTTATAACTATTATATCCTGTAATTATAGATCAGTGTTTCTGTATAACTATATCCTGTAATTATAGATCAGTGTTTCGTTATAACTATTATATCCTGTAATTATAGATCAGTGTCTCTGTATAACTATTATATCCTGTAATTATAGATCAGTGTTTCTGTATAACACTGTTATATCCTGTAATTATAGATCAGTGTCTCTGTATAACTGTTATATCCTGTAATTATAGATCAGTGTTTCTGTATAACTATATCCTGTAATTATAGATCAGTGTTTCTGTATAACTATATCCTGTAATTATAGATCAGTGTTTCTGTATAACTATTATATCCTGTAATTATAGATCAGTGTTTCTGTATAACTATTATATCCTGTAATTATAGATCAGTGTTTCTGTATAACACTGTTATATCCTGTAATTATAGATCAGTGTTTCTGTATAACTATTATATCCTGTAATTATAGATCAGTGTTTCTGTATAACACTGTTATATCCTGTAATTATAGATCAGTGTCTCTGTATAACTATTATATCCTGTAATTATAGATCAGTGTTTCTGTATAACTGTTATATCCTGTAATTATAGATCAGTGTTTCTGTATAACTATATCCTGTAATTATAGATCAGTGTTTCTGTATAACACTGTTATATCCTGTAATTATAGATCAGTGTCTCTGTATAACTATTATATCCTGTAATTATAGATCAGTGTTTCTGTATAACACTGTTATATCCTGTAATTATCACCCAGTATTTCTGTATTAAACCTGTCCCTTCAGTGTTTGATTCTGTGGATTCATGTTTAGAAACACTCTGGTAAAAATCTGTAGCAAGTTTGCTTTCAAAGACAGGGTCACATTTATACAAAGCCTTGCAAGCTTTCATATCACTGTGATCGACCAACACATTGTCATCTTAACAAAAACACAAGAAAGCTAATGGGACTGTCTATCTGACCAGTCACTTTTTTCTATGTAAAAGAAATCCTAGAAACTGACCTGTCCTGTTAGATTCACTAGAACATCAACCTGGCCTTCCTTCTTAGTGAAACCTTGGTAACACATATTGCGAGCAGATCGTTTTGTTGAGACAAACACTTCACCGTTGGCTAGTTCATGAGCAATGTAAGGGATGGTTGGGTGAATCCAGACATTGGTTTGTCCAAACATCGTCTCTGGACGCAAAGTAGCAGCAGCCAGATACACTTTTCTTCCCTTCAGGGAACTGTCAGATAAAATTATCTTTAAGTAATGGCTTCATCACATAAAATCATCTTTTAGTAATGGCTTAATCAGATGAAATCATCTTTAAGTAATGGTTTCATCAGATGAAATCATCTTTAAGCAATCGTTTCATCAGATGAAATCATCTTTAAGCAATGGTTTCATCTCATAAAATCATCTTTAAGTAATGGTTTCATCAGATGAAATCATCTTTAAGTAATGGCTTCATCAGATGAAATCATCTTTAAGCAATCGTTTCATCAGATGAAATCATCTTTAAGCAATGGTTTCATCAGATGAAATCATCTTTAAGCAATGGTTTCATCAGATGAAATCATCTTTAAGCATCTTTAAGCAATTTTCATCAGATGAAATCATCTTTAAGCAATGGTTTCATCAGATGAAATCATCTTTAAGCAATGGTTTCATCAGATGAAATCATCTTTAAGCAATGGTTTCATCAGATGAAATCATCTTTAAGTAATGGTTTCATCAGACAAAATCATCTTTGAGTAATGGTTTCATCTGTTTATACAAGACTTTATCAGAAAAAAAATCATCTATTTTTTCATGTCTTTATTAGATAATGCAATCTGTTTACACATGACTTTATCAGATAAAACCAGACTTTATCAAATAAAACCAGACATTATCAGATGAAATCTTATAAATGTACATGGCTTTGTGTTAAAATTATCAATGTGAACATAGCTTTATCAGATATAGTAAACTTACCTGAGTTTTGCAGGGAAAGGTTCCAACATCTTTATCTTGATGATAGTGTATTCCTGTGGCCCAACATTCTGAAATACACAAGAGGCCCAAGGGCGTTAACAGTCACCTGAGTTACAATACTGTCGTTCTTCTTGTAATATGTCATAGAAATAATCTTATTAACAAAGTAAGATTGTTACATTTAACGCAGATGTAAAATGTGTATAACATTGACTGCCATCCCATGCTAAGGCTTCTAACCACCTATGAATTAAAAAGAAAATCAATCTCAAAATCGTAATTTTCCTACATAAATCCTCCCATCCATGAACAGGTTTTATTAGATTCTATCATATCTAGGTATTGAAAAGATCTTTGAAATTTGAGGCAATATGATTCCTTTTGGCCCCACCCATCAGCCCCTGTGGGCCAGCCAGGATCAATATGTGATATCTTCAAACAGTAATCTTATACTAATAATTTTAACCAAGTTTGAACTATTTCCAATAGAATTTTGCGTTAAAAACATTAAATTTTCTTAAACAGAAGGCCTAGCAGCCTTGATGGTCACCTGAGATAAGCAATGTTGAATATAAAGGTTAAAGGGTAGTTATCAATAGAGCTGTTATCATATATCAGCATCGAGATGTATCGTGAATAGAAAAGCAGGACGATGATAACGCGGAAAATTTTATGAACAGCGATATCGCTGTCGTCATAAAGTAAGAGGGAACAGTTTAATTTTCAGTTGAAAACATACATGATTTTCAGACAAATAAAGCACAAAAAGTTGTTGTCAACAGCTGTTCATTCAAAGTCGGTAAACATAGTGAAACAATGTTGGGAAGTCAGTCAGCTGTTTGAAACAATGTAACAAAATGTGTGTCATGTGTCACTGGATCTCTGAATGAAATAGCTACACCGTATCAGATTAGACTATTCCATTTTTTGACACCTGTTAACACATCTGTTGAGTCTGCTTGGTAATGGATCATACCATTTTTGTCTAAGAGGGCACATTGGTTCGTTGAACTTCTGTTTATATTGTAACGGTTCACTTTTGACAGGGATGCAGACTAATGAGACTGGTGATAATTTACTCAATTTCTGGTCAAGAAATACTTCCGACTTTTGGAAATATTTCAGTTTTGAGAAAAATGCTGATGGAGTATATAAGGACAAAAAAGAAACATTAAAAACATTTAAAGAAACATTGACTGGCAGATGATGGAAGGATGGGTCATGGGCAACATATGATGCGAATAGTCCAACAAACCATAATCTCATATAGGAAAGGAATTTCTTTTTCTAGATCAAGGGCTGGGCTAATTTTTTGCCATCTACACAACATAGAACATTTCAGTTAACACCAAACCTTTCTATGAACTGATCAGAAACAAAGAACAATCTCTGTGTATATATACAAAACAAGTTAGGTCTGTGTCAATAACACGTTTACCTTCAGCACAAATACAAGATGCTCAAGTCATATGGTAGTCAGACTTACCTCGCCTTTACTTCTGTCGTGGTCCATACATGGTTGTCCATCTTTTGGGGAGTAGATGGTGTACCTGAAGTAAATTATTATAAAATCTATAGAAAACAACATGATCATATCAACATGCTACAATAACCTTCCCAACCCTTGATCACGCTCTGTACTATACTTCTACTACTAAGAAGAACCTTCCAAGCAAGCACTATGCCAAAGATCTCTTCCAAGTAAGCACTATGCCAAAGATCTCTTCCAAGTAAACACTATGCCAAAGATCTCTTCCAAGTAAGCACTATGCCAAAGATCTCCCAAACAAGTACTGTACCAAAAATCTACTGACCAAGAACTAGACCAAGCACTGTACCAAAGGTCTCCCAACTAAGCTCTGTACCAGAGATCAACTAATCAGGGTTTGATGAGAATCACAGATTGTCAATCATGCCCTTTCGATCATGTTAGCTTACCTTTTGCCAAATTTTATCTTGTTTTTTTCCTTGAGTCTATAGAACTGCCATCTTACAAACGAGTCATAGTATGGGTTTGCTTCAGTGGTGATGAAGCTCCTCCTCCAGTCCACCTGTCTCAGCAAAAAAGAAAAGAATCTAATGAGCCCCAGTCCAAACCAAATCAATGGTATTTAAACACGAATGATGGACACAATGCATACCTTGACACCCATATGTTGTAGATCTGTCTTTGTGAGAGGTGGGAAGTACTTTAACCAATGATGGGAGTCAGCAAATTGTTTTATTTCCTCATCAGGTACCCCCAGGGCACCCATGATCTGCCACTGGTACTTGAGATTGCCAGTCTTAGCTACAGCTTTACTCTACAACAGATAAGAATAGAGACAAGTGTGGTATTTCCAATGATTTGAAAGTTAATCATAAAATATAATGTTAACAAGAGGCACAAGAAAACTAATTAAACATGACTGATAATGTTCTCACTTTACCTACAGTTGCCATCCCAAGGATAACTGATATCTCAGGAAGGAGCTCATCTTTATCAATAATTGAAGACTTCCATTTTGTCAAATGAGTTTTCTTATAAATAGTAGAGAGCATTGGCTTTCTGGTCTAATCAAGCAGCACTGATATTTTATGACAATCTTTCTTTAATGTTGTTGCCATCCTGACACAATAATGTCGCTTCTGCTCTTTTATCACAGCAAGGTCTTTTCTCCTTATATCTATCTTGCTGAGTCATCACTCATGAAACTTTTTTCTACCATAACCCAAACTTTTCTATACCTTCTTTCCCTTTGCTTTGTCTTTGATGATAGGTTCATCCTCCTGTGGTGCTTCCTGCTCAGACTCTTCCTCTACAGGGAACTTTGGGGGATAACCATAAGTCTCAATTTCTCTCTTCAGTTTGTCTGCACATGCCTGTAATACAGGTATATCAATCAGCATTGATACATCAATAACTTCTCATCACACAACTCAGTTGTGACTCAATACCTCCCTACCAGCACACCATTCCAGTGTAACTCAATACCATCTCATCACACATCTCTGTTGTGACTCAATACCTCCCCACCAGCACACCATTCAAGTGTAACTCAATACCTTCTCATCACACAACTTTGTTGTGACTCAATACCTTCTCATCACACCACTTTGTTGTGACTCAATACCTCCCCACCAGCACACCATTCAAGTGTAACTCAATACCTTCTCATCACACCACTCAATTGTGACTCAATACCTTCTCATCACACCACTTTGTTGTGACTCAATACCTCCCCACCAGCACACCATTTAAATGTGGAATCACTCTATCTTATAGTTAGATACTACTTCAGTGCTGAAGTGACAAGGAACATTGAGGGGATGGAATCACTATATCTTATAGTTATATACTACTTCAGTTCTGAAGTCACAAGGAATGTTGTGAGGACAGAATCACTTTACCTTAATTGGCATACCAGTACAGTGCAAACCAAAAGGAAACAGGCACTTCTTTCCCTGCAGGCGCTGATAACCAACAGCAAACTGTAAATATATAAGAGATAATCTGTATATATGATGCCAGAATTAGCTCATCAGTATTTCTGTCCTTGTCTGGTTTCCGTACCAGATGTCCTTACAGTGCTCAACCCTGCACATTTAAGTAAACTTCACTCCAAAAACACAAGAAATAGCAAACTTAGTTTCATCATTCATACCAATGCACAAAGTCACACATGTCATCCTTTTGACTGACTGATCATCTTTAAGAATAATGATATATACCTCACACTTGGATAGGGAAAAGGTATGTCCCAAGTGAAGACGTCCATTCATGTAAGGATACGGGAAGGTCACCACATACTTTGGCTGCCTGAAACATAGGAACTTTTATCACTCAACTGACAAGTCAACTGAAAACATCATCTTGTTGCAAAATGCTATAGAACTGTTGTGGGACTACACAGGGAGATGTTATTACCACTTCCATTTTCAATGCTATACATGCATGTCCAAATTCTTGTATTAGCCCTTGATTTAAGTTGCTTTTATTTTTCTTTTATTTTTGTTCTAACACTTAGTTCTGTACATGAAATGTGTAATGTCGTTTTTCTACTAAACGGTTACTTTTTAGGAGGTAGATTTTGATACTTAAGTTTTATCATTAAAATTACTTACAATTTATTATCGTAATGTTGAAGACAAGCAAATTTAATTACAGGTAATTTACAATGTCTTAACATACAGTTTAGATTAGCATCAGTCATAAGCAATATTAATTGTCATAATACAAGTAATAAATAATACATCAATAAAGAAGGATTGATTGAAAATCCAATAGAAACACAGACCTCTAGTTTTTGGCATTTTTGAAAATAGACCACGATGCCTTTTGACCTTAAAATGACAATTTTACCAGTTCTGGATTTTTCCAGTTCTAAATTTTTCTGAACTTTTCACCATAAGTAGTCAGTAAATGACCCAAATATTTTGTAAAAAGTTTTGGTGTGCTAGAACTGAAAGTATGTGCTTCACTTCCACAAAAAGTTGTCATATCTATGCTAAAAAAAAAATGATGTTTTTCAAGTTCAAGATCGGATAACTTTTTTATCTTTCAGAATTTTGTTACATATTTGACATCACAATGTAAAGACAAACATGCTTATTACAATACAATATCAATTGATGCAAGATTTTATCTTTTTAATAGGTTTTTGGGCCAAAAACTGACATTTGGTATACACCTGTCGGTCACTACATTAAATGCGTTATAGCACAGGCCCCTTTTGGATTTTTTAAACTCATTTCCTGATTTGTCTCTCAAGGAGCTGCAAATAGCAACCAGTTTGGTTTAAATTGGTTCGTGGGCAAAATTCTATTGTTCCTGCAAGGGGTCCTTTAAAAACTCATTACACTTCTATAAAGCATCACTCTAAGCAACAAAGCTAGAATCACTGCCTCAGTCACGAAAATTCTTTTCAGAAAATTCACCAACTGCCCATATATTATCTAATATTCAGGTTAACCCTTAAGTGCTTCTTTGCCTTGTATTATTGTCAATGACTTTTGTCCGATGATTACTGTACATGTACAGGCAATGACTGAACAGTTTGTAATTAGTTCTTAATCAATGGCAAGATATATGGATACTTTGGCAAAATTTCAGCAGTTTTTGTCATGGAAATATGTTGTTTCCATCGATATTAAAATTTAATCTCTCAGATTTATATAACAACAGTCCCATACTATGTGAGTTTGGACCTTTCCTGGTAACCACATTATCACTGTATGTACTTGTAACACAGATGCCTAGAGGTAATTCTTGTCAGCATGATTAAAATTTACACACACAACTGTCTAAAAGTAAATATATCGACTAACAAGTTGTCCAAGAGGTCGCTGGGACATGGCCTAAATGGTCACCCTTTTCAACATGCATCACCCAATGGTAAACTTTCATTCCTTACCAACTAATATCATTCTCATATAATTAATCAAGAACAAGTCTAGAAGATTTACTTATAGAGTTTCCAATGAGATTAGACTGAAGAGGTCAAGGGAAATCTTGAATAGCCGTGCCTTAAAAATGCTTGCGACCAAATATGGTTAAAATAACCAATTTCTGACAGAGAATTCTGAAATATGCATTGCTTGAAGAAATTACAGTTTACAACTGTGAAAGAATTTTAGCTAAGGTTTATGAAGAAGATTTATACTATTTCACCCCTCTGAGTTCTTTCCAGTCCCCAACATTGTTATTCCCATGCCAGTTTGAGTTACTCTTAATTTCAGTTTTAAAGTGCCTTGCTCTGAGAACAATTGTTGCTGAATATGAGTGAAATTCACATCCTGGTTTTGCAGATGTCAGAAATATCAACAATAGTAAACCCTTCACTTTCAAGGGGGCACCAGGAGTTAGGACATATACAAGTTTGAAATTCTTATCTTTGGCAGACCCAAAACACAAGGTATGAATTCAATAACAAATAACACCAGATGATTTCATTTCTGACTTACTTGGCATCAGGACTGTTGGGATTTGGTGCATCCTCTTCAAAGATGTGCTCTCTATTCCATCGTTCCTGTACTTGTTTTTCAATCTGCAGAATTTCATCAAGTTTTGCAGTGCTCTTTCTTTCCACGTGGACCTCTGAAGACTTAGCAGCTTTGCTCTCCATTGTGAATTGGTTTTTCACTTCAACTTTACAACATAGACCAAGAACATCATGATAAGCAAATACATCGGAAGTACGCCTGAACTAATGAAACTTTTGAAATTGATATTCAATAATTTCATGAATGCAGTACTATGTACTACCAATTACGCAATATCCAATTGGATTTATTTCAAAATACAGCCAAATACCCTAAATATCTAGTTCACTCCTTTAGATTTCATTTGCAATTTTGCAATTTTCCTAAATGAGTGATAAATGCAAAGTGGGTTTTCAAAGGCAATACATATGCGAAGGGAGGCAACTATGTTTTTCATTATAGGATATTTCAGTTATAATAGAGCTTATCTTACTCTGTTGCGTCCTGGTGTCAATCTGATCTATTACAATGCAAATGGATATATCGAAGAATACATGTATCAGAACTATTCTCTTTTCATAACGTAAGAAAGAATGATATGACACTTCATCTGTTACAAAAATAGTCTATATCTACAAGACCTCAGGTCGACAATCTCTCCCCGTTTGCGAGAATCAGAAGTAGCCCACTGAAACTCTAACACATCTTCTGATCTCAAATAAAAATCCTCTGAACTTGGTATGTTTGTGTACAGTAAAGAAACTTTCGCTAGTTTCTGACGTCAGTATCACATGTCAGTTTCATATCGCAAATTAATTCTATATTCTCAAACTGGTCGCTAAAATGCTAACAATGGCATAAGAAATATCAAACTTGCAGCATTTAATATACCTTGTCATTACAGCGTAGTCAATTTATAATATTCACAGAGACCCAGAACCAGGCGTACTGTTCCACAACTTATGATGCAAGATTGCAATTCTGTGAAATGTGTGATCCACATGTACTTCACAAACGCGAATGAATCGTTGGGGTGAAATGTGTACGCCGCTCCCTTGCCCGTACCAGACCCGAACCCAAACCGAAACCGACCCCCATCCCGGCCCCGTCCCTTGCCGATATCTGAAATATCGAGAGTGTTATTAATCGACGATGTACTTTTATTCAGGGATGAAAACCTATCTGATGGTAAATATATCAGTTTTACTCATAACAGAGGACCAAGTGTAAACAAGCGATCCGCGATCAGAATAAATGCAAGATTATGCCTCTTTTATGGGTGAAACTGGTGTATTTACAATCAGATAAGTTAACATATTGTTTGGAATTTCAAAAAATCTTAAATCAAACCGTATGGTAGCTGTAATTTGCAAAAAAATCGGAAAATTTCACTGTTGAATTTTCATCCCCTGAAAAAAAATCGTCCATTTTAGAAAATCTCGATATTTTCACTATTTCGTTCATAGTGTCGGTTATTTCAAAAATGTTTAAGTGGATTTATGTTAATTAAAAATGAGATTTATTAGATATATTTATCTCGAGATATTAATTATTTCTTACTTTCCTGGTACGAGTAAGAGGGGTGGGTCCGGTGGCGGCGTACACAAATTAACCTCCACCAAAGAAATGTCGTAAAATTTCGTCAGTACTCTGTAAAATTAGTACACATAGAACATGTTTTCTGCGGTAAATAGGTAAATATAGCAGTTTCTATTTCATTTCTCCCATTCTGTTTATTTTTACGACGAACAAAACATGTCGCAAAATATTAGCAACGACCCAATTACACTTCGGGTCATGGTCATGCCATGGCCAATTTTGACGAACGTGCTGGTATAATCTCCGCGATTACTGACTGGGGACAGTGGTGGCAGACAATAGAAGAAGTTTACATAGAAATCGCGATACCCACTGGAACGTCTGTTAAGGAAATTAAATGTGAAATCAGACCAAAACACATAAAAGTTGCAGTGAAGTCCAGAACAGTTGTCGAGGTAATTATGCAGAATAAAATATTTGTTTTTTTGCAATTTAGCAGTTCAGGCATAGTTCGTATATGACATGTGCACATTAATACATGCCGCGAAAGTCTTAATCTAGACGATTCGTCAGCAAGCAGAATATTTCGAGCACGAAAGTCCGCCAGGTGAAAGCGGTAATCCGTAGTGACATTACATTCATGTGTTTTAAAAAAGAAAAGATAAAACAGAAGGCATGAAACTGCTACAAAAAGGCTAACTTTGAGGCGATAGAAAAGGATACGGAGAACCACAATTGGATGACTTTCTGAATGGAAAAGGGGACATCAATAATATACAAATACATTTTGGTCAACATGTTTGTGATCGACCTCGCCAATATTGTGGCGTTGATATTTTGTGTGCTTGTGTATATGTTATGACGTACGCGTCATGATAATCGTTGGTGTCAAATGCTTAAGAATTAAGAAAGAAACGCCAATTTCTTTGTATGAAATCATAATCATATTTAGTGATAATTAAAAGTAAGTCTAAGAAATTCAGGAAAGCAAAAATGCTGTCGTAGTATTTTTGATTAACATTAGCTAAAGGTAAAATGCAGAGCACCCATGTTCAATGCCTTTCACTTCTGGAAGAATTCTTCTCAGATGGATGAAGCTTCAGGCCCCAAGGACATTGGTTTGAGTCACATGATGTCTATTGAGTTGTTTCCTTGCCAATGGCTCATTGATTTCCACAGAAACAACATTTGTTCCACTAACAGCATCATCATAAAAAATCTATGGAACTAATTTTGATTTTTAGCCCAAATCGCCCTGCGTCCGTGTTCCCTTGTCCGTCCGTCCGTAAACAATTCTTGTTACCGCTATTTCTGGAAAAGTACTGGATGGATCTTTCTCAAATTTCCTATGCAGCTTCCCCTTGGTCCCTAGTTGTGCATTGTACCTTTTTTGAACTGATTCGCATTCAAGATGGCCGACAGGTGGCCATCTTGGATTTTGGAATTAAAAAGTTTGTTACCGCTATTTCTGGAAAAGTACTGGATGGATCTTTCTCAAATTTCATATGCAGTTTCCCCTTGGTCCCTAGTTGTGCATTGTTCCTTTTTTGGACTGATTCGAATTCAAGATGGCCGGCAGGTGGCCATCTTGGATTTTGGAAGTAAAAGTTTGTTACTGCTATTTCTTGGAAAGTACTGGATGGATCTTTCTCAAATTTCATATGCAGTTTCCCCTTGGTCCCTAGTTGTGCAATGTACCTTTTTTTGGACTGATTCGAATTCAATATGGCGGACAGGTGGCCATCTTGGATTTTGGATGTAAAAGTTTGTTACCGCTATTTCTGAGAAAGGACTGGATGGATCTTCCTCAAATTTCATATGCAGTTTCCCCTTGGTCCCTAGTTGTGCATTGTACCATTTTTGGACTGATTCAAATTCAAGATGGCAGACAGGTGGCCATCTTGGATTTTGAATGTAAAAGTTTGTTACTGCTATTTCTTGGAAAGTACTGGATGGATCTTTCTCAAATTTCATATGCAGGTTCCCTTTGGTTCCAAGTTGTGCATTATACCTTTTTGGACTGATCCGAAATCAAGATGGCTGACAGGCAGCCATCTTGGATTTTGAGAGTAAAATCTTGTTACTGCTATATCTGAGGAAGTACTGGATGGATCCTTCTGATATTTCATAGATATTGGTTTCCCTTGGTCCCTAGTTGTGCATTGTACCTTTTTTGGACTGATTTGAAATCAAGGTGGCCCACAGGCAGCCATCTTGGATGTCGACAGTAATACAGCACAAGCATATTGTCCATTATCCACCTGTAACTGACTGCTATCTAATAATACTTTGGGATCTTTTTAAATGATATTTGCTAATAGGTGCTTAATAAAAATATCTTGTGCCATCATTGAGTACATTCAATGAAGACCAGTTCATGAACATTTACAACACCTGTAACAAACAAAAACAAATAAACAAATCTTCAAGAACTGAAAACAGATCCTCAAATGGTGGGCGCCAAGATCCCTCTGGGATCTCTTGTCATGTTTTCATGCTTATAAATGGTAAATGTGGTTTCTGTCAAGGTACTTATTGTTCATAACTAATTACAACTGTAATGTTAACATTGGTAAAGCATATTATTGCTTGGGAAAGAAATTACTTTAGGGTAAAACACTTGTATGATGTATTATCTGCTGTGTAAAGTATCTGTGGGGAATATTAAGTTGGGTCTTGTCCGTGTTCATCCGTCCTTGCATCCATCCAAAGAGCTTTTCTTGATAACCATTAATTCAATGAACCTCAACAAAACTTTAAACACATATCAGGCTTCTGTCCAAGTTGTGTGTTTTGCTGTTGCATTATTTCATTTTTATACTCCCCAAAAATTTTTGTGGGAACATTTAGTCACTGCCTTGTTCATCCGTCCATTTGTGTCCGGAGCATAACTTTGCCCATATATGAGCAAGAATCTTGGAACTTTGTATGTACATTGGTTATACATTGTACTAAATTCTGGACCCTCACCCCTTAATTACAGAGTTACTGCCCTTTGGTTGAACTTCATGTCTGCTGCATAACTGATACTCTAGTTGAGGTGGAAATCATGCTCTACAGTCCCATTACCTGGTACTGTACTTTGTAATTCAAATATCTGAAGAATTTTATTATCTATTTTTACAGGGGACATTATTTTCTGTTGTTCGTGCTGATGACTCCATTTGGACATTTGGTAAGACAATTTTTGGCATTCAGATCAAGACACGTATTGTATTGCTGGTTAATGTTTTCATTGGTATATAAATTTCTCTTGAACTTATCATCAGCTTGATTGGTTGAGTGTCAGACTAGTAAACCAGAGGTCCTAACAGAGGCATTGAAATAGATTCTGACTTCTGTTGCATTGGCGCCCATGTAGGGGCTCGGGAACCATATTTATTAATGACATACAAGCATCTCTGTAACCCCTGGAAGCTCAAAGACAAGATCTTTCCTGATCTTGAGAACCTCTTTAACAGATTGGGTTATTTTTTTACCCCACAGTATCATGAAATCAAGTTCTGACCATGTCAGAATAATGTTTATACCGTAGGATCAGAATGGAAATCAGAACGGAAAAATGATTTTTTTTCCTGATGTTTTCAGGACTCAAAATTTTTTTGTGTGGAATAAATGCAACATTGTGCTACCAAGGATTCTAACAACAGTACCAGATCTGAGAAAGCTTTGTCTCACTTTAACACCGCATTGAAACTTAGATTTGGGTTATTATCAACATTTGAGTCAGCAGTGCCCCTGTTTTTAGTCAAGCACTGATGCAACCAAATTAAGTGTATAGGGGGTCATACGGTTCATTAGTCAAATCATGATAACAAACATGTTCTAGAAAAAAAACATGTTTTATAGGATTTAGAAAATCAACAAAATCTATTTTGATAATTTTTCCAATTGACTTCTAATTTTGATCACTGGTCGTTAGACTCTTTTATTCAGGTATTATAGTTCATTAGTTAAATACCATTCTCCTGTTCCTATAAAGGATTTTGTATCAATTCAGTTTAGAACCCTCCAGGCCCTGATTGCTCAAAGAGTGAAAAACCACTTGATAAAGAATTTAATAAATCCTTTTTTTTTTTTAATCTACGAATACATGTAAAAATAAATGAGACATTTCCTATCGTCAGACCTGTGCAACACTGATACAATTATTCTAGTGAAATAACCTATTCTCAGTCCAGGATTCAAAATACTAATTATCATCTTCATTTCCTTCTTTTCAGTTTTACCTTAAAAAATGCAAAAATAATTATGGAACAGAATTTGTTTTGATAAACTTTTCATTTTAATGATCTTACTGAATGAAATCAAAGTGAACTATAGTTTGATCATATTTCAAGTGCTCTGTATATTTTATCATGTATTACAAAATCCTGAATTGATTGCAATTACCTATAGGAAAGTTTATCTCTCATTTGGAAAGTTTGATCTGGTTTTTTTTATTGTAGAAGACAAGAAAATCTTAAGAATTTGTCTGGTTAAAGCTGACGCTACTGCAAAGAATTGCTGGAGATCACTTTTAGTTGACAGCTATGTTGCTGACCCAGTTACGTTTGATGAAATGGAAAAGAAATTGACATTACAAAGGTTTCAGTTGGAAGTGAGTATTACACTGATTAAATGATTATAATACTTTACGGGTGTGGGAGTGATGTTACCACAGTGTTATGTTGAAATAACTGTTACTCCTCACTGGTGTTGAAATGATTTTTGAAATGATTTTTGAAATGAATGACACTTCAAGTTAGATGACATATAGCCATCATGCTTCATCTGTTGTCATGTGTTGTCCACTCTGCATAAACTTTCCATTCATATGACTTTTTTTTGATAATCAAAAGGCCCAGGATGCAGATATTGTCATGATGGCCTGAAGGGCAACCAGGGTTGTTAAAATGAATGACCTTGATTAACTTTCAAGGTCACAGGGGTCAAATGTGTTAAAACCTTCAAATGACTTGTTACTGATAAAAAGTTCCAGGCTGTTGATATTGGTTATTTAACATAAGTGGATGGAAGGCTACCAATTTATTCAAACAGTTGACTGTGACTTATAATCAAGATCCCTAATGAGTTGAGATCTTGAAATTTCTTTTTCAACAAGTAATAGGTCCAGAGTAATGGCATTTGTGAAGTAGCATGTATAAAGCATATGATTTTATATTTGCAGAGAATGCCTTAATGAACCAACAATGCCTTCTATGTAAGCTGTAGAGTAGTTGAGCAATTTATTTTAAGCCTATGTTGCCTCTTTCATATACTAGTGTAGGTCTTTATAGTTAGATGACTGGTAAGACCTGTGCCCCTCTTGCTACTCCTTATTGGTGTGGGAGTTATCACGGTGTCATGTTGAAGTGACTTAAGATATACTACCTTTGTTTGTGGTGTTTTGTAGGCAAGACTAGGTTTTTACTACAATTGTGTACACCGTTTGATAAGCAATCAACAAGTGTATTCTATATGTGAATGAAAAAGTAATGTTTTTTTGTTTCTTTTTCACTTTTTGCAGAATCCAGGACTTGATTTCAGTGGAGCAACGGTTGATGGCAACTATCATGGTGGAGGTCCAGAACTCCCATCCTAAATCCTGAAAGTTTATGGCGTAAGGGCCAGTTCATGGTTAGTTCATTGTCATAGTAACAATACAATCCAGGAGTCTCATACTTAAAAACTTTTGGATGATACTCCAGTGGCTAACTTTTTAGAAATAACAACATGGATGGGGAAGAAATTGTAACAGTACTGCGGTGTGGTGGGTGTAAAGAAACTGTGTCAGAGCCGTACATAGTTTGTGTGGATTGTAGACCAGCCCAGGTCCAGATCTGTCTCCAATGCTTCTCCAAAGGTACCCAGTTTGGGTCACATGAGAGTGATCATGCTTATACAATACTCAGAAATGATTTTGCCTTGTTTGAAAATAACTGGACTGCGTCAGAAGAAACAGTGTTGTTGGACACGTTATCTGATTGTGGTTACGGAAATTGGTCAGATGCAGCTCAAAGACTACGAACTAAGAACAAAGAAGAATGTAAGCGACACTACAACCAGAGCTACATCAATGGTGCTATACCTGTCCTCCCTCAATTTCCAGACTGGAGTCAGCAGGTGTATCCACAGCCCTTGGTCTATAAACTGTGTGATGATCCTCCGCGATTCCCAGACTCCTCTGTGTTACATCAGGAGATGGGTGGGTATATGGCAGCTCGGGGAGATTTCAACATTGAATATGACAATTTTCAAGAGCTGGAAATTCAGTCAATATCATTTGATGAAGATGAGGAGATTGATGAGTTGGAGGAGAGGTTACAGTTAGCAGTACTGGATGTGTATCTGCGTTGTTTGAAGCAGAGAGGGAGAAGAAAGATGATTGTAAGGAAATATGGCCTTATCAATCTGTCAAAAGTCCAGTCCAGTAATCGTATGTATGCCCACAGTATTACAGATGTCGTAGACAAGCTACGTGTGTTCATGCGTCTCTTGTCACCTCTGGAATATGACAAGTTTTTAAAGGGAGTTCATGTAGAAAAAGAATTGAGACTACAAATCAAACGTTTACAAGAGTGCAGGCAAAATGGTATCATACATATCAGAAACACAAATATTTACAAGACCTTAAAGAAAAGACGACAGGTAACCAAAACACAAATCAACTTGCTCAGTGAAATTCTCGGGCACATGAATGATAACAAAGCCTGTCAGACATGGTTACAGAGACAAGTGGTGTTGAACACTATATCAAAAGGTGTGACAGCTCCCCTCCCTGTGATCCCGCGGCGTCCAGCACCACCTCTTGATATTGTTGGCTTGCCGGGATATGATAAACTCACTGAATCTGAGAGGGAGATGTGTGCCAGTATAAGACTTGTTCCCGATGCCTATCTGGAATTCAGAAGTGTCATGACAACAGAATGTGCTAAAGCTGGAAGTCTGAAACTAAGTCAGGCGCGAAACATGATCAAAATTGATGTTAACAAAACCAGGAGACTTTATGACTTCTTGTTGTCGGAGGGACACATCAACAAAGATCCACTGTAGAATTTATCCTAGACCAAAAACTGACTTCTGTTGTCATAGAGACTTAAAGGTCTATTGTAATGTTCAGTGAATGATAGTTCAGCACTATATTCTAACATTCTATTAATGAATTAGTCAAGCCATTATAGTTACATATGTATTTTGTATCCACCATATCTTGACTGATTAATAAAAATGTTGTATAACAACTCTCGTGTTTAAGTGAGATCTTTGATTTAATAAATGGTAACCATTAATGTTGATTTTAACTTTTTGAGGTCAGAAACCAAAAGAGTATTTCTCATGGTGTCTCATGCATCTGTAAACAAAATCTCATGGTGCGTTGTTCATACAACTGTAAACAAAATCTCATGGTGCGTTGTTCATACATCTGTAAACAAAATCTCATGGTGTGTTGTCCATACATCTGTAAACAAAATTTCATGGTGCGTTGTTCATACAACTGTAAACAAAATCTCATGGTGCGTTGTTCATACATCTGTAAAAATCTCACAGTGTGTTGTCCATGCGTCTGTAAACAAAATCTCACAGTGTGTTGTCCATACATCTGTAAACAAAATCTCATGGTGCGTTGTCCATACATCTGTAAACAAAATCTCATGGTGTGTTGTCCATACATCTGTAAACAAAATCTCATGGTGTGTTGTCCATACATCTGTAAACAAAATCTCATGGTGCGTTGTTCATACATCTGTAAAAATCTCACGGTGTGTTGTTCATACATCTGTAAACAAAATCTCACAGTGTGTTGTCCATACATCTGTAAACAAAATCTCACAGTATGTTGTCCATGCGTCTGTAAACAAAATCTCACAGTGTGTTGTCCATACATCTGTAAACAAAATCTCATGGTGCGTTATCCATACATCTGTAAACAAAATTTCATGGTGCGTTCATACAACTGTAAACAAAATTTCATGGTGCGTTGTCCATACATCTGTAAACAAAATCTCATGGTGCGTTGTCCATACATCTGTAAACAAAATCTCATGGTGCGTTGTCCATACATCTGTAAACAAAATCTCATGGTGCGTTGTTCATACAACTGTAAACAAAATTTCATGGTGCGTTGTTCATACATCTGTAAACAAAATCTCACAGTATGTTGTCCATACATCTGTAAACAAAATCTCACAGTATGTTGTCCATACATCTGTAAACAAAATCTCATGGTGTGTTGTCCATACATCTGTAAACAAAATCTCATGGTGTGTTGTCCATACATCTGTAAACAAAATCTCATGGTGTGTTGTCCATACATCTGTAAACAAAATCTCATGGTGCGTTGTCCATACATCTGTAAACAAAATTTCATGGTGCGTTGTCCATACATCTGTAAACAAAATCTCATGGTGCATTGTTCATACATCTGTAAACAAAATCTCACAGTGTGTTGTCTATGCGTTTGTAAACAAAATCTCTGTATCCTACTCATCCTGTATAGATGATGATAAAAAGACAAGATCTCGACTTACAAGTAGGGTATGGTCCTTATTCGGCTTAAAGTGTACTTAAAGTGAAAATAGAAATGAATATGAAATTAATATTCATGATCCAAAATTAAATAGGTTGGAAACCACCTCAAAATTGGCTGGCCCAATACTGAGATAGTGACACATAAAACATACAGTTTTCACTTGTTCTTCTATTACTAATCTGCCTGAAGATGACTCGAACTGAATGGGGCCCTATTGGCTGTGGCATCATTAGTTCAATGATTGGTGGCAGTCACAATGGAAGGAATAAGCGAGAACAAAAATGGCTATGCTATTTAATGTCAGATTACAAATGAATGTTTTATGGTTTCGAGGAGTTGGTTAATTCTGACAACATAATGTAACTAGTAAACAGCCATATGAAATTTGCCTAAATTTTGAGACAGTGATCAATTTCAGACATGTTTATTGTCTACCTTAGAACAAGAAGAGGCAAACTTTGCACCTTCTAGCAATATACAATGTACATTTACATATAGAAATCAAAATTACTATCATTGGAAAATGCCTACATCTACTATAATTTTATTATCATAAAAATCAAAGTTTGTTACTGTTAAAGTGAAATTTTAGACCAAATTATTTTGTTTGTTGGTATAAAGACCTGAGGTTCCCATTTATGTGTAAACTATAATGGATGTTTTTTGGCTTTGTAGTTATGTAGATTGTATGTTCTGTGTATTTGTTTACAGGAGTTACCTCCCTTGTGATGGTTGTTTTATATGTGATCTTGGTAGTCTGTTTGTGTAAAGTATCTTAGTATCAATTTGTGGGTTTTATGTTCTACTGGGCTAGGTTGTAGTATTGTATGTATGTTGTTTGGGGATGTATTTAATTTCCCTAACCCTATGGTTTCTAAATTGTTACAGTGATCACATTTTGGAATGATATCTTTTCGCATTTGATTGATGTGTGTTTTCATTTAATTTCGTATGGCCCAATCTGAGCCTTCTTATAATTCTATCTTCTTTCTGTGTATATCTGAAAAGTTTGTTTTTTAGTAGGTTTTGGTGTTACTTTCCTGAGTTTATTGTTATTGCTGATATTCACCCAAAAGTTTGTCCAAAATAGATCTATTGATTTATTAATCATTGAGTAAACTTGTTCTTTTGAATGATCTGTTATACAAAGTATGATGTTATTATCTGAAGATTTCTTTGCTAATTTATCTGCCATATCATTCCCTGGTATGTCTACATGTGCTGGTATGTATTCTAAGTCTTCTGGTATGTTTTGTTTGTGTAGAATGTTTAGTGTGTTCATGATTGAGTGTATTTCTGTGGGCCTAGTGCTATTTCCTGTCTCTATGGATTGCAGAGAGGAATCATGGCAAGAGGCCCAATATATACTTTTATACCTGTGTCACGGTACAAGATCAAAGGGACTTCAGCTGTGAGTAAGGGTGGTAACCTGAACTTGAAGTTAGTTTTTGGATCTGTGTAGGTTATACATCTTCCAATTTTCCATTTTACAACCATGTCCTCAGTCATGATAACGAGGTATAGGGACCAATTTAAGGAAATATATCAATAAATTAATTGTTAAGCTGGACCAGATGGTTCATTGATACATGAGACTTGTACAAAATTCCTAAATTTGGTTTGTACATACAACAAGTGTTAACTTGCTGAAATTGATGGACTGCATAAAACATAGAAATAACAAAATTATCACCTCCCTTTACCTCTAAATTAAAGTATTCAAGGCAACATTTGTCACAAATACTTAATATTTGTTCTCATTGCTTCCAGCTTTAATTTAAAGACATATGAAGCTGGTCATTGTAAGTATAGATTTTAGTACTGGTGTATTACAGTTATTACAGTATATCTCCATTGTTAAAGAAAGGGGTTGACGAGTGCACTTTTGTTAATATGACTGAATTTTTAATTGGTTGTCAGTTTATGTTGTATAAATTAAGGGTTTTTCTAGAGACCAATTGTATAATAAAAGTGTATAATATCTACAGTCACTAGATTCATGAATTATGAAAACAGTAACATTTAGATAGCATCCGCATGTGTGTTCAGACCCTCACATACAGTTCATTGTTTGTCTGCTCATAAAGTCATCATTTCATAACAGAAATTGTAAAGAATCATTTCTGCATGTATGGAGCACTTTAAATATAACCTACAGAAGTAAGCGTCTACAGAATATATATAAAAAAGTAGCTTAAAAGCTGACATATTGAACACAGGATGGAAGCTTCTTGGTGTTGACTACCCATATCAATACGTCACTGCTGAATCAAATGTATGCGTTTCAGAATAAATTACAATATGTCTGAAATTAACTATGATGTTCACACTTTCTTGGTCAGTCATCAGGTGATTTGTTAACTTTTGGCAATACAGAGGTGAAGTCTAGAACCAACCTTTTGACCTTTGATATTGAAATGACCTAGACATTTGACCTGTGGATGAAGTGGTCTCTAACACACTATCAGGCCATGCTGTATCCATTAACTTGAACTGCCCAATAATTTTGATTGTAAGTTGACAATGATCCTGGGAATTCAATGAAAATGTAATGCAAAACACACCAATTTGTCATCCTTTATGTACATTTTTGTACATCCATGAATTTTAATTGTGTACCTTCATTGTGTGAGATTTCATGGCCTGTACAATGCATTTGACCTTTGACCCCAGTAAGATATTTGACACTCTGACCTGAGAATGGGAATGGGACAAACTACCTCGGCCTACATGAACATTTTAGTGACTTTTCATTCGCCAGAATATGGAAGTCTTAGATAAAAATATTTGATTTTAGCTTTCATAAGCAGGAACTTGATCTTTGGCATACTGACTCTAAAATGCTATTCAACAGAGCACCTTGCCATCCTTTACATACAATTGTAAACCAACAGTTTTCCTAGACTGACCGGAATAAAGAAATTTACTTATAACCTCAATACAACCTTGACCTTTGGTATGTAGATCGAAGTGATAGATCTCCTTGATATTCAACATATGTCCATTCATTATACTCACCGCATGAAGTTGGAGTGGATACTGATGTGTCGGTCATCCGCAAATCATATTTGGAAAATTCAAATTAACGAAAGTTTTTAGTAAAAAAATCAATCCCCGCCGCCTTTTATACATTCAACGATTCATTTGGCGAATCTATGCCTCATCACACTATATATATATAACTATCTGTTTACGTCGACATATTATTTTTTGTTTTCAAAAAAGGGAGGTCGGGCATGCCAGTCACAAACATGCTTTGTTTTAATAAGGGTTCTAAAGAAAATAATTCACAAAGTACTTTACTACCACGAAAGTTTGAAATCGTACCCGTTACTGACGACACACGTGCATGATGACTAGCAGAAATCACAACGCTCTGTTCCTCTCGTTGTGACCACGATGTGTATACGGAGGTTAGTTTACTGTCAATGTCAGTGCATACAAGTAGATTATATACAGACTCCTAAAACACATTCTCTGACTCTTTAGCTTTCCTTGTACTTCTGCTGGTGCTATTAAGATGTAAATTGTCGATATAGAGCTATTTTCCGTTACGTGGTGAGTTCTGACATGACACCCACAGCGGCCATTTTGCAACAATGGTTTTCCTGAACATCACACATTTTAAACTCAAGTTCTCTAACTCCTCCAGAGGGAATCTGCTCAAACTTGTCTAGATATCCTGATTTGATTTTGGTTAGACATAGCAGCCACGGCGAACATTTACAGTTTCGTTCAGTGTAATTTTAATTAATTAAAACTAATCAAAAAAATGAAACTGAGCGGGGAGGACCCTGAAAACTGGCCCCACCAAGTGTGGTTATTTGTAATCTCTGTCTGAAATTATGGTCGGAAATGGCCGTTATATTCAAAACAAATGCTTAAAACTTTTTCTTCGGGTTTACTTGCCATTCAACTTAAACGTTGTTAGACTGTTCAAATCAAGAAACATGAACTGACTCTCTTGTCTTGTTGGTGTAAATGTTAATGTCATTTGGGTCAGGTGCCACATGATTACCACGGTCCTTTTGACATGGAGCATCCACAAGTTTTTTTTTTTTATTTTTCAAGTTGGTCCAAAATCCAATTAGTCAATTCAGATCGTTCGAAAAACTCAACAGATGAATTAGGAATTGTTTAAATGATTCCATAACTGTTCCCACTATCACTACTGCTTAAAGTACCCGTGTCTCCAGTATGATCAGGTGACCGCTTGTCTCACGATCACATTGTTTGTTTATAGTCTACGAATTAAACTTCGTTTCAATGCGATTTTGGTGTTCTTTCTTACTTTCTGTAAAGACCATCGTAAACACAATAAAAGTCTAATCTCAAGAGACCATATGTTCGGTAGCTTTAACTCATTACAGACAGCTAACTTAACATGTTGCTTTGCTATGGACTAATAGATAGCCGCGTTTCCCTGTTCGTTGTAAGAGTTCTAAAGTTCAAGAGACTTAAACGTTTGTGTGTCCACCAGGCAAAACGTCTCCAACATGCAATATGAAACGTGGGGTGGCTGACAGCTCACTCTAGTGTGAAATATCTACATAACATCGCTGTGCTTCTTTATCAATATCTTTTACACCTATATCCGCGATAAATATATTTTGCCAGAGTCAACATTGTACTGAAACACAAATGTGTTTAACAGAAAATAGTTCGATCAACATGGCCAGTCCACAAACAGAAAAGGGTTCGATCAACATGGGCAGTCCACGAACAGAAAAGGGTTCGATCAACATGGCCAGTCCACAAACAGAAATTGAAAAGCGTCGCATACTTGTTATAAAAATGTACTTGTTTATTATAGATTCTGCAAAATCCCTACTTTTCGTGGAAGTTTTATTTACGTTGACAACTTCCGAATTCAGATATCCGTAAACCAACTGCAAAACAATATTGACACGGAATTTTGATATTACGATGTAATTATTTGCTTGGACTCTTTCCAAGAAAATGTCTGCTCACGAAAACATGTTTTTAAATAAAACACAAAATTTGTGCACCATGCAAAGAGAAAAATACATGACAAAATGAAAATGGCTGAATGCTATTTTAAACTGTTGTTAACTACCAAATAAAACTGGTTCTTGAACTAATATTGAATATTCCAAAGCCGACGAAAGGGGTGGGGAGAGAGAAGATAACATAACAATGTTTAAGCATGAAAACCTTGGTTTACTGTACACCGATTGGGTTACCACACAGCTGTAGCAGCAGACCCTGTGTTACAGACGGGTATTTGAATCATTTCGTTCCAGGGACAAACATCTGCGTGTCTGCTGCCATCATGAGAGAGATAGTTCACGTACAAGCTGGCCAGTGTGGCAATCAGATCGGCGCTAAGGTAACCTTTGTTTTCCTGTTTCATGAGAATAATACATGCTATAATCTTGATTTCTGTGAATTAAATTACCAATGTATCATTTATGTTCAGTTAATTTCACACACGAGTACACATCACTCAAACTTACATTACATTCATGTCTACACTCAAACTTACAATATATTCATGTCTACACTCAAACTTACAATATATTCATTGTCTATACTCAAACTTACAATATATTCATTGTCTATACTCAAACTTACAATATATTCATGTCTACACTCAAACTTACAATATATTCATGTTTATACTCATACTTACAATATATCCATGTCAGATTGCTAAATACGAAGCACAAATAAAAGACTAAAATAAAAAACTAAAACAGTGAATGAGTGAGAATAATGTTATTTGTTTCTTAAATATTTTCAACAAGATCATTCGACGGTAGAAATTTGTTTTCAATTAATATCAAACTCATAATACTGCACTGACATACCAGTGAGAGAGCACGACATAAAGATTTTCCATACTAGATTTACGATGTAAGAAATCTAAACAAATCACGTTTTAATCTATAGAAGTGTTTTCTCATGAATTTAGATATATATATATGTACATGTATATAATGTTCTTTGTTTTAGTTTTAATAAATCACATATTTCATCCCCCCCATTTTTCGCATACTAATATAACATTTAAAGTAACCAATGTTTTACTATTAATTTAGATATATATGTATATAATGTTCTTTGTTTTAGTTTAACAAATTACATATTTCGTTTTTCCCCTTTTTTCGCACACTAATATAACATTAAAAATAACCATCGCAATTTTAATGAATTTTCAGGCGATAAGTGTAGATAGACTAAGTGATTACCAGGATGTTGATGGGTTTTAAACCAGTTACATAATTTTTATTGCCATTTTGAAGACAGAGAAGAGTTTCCACATGTTTTCGTCATGTCTAGTCATTCGTTTGAACGTTTAGCTTCCCCGAGTCTGAGAAGATGGGTACAACCGTGATTCATACATTCACTACAAAAACAAAGGATTACACATACGCCACGGCAGATGACCTGCCAGAGGCTCACAGAAGGGCAAAGCAGAACTTAGGATTTGTTAAATAAAACTTTCTGCTAAAATATTGTAGTTTTTATTTACGAAATGTGGTATTTATACCTGTTGATCAATTGTAAAATTCATTTTAATTAACGGCTTAATTGTAAAAGACTTTAATGGTTAAAATATAGTACTGCGTACAGTCTGACTCAATATTTACATATCCAGATGTTTTAGTGCGAGCAGATGACGAACATGTGTGTAACAGGAGAAAGTGCACATGGAAAAAATACAATTTTAATTTCACGATTATTGAGGATCATAGTAACAAAAAACCTGAACACATATAGGGATACTATACATAGGGGTATACTATACATAGGGGTATACTATACATAGGGGGATACTACACATAGGGGGATACTACACATTGGGGGATACTATACATAGGGGGATACTACACATAGGGGGATACTATACATAGGGGTACTACATAAAGAGATACTACACATTGGGGGATACTATACATAGGGGGATACTACACATAGATACTTAATATAGAGAGATACTACACATTGGGGATACTACACATAGATACAACACATTGGGGGATACTACACATTGGGGAATACTACATTGGGGATACTACACATAGATACTACACATAGATACTAAATATAGAGAGTTACTACACATTGGGGATACTACACATAGATACTACACATAAAGAGATACTACACATTGGGGGATACTATATATATAGGGGTACTACACATAGGGGGATACTACACATAGATACTTAATATAGAGAGATACTACACATTGGGGATACTACACATAGATACAACACATTGGGGGATACTACACATTGGGGAATACTACACATAGATACTACACATAGATACTAAATATAGAGAGTTACTACACATTGGGGATACTACACATAGATAAAACACATTGGGGGATACTACACATTGGGGAATACTACATTGGGGATACTACACATAGATACTAAATATAGAGAGTTACTACACATTGGGGATACTACACATAGATAAAACACATTGGGGGATACTACACATAGATACTAAATATAGAGAGATACTTCATTTAGGGGATACAACACATAGAATGATACTGCAAATAGGGGTACAATGCTTTACTAGGGATATTACACCTATTACACACATAAGAATACTACACATAGGGGAATTATACACATAGGCCAAGAATGTGTTGTATAGTACGACCATTACGGGAGGATCAAATGCCGGGGGGGGGGGAGGGGGGTTAGATACCAGTAAGGAATAGTGTGTCAAAGTCATCCAGCAGGGGGGGATGAGATACCAGAGTAAGGATTGTGGTTATAATACTATCATTAGTGGAAATAAAATACAAGCAAATGATTGTGTTTCAAATACTACCATTAGGGGAGGATAAGATATCAGTAGGGGATTTTGGATATAATACTACTATTCGGGGAGGATAACATACCAGTAAGGGATTTTGGAAATTATAATACTTCCGTTAGGGGAGGATAAGATGATAGTATGGGATTATGGGTATAATACTACCATTAGGGAAGTGCACGATACCAGTAAGGGACTGTGGATATAATACTACCATTAGGGGAGTGCACGATACCGGTAAGGTGTTTGGATATAATACTACCATTAGGGGAGTGCACGATACCGGTAAGGTGTTTGGATATAATACTACCATTAGGGGAGTGCACGATACCAGTAAGGGACTGTGGATATAATACTACCATTAGGGGAGTGCACGATACCAGTAAGGGACTGTGGATATAATACTACCATTAGGGGAGTGCACGATACCAGTAAGGTGTTTGGATATAATACTACCATTAGGGGAGTGAACGATACCAGTAAGGGACTGTGGATATAATACTACCATTAGGGGAGTGCACGATACCAGTAAGGGACTTTGGATATAATACTACCATTAGGGGAGTGCACGATACCAGTAAGGGACTGTGGATATAATACTACCATTAGGGGAGTGCACGATACCAGTAAGGGACTGTGGATATAATACTACCATTAGGGAAGTGCACGATACCAGTAAGGGACTGTGGATATAATACTACCATTAGGGGAGTGCACGATACCGGTAAGGGACTGTGGATATAATACTACCATTAGGGGAGTGCACGATACCAGTAAGGGACTGTGGATATAATACTACCATTAGGGGAGTGCACGATACCGGTAAGGGACTGTGGATATAATACTACCATTAGGGGAGTGCACGATACCGGTAAGGGACTGTGGATATAATACTACCATTAGGGGAGTGCACGATACCAGTAAGGGACTGTGGATATAATACTACCATTAGGGGAGTGCACGATACCAGTAAGGGACTGTGGATATAATACTACCATTAGGGGAGTGCACGATACCAGTAAGGGACTGTGGATATAATACTACCATTAGGGGAGTGCACGATACCAGTAAGGGACTGTGGATATAATACTACCATTAGGGGAGTGCACGATACCAGTAAGGTGTTTGGATATAATACTACCATTAGGGGAGTGCACGATACCAGTAAGGGACTGTGGATATAATACTACCATTAGGGGAGTGAAAGATACCAGTAAGGTGTTTGGATATAATACTACCATTAGGGGAGTGCACGATACCAGTAAGGTGTTTGGATATAATACTACCATTAGGGGAGTGCACGATACCAGTAAGGTGTTTGGATATAATACTACCATTAGGGGAGTGCACGATACCGGTAAGGTGTTTGGATATAATACTACCATTAGGGGAGTACACGATACCAGTAAGGTGTTTGGATATAATACTACCATTAGGGGAGTACACGATACCAGTAAGGTGTTTGGATATAATACTACCATTAGGGGAGTACACGATACCAGTAAGGGACTGTGGATATAATACTACCATTGGGGGAGTGAACGATACCAGTAAGGTGTTTGGATATAATACTACCATTAGGGGAGTACACGATACCAGTAAGGTGTTTGGATATAATACTACCATTAGGGGAGTACACGATACCAGTAAGGGACTGTGGATATAATACTACCATTAGGGGAGTACACGATACCAGTAAGGTGTTTGGATATAATACTACCATTAGGGGAGTGAACGATACCAGTAAGGTGTTTGGATATAATACTACCATTAGGGGAGTACACGATACCAGTAAGGTGTTTGGATATAATACTACCATTAGGGGAGTGCACGATACCAGTAAGGGACTGTGGATATAATACTACCATTAGGGGAGTGCACGATACCAGTAAGGGACTGTGGATATAATACTACCATTAGGGGAGTGCACGATACCAGTAAGGGACTGTGGATATAATACTACCTGTAGATATAATACTACCATTAGGGGAGTGCACGATACCAGTAAGGGACTGTGGATATAATACTACCATTAGGGGAGTGCACGATACCAGTAAGGGACTGTGGATATAATACTACCATTAGGGGAGTGCACGATACCGGTAAGGTGTTTGGATATAATACTACCATTAGGGGAGTGCACGATACCAGTAGGGGACTGTGGATATAATACTACCATTGGGGGAGTGCACGATACCAGTAAGGGACTGTAGATATAATAATTAGGGGGAGTGCACGATACCTGTATAGTGTATATAATACTAATATTAGGGGAAAGTAAGACACTAACAAGGGATTTGGGGTAATACTACAATAAGTGGAGGATACGGGGAGGATAAAATACCAACAAGATATTGTGACTATAATGTTTCCCTTCTTTGAGGATAAGATATCAGTAAGAGATTGAAGGTGTAATAATTCTTCCATTAGGGGAGTGTATGATGCCGGTGAGGGATTGTGGGTTTTATACTACAATAAGGGTAGGAGAAGAGACCATCAGAGAATTTTGGTCATACTTCTTCCTTTAGAGGAGGATAAGATATCTACGTGTGTGTAAGACATATGTTTTTCCCAAATATCTGGATAACATTTGTCTAGACAATAATGTCTGGTAGTGAAGTTATATCAATCTTCGATTATCCTAATACTTCTGAAATGTTACTCATTTTTCCTCATTTTCAGTTCTGGGAAGTAATTTCTGACGAGCACGGAATCGATCCAACAGGAACGTACCATGGAAACACGGACCTGCAGTTGGAGAGAATCAATGTTTACTTCAATGAGGCCACAGGTAATTGTACCATCCGCAGAGGGGTGGGCTATTCATATCGCTCTGCGTCCGTGGTCCGTCCGTACGTCACTCGTCCGTCCGTCCGTAAACGGTGGAACTTCCCCATATTGCATATGTAGGTTCCCCTTGGTCCCTAGGTGTGCCCGTCGTAACAATCGCCCGTTTTAAACTTAGAAGTTCAACTGCAGATGCCAAACTACATGAAAAGACAAAAGTTCAAGATATCATGCTGGAATTAATGTTGTATTGAATTATGTCTTGCTTCTTGTCAAGCCATCAGAGACCTTAACTATCCACAGTGTTAGTTATTAAGGAATGCGCTGAATCGTTTTCACTTTTATATATATGGTAATGTAGCTTCCGGAATCCACAGCTGCCCGATCGAACTGAAACATAAGCGCACATCAATATGAATAAAATAAACAGATTCAGTTTACTTCCACTGGAGATTTTCCTTTTAATGATTCGTTTTATATCGATTAAATAATTAAATATTGCAATCTCTATCTACACACATTTATTGGAAAGTGATCAGGAAAGGTTAAATTGTTGAGTGTTAAACCATCGACATAGTGATCTTAGCTGTGGTGATAAGTCGATCTTAACTAGAAGATTCATGTTATTACATAGTTTACAGATCTCGGGATAGAAAAGACTGCGATATCAAATCGTGTTTATAGACATAAATGTTATTTTTTAAATTACATATGGTAAGTTGACGGAGAATAAACCAATGTCTTGATGTTAAAGCAACTCTGACACTTCTCATCTATTTGTTATAAATGGCACGGAGATATGCAAGTGAAAAGAGTTATTCTTCGTTAAGTTACCATATTCATTTAAAAAATATATCACTTTCATGTCTACAAGTACATGTGTTAAGTTAAAAATGAATTACAAAATGGCCATTAATAGTTGTTATAAAGTACTTCAATCAGAAACAGAATGTTGGTGTAGGCGACTGTCAAAAAAGTGTGAGTCTGATAGCATTTTGTGTCTGAACTTCAGGATATGATAATGGCCCAGACCTTTCACTTGATCTTTCCACTAACTCTGTGAGGTGTATAAAGGGATGGTACCAGAGACTGCTCACCTCTACAGCCTGGTGAATCACCGTTTTCATTATCAATAACAATATATCAACTCATCAAATATTTTCTTTCTTTTTTTTGTAATGAATCAAACAGTACTATTTGGCTAGAATACAGACGATAGCATCTAAGACCCTTTTTACTTAGTATCTGACAAACTCTGTTCGTATCTCTGCCTTTAACAGACCACGTGTGTACTCTACTCAACTCACGTAGCTACGCCCCTTACAGTCATGTAACAAGTAAATGAAACCAATTGTCTGCAACATTACAACATGTTCTGGGAGAGACGGTGTGTGTGTGTGATTAGATATTACACAGAAAACCTTTAACTGGCTTTGATAGAGTTAATTGATACAAAATCCTCAGCAAACAGGACTTTTTTTATATGCTGGAAGGGAAACACTTTAAAAATAAGTTCTGGAAATCAATGGATGTCTTAGGAGCTAGTGCTACACACAGAAATGTCATCCATTAGAAAGAAAATATAGGATTTCCACGAAACAAAACACAAGTGAAGAGCACTTTTCAATATGCAAATTTATAAATAGATACAGCATATGCCAAATTATAACTCAAATTGCATCAAGTAGCAGTTTCGTCCTTCTAGAAGTTTCAGGGATGTGGCATTCTCAGAACCATATCAATTAGGAAAGGATTACAGACATAGATATTATAGGGGGAAATAAGGGAAATATCTGTACCACGACAAAAATTAGCGAGAAAAATCGGGGATATGAAACTGAAAATATAGGACATTTATCAGAGAAAGTGAATAGGTTGGGGAAAATGGAGAACTATTGCTTACACACAAATCTTTTTCATTAAAAAGGGAGAACTTTGTTTACAACATAATGAACAGAAGATAGGATGAGGGGGAACAAGAAGAACTAAACGCATTTCTATGTTCTAGTTAGGATTTGAAAAGGGCAGGTCACTGACCATTTAATTGACCAAACAATGTCTGGAACAGATAAAACCTTCCTTATCGGGATACGCTCGAACTTCGCACACATTCAGGTTCTAAAGTCTTATCTCAGATGTGAAGACGAAACTTGTAATTGGATTTAATCTGTTACTTTTTAAGATAGAAACTTACTGGCATTTCATCTGTCCGAATTCTTTTCAACGCTGTAAGTATTAAGTACGTATAGCGGAAAATCAAACTGTAATAACCGCGGCCTCGATCAACAGCATGTGTAGCTTTCAATATGATGGTCTGACGGAAATTTGAGTACCGCATGTTAGACAGGTTACGTCATACAAGTATATCGGAGACGTCTAGATGAAAGGCGAGTGTTACCACATCATCAACTGACAACACCACAAACTGTTTAACAGGCTGTGAATCGTTTAGGATATATCATTCTACAACAGAAAATATTTGTTTTGTATTACCTAATCTCAATATTTTTTTTCATTTGGAAAATACGTTCTTCGATTTTGCTATAGCATTAGATTCTGTATGGAGAGTCGGTCTGTGGAAAAGGCTTCAAAAACCCAACATTACTGGAACAATTTTCAAAGTTGTTTTTATGTTATACGATAATACAAATTCATGTGTTAAATATGGACGGTCGGATTTGATTGATGGTGAGATCGGAGTAAAACAAGGCGAAAATTTATCGCCATTTATGTTTTGCAATTTATTTAAATGACTTTGAAACTTATCTTGACGAGAAAAATGTAACTTGTCTTGAAACAACAGACTTACTTTGTATAGACAAGATTGGAATATACTACATCTTATATGCTGATGACACCGTTCTGGTATCAGTAATACATTTAGCATTAGGTTAAGTGAAACAATATTGCAATACTTGGACGTTAACGTTAACGTACAAGAACTCCCCATTTCACATTATGTAACATAGAATTAGAAATACTTGAAGGGTACACCTATCTAGGTATTTTATCTAACTTTAACAGTAGCTTTGGTAAAACAAGGAAAGGTTTGTTGAACAAGCACAGATATCAGCTTTTGCAGTCTATAAGAAATTAAGGAACATGTCACTCCCAGTTGATTTACAATTGAAGGTATTTGTTTCACTTATCATGCCAGTTCTGTATTCATCAGAAATATGGGGGTTTAAAAATACATATATAACTGAAAAAAGTACAATTTGTAAAAAAAAAAGTAAGAAAAATTACAGCTAATTTCTACTAATACCCACTGATATTTGATTGATATCGATATCGATATTAAATGTAGAATGATAGTATTCTGGCATAAACTGATTACTGCTGATAAGTTATCAAGTATTATCTATAAGTTAATGTATACGTTACAAGAAAATGGAACCAAGTCATTTAAATGGCTCACAAATGTTAAAGAAATTCTATTCGAAACTAGCCTGAATTATGTCTGGTACTATCAACCTATATGTTCCTTTTCTAATTAAGACACTTGTGAAAAATGACTAAAGGATCAATGTGTACAGAAATGGTTCAATAATATTTTTAACTAGAGGGAAGACATATTCCATATCTAAGACAAAAATTGTAAATGAAATAGAATTGAAGGTAAAAATTATGTGTAAGTCTCGTTCTTCAAATCTGCATTTACAAGTAGAAACAGAAAGATGGTTAGATATTCATCATCAAAGGAGAAACTGAACGTTAAGTAATTCCGGCATTGGAGATGAATTTCACTATCTACTGAAATTTCAAAATGAATCAGTAAAATGTATGAGAGAAAAATATATACCAAACTATTATTTTACTTAACTTAGTCAAATTAAAACGCAAATTTGGTTGACATATTCAACGGAAAAATCTTCACAAAAATTGTAGATTTATAGAAAATTTTGCTCGATTTTTGAGTTATTTTCTGTACCCGGTTGTGCTCCCTCTCTATGTAATTATGTAAAAGCGAAGTATATTTATTTACAGAAAATGTAGTAATTCTATCCTAACTACATGTATGTGACCTCTTGTTACATACGTGTGATTGAAGAAAACCTTGAAACTTTCAACAGGCTTGGTACCGTTCAAAAGGCTATGCATCGTTCAACAGTACGGATAGTGTTCCGCATTAAAAAACGAATGATTGAGTAGAGAAAAGACGGTATAATCACGTCGGTTCTTTGTACAGAGTAACTTCCCACGTCCCTAACCACAGAAACCCCAACCTACACATACAATGAAATACTAGTTATTCTACGTAGCAATAATTCAGACTTCCATTTGTTAATAAGGTTGCAGACCCCCCTCGTTTCCTAACCTTCACAGGAATCCATTTAAACAGCGTTTCAATGCTGACTTTTCTAGTTGTTCAACAAAAGATTTGACAAAACTTCTCATTACCATCCTCAGTACCATCGAACCTGTGTTACAGGCTTATTGTGAAACTTTTACTCAAGAAGTGGAATTAGTGATATTCGGATTTTAAAGAATCCCACAGAACTTATAACAAACCAAGACTCTTCTAAAAAAACTATTTTTTAGAACTTTTGGCTCTTCAACTTTCATAACCAGTTCCAAAATAAAGGAACGTGTTATTTTTTTCAATGAGTACAAACCTTCTTTTAAAAGAAAAGTAGTTGTGAACTATACTTTAACTTATGTCGTAAAAAGTACGTCTAAAACCACGAAGTGACAAATGGACAGAATCATAAAAATGTTCTAACTGCTTGTTGGCAATATCTTGGTAAGATCTTCTGGCATGCTGATAGGAATGAAGCGAACCCATCTCTAGGCTGACTTGTTATCAAGGAGCTTGTAAAAAACAGTTTAAAAATCTTGCCCAGACGTCGATAGTTTTGATTTTCAAATATTAAGAAATTTATAGACCATGTCCATCGCATCTTATTAAAACAAGGGAAACGACCGACTGCCTTCCTTATTGTATTTTTCCATTTCTGGATAGCAACACACATATCACAGTTGATTCGACAACCGATAGGTAATAGAAGGACTTACAACATGTTTCGGGACATGCACTTTAATAAAGACTTGTGGGAAGTCTCTATAACCTCATAGGGAAATCTTCTATTACCCTGTGATATCATTAATTTGGACGTGACACGTTCGATACTTGTTAGTATGCGTGGCGGTTCCATAAATACGAATCAGTAACTTAGATTAACCAAGATTTACACGGCAAATGTGTTCGATGAGGCAGAAGACGCTTACTCTTCCATAACACTAGGCCTTATTCACCTTTTATTTTAATCAAAAGTGATAATAAAACTGAATTGCGATGCTGTAAACATGTTTGTATTTACTCGTTATTTCATGTTTTCTACAGTTATAGTTGACCAACATAGAAAGGTTTTAATATTCATTCAGACATATTGACATTCTGTGTGGAGAGATTCATTAATCATCATAGAAAATTGTTCGTTTGCATTTGTGCTTTAGGTGGCAAGTATGTACCGCGGGCAGTCCTGGTGGACTTGGAGCCTGGCACCATGGACTCGGTCAGGTCCGGGCCTTTTGGACAAATCTTCAGACCAGACAACTTTGTATTCGGACAGAGTGGTGCTGGAAACAACTGGGCGAAGGGACATTACACAGAAGGTGCTGAGCTTGTAGACTCTGTTCTGGATGTTGTACGGAAGGAATCAGAAAGTTGCGATTGTCTTCAGGGATTCCAGCTGACTCACTCTCTCGGGGGCGGTACTGGTTCCGGCATGGGTACACTCCTCGTCTCCAAAGTCCGTGAAGAATACCCCGACAGGATCATGAATACATTCTCTGTGGTACCTTCACCGAAGGTAAAGTCATCTTTATAACTTGGGGTGGCACTCTCATCTGCAAAAGAAATATCCAAAATCTTTATTTTGTAATATTGCGCCCTTGCACGGGAGGTGCGTGATTCGATAAAGTCTTTGTCATGTTTCTGTCCCTATTTGATCTGAAGTACTCTTAGATGAATTGGAGTGAACTTTGTATAAGCAATGGGTATCGGCCCCTCGAGTAGGAGGGACGAAGCCCAAAAGGGGGAATGGAGCATTTTCTTTAAAATTACTCCTCTTCTTTATGAATGCTGGTGGTCTGTTTTAAATTGTTTTGAAGTATCATTAGATGGAGAATTGATTTTGTATGAATGGTGGGTGGGGCTCGATCTAGCAAATAGTTGTAAACACTTGTCTTCTGTAAGAATGCTTGGATCTGGCTGGATCAAGTTTGTGTACACTGTGGGTGACACCCAGGGGCCAGAAGGTTATGTCTAATAGAGTAAATATAGCAAATTCTTAAAATGTCTTCTTCTGTAGGACTGAGAGGATTTTGTATAAATTTGATCTGAAATATTTTGGATAATGGAAACTCAAATGAAGTGTCAGACACCCTTGGCAGGGTAAAACAGGAAAAACTAAAGACCTTGGGTTCTGTTATAGAGCCTGTTTCATGCTGGTATAAAAGACTAAAAAATTTGGTAATATTGATTGATCACAGGGGTAATATGTATTAAAATTTTATTCTAAATAGACAAAAGGTCCTAGGCAGTGATATTGGGCTTGAAGCATGCATGTTGGGAATGAAGTTTGTTCAAATGAATGACCTTCAAAGTTACACAAGTGAAATGTTTTTATAGCCACTGGGTAATGGTATTTGTTGAACTAGGGCTTGGAAGTTATCAGAAATGAAATTAATGACTGATTATTTTTTTTGTATACACTGCATAACAATTGAGGCCTTCATGCCCATTGTGCCTCTTTTTGTAAATGACAGCCTTGATCTAATTACTTTCAGTATGAAAGTACTGACAGTTTCCTTTTGTCATTATCATGTCTTTGATAAAAAAAATCATCGAATAATTTTAATCATAGAGCTAGTACACCTCTCCATCTACTTTTTGACATTTCTTTCGATCAATTTGGACTTTCTTCAGTTGCCTTATAGGCTTTGAAATTTTGGCCCTTAGCCGACGAGTCCTACAAGGACAAAACAGCTGTATGATGCAGCATCACTGACGAGTCCTACAAGGACAAAACAGCTGTATGATGCAGCATCACTGACGAGTCCTACAAGGACAAAACAGCTGTATGATGCAGCATCACTGACGAGTCCTACAAGGACAAAACAGCTGTATGATGCAACATCACTGATGAATCCTACAAGGACAAAACAGCTGTATAATGTAACATCACTGACGGGTCCTACAAGGACAAAACAGCTGTATGATGCAGTTTAATCCATTGTTTGGCTTTACTGTAGCTTATTCTGTATTTTTATTAAAATGTTCTATTCTCTTGTGTGTTTCTGTACAATCTTCCTTTGACAGGTACGTTTCTTACACAGCTGTGGATCCCTAAAATGCCAGCTTTGCTGTCTATCAGTTCGTTATCATGTTTCCCTTTTGTGTTTGACAGGTATCTGACACAGTTGTGGAGCCCTATAATGCCACCTTGTCTGTCCATCAGCTGGTTGAGAACACAGATGAGACTTACTGTATCGATAATGAAGCTTTGTACGACATTTGCTTCCGTACTTTAAAACTGACCACTCCAACTTATGGAGACTTGAACCATTTGGTATCAGCCACTATGTCTGGTGTTACTACTTGCCTCCGATTCCCTGGACAGTTGAATGCTGACCTCCGTAAGCTGGCTGTAAACATGGTGCCTTTCCCCCGTCTTCACTTCTTTATGCCTGGCTTTGCCCCTCTAACATCTCGTGGTAGCCAGCAGTACAGAGCTCTTACTGTGCCAGAGCTCACCCAACAGATGTTCGATGCCAAGAACATGATGGCTGCCTGTGATCCTCGTAACGGGCGGTATCTGACTGTAGCAGCCATATTCCGTGGGCGCATGTCCATGAAGGAAGTTGATGAACAAATGTTGAACGTCCAGAACAAGAACACTAGCTATTTTGTTGAATGGATTCCAAACAACGTAAAGACTGCAGTCTGTGACATCCCACCACGTGGTCTTAAAATGTCGGCTACATTCATAGGTAACAGTACTGCCATTCAGGAACTCTTTAAACGTATATCCGATCAGTTCACTGCCATGTTCCGACGTAAGGCTTTCCTACATTGGTACACTGGTGAAGGTATGGACGAGATGGAGTTCACAGAAGCCGAGTCTAATATGCATGACTTGGTGTCAGAGTACCAACAGTACCAGGATGCCACGACTGAGGATGAAGAGTTTGATGAGAATATTGACGAGGAGGATTAGATAAACCTATCTCTTGATAGTAAGACTAGGTCTGACATTCAATCAACATCATCATCTGACAATAACCTACAGAATGGTGATTAAGCAGAAAAATTATTAGGATTTTATTCAAACATCGATGAGAGAGATTGCCAAGACAATCTTCACATTTTTGTTATTTTCATTGACTTCATATTCTGGGCACTATTCAAGCTGACTTCATATATCTATGTTTTGAAATTAACGATTCACTATTATCCTGCGAAGCGAAAAATTCGACCTTCAAAAATTTTATTTTCTCAGTTGTTCATTACTAATGATTTTCTCCCTTCATCAAGGCACTATTACATATATCCTACTCACATTCTAGTATTTACTTCTTCTAATCCCTGATCATGTCGGTGTATACACATTCCTTATAAAAAAATTCTGGTTCTCAAAATTTGTAACAGTCTCAAATCTGTGTACCTGATTAGGAAAATCTGATTTAATGTATTCAAATGGACAATCTGTGTCCTATAAAATATATGAAACATGGGGGTAATCAAGACTGACCATCTAATGATGGCAACAAACAAAGGAGGTAAAGATAAACTTGTGATGTTACAGAGTAAAGGTTGTCTACACAAGAACTGTCTAAAAATGTTTTATTTTCTATCCATCAATATCAGTTATGACAACTTACTGATAAATCAAATGAAACATACACAGGTTCATCATACAGATATCAGATTTACAAACAATGTACACACATGAACAGAGGTTAATCACACAAACATTGTATACACATGTACAGAGTTCATCACACAATCAAACAATGTACACGCATGAACACAGGTTCATCACACAAACATCTTATATACATGTACATAGGTTCATCACACAAACATCTTATATACATGTACAGAAGTTCATCATACAAGCATGCATAGAGATTCATCACACAACCAAACATCTTATATAAATAAACAAGAGGCCTAGCGGCCTTGATGGTCACCTGAGATAAGCAATATTGAATATAAAGGTTAAAAGGTAGCTATCAAGTGTCATGAAACAGAAATTGTGACACTGAATATAATAAGCCAGTGTCAATACATGCATACCATCAAAACTGTCATCCTATACTGACAATTCTTACAAAATTATTTCCAGTGGGCAATAACAAATGTTATGCTCAAAAATGCAATTTTTCTAAGAAAATTACAGTAAAGTTTAAAAAACTCTTTCTCCCTAGGAAGAATGGGGCACCTTCCATGATTCTATTCATACAAAGCATTTGATTCTACCATATCTGGGTGTTGAGAAGAAGATATTTGAAATTTAAGTCAATTTGACCTTTTTTGGCCCCGCCCATCAGCCCTTCGGGATCAGCCAGAATCAATATGGGCATTCCATCAAGCTGTTATCCTTCGCTCATAATTCTAACCAAGTTTGAAATATTTCTAATGGATGTTAAACAAAATATGCTCAAAAATCCTTTTTTTCCTATATAAACTATGGTACACTTTACCCTCTCCCCACAGAGAAATGTGACACCCTGGAGTTGTGAAATTCACAACTTTGTTAAAGCACCTTAAGGTACTCCCAGCTACAAATAGCATTTGATATATGGAGGTTGAGAAAAAAATTTTTGAAATTTAAGTCAATTTGACCCCTTTTGGCCCCAAGAGGTTCTATGGAGTGGGAACTGTGTAGTACCCAAATTTTGGTTCATCAGGGAAGGTTTCTGCAAAATTTCATTGAAATCGGACCAGGAGTTTTTGAGAAGAAGCTGAAAACATTAAATTGTTTACAGATGCATGAATCCAGATCAAGGTGATCGCAATAGGTCATCATGAGACTTTGTCTCTCGTGACCTAAAAATAGAAAAGAAGAGCACCAACTCCTAAAGCCAGGTAGACTTTATTTAATCAAGTTTCTGGCATTTAGCTGTAGAGGAAAGTAGAATATACTATTGGCCTTCCTGGCTTCAGGAGTGTGCGCTCTTTTTTATATTTTTTAGTTGTTTAGTTGGTAAGAGACCTCTGTATACCTTCTGAAGCCTAGAAAATGAACCTTAACACACATATGAACTAAGCAAGATGTTGATTCTTCAGAAAATTCGTCAACTGGAGATTTTCTTGCATCAATGTATGGCATTTCTGTTATTTTGAGGCATTTTTATTGATCATTGTTATTGTACTATTGAGAAAAAGATGCCGATAAAGTCCATCTCCGAATCCGTTCTTACTTATCAAATCCAACGGCCCATTCAAATGTGCCACACTTTACTTTGCTGTTTTTCTTCGACACAGCACACACAAAAAACTGTCTTCCATTGTTAGGTCCTTGTTTCAAAACTGTTCGTAAAGTACACGGTTTTCCGTGAGCTTCACACAATGGGAAGAGGTCATCAGCCCACTACAGGAGAGTAAAACACATTATTAACAACATTATATCAATTTTTTTACAACATGGTTTCTAAAATCAGAAATAAAAAAGGTGAAAATATTTATCTACCACCTTGATAATAAACTTTGAATAAGAGACCTAGCAGTTAACCTCTTCCCTAGGGAAAAATATAAGTCCCATTTTGGTAAAGCATCTTCAATCCGAGTCAATTTGACTCCTTTTTGGCCCAATCCATCAGCCCCTGGGGGTCAGGCAGGATCAATATGGGTATATCATCAAGCTGTTATCCTTTGTTCTAATTCTAACCAAGTTTCCAATGGAAATTGGACAAATTATGCTGAAAAATCTATTTTTCCTATATAAACTATAATAAACTTAACCCCCTCCACACAGGGAAATGTGAGACCCTGGGGCTATGAATTTCACAATTTTGATTAAGCACCTTGTGATGCTTCTATCCATGAAGAGCATTTAATACCACCATATCAGGGTGTTGAGTAGAAGATTTTTGAAATCTGAGTCGATATGACACATTTTTTACCCCATCCCTCAGGGCCCTTTGTGGTTGGGATGGTATAATTCACTTTTTTATTTCATCTTAGACCAGGGAAAGTTTCTGCAAAATTTCACTGATATCGGTACAAGGATTTTTGAGAGGTTGAAAATGTAAAAGTTTATGAATATATCTGTTGCACCATGTCGTACAAAGGTCACACAGTAGGTCACCATGAGACTTTGTCACAGGTGATCTAAAGATAGAGTATAGATTTATCACTTTTGACTTAAGAGTATTTATGTACTTACTTGGAAATATTTGCATTGTTGTTGTCCCCTTGTAGAGCATGAAAAAAACCAGCGTCCATAGTTATCTCCCTTTTTAAACACCTCTCTCAAGGCACATTTCTTATTGTGCCCAGGACAACATGGAATTCTACTGTCTCCTTTAGTGTCCTCGACTTTTCTTCGTTTTGCAGGCTTTTCAATGTCAAAGCTTTCTGGTGTTCGATCTAACTGTGATTTCCCTCTAAATCTTGTCTCTGACAATGTTCTTGCTAAGAAAGATGAGGATGGGCCTTTATTGGTGCTGTCTGTAACTAAAAATTGTGAAAACAAATAAATACATTTAAAAATCATTTTAACATTAACTGTTAACAGTAGAAAACTCATCAAATCTACAGACTTTATTTAACTAGAACTGATAACAGTAGAGAACTCATCAACTGTTTACAAGTAGAGAACTCATCAACTGATTACAGTAGAGAACTCATCAACTGATTACAGTAGAGAACTCATCAACTGATTACAGTAGAGAACTCATCAACTGATTACAGTAGAGAACTCATCAACTGATTACAGTAGAGAACTCATCAACTGATTACAGAAGAGAACCCATCAACTGTTTACAGAAGAGAACTCATCAACTGATTACAGTAGAGAACTCATCAACTGATTACAGTAGAGAACTCATCAACTGATTACAGAAGAGAACCCATCAACTGTTTACAGTAGAGAACTCATCAACTGGTTACAGTAGAGAACTCATCAACTGATTACAGTAGAGAACTCATCAACTGTTTACATTAGAGAACCCATCAACTGATTACAGTAGAGAACCCATCAACTGTTTACAGCAGAGAACTCATCAACTGATTACAGTAGAGAACTCATCAACAGTTTCCAGCAGGGAGCCCATCAATGATTACAGTAGAGAACTCATCAACTGATTACAGTAGAGAACTAATCAACAGTTTCCAGCAGGGAGCCCATCAATGATTACAGTAGAGAACTCATCAACTGATTACAGTAGAGAACCCATCAACTGTTTACAGCAGAGATCTCATCAACTGATTACAGTAGAGAACTCATCAACTGATTACAGTAGAGAACTCATCAACAGTTTCCAGCAGGGAGCCCATCAATGATTACAGTAGAGAACTCATCAACTGATTACAGTAGAGAACTCATCAACTGTTTACAGTAGAGAACTCATCAACTGTTTACAGTAGAGAACTCATCAACTGATTACAGTAGAGAACTCATCAACAGTTTCCAGCAGGGAGCCCATCAATGATTACAGTAGAGAACTCATCAACTGATTACAGTAGAGAACTCATCAACTGTTTACAGTAGAGAACTCATCAACTGATTACAGTAGAGAACTCATCAACTGTTTACAGTAGAGAACTCATCAACAGTTTCCAGCAGGGAGCCCATCAACTGTTTACAGTAGAGAACTCATCAACTGATTACAGTAGAGAACCCATCAACTGTTTACAGTAGAGAACCCATCAACTGTTTACAGTAGAGAACTCATCAACTGATTACAGTAGAGAACTCATCAACTGATTACAGTAGAGAACCCATCAACTGTTTACAGTAGAGAACTCATCAACTGATTACAGTAGAGAACCCATCAACTGATTACAGTAGAGAACTCATCAACTGATTACAGTAGAGAACTCATCAACTGTTTACAGTAGAGAACTCATCAACTGATTACAGTAGAGAACTCATCAACAGTTTCCAGCAGGGAGCCCATCAATGATTACAGCAGAGAACTCATCAACTGATTACAGTAGAGAACTCATCAACAGTTTCCAGCAGGGAGCCCATCAATGATTACAGTAGAGAACTCATCAACTGATTACAGTAGAGAACTCATCAACTGTTTACAGTAGAGAACTCATCAACAGTTTCCAGCAGGGAGCCCATCAATGATTACAGTAGAGAACTCATCAACTGATTACAGTAGAGAACTCATTAACTGTTTACAGTAGAGAACTCATCAACTGATTACAGTAGAGAACTCATCAACTGTTTACAGTAGAGAACTCATCAATGATTACAGTAGAGAACTCATCAACTGTTTACATTAGAGAACTCATCAACTGTTTACAGAAGAGAACTCATCAATGATTACAGTAGAGAACTCATCAACTGTTTACATTAGATAACTCATCAACTGTTTACAGTAGAGAACTCATCAACTGATTACAGTAGAGAACTCATCAACTGTTTACATTAGAGAACTCATCAACTGTTTACAGTAGAGAACTCATCAACTGGTTACAGAAGAGAACCCATCAACTGATTACAGTAGAGAACTCATCAACTGGTTACAGTAGAGAACTCATCAACTGATTACAGTAGAGAACTCATCAACTGGTTACAGTAGAGAACTCAATAAATCTACAAGGCCTTGGTGAGAGGATGTTAAGGAAAGACGTACTGATATATTTATATAATGTATTTATATATTAATGTTGGATTTTCATTTCAATAAAAAATGGTACCTGACTGCTGGACACTTGTCCTGGTTGTGAAACACATCTCACAATTGAGTTGACTTGGACCGTTAATGAAGGTACACATCCCACAGGCCCATTTTTGGTCACTTATGGCTGAAGCTTGACCAGATGTGACCCAACCCAGCAAGGAGTTCTTCTTAGGTAATATTCTTAAATACAATTAAAAGTACAAGGTATGATAAACATACTTCAATATCGAATGTAAAACCAATATCAACCAAGGTCAACTTCCTATCAAAATTGAATGTAAAATCAAGGTCGACTGATGGGTGCAATGAAAGGATATGAAAACCTTTTACCAACATAGTACAAAACCAATATTGAGATAATATTCTATGGAATTGAAAACAGTCCATCAAAGTGGAGCAATCTTCTTTCCCCGCCATTCATAATATTGGAACATTTTTCTTGGACATTGTCAACATACTATTACAGCAGGCCTTGATAAATTTCAGAGTAATAAATAAACAATATGACATTTCCGTCACTGACCAATACTGTATATCACTTATTTTTTGTGTGGTATTTAATTTTGCTTTGATAAGGAAGAAGAGCCAGTCGTCATTTTAAATCTCTCATGATTATTTGTATGGCGTCCTTGTTCTTAAGACGTTGAATTGGATTTACTTCCATTTACACTTCTGTTGAATTTGTAAATACCTTATCACAATATCACACTCAAATCTTCTAGACATACTCATCTCAAATTCAGACATCTTAAGAACTTTGTATTTTATATGACATCCTGTATTGCTGACTGTAGAACTGCACAAAATGGCATCATTCAAATATACAGCTATAAGTCAGAGGTCAAACATGTGTACAACGATAGATAGAATGGAAAGTCTCTGATGCTATTTTTTGTGCTGAAAAGATGCTAAAATTTTTTACAATATCAGAGATTAACATACATTATATCTATTCTTTAAAGTGACAAAATAAACAGTAGGAAATTGTAGAAGTCATTACCCCTTGGACGACTACTGTATAATTAGTATAAAAATGTTATGTAATGTTAAACATCTGGACAATTGAAGTCCTGTCTTCATACCCCGAAAACAATTCAATTTTTTCTTCAAACATAAATGCAAATGGAGTGAACTTTCTTTTTTTTTGTCAGCGTACTGGCCTCTGCTCCAGTAAATAAAATTCACTATGGACACAAAATGTATCACATGAATAAATCACTTATCAGGTACAGTCACATGACTCTCGTAAGCAAAATGTATCACATGAATAATCACTTATCAGGTTTATCAGGTATAGTCACACGACTCTCGTAAACAAAATGGTGCCCAGTATGAAGCTATTGATTGCCAATACTGGAGTTTGGTTTTTTCTAGAGTTGATGTCCCTACTAGTTCATCATTCATGAATTCAAAGTCTTTTTTTTATTAATGTTTGCAAAATAATATGTTCGCAAATATATCTGCAAAGGTGAGTTTGTGAAATTTAATTGAGTTACAGTAGTAATGATATCAGCAATGTTACCTTTCTTTCTTCCGTACAAGGTCATTGTCCTGACAATTCTCACAGAAGTAAGTCATCCTCGAAGAATCATCACCTTGGCGACATCTCACAACCTTGCCATCACATTGTGTACATTTCACTTTGTTGTAAATCTTCAGGAATTTCCCAAGATTTGTTCCCTGTCTTCTACACTGAATTTGATAAAGCCATCCTAAGATTATCTAACAAAATTATCCAAAAATTATATATAACACATTAGATAATGTAACAAGATATTGGTTAAAAGATAACAGTTCTATGGACATGTTGTATGAGACAATGGGTCACTGGAAATTGTCCTTAATAAACATGTTGTATGAGATAATGGGTCACTAGAAACTTTCCTTAATAAACAGGTTGTGTAAAGTAATGGGATATTGGGAATTGTCAATTATAGACAGGTTTTGTGAGGTAATGGGACATGGAGAACTGTCCTTTATAGACAGGTTGTGTAAGGTAATGGGACATTGGAAACTGCCCTTTATAGACAGGTTGTGTGAGGTAATGGGACATTGGGAACTGCCCTTTATAGACAGGTTGTGTGAGGTAATGGGACATTGGGAACTGTCCTTTGTAGACAGGTTGTGTGAGGTAATGGGACATTGGGAACTGTCCTTTGTAGACAGGTTGTGTGAGGTAATGGGACATTGGGAACTGTCCTTTGTAGACAGGTTGTGTGAGGTAATGGGACATTGGGAACTGTCCTTTGTAGACAGGTTGTGTGAGGTTGTGCAACTTTGAGAACTTTCAACTTATAAAGACTTCTTCATAAATGTTGAGATTGTAACATAAAATTATTATCATCTGAAAAATGTTTCTTTCCATGAAGAACTCACCTTTAGAAATATCATAGAGAAATCTCTTGTCATTTTTACTAGGTGTGACACATGATCTCCTGACAGTTCCTCTACCTGTAACAGGACATCCTGATAAATAATATTGAATGTCATCTGTTAGTGCACAGCAAACATTTTGCTGAAAACTCTGGACTGCATTTTTGCAAACAAAATAACTTGTCAAGTAAACTGCCTAAATATAAGTTATAAACCTACCTTAGAGTCTGGCTTCACCCCGCTGTCAAACAAAGCCTGTAAAACATAAATAACAATGATATTATTATGTGTCCTATTTTTACATCCATACCAATAAAAGCACTGAGAAATCAAGTCAATCGAAGGAGTGTGACACAAGAGGCCAAAAAGGCCTGCAGTGCTCACCTGGATACTTCAGAAATCCCAACAGAACAGAAGAATGTTCATCATTCAAATGATTTCTTTGTCTGTACATTTGCTTCCTATAACAGTTAAGATTAGTTTTCAATTCTTTATGTATAAACAGAGGAAAGAGTTTGAGATTAACTTCTATTTCCTCTATCTGGCCCATCTCTCAAGGGAGTGACACTCCCTGTAAATACAAAACTTATTTCTCTGCATACAAGAAATCTCTAGATTAAATTGGGTGGTACTCCAAATAGAAGAAAGTTTTTAGCTTTGTCCCCATGGGAGTCAGCAATGCCATTAATTCCAATTCACATGTGGTAATTGTCTATGTAGGTGTTCTAAGCTGATAATATTTTAAAGAAAATGTTGACTATGGACAGACAAAAGACATGCTACAGTATTAATGAAGTCACTGGCCACTAGAGATCAAAAGGGCAAAAACTCTGCATACAATAAACAAACCATCTAAAACTGGCAGGATGCACGCTAAGATAAGGTATATGTCATGTCATAATATACACAAGACAATGACATAAAACAGATGACCATATGACCTTGACAAACTGATGAATTGACCACGGATACTCTAACAGCCAGAAAAGTTCTGACCACTGGTTAGTGATGATGTACCCGAAACTAGTTTCTGAACTACAGTCAATTCCGTCCTTAAAGGTTACTCAATGGCACCTAGGAAAATGGTCTTTATAGACAGGTAACATTTACAGAGATCTGGTCTTCATACAGAGGTACTCTTCATGATAGGTTTGATTGTAAGTCTAATACAAAATGATTATATATACAGGGCTCTTGATCTGCCAGATTTGGGGCCAAATATTCCCAATTCAAAATAGTATCTTTTTTTCCCAATTTAGACCCAAAGTTTTCCCAATTCTAAGGAAAAGACCATGATTTTCCCAATTCAAAGGACCCTGGGCCCCAGTCCCAAAATGGGGTGTGAGAGCCCTGATATATCTAATGATAAGTACACTGCTAAGATATATTTTCAATACAGGTAGTTCAAATTTTCAGTTTTACCAAAAACTAAAATCTATAATTTTATTTGTCAATTTCTTTTTCACTCTGTCTCTGTTTTTTATGATTTCATTCCACATTTGAAAATATTGTGAATAACAAGACTACTTGAAAATAATGACATTTACAGTCCTATCATCAATACCTCGTTTTTGATTATATTCCCAACTCCAGGCAGTATTGTTTGGTCCAGGAGAACATCACATATCTGTCTTCCTTTTTGTTCAATTACCAAAGCAACAGCACGTTTTTGATTGAACACAGGAGAGCAGATGTCGACATCATTCAGGCTGTCGTATCTCTCTCTACATGACTCTGTTGATCTGTAACAGAAACAAAAGCAATCCATAATTGCATAAATCACTAGCAGTAGCCACCGTAAAATGGTGACATTAATTGTTTTATTTTTATCAAAGTCAGTTACAAAGATGCACTTTTGATGTAGCAGTGAAATGAAAGTCCCAACTTTATTGAGGGGTAAAAAAAAGGAAGCTAGTTTAGCACAAATGAATATACTTTTCAAAAATGTGATTCAGAATTTCATTGTGAAATTAACAAAATATTTTTTCATTCCTACACATGTAACAGATGTCATCATCTATGCTAGGATTTCAACCAAGAATCTATATGTTAGTAAGTCTTACACTCAATAGATAAAGCTAAAGATAAGTTCACTTTAGGCAAGCTGTATATTGTTGTTAGTAGTTACCATGAGAATTATATAGATATAATGGATGTCTACACGAAATGGGAGAGGCGTGGAAGGCCCACTTAAGCAGTGATGAGCATTTTAAAAACTTCAAAGTCAGTTTTAATATAATAAAAAAGTCCAAAAGTGAAATTTGTCAAAATTTAGGATTATTTCAAAATAAAAATACTTTAGTATCAAGTGAATGTACAGACTGAATAGTAGACATATTGAGTTCATAGAATTATCAAAAAGCATTTAAAAAATTTTCATAGAAATATCTAAAGGTTTGAAATGAGACACTGATGGTGACATCTTCATCAACGAAGATATGTAGGAAAAGCATAAGCTTAGAATTCTCCCTCAAAGACTTAATGAATGAATTAGAAAATTACCAATGCAATTCCAGAAAGATACCCAGGAAAGGAAACAAACCAAGTAAGTATTTTCAATGAAAATCCTACATGAAATATTTCATGTGTTTTGAATTCTCCTCTGTTAATTGGTCACATCAGACTCCAATGTTTTGTTATCAAAGAATAAGATAGTCAGGCAGGCAGGCAAAGACAGGGAGAAAGTGATCAGCAAGGAAAGCTTTAGAGGACACAGAAACCAGGTTCAGACTCAAAGCCATCACGGGGATGGTATGTTGCGGAAGACAGGGTCTGGGAATAAAGCATTGACAACAGTGGAAAATGGTAGACTGGTGAGACGAGAGGACTGGTACAGAGTGAGGTCAGAGTTCAGAAGGAGGAAAGAGGAGAAAAGCAGTGGCACTGGGTTGTCAGGAGGCGTGGACAAGGTGGGACACAGAGGACACCCGACTAACTTGGAAGGACATCTGGTGATATCCATCATTTCAGATGAAATTCCTCCTGCATTCAGTCTATGATGTCTTGCCATCACTGTTAAATCTTCCCAGGTGGGGACTGATATCAAACCAGGCATGTGTGCTATGTGGCAAAAGAGGAACCTTAAACCATGTGCTGACAAGCTGTCAGATGGCATTAACTCAGGGCCCTTACATGTGGAGACATAACAAAGTACTCTGTTAGCTTGCAGATACATTGGAAAGGATGGCCAGGAGGAAAGTAGACAAACAGAAGGCTTGTACCATCAGCTTTGTGAAGGAGGGGCAGAATACATCAGCACCTTTGGCCTTTTGGAAATGACAGGCAAGTGGATAATGGAAGTGGCTTTGAATGAAAATTGTCTTTCCCTAACATTGTCCAGACAGCTCTCAGACCAGACATTACACTGTGGTCTAAGGGAGTGTGGAAGATGTTCAGTTCACTAGAATTATGGGTAAGGAGATAAAAGGAGCAGTACAGAGGCTCACCCAAGCAGCTGAACGTGCCTCCAGCGACTGATCACCACTGCGGACCCACCACCCATCTAGCGAGTGTTCCGAGTTGGGGGTTGAAACATTCAGTGGAGGAGGTACTCCAATGGATCGCCAGTGCCAACTGCCATCAATGGCATCTGTACTATGCAAGCTGATACAGTACACACTTCTAACCTTTGAAATAGTTAGTCAGGTTATACTAAATTGTCAGTAAAACTGAAATAGACGGCCTGCCAAATATGTGACCATCTCAGGAAGTAGGACTCAACTTCCTGTTCCAGATACTGTCTTTCCTGTGCCATTCTATCTAATGTGTCCAGTCATACTTTACGTAAGGAACAGGTATATGATATTGTGTAATTTTTTTTTCACTTAAAAAAACACTAAACCTGATATCCGCTGCTGACTTGTAAAAAGCAAGTTTATCAGTAGAAAATTCCACCTCAAAACTTGGAGGTTCTGATGTACTCCCACTTTCATGGTCGTGCTTCTTATCATTGATCAAGAAAGATCCAGCCATTAAAAAGTGAACTCTGCAATAAAGCAAAGACAAGCATGGTCAATATGATACAGTATTAATTACTTTGTTCTGCAATAAGCCCAGGTACCCAAAACATTATTTTATATTTAAGACAGAGAAGATGGAGCATCAATATCTGGATTCCATGGTTTTATTATTGGTTTGTATGATTCAGCTAGCTAGGCATGCCATCATCAAAACAATGGTATAAATATCTAAATAGCAAAAGTTAAAAATACAGCTCAGCTGTGACATAATTACAAATGTCTTTATCGTGGGGTAATGACAACACAGTAGCAATATTTCCAGTTAATTTACATTGTATGGTATTCCAGTGAAGGATGCAGGGGTTTTCCAAGCTTACAAGAGTACTAGGTAAATAGATATCTCCTAACAGAGTGAGAGAGAACCAAGGTCCCAGTTATCTTCCGTCGTTAATTGGATCATGAAGGAATCAAAGATGGATACCCAACAAGTATTCAACAGAGCCTCATCAAGGAATGTAAATACAAATGATGGCTAGCCTACTTAGCTGAAAGATGTAAACCAATAATAAAACCACAGAATCCAGATGTTGATGCTCCATCTTCTATGCCATTTGAGGTCTTCCTTGAATACTGTTTGGTTCTTTAAAATACTGTGGGGCATCCATCTTTGATTCCTTCATGATCCAATTGGAGACTGAAGACAACCAGAAGGATGATACTCTCACACTCCATACCTGCCAACTTTTCTGATTTTGCCGAGAGTTTCCCAATTTTCAGTCCCTGTCCCGGTCTTCCGATCATATGGGTCTAAATTGGGGTAATCTCCCGATTTTATAGATCATGAGTCTGCTGGGTAGGTCATAAGTAACCTTTCTATATTTGTCATATAGGAACAGTAACAGGTCAGGTTGACTACCTGGCCACAGAATCAAGGTCTAGCTGTTAGTATACTGCCCAATTATCTAATTAGTGTCATCTAAGTTAATCCTCGCTGACCGCTAAGCTAAGGAGCACACATGTACATTGCCTGTTGTTCCCTACTTACAGCTGACCAAATTAAGATTAGACCATTGGTCAGGACTCAGGAGCGGGCTCTATCAAAGAGTCAGTTAAGATGAAGTCATTATACAGATAATTAAGTATTTCTAACTATATACACGGTATAAATATAAATAACAAATTCAACAAGTAAAAGTTTGAAAAAAGCTCTTTATGAAGTGACAATGTGCTGATGTTCTCAATCAATGCCCAAATTTCCGGATTGGTATTTAATCTATCACTATTTCATATACATATATTTCACAGTGAAAACAAATATTCAAATATCATGGACCATTGATTAGATCTAAATAAAAAGATTCTGAATTTCCTAAAAGAAATTATTTCATTTATCTTTTGTTGCCTATTTCTATAAAATTGTACTAAAACGACTGCTTAAGATTTTATGAAATACAATTAATATTTCTTTTTTTCTATTTTTTGTTCTTGTTTCAATTGAATAATTCTTTCAGAGGCATCATATTTGGAAATACATATCATTACCAACACCTTAACAGCTAATTCTAAATCTAAATATCTTTTACATTGTGTGAGTTCAACGAATACCGAGAATTTCTATAAATCTTACTTTTTAGAGAATTCACATTACCTATAAATTCCAATTTTATCCCGACTTGCTAAAAAAGATATTGTTATAATATAGTAAAGCAGGCACATTATTTACTTAAACCTATCTAAAAGTATTTATTAAATATACATTAATTAACTAGATTTTCCTTTGTGACAAATGTCCCCCATGAGAATTTTGAAAAGTTGGCAGGTATGAAATTCTGTTAGGTGTTTTGTATTATTCATTTCGAAAGTCTGAGATGGACTTATCAAAGGACAATAAAATAGCTTCAGTTTATACTGAATGATCATATAAAGAATTTCATAGATTGTGGTGACAGCAAACTTGTTATAAGTTAGGCATATTCAATATTGATTCAGTAGGTAAAGAAAATGCACTGTTATAGGTAATTAAAGGAAAAAAAGTGAAAAAAATTCAACCTTAAACACATCTCTCCAAAGAACATGAAGAGTTCCTTGCCCAGGGTTAGTACTCCATCCAGCTTCCTGTTGATCAACTTGTCAAATTGTGATGTTGTTGCACCTTTGTGATGTTTAGTTTCCTGTAAAAGTCATGCATAGTAATGTTTATAAATGATACATTTTTTAATGAAAGATGTTTTTTTTTCAGAAGTATCTTGACTTGATCTAAGAGTTGCATGTAACATCATGAGGTAATGACTTCTACAAATAGGATCTCTGATGTTTTATAGTTGTGTAGAAGTTGAGATTACAGGTTTCCTTACTAGCTTCGGATACAGGGAATTTCCGTTTACCGTATTTGAGCAGTAAATGTCCAACTAGAGACTGAAGGTCTGTATTTCAAGTCCCTCTTGGGGCAAGGTGTTTTTCATTTCCCCTTCCTGTTACAGATTTGGTGCCATTGACCAATCCTTGGTTTTTGTTGTCTTTGAAGTCAAAAACTTTGTGAAGGAGGAGGTGGTGTAGAGGTTGAGAGTACAGGTCATCTTTAGTCAAGCACAGAGTGTCTGGCTAGAGACCAAAGGGTCGCTAGCTCCAACCCAAGCAGTGGCAGAGTGTTTTCCCTTCTCCTTCCTATTAAGGTAGCCTAATTTATATATATATCGTCTGGACATTGGTTCCGGACCATGATGTATTTCAGAACAGCCATTTTGTCAAGCTGTATCATATAACTGTCGACCTTCCTGACATAATACCCAGATAATTTTGGTTGTTGTAATATATCACACTTCCAGAAAGAATAAAAATGGGGCAAAGCCACAATTGGCCAGGTTGTGGGATGAGAGCAATGTTACATATCGTGCTCAAAACAACATTTCAGCCAATGAGAGGCTATCACGCTCAAAACAACATCTCAACAAATGAGAGGCAAAGGCTGCCATCTTGGATTTTCCATGCCAGACTGTTGAAAATGACTAACTTCCAAAGCCCAGAAAATCTAGAAAAATTATCCAGAATGAATTATAAATTAATAGGTGCACATCTTCAACATATATATAAACATCCTACAAAGTTTCAAGCTTCTACATCAAAAACTCTAGGAGGAGTTGATTCTACAAAACTGGTACCCCTTTTCCCTGCCAACTGTAGAAAAAGACTAAGTTCCAAAGCCTGGAAAATCCAGAAAAATGTCTAGAATTAATCCATAAAACAAGGTGCATATCTTCAACATATATATATAAACATCCTACAAAGTTTCAAGCTTCTATTTCAAAAACTCTAGGAGTTGATTCTACAAAACTGGTACCCCTTTTCCCCACCCACCTGCCCGCCAACCCAGGTGCCCGACATTCACCATATTATAACCCGGATTTGCACTATGTGCAATCCGGCCAAAAATTTGTTTTTTAAACCATTCACCATAAAATATTATGAGTAAATATTTCATGGGCAAAATTGTGTATTTTCTCTTAATACAAATTTTTACATGTCGGTCATCCTCCTAGATATGATGAAATAACATTAATTTATCCTCAGATGCCAATGGTTCATTGTCGTTTGTCATATGAATGAAAATTGACCATGAATAACAGGTCATGCCTCCTTGCAATTTTTTGGCTACAAAAGTCCAAACTTCCATGTCTTATATCGAAAAAATGATGATTTTTGAATTATCACTTTTGATGACTCATTTATTATTTTATTAAACTAGCGAGTTGTAGACTGAGAGATGAAAAAATCAACTTCATTTTAAATAGTTTGTGCTATAAAAAGGAAGTTTACCAAGAAATATGGCTCATTTGAGAAAAAAGGATCAAACAATTAAAACTTGAATCTAACACTTCAGGAGAGAAGCATAAACACAAGATATCCATCATTTTCGCACCATAGATTTATATTAATTCTTATTTTCATCAAAATGTCATTATCGTTCAAATTATGTTTGTAGGTAATACATGAATACTTCACTGTGATTTAGTGATGTCATCAGAAACGCAAGTGCAGGCACATGCATTGCAGGTGAGCGAATTTGAAGTCTTATCCGTGGATATGGTTTTTTTTTTTAGAAAAATACTGGCATTTCATCGATCAGTTTTTAAAAAAGTCTTATAGTATAAACGCATTTCAAGTCATTTATGTATTTGTTTGGTTTGGTGGAAGTTCATCGACTTAGCGTAGCAGGCGAAAATTATTCTGAAACTAATGCACCAAGGATATAAGTTACATAAGGACCAGCATCATCAATACATAACCCACAATTATGTAAAGTTAAATCAATTTTGCTGCAACGTTATAAGTTGTATTACCCGATCGACAGCAGCTCCATGGACAGACTTGACGGTTTGACCGTGAAGTTTTCCTTTGATTTTTTCGCCTTTAATCTTACATCCAGGTCCCTCCACCATACTGACATCTCTGGGTAATCAGGCATCCAAATAATCCGCCATATGACTATGCATCCTCATCACTTCCGTGATGGCCTTACAGCTCTGTTCATTGGTTTATTAATGCAATATTCCACCAATCATAAGCTTCGACTCAAGCAAGAATTCTATTGCTGGCTCTGAGGGTAGGTGTGTTTACATTTATGTAAATAATGGAATAAATCTACCTGTGGATGAAAGAAATCAAAACATTTGCAAATTGTTTCCGTGTACGGTTGACTTGTAAAATACATTTTAGCTCTGATTTTATAATAAAGGTTTCAGTGTCTACAAATATACAGCAAGTGACAACGTCACTCGTCATAGCTGAATATATTCAGCCGATCAAACTATAAATTGCCTAATAAATTCGGTTAAAAGGTAACTCTACATATTTTTTGTTTTTGCAAAATTATCATGAACAGTTTCATAACTAAACACCGAGTGTTCAGTTATCGAATAATGCAGGCGTCAATTAAAATTAGCATCATATACGTGGCTGTTTAAAATTACTAAAATAGCATACTTTCACTTTACATTACTTTATAATTAGAGCCGAGTATACATATAATTTACTATGCAACACTATATGGCTGACCTTTATTTTTATATTTATATATATATATATACTCTAGACCATGATATCAGCCTCTACATGCACAGTAAACATGTATAAGATTTATTGATTTATTTACTTTCTTGGAGATGGCTTTATTTTGTATCGTATATTTGTAGTAAAGGTATGACTTGACCTACTTGATAATCCCTAACAGCTGATAAGAAAGACCACCTCGGCATACCAGAAGTGTAGACCATATAGGTAAGTATGTATACTTTAGTGATTATGGAGAGTACCACATTTCCACCAATGATCACACAGATTGCCATCTTACATTTTGAATATTGTAGTTTTTTTTCACTGTTTCTTGACAAAAAAAATGGTCAGCAGAATAGAAGTTCTTATAACACAACCAGTAGAAGATTAGTTGTGACGTTTCGATCAGACAAATGACCAGTGTGGAGCATACTAGTACTGACGTACGTAGTGTACAAGATGGTACAGAATCAACAAACTTTTTCGGATATAATCCTATGTTAAAAATATGCTGTGCAGATGGCTTCCTTAACCAACCGTCTGAAATGGTTACTTTCCCTGTCAACTATTTTGGAATTTTCCCAGTCAATGATATGATTTTGCTGTGTGGAATGATCTGTAAGTGCAGATTTATTGATCTGGTATGAATGTTTTCACTCTGATCTAGTGAATTTTTTACCTCCTTGAGATTCCGTGTCTTTTGGATGTTCATTGAGTCGGACCTGAACCTCCTGCCAGTTTCTCTGATATATGATGCATCACAGGTCTTGCATCTGATTTTGTATACTTATTCAGTGACATTTTCTTTGGGTGTTTTATCCTCAGGGTGGACTAGGATTTTTCAGAGTGTCTTGTGAGGTTTATTGGCCACTGCAATGTCATAACCATGGTAAATCCTCTGAATGGTTTCTGACAGACCTTTGATGTAAGGGATGACAACTTGTCCTTATGTTTTGTTCTTTTCCTTGGTGTTTCATCGCTTAGTCTTTTTGCTTACATCAATTTCATTGGTAATTTTCTAGATTGCACAATCAGGGTACCCACATGTTTTCATGGTGCTATGGATGTGGTTTTGTTCTTGATTCTTGTCTTGTTCTTCTGTGACAATCGTTTCACATCTGTTGAGCAAGGACTGTCCAATGCCAAACTTCTGGTGTAAGGGGTGGTGAGATTGGAAGTTGAGGTATTGGTCCGTGTGTGTCTAGACCATTACTTTGATAGTACAGTCATCTTTCTTTACTAGGAGGGTAACAAGGAATGGCATAGTGCCATTGATTTCTTCCTTACAGGAGAATTTGATGCTGTTGGTGGTATTTACAGTATTGATATGCTCAGTCAAATCTTTCTGTGACCCTGTTTTCACTATTTCCAAAATGTCATCAATACACCGCTTCCACAGACTGGGCTTGTATTCTACAGGGATCGCAGTTTTAGCCTCTCTCTCTCCAAGTGTTCCATGAATGAGTTGGCCCCAATCAGAGGTACTGGGCTACCAATAGCTGTGCCAACCATTGCTGATAGATGGTAATTTGGAAAGCAAATTATGTTGTTGTCAGCACACATTCTAATAAATGCATAAGGTCTTTGATATGAAGATTGGTGTTCTTTCCCCATGACTGGTCTTGCTCTAGACAGCTCCGAATGATACCAAGTGCTTTGTCAGTGGGTGTGTTGGTGAAAAGAGACACTACATTGTGTGAACTGAATTCCTGATTGTTTTGGATATGTACCATGGCATACTTTCTTCAAGAACTTTTGACACGATGTTCAGATTTTCCCACCAAGGGTCCGAGAATGTCTGCTAGTGACCTGAAGACGTTGTAACCAATGAAACCAGTATTGTCCACTATAGACCGTAATGTATTACCTTCTTTGTGGATCTTGAGAGTGCAGTACATTCTAGGTGTGTTCTCTGGGATACAAGTGTCTATATTTTGATTCAGTGATCTTTTTTGAACTTTTGGATAGGGTTGTTCCAGAGTTTTTCATGTTTTGTTGTCTTTGAGCATAGCCAAGTCTTTGTTCTCGTATTCATCTGTTTCCATCACAACTGTGGCCCCTAGTCTGCTGGTAAAATCATGAATCATGAAAAGTGCAATGCATTCTTCCTTTGATATGTTGTTTACTGGTAATTTCATAGATTTTAAGACACCTGTCTCTTGTGATCTCAGCTGATCAGCCTCAGCATATCTCATCATAAATCATCAACTAGAATTTTGTCTGGGATGATGGGATAATTCAAACCCTGAGCTAGTAATGTTTTGTCACTATCTATGAGCTGTTTATTAGATATGTGAATTACCCATATGGTTAATTAGCACAGTTTCTTTTAGATTCCCATCTGTTTTCTTGCTGTTATTTGTAGATTTCTTTATCAGATGTTTCCACTACATCAGATTGCATTCTTCAGTAATGCTGAACACTGTTTCCCCAATGCACTTCATATGTATGTTCATGTCCATGAGAGCATCGCTCGATAACCACTTGGTAAGCTTAGCGGTGAGTAGTGTTTTCTCCCTTTTCAATGCATCAATTTTGTTGTCAATAATGCATATCCTTTCTCTCACTAGATTTTTGTGCACTTTGCTAATGATCTATCGGACATTGACGGTATTAATTCGGGATCTGATATTGAGATTGGAAGGCATTATTTCACTACATTGAAGTTGATTTCTGTGTCTCATTAATTTATTTTCAAGGCCCTTGTGATTTCACACATTTTTTGACAACAACTTGTACCATCTCAAACACTATGTATGTCAGTGCTAATATGCTCCATGCTTGTCATTTGTCTGATGAAGGTGACCATGTAGTCATCGAAACGTCACACTCTAACCTTCTACTGGTTGTATTATAAGAACTTCTATTCTATTGACATTACCAACCTGAAGAAAAATGTTCCAAAATAAAATGGTCAGCATAAAGTTGAATTTTATTGTTAGTTGTATTTACTTTTTGAGAAGTACTGGATGGATCATTATTAAATTTCATATGTAGGATTCCCTTGTCCCTCGTTGTTAATATTCCATCTACAATTAGGGGCTGATCCAAGAAATAAAATTATCAATAAGCTGCCATCTTGGCTGTTGACAGTAATAACTGTTTTTGCTATTCCATTACATATAAACTGGATGGGTCTTTCTCAGATTTCATAAGTAGGTTCCCCTAGGTCCCTAGTTGGTCCTTTTTTATTTTGGGACTGATTATAAAAACAAAACAGGTGACAGGTGACCATCTTGGATTTGACAATTTAAAGATTATTACTGCTATTTACCGTGCTCCCTAGTCTCTGCAAAGTCTACTTTGGAATTGTTCTGAAAGGCAAAATGGATGGCAGGTGCCCATCTTGGATTTTGAAATTTCATAGTCTTTCATAATTGCTTTGATTGCAATGGATCATTATCAAATAACTTCACATGTGTGTTCATGTTGATTTTTATTTCTAATTAAGCGGTACTTCAGTATATCCATGTTCAGGTGGGTTTGACTGCATGTTAAAATATTTAAAGGACTTCTTATCAATAAGCAAAATGCCCAGGGTGCTGACCTAGGGCCTGTAGCATGCTAAGATGCAGGGCTACAAATTATGTTGATATGAATGACCTTGACCAACTTCCAAGGTCACCAAGGTCAAATATGTTAAAATCTTTAAACGACCTATTCTCAATAACCAAAATGCTCAGGGTGCTGATATTGGGCCTATTGCGTGATGGAATGAAGGACTACCACGTATGTTAAAATGAATGACCTTGACCCACTCTCAACAGTCTTGATATTGGGCCTCTTGCATGCTTTTTCAACAAGCAGTATGTACGGGGTAAAAGCATTTGTATAGTGCATGTATAAAGAACATGATTTCAAGTTTGCAGAAAATGTCTAATTGAACCAACGAGTGTCTTCTACGTAAGCTACAATGTAGTTGAGCAATTTATTTTAGGTCTGTTTGGCCTCTTTCATATATAGGTCTTTATAGTCAAATGACCCTTAAGGCCTATTGACCTCAAGTTATCATAATTCTTGAGAGATACAGGATCGATCCTTTCTAAATTTCATTTCATTGTAATTAAGGAAGAACAAATAAGAGGAAAGACGAGAAAAGATACAATGTACTAGGAACTAATACTAGGATCATACAACTGTGGGTACCAAAGTCCCTCTGGGGTAATGAAACTCTAAAACACTTTATATTTTTGTGTTTCATCTGGACTTGTAAGTTTGCAATGAAATACCAAAATCATTCAAACAGCATCCTACCACTGCAGAGTTGAAAGTAGGAATATGAAGAAAAATAATTTTTACATTGTTATGAATATTTCAGTTGGAAAAGTCATGCCTTCCCAACATGAACCTGTATACCAGTTTGTGAACTGTCGCTTGTTACGTGATCACAAGCTTATTACAGACAGTCTCTGGGTTAGGGCTGGAAAAATCATCAACCCAGAAAAACTGTTTTATGACGAGAAAGCTGCAGCTGATAAACAAATAGACTGTGGTGGTAGAGTTATCTCCCCTGGGTTTATTGACGTACAAATAAATGGTAAGTTTGATCTCTAATAGTCCAAGTCTCTTTAAACTTTCAGATTTTTTGTGTCATTTAAAATAACAAATACTGTTTGTAGAGAAAAAAGGTCCAAAAGCAAGACAGAGATGTATTTTCTCAGACAAAAACAAAAAACAAAAAAACTAGGAAAGATCCTAAGTCCAGCTACTATATTCAGTTACCCTAGTAGGCTTGAGATTTCTGTGGTTTGATGGAAAATTAGCTACTTTTTAGCTCATCTGAACCTTTAGGCTCATGTAAGCTATGAGACTCCATTCATTTAACATCATCTGTAAAGTTTTCGCAGCCAATTTTGACGATGTTTCTAGAACAAGGTACCCTGTACAGATTTTTTTTTGTCCTGTTAAATGAAAATGAAATTCAGCATAGCAACCATTTCTGCCATGTTTAGAATATGCTAAGAGCTCATATGCTAAGAGCTCAAATACTATTTGAATGATATTGATATAAGTAGATGGTTCTTGAGTAAGGTTGGTGATTTTGTCTTCATATTATGACTACCACAGCTATTGTCATTTGATTAGTCATTTTTACATTATTTCTTTTAAGTGATGTCATAAGGATAACACATTTCAAATTTCTGCAGTGAATGTTGATGTTAAGACTTTATTTGCCATTGACTTTGTTGTTAATCTGTCCAATAGCTGTCTGTCAGATTGACAAAGAATCTTTTTACACTTGATCTAAGATTTCCAACATTGTGAAGATGAGAATTATATGCAAACACAATGGACAAAATTCCAAGGAAATTTTGAAACTTAAAGTTAATTAGTACTTATCTGAATATGGAGGCCTCTTCTTATGTCTATATTATTGTTTATTTACTGGAATAATCAACAGGTGCATTTGGTGTTGATTTCTCTGCCAACACAACTGATATTGAGAAGGGGGTGGAAAAGGTAGCCAAAGGTCTGTTGCAGCATGGAGTGACATCCTTTTGTCCCACTCTGGTCACTAGCTCGCAACAAACATATTCACAGGTATGGATTGAAGACCTTCTGTCTGGCTGTGGTCACTAGCTCTCAACACCTGTATTCACAGATATGGATTGAAGACCCTCTGTTTCACCTTGATCACTCACTCCAGTATTAACATGATTGGCTGGCCTCAGCCCGAATAAGAACTTCTTTGTTGTATGACTATTCTTGTCCTGGATCATAATTCTTCATTAAATGATGAATCCTACACTGTATTCCATCAATAAATATCTTAACAATTTTTGGGTCAGATACAAGTATTTCAAAATTCAATTTAAACATCTAATATTTGAATATTCAGTTGATGATATATACTCAAGGGATAAAGAAACGCAGGGTGATATGTTTGCAATATCTTGCGAATGCATCATTTTAAAACAACAAAAATCAGTCAAGCAACACTCTAGGTTACATTGCACATGGTCCTGTATCGAATGTTGCATTATTGTATTGTGTGATGATGTCTTCAGGGGAAAGCATGAAACGAGAAATCTTGTACACAGCAGTGTTGTGACATTGAGTTACACTGCTCATCATACCATTAGGTAGTCTTCATAGAGACATATCATTTTCCGATATCTTGATTAATTTCTGATAGCATCAAACAATGGCGTTGCTGACGAAATTTCAGAGGGGTCAGGCCATTGCTATGATTTTGCAAGGTCAAAGGCAAATACAGGTTGTCTTGTTAAATGTCTGAGGGAAAACTGGGCAGGTTGTTGACAGACCTAGATCTGGACGACCGCATGTGACTTAACAACGTCAGGACAGGTTTATTCGTCTTGTGCAATTGGTCTGTGGGCACGTCACCGTCTGCAGGTCTGCCCCTTACTGCTGTTTGTTGCCAGCTTCATATTGCTTGGGTGCCTCCACGTGTCGTCCAGAATATTCCCATTGAGGCAGTGCAGGCTGGCTTTGTTTACTGATGAGTCCCAGTTCACCCTGTTTTCAGCAGAATTTCTATGTCAAGTATAACAACGTCATGGATATCAGTTTGCCAACTGCTGCTTAGTAGAGACAGATAGGTTTTGGGGTGAATTGGTTATAGTGTAGGGAGGAATCTCACATGAAGTTAAATCACCACTGGTTGTGGTAGCAGGTAATTTAATTGATGCTAGGTATAGAGAAAAGATCCCCCGATCCTATGTTGTCCCATTATTGCAGCAAAACAACCTCACATTTCAGCAGGATAATGGTCGTTCCCATGTAATAAGGATCTGTCGCAATGTTTTCACTAACAATATCCACCCACTGGACTGACTGGCCACAGTACAGCCCCGACCTATCCCCTATTGAGCACTTGTGGGACCAGCTGGATAGACAGGTTCGATGACCCCAGCCTTTCCCTGTTACTTTGGCCCAACTGAAAGCAGCCCTCTTGGAAGAATGGGCCAACACCCCAATGAGGAAGATAAACTCACTCATGAACTCCATGCCTAGGAGAAGCAGGGAGAGTGAATGGGGGACAAACCCAGTATTTACTAGCCAGCTCCCACAATCAGTCTATTTCAATTTCAGATTACAGAGTTCTCTTTCAATTCCCTTCAATTACTCCTAAATTATTTACCGGTTACAAATCGTTGATTTTGCAGTTTGTTCTGTATGGATTAATCTTCATTCTTACTTAAAGACATTGAACATTATACTGAACGTCTTGCCTAGAATCATCTTCAAAGTTTACCCTTTGTTTCTTTATCCCATGAGTATATTATCATAATGTTTCTATAGGCTACTAATACCTCGGTAGGGTTTATAGCTCATTGAAAAAAATATGACATTCTGTAAGATTTTTTATCTTTCAGAAATTTTGTTAAATTGAAACTTTTTCACAGAAGAAAATTTGTTTTAAGAGTTATGTGTGTAAATTAATGACACAAAGCTATTTTTATGCATTATTTTAAAATAGGCCCCTCTTTTGATCATCCTTGTTATGTTTTGGAGGCAAGGTAATTTTTAGATAAATGAATTATTTACAAGAAATTCAGATGAAAATTTTGGGGGGAGCACATAGTCCCCACCTTGTCCATCCATCCGAACTTTCGTGTCCAGAGCATAACTTTGCCCACAATTAAGCAATGATCATGATACTTGATGCATACATTGGCAATACTAAGGGGATGTACAGTGTACCAAATTCAGGGCCATTTACCCTTCAATTATAGAGTTGCTGCCCTTTGCTTAAATTTTGTGTCTTGAGCATAGCTTTGTGTGCATGTAAACTAGGATCATGAAACTTGGTGTATACACTAGTCATACTAAGAGCATGTGTAGACTAGTATACCATATTTAAGTCCTGCAACCTCTTAATTATACAGTTATTGGCTTTGATTAAAATTCTGTCCAATACAGTTATTTTTGGGGAGCATTCATCAGTTTCACTGATACTCTTGTTTCCTTAAAATCTTATTCTACTGTGAAATCATAAACCATGTGGGGGGTTTTATTTCTATGCCTGTATTGGGTATGCACAATCAATAAATTCATATGTCTACAAACAGATTGAGTTAGTACAAACAGATTGAGTTAGTACAAACAGATTGAGTTATATTTATCTATTAAATAAAGTGTCCACGACAAATATACTTGTTTGAAAAACCCAAAAAATGAAATCCCATGAAAATATCTGATTTTACAGTATGTTTTTAAAAAAAGTTGAATAAATGTGTGAATTTTGGATCATATTGTACCTCTCATATTCACAATATAAACCTGTTTCTGAGTTATGGATCCAATCTCATGCCATTCATCCTTACATATTGATTTCTAACATTTGATTTTTACAGATATTACCAAAGATCAGAAAAAGTAATGGTGGAAAAAATGGTGCTGGAGTTTTAGGTATAATTTATAGAGTCTTGTCTAATTTATATAGAAGTGGTGTCATACGTGTACACAATCATACAATACTAGTATACATGTATAGATACAGTGTTGTGGGGGTCACACTCTGTACCCAACCACACAATAGTAGTGTATATATACAATTTTTTAGGGGTCACACTCTGAACACAACCACACAATAGTAGTGTATATATACAGTTTTTGGGGTCACACTCTGAACACAACCACACAATACTATTAGATATATACAGTGTTGTGGGGGTCACACTCTGTACACAACCACACAATACTATTAGATATATACAGTGTTGTGGGGGTCACACTCTGTACACAACCACACAATACTATTAGATATATACAGTGTTGTGGGGGGTCACACTCTGAACACAACCACACAATACTATTAGATATATACAGTGTTGTGGGGGTCACACTCTGTACACAACCACACAATAGTAGTGTATATATACAGTGTTGTGGGGGTCACACTCTGTACCCAACCACACAATACTATTAGATATATACAGTGTTGTGGGGGTCACACTCTGAACACAACCACACAATACTATTAGATATATACAGTGTTGTGGGGGTCACACTCTGTACACAACCACACAATAGTAGTGTATATATACAGTGTTGTGGGGGTCACACTCTGTACACAACCACACAATACTATTAGATATATACAGATATATACAGTGTTGTGGGGGTCACACTCTAAACACAACCACACAATACTATTAGATATATACAGTGTTTTATAAATCATAATGTATTGGACCACACATTTTGTACACAGTTGTACAATATAAAATAGATTTTTGACACTTTGACAATGATTTTACACAGAACACATACCACACAATACTATTAGATATATACAGTGTTGTGGGGATCAAACTTTACTAGATTTTTTGGCACAAAATATATAAAGTGTATAAGTAGCATTGCTCAGTGTTTACATAATCTCCATACACTGTATACCTCATGTGTTGATTAAATAAATTGTGCAAGAAGTACACCATTTTAACAATATATAATGTCTGTTATGTTGAAGGCCTACATCTAGAGGGACCCTTCATTAATAAGGAGAAGAAAGGTGCTCATGATGAAACGTTGATCAGAGAATTCACAAATGGATTTCCTGATCTGCTTCAGATGTATGGTACTCTGGAGAACACAGCTATCGTCACACTGGCCCCGGAATATGAAAGGTCAGATGAGGTCATCCAGGAGTTAGTCCGAAGAGGAATCATTGTGTCTGTTGGTACTGATTAACTTAATTACTAAGGATTTCTTTGTGCCTTATAACATGAGCATTCAGTATTAACACACTGACCTTGGACCACTGACTACAGACCATGGACCACTGATTACAGACCATGGACCACTGATTACAGGACCACTGACTACAGACCATGGACCACTGACTACAGACCATGGACCACTGACTACAGACCATGGACCAATTACTACAGATTGCTGACCATGGACCACTGACCATTGATTACAGACCATGGACCACTGACTACAGACCATGGACCACTGATTACAGACCATGGACCACTGACCACTGATTACAGACCATGGACCACTGACTACAGACCATGGACCACTGACTACAGACCATGGACCACTGACCATTGATTACAGACCATGGACCACTGACTACAGACCATGGACCACTGACTACAGACCACGGACCACTGACTACAGACCATGGACCACTTACTACAGACCATGGACTACTGACTACAGACTATGGACCACTGACTATTGACTACAAACTATGATCCACTGACCACAGATGACTGACCACTAACTACTGACTCTGGACAACTGACCAAAGATTGTTGGCCATAAACCACTGACCATTGCCTACTGACCATGAACCGCTTACCACAGATCATTGACCATAATATTACTTAACACAGATAGCTAACCATAGACCACTGACTGCTGACCATGAGCCACTCACCATTATTATTGACCAAAGACCACTGGCCACAGATCATTAACCATGGTCAACATTTAACAATTTTGAAAACTTTGATCTTTATAGTTAACACCACAAATGGGGATGGCTTTTCACTAAGCTTTATGATAAACTTAAGGATTTTCATTATCCTTTTTTGAATTTTCCATTTCTAGATAGTAATAAACCTTATTCTCCTACTTGCAATATTTACATATGACAGATGTAAAGACATTGATGAAGACAAAGATTATAACAGGGTTTTGACTTGTAGAGGTTGATGCAGATTATAGGGTTGTCCTAATGATCTCATTGAGACACATTCTGTTTCTTTGTGCAATTGGAAGTTTTGGTATGCCTGAAGGTTCCATTGTTGTTTACTTTGTTTTTTTTTATATTTCATTTAGCAGTGTTACACAACTTACATTTATCAACCAAGATTTAAGTGGCAGTTGTCGTTTCATAGATAAAAAAAAAGATGCCTACCTGTTTTATACTCACACTTGTGCTGAGTAATCTCACAACATTCTCAATTCACTTTACTCTGATTTATACTCACACTTGTGCTGAGTAATCTCACAACATTCTCAGTGTTTTTATCCTGATTTATACTCACACTTGTGCTGAGTAATCTCACAACCTTCTCAGTGTTTTTATCATGATTTATACACACACTTGTGCTGAGTAATCTCATAATCTTCCCAATTCCTTTTATCCTTATTTATACTGCGTTACTCAAACTTATACTTAGTAATCTCACAAACACCTATAGACTGTCATCAATTAGACCTAACAGTAACATTCACTCTTTAGGAGGGAAATGTGCCAATATTGTAGCCAAATTACCATCAGTTACCACTAATGTCACAATATATGAACTTGTACCTAAAGAACACATCAGTACTTGAAAAGCAAAAGTTCAACGTGTAAACACAATGGCTGCTCACCATTGTTCTTCAGAAATGTAATCCATAAGGGATGTAGTCACATCAATTAATGGAACCATTTTCCAGATGAGCAAACAATTTTTTTTTTTTTAAAAATATTGATACAAATAACACAACAAAGATATGATAATTAATTTTTTATTTGACATGAATATGTTTTTCAAGAATCTTAAAATAGTGTATGCTATTAACAGAGGTGTTAGGTAGGGTACTGCATTCTGGTAGAGATAAGATTTTACCCTGGTTCATACTTGCACTTTTTCTTATATTTTAGGTCATTCCACTTCCAACCTGATCCAGGGGGAGACGGCTGTACACAATGGAGCATCCTTCATTACACACCTGTTCAACGCCATGCTGCCAGTAAGCTTTCTGAAAGTGAAAACAAAATGCAAAATGATACCTCTCCTCTCACCTCTAAGCATACCTCTTATCTCACCTCTAACCATACCTCTCATCTCTCCTCTTATCATACCTCTCATCACACCTCTAACCATACCTCTCATCTCACCTCTAACCATACCTCTCATCTCACCTCTAACCATACCTCTCATTTCACCACTAACCATACATCTCACCTCACCTCTTACCTTGCCTCTCATCTCACCACTAACCATACCTCTCATCTCACCTCTTACCTTGCCTCTCATCTCACCACTAACCATACCTCTCATCTCACCTCTAACCATACCTCTCATCTCACCTCTAACCATACCTCTCATCTCACCTCTTACCTTGCCTCTCATCTCACCTCGAACCTTACCTCTCATCTCACCTCTAACCATACCTCTCATTTCACCACTAACCATACATCTCACCTCACCTCTTACCTTGCCTCTCATCTCACCACTAACCATACCTCTCATCTCACCTCTTACCTTGCCTCTCATCTCACCTCTTACCTTACCTCTCATCTCACCTCTGACCATACCTCTCATCTCACCTCTAACCTTACCTTATATCTCACCTTTAATCATACTTCTCAATACCTAAACCATCCCAGTGGGGTGTTCGATATTCAATGTTATTGATGCTGAATTCAGTCAATTATAAGCAAATACATTCATAATGGGATATAAAATTTCAATTAAAAACATTAGTTGATAGCTGACAAGAGGCCCAAAGGGTCTGTATTACGGCTTTCCAACAGTTTAGACAGAGATGATTGAATTGAAAGAGTTGATGTTAACTTTCATGAATCCCTTCTTTACACTTTAAATGTTGCAGATAATAGAAATAACATTATACCTCTTCATCCCAATCAATATAATGACCCTTGCACTCTTGGTCATTTTTTTAAACAAACTTGGTAGTCCTTCATCCCAGCATTCTACATGCCCAATGTCCTGACCCTGTGTCTATTGGTGATGGAGAAGAAGCTAAAACAGTTGATGTCAGATTGATGTTGGATGTGAAATTTAGTGAAATGGCTTACACTCATTTGGCCTTCAGGGACCAGCACTTGAAATTAGAACACATTTCCTTTGTTCTATGATGTTTATTTAAAATTTCAATAATCAGATAATCTAAACAAGGCGTGTTTATGAAACGCTATGTCCTCGATTGCAACAAAATTAAAATAAGATGGTGAAAAATTTGCTTCTACCAGAGAGGTCTTGTCACAAGGAACATGCATGCCAATATGAAAGCCATACCTCTTTTGATACAATAATTATGGCCTATGTTAAAATTTTTCAAATGTAGGTCAAAATTCATGGTCAAGGTCACATGGCCAAAATTATTGGTACCATTGGAAAGGTCTTGTCACAAGGAACAATTATGAAAGGTCTACCTCTTACTTTCACTTTGTCTGTTTTGTCATTCCAAAAGAAGATATATAGTATAGTATTTAACTTATTAAGAAAAGTATTGCTTGGGTTGGGTAGTGAAATGAACAAGTGATTAAACTGTAATGCTAATAATGATTATATTACATGTATTTTACCTATTGGAGTTAATCTCCTACTACATGACTGAATTAGAGTCTTAAGCTTCATTAGTTTTTCATCAAATTTTGATTTAGGTATTTCATGTAAATAAACACTAAAATCTATCCCTAAATGTGTAAATTCATCCCAACCCCCTTTGTAAACCCAAGTTTGGTAAAAAGGTGTCATTGTTGTATTTCTTACTCCCTATCCATATTATATGATATATTATAAAATATTATAAATTATATTTATGATATTTTATAATAAAAATTATAAAATAATATCTTTTTTAACCCAGAAATTTGAGCAAATCGATTTAATTCCAAAATTGACTTTTTTTTTTCAGATCTTTCAAGAATTAATGAAGTGTCATCTGCATACTGGTTGCTAATATTTCTGTGCATAATATGAAAATATAAGGTGCTGCTTTGTAACTGAATGCTTTTTACAGTTTCATCATCGGGACCCTCACCTGATTGGTCTACTTACCAGTAAAATGATCCCGCCTAACAGGAAGGTGTACTATGGTCTTATTGCTGATGGTATCCACACACACCCTGCTGCACTTCGTATTGCCCACCGAGTGGATCCCCAAGGTTTGATTTAAACAGTATTTTCATTTGTTATTTATTTTTATGCCGATAAGTATCTGTTTTCCTGCAGCATTCCTCTATATTGTATAACTGTAATATTTCTAGAAAGTTGGTTCAAATAAAGTGATGCCTTTAGACATATACATTATTTTATTGCATATAAGCCCCACCCCTCCCAGGGAAAAAAGACAGACCAAAAGTTGAGAGTGGCTTATGTATGAACATCAACCATGGTCATAAGTGTCTGCTATCTTAGATCATTTTTATACCATTCCTTGATGGATAGTAATATTAATATCGCTAGTAATTGTTAACAATGTTATCAAATCGTAACAAGAAAACAAATAATTTCTAGTTTATAACCTTTGCACTGCTGCTGTGGAGTATAATGAGATCATACAATTGATGCCCACTTAACAATTCAAAGACTCATTGTGATTGAAACATCAGAATATTGGTGTGGTATATTGTTCTTTATTTGTAGGCCTTGTACTGGTAACAGATGCCATACCAGCCATGGGGCTGTTGGCAGGGAAACACAACATTGGATCACAGATGGTTGAGATTAAGGATAAGCGTGCTGTAATAGCAGGCACCAATACTCTATGTGGAAGGTAACATTACCTTATTCATCAGATAACTTCAACTGTTGTTGTGTTGACCAATGAACATAAGATCAAAGGCATCTTACTACTTGTAATGGGGCAAAGCATGACTTTAGATCTGCATTGTGTCCATTGGTCTGTCTGTCTGTCCTTTTCCACTTTATCTTGTCTGGCTCTACCTCCCACACTACTTGTCACTGGAATGTCATACTTTGATCATGGGTTCATGGGTCAGTGAAACAATGTGTTGTGTAACTGAATTAGGTCACTGTAACATGCATTTTTACATTTCACCTACATCAAAGAAAATGATTGTCCAGGCAACGTCTACCTACTTCTCTCTGGAACTTCATACTTTGGGTATGGGCTCACCTTGGTGAAGTGGCATGTCATGTACTGAAAATGTAAATCACTTTGACCTTCATTTTGACTTTTGACCTAAACTATAGAGGAGTGATACCATCGATTCAAATTAGTGATATGCTTGAATTCCTGAATTCATTCATATCTATACCGCCAATGTGCCAATAGATAATGAAATACTTTGGAAAACATGGTGCCATCTGATGAGATTTAGTTAATAGTACAACAACTGGCGATTGAATTTATTATACCCCGCTTTCTACGAAACGGGGATATTAATTTGGGTTTGTCCATCCGTCTGTCTGTCACACTTTCGTTCCCTTGTTCTAACTTCCCCAAATATCATCCAATTTGGGTGAAACTTGGTCAGCAGATGCATCGTGGGGTCATTAAGACTGAGCTTGGCTATCCGTGTCATCTATTTATAATTATGCATACTAATGAGGTATCCTTTGATTTCATTCCGTGCTCTAACTTCTCTCTATAATCCTTTACATCTTTCTTTTGCTTTAAAGCAATACATCATAGCTCTAGAGAATTATCATTCTACATAGCATTATGACATGTTTACTCCTAACCTCTAAAATATTTACTTACAATATGTTTGGAAAGCGGGAGATATAAATTCCATGAATTTGCTTGTTTGTATTACTATCACTAACACTATTGCTTAATATGTAACACATAATGTCAAACGCAGTCTAGTAGCTCCCACGGCATGGAGCTAACCAAGAGAAAGATCTTGTTAAGATTTCATGTTCATTTTTTTGCAGTATTGTGACGATGGACAAGTGTGTTCGCCATTTAGCAAAATCAACAGGTAAACAACAGATTTCTTATTACACCCTATATTATCAACATTTAAGCGGTGATCCTGGCTGAACCCAAGGGGCTGATGGGTAGGGCCAAAAACGGTCAAGTACACTCCAATATCAAAAATCTTTTTCTCAACTTCCAGATATGGTAGAATCAAATGTTCTTCATAGGTGGAAGGGTCTTAAAATGCTTTTCCAAAATTATGAATTTCAGGGTTTAACATTTCCCTGTGGGGAGGGGATGAAGTTTACTACTATAGTTTTTATAAGCATGACATTCATTTCCATTGGAAAAAGCTTTGTAAGAATTCTTACTATAAGATAACAGTTTTGATGGTATGCATATATTGACACTAGCTGACACTCAAGGGCTTAAAACTATCATCAATATCGCAATGTCTGTTTCGTGATACATGAAAGCTAATTACCGGAGAACTTTTATATTCAATATTGCTTATCTCAGGTGACTGTCAAGGCCGCTAGGCCTCTTGTTGATTCTATCTGTGTGACACAAGTAGTATTTCCTTGTTTCATTCAGATTGTGGCTCTGTCCTGGCCTTGGAATCGGCCTCTCTACATCCTGCACAGCTGCTTGGAATAACGGACAGAAAGGGGACTTTAGGGTACGATACAGATGCTGATTTTATTATGGTTGACGACTTGTTAAATGTTCATTCAACATATATCGCTGGAGAGCTCGTCTGGAAAAGCAGTGACATAAAGACTTGAAAATCTCTTTAATTTCCATTGATAAATTGCAGGAGCCAGTAAATCTGGGCCGTGTATTTAATCTTTTCCTACAAGATTTAATGTTTAAACATCTGTAATTCATTACAAAGGAAATTGTTTGTCCTTTGTTTATATTTCATATTCAAAAATGTTCTTTTACAAAAGTTTAAATATGTTTTTGTGATTGACCTATGTATGTAAGTTCTGTGTATAGGACAGGGGCTAGTTTGTATTTGACATAGATCAGATTACTAGAATTGTGATGTAATGAACTCCTTGATGATAATTGACCTGTAGTATAAATGGAAGGAATTTTTTCAGGATGATCAGATAATTTGATGAGATGTTCTGAAAAAATGGTTTAATAATCAGTGAATACAAGCCTAGTTTTGATCAATCGTCATGGTTTCTGATAGTGGATGTTGAATTACATCATGTGAAGATTTCTTTAAGATTTACTGAAGGGATTTTTATGGGAAATGACATCATTGGTTCAGGGTTTGAAAAGCAGGTTTTCATCTTGAAAAGATATTAAAGTGATGAATTTAAATTCGAGCATCCATGTTGTGTTCCCATTTTTTTAGCCAGTGGTGCATGATGTGCTTGTGAGCTGTACAAACGAGAGTCATGATATTTGATCTGAAGTAACTAGTTACCAAATTTCGTCATTTATTTATTGACCTTGAAAGGTCACACAGGATAAATGTACAAATCAAACAAGAATTCAAACAATTAAATTTGATTTGTTGGGTGAGATAACCTGAAGTTGATGGTCCTAAATGTAGAATTGAACAATGTGCTAGGCTTTATTACTACTAGTCTGTTTTTTCAGGGAATTCGCCAAATCAATATGTTCATGTCTTTTTTTAAATGTACTCTGGAGTGATTTTTATTGGCTGTGTCAGTCAGAATTTGATCTTGAGGTCATAGTACGGCTATGACGCAACATAATTACTGCCTATTTTTGATTACATTCTCCACATTTCTACCTCTAAACTTATCAAAATGTAACTTTCCTGAATTATGTGATCAAAAGTATCCTTAATTTGTTTTCCTTTCATTTGGGATTTTATGAAACTAGTCTTTTATAAGATTTTATCGTACAACTGGCACTGCCATTGTCGGAATACACATGCCACATATATTCATGCTGTATTCGGCTGTGATAGAAAACAGCTGTATTTTAACAAACTTTGACAGAATTAATCCGTCATATCTGTATAAGTTTAGAACTATACTTCTGCACGGAACGATTATTTTGGCATACGTCATCAGGCAAAATTCAGCGTCAGGAAAACAATTCTCAAACAAAAACCGTTTAAGTGTTGATGGGCTGATTGGCAATCAATGTTGCAGGATAAATAAAATGCTTGGTCAGTGTTTCATATTAATTTGTTTTTCGTGGTTATCATTCCTCAAAGCATTTGTTTTTAAATTTGAAATCACAATATGACTGTCACAGGGCAAAAGAAAACACAACAGTCGTTTTCCTCCTTGTATATCTATTTATACATAACCGGCGGACACACATGAAGAAAACCCTAAAAAACAAACGGCCTTATAAGAATACCTATTATTCTGTATGACAATATGACTATGGACCGATATCAAAATATTAAACAATTATGATTCCAAATTAATAATTATTAATTAGTGATTAATCACGTGTATAATTTAACGTTTAATTACCTTCCAAGACCTGTACAAGGTCTGGTAAAATGTATCAAAAGTCAAGTTGTCTTGTCAAATTGGAACCAAGCAGACTCCAGAGGATACGTCCACACCCTGGTCTACGGCCGACTGCGATAAATGCGCGGTTGTAAAATGGTTTTATATCCCTTACAACTTACACCCTACTTAGCATATAACTCAATATTAACACCAAATATGGACAAGACAGGACGTACACGGGACATACACAGGACGTGTACACAAGACTATCGTGGCACAGGCAAAACACGTGAATATACTAAAAAATGGAAAAAGGTGTTTTCCCGTTCCACACTGAAAATAAATATATATGTACCTGTCACATGACGACAGTGTAGAGAATGATGATAATTTAGTACGTATATATTGGTCTAGATGGAAGTCCAATTTTGTAAAGTTCTAAAGTCCAGTGAAATGGCAGAGTTCTAATCACACTCGGTAATCCGTCGTGTTGTCCCTTTGCTGGTTGTTAATCCAACTACCAGATATGTCGCCAAAACGAATATATAAAACAGAGCTGACCATTGTCTATACTGACATGAAGACAGGTAAATTATAGAGATTAATGACACAAAAGAGGCGTTACCCTAGGTAAAAAATTGGAAATATAAGTAAACCATTTCCGGTATAAAGAAACCCGTACACTAAACCATTAACAGGAGATGACGTTATTGCCTCGGTACATAATTAGATAATAAAACATTAACCAGGGAGAGAGTTCGAGTGTCACCCAAAAAATATATGCTTGAGAACAATTGTAATTGATTTGTTACACATCATTTGAAGCCATTCTAACAGATATAGATAAACGTAAATTGATTATCAAGTACAAAGATATGAAACACATTAAAAAGTTCTTTATGCTAACTGTCATAAAATGTAGGCTGCATTTTGGCTCGGGATGGATAGACAAACGTGGCTCACCAGGGACTGGCCACTTTTGTTTTTCTTCACCCTCACAAAAATACAGCTTATATCTGAAGACACTGACCATGTATTCCCAATCTATATATGTAAAATAATCTCTCTCCGTGATGATATGGGTTCTGCAAGGAAATTGCCTGGATGATCTTTGATCAAATTGGAGGTCTGTCTGAATGATGTATGCAAGAATATAAGATAATGAGGTCTTTCCGCAGAATTTATTGTCAAGAATCTAGGGTAAACAATAAAATATAATGAGAGATCTCCTTGAAGGATATGTGAAAGACAACATGAAATACAATTGGTTCTGTATGTTGAAGAATTTGAAATAAACTTGGAGATATTTGAGCTGAATGAAAGACAGAATCAGAAATGAAATTTTTGAGATTTCGGTCCAGAAATTACGGTGTCCGAGCTTTCATGGTAATGAACCTTCATGTAAAATTTGAAATTGATCTGTTGATAACTACTAACTTTAAAAAGTGAACGCTGTTTTGGTAATTGAGTCTGGCGCCATAATTTCGTGGATTATGGTTAAAAAATTGCAGTGATCGAACTTCTTCGAGTTATCATGGTAATATACCTGCCTCTGAAGTCTGAACTTGATCCGTTGAAAACTACTTAAGTCATCGTTTAAAGTATGGCTCCTCTTTCAACAGGCATATATAAAAGAGAAAACAGCTTAAAAGTTGAGATGAACACATGGGTGAAATAGCACAGGAACAATCTGTTGTAAATTGTAAATGTGGATTTTCTATATGCCAGTGGTTATATTTCATACACTTGCACTGGCAATAAGAAAAAGTTCTCCACTTTTGGTAAACTTTTTCAGTTTCTGTGAAAATTTCCTAAAATTTGGCCAAGCTGAACTTGCATCATATCCGTATACAACTTCAAACCAAATTGAAATGAAAAAGCAGGAGCCAAATTATAACGGTATGACACCAAAGGCAAGCGCCGTATACCTCAACCATTACATAGCTGAATGAACAGGTTTTAACAACCAGGCCTAATTTTCAAGTCTGGTGCAGACAAAGGCCCTTTTGATCTATGTGTGTCGTTCAATAAACTAAATGTAAACATTTACCTTTAGTAAAAAAAAAAAGGTTCAATGTCCAGCGGCAGTATTGAACATCAGGTTTTAAACATGTTTCACCAATGCATTGACGTCATATATCTTTGACATTAAGTCTAACTCAGATTTATTCAAACTCTGAAACTAAGCTATGTGGGATCACAAACATAATTGTCACAGTGACCTTATATAAGGTGAAGGTCATTATTCCAAGGATCTCAACAGCCAAGTATAATGATTTTGGTAAAGCAAATTTGACTGCTTGATAAAGTAGATTCATCTCACAAACTTGTATTGCTTCAACCAAAGTACCTACGCCACAAATCGTGACCTAAACAAAAAATTGTAAGATATTATGAATTAGTATCACGAAAAAAGTTAACTCAGAAATATGATTATTTGCGTAATAACTGATCTAGTAATACCCTTTATCGCCATTTTATTGGAACACCTTCAGAATCTATCGATACGGAAATTTTGTGATAAAATCTTTGCCATCTATCGAATGGGAACGATGTACAATATAATGTGGTACAATGAATCAAAACATACAAACAACTGTACCAAAACACAAGCACGTGAGAAAATATCATACCAATTACGACCAGATCGATTGAAGCTACATGTGTAGATGTGCTTGATAAAGTATGAAGTAACCAATTAAAACACGAACAAATATATACGTACATATTTCGTTTTTCAAAGTCGTGAACTTAGCTATTTTCATAATTTTGTAGTTTAGTTAATCAAACTCGGTTAGGTCTACATTATTTCAATATCACATAAATTTCGAAGCTCTGGTTGCATCCTTCGCATCGTCGATGATACTCAGGACTTCTGTTATAAGATCTACACTGCAGAATGAAAATAGGACCAGAGTGTCGATATAACCATGTAGTGGGCTTCGTCACCACCATTTTGATGGCCCCCTCGACCAGAGACACGAAAATGAAAATGCAAATTTTGAAATTCTGTCAAGAAAGCAGTGTTTTTCATATGTATTTATGTTATCAACATTATTTATCACATATACGGAGTCTCAAAAATATTTGAGGTTGCATGACGATCGTTGTTGTCTGATTATAACGTGTTTGGGTGTTTGTCGGCGGGGTGGACAGACTGGCTTAGTCACCGTAAGTATACGTCAGTATGGTAAAGACAGCCTATCGATCATCTAGCAGGATGTCCAGCACTGGTTGGATGATGTTCATCTGTGACGTATGTACAGCGACCGGAACTAGCCTGTGGGTGGAATACCGTTATAAATACACAAACACCCGACTTCTTCAGCAGTATACTCAAGCACCTCTACCCAAAACACATTCTTTACAAGTACTGCACAAGTAAGTATCGGCTAGTAAGTATTCAAATTACATGACGTTCTTATTGAAAGTTGAGACGGTTAATAGATATTGGGTATTGATATGCGTTTTTTTCTTTCAATGAAATATTTTAAAAACAACTATTATGCATTCCATTTCGTGTCATTATTGTGACGTTTTCACATTTCGGATTTGTATGGTAATCCTATGTAAAAGAGAAATTGACGAATTCACAGTATTTGGAAACATGTTAAAATGAACGAGGTAATTAGCATAACTTTGATGGATGTAAGAACCGTAGATGACGTATTCTAATCGTAACGATTTAAGAAATGACATACTAATGAAGGTTAACCATAATATAGACGAGTTACCATTGGCCTCTGGACATTTTACTACTTCATTACATCTTTACCTTCCAGCAATATGAAGATTCTGCTGGCCATTGCGGTTTGGTGTATAGTGACCGTTACAGTGACCGCTCGGCTGGGTGGTCGACAGGAAGGCAGAAGTAAGCATATCGTTTCTGTTGGAGAAAAAAAAATAAATATCATGTAGCGAGAATCCTTCTAGTTACACGTGTGTCGGTAATTACTCCAGCTCCATTCGCTTTGACTGTGACAAGTAAAAGACGAACTTCAGCTTTTGAACGATCTCCCTATCCTCTACATTGAAACTCAATCTCTAATCATTGTCCTTATTTTCCTTAGTGTAATGGATTACTTTAAAATATTGTTAATGATAAATATTGTAGATCCCGTCCGATCCGAAATCAAGAGTTTTCATTTGTTAATCTTCAAATTGTAATTGCTACAGTGATAATCAATTGTTCTGTTCAAATGTATTTTCAAATTCTAGATCATATGTGATATTGTTCAACTGAATTGTAAAACTCTAGTTTCTATAATAATCATTGAAGGTGATTATTTTTAGTTTGTCATTTGAACATGGATATTTATGCTATCACGGGTACAAATTCGAAATAAGCGCGATAAATTATGTTCCGTATTATTACGGATTAGTAGATGTGTAGCCTCTATGTAGGCTACAACAGATACCTATATAACCATGGCTGTAAGTGTCTCCAAGTAAAATGGTATCAACTAAATCTGTATTAGTGACTTGTTAAATCACTCATCTATGACTGGCACCATGCTACTTGTGCGCTCACGTGCCTACGACGTGATAAACGATAAGGGGACGTAACTCATGGTATCACGTAGATACAACTTCATACGTTTAAGATTAATTTAAATTCACTTATCAAATCATTTTCTAACATTTAGAACTTTGTTTTTTAGTGAAAATGCTTTGTTTGAAAAGGTTAAGCCAGAGAAATGCTGTCTTTTTTTTTGCATTTTTGTCGCCAGTAATAACGTGAGGTGTCTGTTTCAGGAAATCGGTGTCGATATGACCGAACTGTGGAGTGGGATACCTCAGCATGTGATGTTGAAGGTGCCGACCCAGACGTCGCTATGGCAACTAGAACATCTCCGCTGTTGTCAGAGGCCGAAGAATGCAACGACACAAGAACAGAGACAGTGAAATGTAGCAAGATTGACCAACGAATCGCTCGACAAGAAAGGATGGAGGAGCGGAGGTTGATGAGGAAGAATGGGTGTAAATATGACTTTTGGACCGCCGAATGGAACAGCACAGCATGTCAAGAAGATGGCGCCGACCTGTCTAAAGCAAAAGGAACCGTTACCATGGAATTGGTGTCTCAAGGACTGCAAAACTGTCCACCTTTCAAAGTCAAAGCTGTCTCATGCAGCAGGTTCGAAAGGTGGTCATACTGGAAAAAACAGCTGATGGAGCTGAAGATGAAAATTAATGAGATGAAACAGGAGAAAATTGATCTGAAACAAAACATGATAACTGACCAAATACAGGATGCAGCGACACCTCCATAACTCACTATTGTGACTGGAATTATTCTCTACTCAGCTACATTTATGAGTAAATAAAATTCATTGAAAATTATCTAAATGAACTGTGTTACTATAAAGACAATATGTATTATTTATCTTTGATACATTTCAAGCATTTGTGGTACCGTAGATTTCAGAAATCCATCGAGAATCATATTCATTTAAATTATCTCTCTTTTTGTACATTGTTCTGTTAAAATAAAATTTATTTTTCGCTTACCTTTTTGGTTGTTTTCTGAGCATCTGATCGATAAACCTGCAATGCCACGTTTGTTTGTTTTTTCTCGTCGATTTGTTCACGAGTTTTGGGCACGGTGATCTACAGTCATATTAACTAAACATCTACTGAGAGGAAAAAGAAACGCAATTAGCAGAAAGTTAATATTGTAAATTAAATCCTTGACGTACACCCTTGAAACTTGACAAATGTGTGCATTTCAGTTAGGTCCCTATGGTACCGTATTAAAATCACTGATGCATAACTAAACTGCGCACGCCGCTGGTACAAAAGAATAAGAGACAAAGGCACGATATCTCGAACCCAGTATAAAGGACTGGTCCACATTCTGTGTGTGCGAATCTTCAGACATATCCGTCTTGATTTCCCACATTTCAAGCATAAACAGTTCACCGTAAAAAATGCCACGACTGTCTGAAGTTGACAGGGGTCGTGCCATTGCATTTCTTATGCAAGATACCCCGCAAAATCAGGTCCATCCATCGGACATTTGCCGTCTCGTCCAAAGACTACATGCCACCGGAAGGGTTGCAGACCGTCCCCGAAGCGGTCGCCCTCGTGTGACGACACGTCGGCAGGATAGGGCAATACGATTTTCGCTTACAATGAGAGCCACGGTTTGGTTCTCTTATTTATTTTTTTTCGTTTTCTGTGTTTGTATTTCATTGAAGTGTAAAAATACACAAATGCCCTAAATTTCAAATTTCTCCCCCATGTAAACCATCGATTACATTATCTCAGGTTCTATAACACAAGTCATGTATTGAGCTCGGCACGACCGGTGGGTCTGTGTGTTGTGTTGTGTGTCCCTTGTTCAAGATCGCCATCTCGTAATTAGGTGCAGCTCTTACGTCTCTTTTACCATACTTAAACACGGCTAACCAGTGTTTTCCCCTCCCTAAACGCTTACAATAACAATAAATGAAAAGTGCAGCCCCAATACATACTATAAGAGACACACCTATCAATACCGTTATCCACCGAGGAAACAGGTTATCACGTGGTACGAGCTGTAAATTATGTAACGTCCTAATCGGATTATGCATTGATATTTGTCTGACATCTTTAAGCTTGTCTGGTAATCGAGCACGCGTAAGATTGGGCTATACAACGCGGAGAGGCGTCTGTGATTGCACGCGTGATATGTTCGCGTAGGTTTTGATCAGATCATCAATTGGTCCAACGATATTATATTGACTCTCTTTGAAAGAATAGTAAAAGTGTTATATAATCATTCGATGCTGTACATGACTGATTCAATAGAAGCACACCCAGCAGTGGGATTATCAATACAAGGCGATCACTAGATGTTACCTGCTTATCTGTACTTTTAAATACGACCGTAAAACGGGACACTTTCTGCGTGGCTACAAGTCAAACACCTTCACTCAAATATTCTGCTTTCGGTAGAACCGTATTCGGAGTGATAATACTTCGGCAATTTTGCTTAATTTTCTTCTCCGATTTCGTAAACAGCTCTTTTATACATAACTTACTAAATTTTGTTGGCTACATCGGGCTTTTGATATTACAGTATTTCATATAGGGATTGGTACAATGACTAGCTTCTTCAGAAGTTATCAGTGTATACCGCGTGTGTTCTGAATTTATAGCAAACGTATTTGCTTCTAGTTGATATTCGGCGAGTATTCCTGTCGTTTGAGAGTCGTCGATGGTATTTACAGGGGCTGGGAGTGGTAAGATATGTACTCGATAGATGTTAAATTTACCCTGGTGATCAAGTAAAGGAATATTCCATGTCTTTTAGTCAACCCTCAGCGATGGTAACGGTTTGAAGTTTAAATATAAGTTCCCTATGTTTTTTTTACATTTAAAGAAATGTGTATATCTTCTTCCAGGGGAAATCTTAACCAAACAAATCAAAATATAGTCTTACCCCATTGTCCTTAAACCAATCCCCCCTCCCCTAAGATCATGTTTCTATTCATGTCTCCGACTATAGAGAACTCATACATGTGGCAAAGTCTCATTCCCTAAATGAAACGTAAGCATTGTCGCCCGTCGATAGTCAGTGAGTCACCACTTACTTATTGTAGATGGACTTCCTGTTTAACCAGCTTCAGAGGATCTTTTAATGTCTGATACACCCTTCCGTGCAGAAGTGATATCAGTGGAATTAATTTTGATATACATTATACAATAACTAACCCAGAACTGTTTCACACTGTTCAGACCTTATTTTGTTACCTACCCAAAGGGGACTTACACCCACCATTTATACAAAATTTGTTTGTCTTCCCCCAAGGATGATTCTGACCAAATTTAGTCAAAATCAGCTTGGTCATTTTGATTAGTAGTGAAGTTGTAGAAAAAGTTGGACAAAAGAACAGATAATGGACGTTGCAGTATGACATAAGCTCATCAATCATTTACACCAGGCGACCTAAACATTCTTGCTAGACATGAATATACCTCCTCCAATGAATATAAGCTGGATGGGTTTGCAGAAGTTGTTGAATGTGGCCTTTGATGTTTTAACCTTGAAAAATAACTACCTTAATGGGAATAAGGTGTAGAATGTGATGTGATGATATTATATGGTAAATATGAACCACATCTGCTTAGAGGTTCTCAAGATGGGATTTTAATACTGATTGAAATCATCAGACCAACATGATGGATGTGACTCTGACATGATATCAGATTGGGCAAGATTTGCAAATTAAGAAATGCACAATCAAGTGTTCAATACAGTTCTGGTGTCTAAATGTGATGGAGTGAGTGAAGACCTAACAAAGCAGGGGTATAAAATACCTGTGTGAAATTGATACTTCATTTACATCACTGTTTTGGTTAAATATCATGTAAAAACGCTGATTTTAAATAAACTACAGAATTTCCTTTGAATCAAACAACATGTGCAAGCTTTACCTATAAATAACACTATTTTTAACATTCACTAATATGATACTTACGCACCATTTTAATGATGAAATCTAGCCTAATTTTTCTTCTTAATGAATTGAAATTCAACCTAATTTGGGCAAAATCGTGTCATTCCTATATAAACAATTTTATAAAGATTTTTTCCATTGGGCTTGCCCCTCAGGCTCCACTATTTATAGAGAATTTGTTCCCCTTCCCCAAATAATGCTTATTACAAAATTTGGTCAAAATCAGCTCAATAATTGATGATGACATGCTATTTCATCAAAAAATTGATGAATGCAATATGGACAACAAATGCCACATCCTTCAGACCAGATGGACTAAAGATAGATCCAATTTTAGTATACAAACTTGAAGAGAATAGTTCAGTATTAAGTATCCAACCTTGTAGAGTCAAGTCAAGTATCCAAACTGGTCGATCCGCCTACTGATTTATCAGCTGCAATTTCGCTTTGAAAGACATTTTTATCACAGTAAAATTTAGATTTTAATTGTTATGCTATTTCATCCATAACCTAAAAAACATTCTTTTCAGTTATCAACCAATGGTGGCATATGAAGAACCAAAAGTAACATCGGAAGAACCAATAGTGAAATATTTACAATTTCATCTAATTGTCTTAAGCTCACTGACAACAACATTATTCATTCTATTTACAAACAAGTCGATTGTCATGTTTTTGTATTTTTATTTTGCAATTGAATTTTTAATCAAGATATTGTGCACTCATAAAATCAAAACTTCTTTAACATTTGTGTTATTTTTACACAATTATTCCAACAATTCATGATAAATTTTAATAGTGATATTTCTTTTTTCTTCCATAGAGTCATAAGATTCAAATATATCTAAATGTATAACACATATTGATACAGTTTGTACATAATTGTTTTGATAATAAATATTTTGTACATTGGATGAGCAATAAGCTGGATGTCATCAATTTAAGAAATCTATCAGCAGACTACTGAAGTGTAAGGATAATCAAATTATGACTTCCACTTAGTTTACACTCATGTGAGTTTTTGAATGCTTTTACCAATTATCAATTCATCTTTTAAAATTTTGTTCTGAAATTAATTTGTCCACTCTCAACAGGTTCCAATGTATAGGTTATTTCCCAGCATATACAGTAACACTGCCATAGCATTTCCTCTACATATTCCTATTACTACAGAGAAAAATTCCTCCTCAGAAAGGGATGTCTTTAATCTGATTACATCACCACTATAGTAATACATGAAACAATATCATCAGACATCACTTTTGTAGTGTAATCATATCACAAATGGATCACATGTTCAGTTTTAGTGGAAATCATAACCAACATATTTTGGGTATTACTTCAACACTATATTTTTAAGGTTTAGCAATTTACATAGCTTCATGAGGAGTATCCACATCACTTGACACTGAAATGTCACCAGTCCCAGGTCAAGGAACTTTTGGATTTTTTCTCTGTCATCAGAGTAGGTCTTCATAATACTATCCCCAATATGCCTGCTTCTGATTGTAGTACATATATCAATCTGAGATCTGTTGAACTTCCACTTACATATCTTCTTCATGCAACCAATATTTTTGCTCCAGTTAATAAGATCACTATTTAAGATGTAGTTTTTAATCAGATGGTGGTTTTTAATTCTCACAGATGAAATTTCTTTGACAACAAATACTGTTTCCCTGGTAGGCAATTATGAAAATAATTTACCTTCAACCTTTCAGATTGATCGGAGTTCCATCAGTTGCTTTTACTTTTGTATGTAAGCAAGTTTATTCACGACTGATGAATAACAAAACAGCATCCAAAATATCTGTTATAAGATCAAGTACCTAAATACCATGATTCATCAACTTGCATCTAATTTTGTGTTATTGTAGGAGTTACTTCCCTTCTCAAGAAATATAGCTTCCAGGATAATGCATTCATTTGTGAAACAATTACTCCAGATAACAGATGTAGCCCTGGTTTTTGAATTTAAAAGATTGAGTTCCTGTCATCTTTTTTTATCTATCTTTTGTTCTGAAATGGGGAGTTGGTAATAACTGCAGGTGTTGAAAGCAGCCCTAGAATCTATTGCATTTATCATTTCATATATATCTCAATGAATGATATATCCAATTAAGAAGGGAAGTAATTTGTACAGTAAGAGGACAGCTGTACTTAAAAAATTGGGTATAGAGTCTAATTGTTTTTTCCTGAAAAAGATTCAGAGATTTGAAAATGAAAACAATTTTTCATATTGGTCATCATGTTTCTCAATTGATTTATCTAAACTAAGCTAACAGTAAATGTAATGGTATCAACAAAATCTTGATCAACACTACAACAAGAACTCACCAAAATCTTTGGAATTTTGTCATAATTTGTATATGTCATCATGAAAGGTAGGCAGAATACTGTCCCAGGGAGAAACAGCTTCTACAACTCCTGGTGTTGAAATTAATTTAAGGTTAGTCATCAATAAAACAGTACATAGTTAATAATATTCCAAACTCTATATTTTGTCTGATACATATGAAAACTAATGCTACTACAGATTCATCAACAGCCTCTGACATTTCTGTTGAGTATTGTTGAATCTCTACACAGAAGTCTTACATGTGTATTTCTGTTTCTTATAAAAAAAAAAAAAAAAAAATAAAAATAAAAAAAAATTAAGAAAAAGCTAAGTATTGTAAACAGACAAAAACTTTCAAATCAAATTCTTTCATTCATCACAGCTTTCAATTAAAACACATTTTCCTTTTCCTTCCTTTCACACTAAACACAGGAAGTGCCTCTATGTGTCAATGGCCACCACAGATGAAGGGTCATCCCGCCAATGATGTGACGAGTGCCTCCTGTGTATAGTCGTTGTCACTTGTGATACATACTAAACTTATATATCAATCTATAATCAACACAAGTCTTTAGCTTAGCAGGTTTTCCGTCGCACGCTCCACATCCCAATTGAAAGTTGACAAGGAAACTGTAGCTTTATTCTGGAATTAAATCAAAACAAATGAACAAACTCATGCTTCACTTCAAAATAAATTCATACAAAGTTTATTCTTACATTTGTATTATTTTTTCATCTTCATATCAAGCTCATCTTAACATAAAAACTGTGATGATATTTGTTACAAAATTTTAAGCAAGGGAAAGACAAACAATAATAGAATTCTGCTTTGAGCTGAAAAATTAAAGGTTTGAAGACATTAAACCCTAGTAACCAAGAGAAGATATCAATGATTTAAAGAGACAAGATAGGTCTTCATACTGGTCAGAAATCCTGACCCTGTTTGTTTTGTTATTAAGCAGATGTCTTTACTTTATTTGACCTTTCAGTCCTTGCAGGTCCATGTCATTCTTTTGCTCAAACATGATTCTCTTTATACGGACAATACATGCAACATTAAAAACCCCTGATAAAAGAAGTCTTGAAACAATTTAATACATTGACCACTGAATCCCTGAAAGTGGGACATGCTAGTGCATTTAAACAACCTTGTTCCAGCACATCACCATCCATTTAACATGACTCTAAGCCTCTTTCTTGTCCTAGTGGCAACTTTCACATATCTTAACAAATCTGATACCTGAGACCATGAAACCTGGTCGATATTAATCCTTGATAAAACTTAAGTCATTCATCTCATAACTCTAACAGACAACATCAGGAGACAGATATCCCTTCATCTTATCACACTAACTGGCAATATCAGAAGACAACATTTTAGTTGAAAATACACAAGATTCTCTCGCCTTTCAGGAAGTACATCATGTCCTTCTTGGTCTCTCAGAAGCAGTTGCTCAAGTAAGTTTAAACCAGTTGTACAAACAAAAGACAGACACTATCCCACCTCTGCATAATGTCATTTGCCTATTGGGTTGGTAAGCTAAACAGTGTATCATGTCTTTTCACGACTTTACTTACTTCATCAAATCCCATACTTTTTAATTGCATTACACGATCTTCATACTGTTCATCACGATTTGGGCCTGTAACAAATGAGAATATGATAATATTTTAATCAATGACAGCAAGGTATAGAACACATCAATCATAGCTTGAATAGTGAAAATGTCATTTTCCATAGACTACTTTAACTATCATATAAGCCAGGTCGTCTTGACAGAACTGGACTGTATCTACGGTGGATAAAGTACATTAAGAATCATAACAAGATAGAATCAGCTGTCAGTGACATTACAATCAACATGTACAGGAACCAATGTCCAGCAATATCCAGAGTTAAACATTGTCTTTGTAAACTTGACTTCAGCTGATCTAAAATCAAGTTTACTGATTATGATTGCATGCAGTTAGCTTTTCAGAGCAATGGCCCATTATTTTCTTCTGAAGTTGTTGAAATCTATTTTACCTTCATAATCACTAATCAAGGTTTATATTGTATAACCTATCAACCATAATTAGTTTTATAGAAATGTGTCTCTTCATTGGCACAGCCTCTTACTGATTTTTAGGAGTAAATTACAATTTTTAAAATTTAACTCATATACAAAATTAATTTCATTTGGGAATAGGGTCTATTATCGGCCTGTTAAAGACTGGAAAAAGGCAGAATAGCATCTGTAAGTAAATTTATTGAATAGCAGTAGATACGATACAATGGGTTATTGTCCAAAAAGAGTTCCAAGAGAGATCTTGGGGCCCACCATTGTTTGATCTTTATTTGTTCATAAAAAGATGGATCTTTTCCCTTCTTTTCTCTTTTTTTTGCTTGCAATTATATCAATTCAAAAACACTGTTTTAAGAAATAGCAATTAAAAATATTTCAACAGCCAAATCCAAGATGGTCACCTCTCAGCTATTTTTCTTTTCCTCATCAATTCCAAAATTGAAAGTGCACAACTAGCTAGGGACCTTTGGAAACCTACATATGAAGTTAGGGAAAGATCAATCCCGTGTTTCTGAAGAGATAGCAATAACAAACTTTCATTGTCAAAATCCAACATGGCCACCTGTCTGCATTTTTTATTTTCTGATCAGCCCCAAATTCAAATAGAAGCTACATACAAAATTTGAGAGGTATCTATTCACTACTTCTTAGAAAATAGTGATAACAAAAATTTTATTAAGGACAAATGGACGATGGTCCACAGACACCTGATGATGTGGGCTAATAACTATGAAACACATATCACAGCTTATTGTCAAGTTCATATGATCAATAAATCACTGCTTATTGCCAAATTAATATGGTACACATATCACTACGATACATACAGTTTCTACATGTACAAGTTCACATACTGATATCTGTTCATCAACATGTACCAGCACATATAAGAGAATTCCATATATATTTTAAGACACTTATCATAGCTTACTGCCTAATGAATATCATACATGCATTGTGCTCATTGCCCAATTAATATGATACACTCATCAATACTTATTGCCCCATTGATATGGTACACACATCAAAGCTTATTGTCCAATTGATATGACACATTAATCACAGCTTATTGTCCAACTGATATGACACATATATCAAAGCTTATTGTCCAATTAATATGACACATACATCACAGCTTATTATCCAACTGATATGACACATACATCACAGCTAATTGCCCAATTAATATGATACATACATCACAGTTTATTGCTCAACTGATATGGTACACACATGAAAGCCTAAAATGCATTAAATGGTAAATACAATTCGTACCTCCTGCATATTTATTTGTCCAATGTGAAGCAGTACGTTTAAAGATAGCTAAATTTTCTTTGAATTGTCTCGCCACTACAGCATCCTGTGGGTCATCGGGTTCGGCCGCAGACAGTAACGCCTGCAGGGAAAGTAACACAGTTCTCAACGTCATGGCCGCAGCCCTGCAATGGGGAAACAAAAATCCTAAATATTACTTTGTACAGATTGAAACAGAGGACACACAATTTTGATGTTGCTTAAATATTGTGAGTTGAATTTAAATACATTCTCGCATCATAAGGCATGGTCAAAACTCAATATTCTTTTAGTATAAAAAGGGGACACAGGTAACATCAATCATCATTTGAATGATTGTACTTAATTTTAATTCAAGGGAGATAACAGGAAATGGTTTCCCAGTTGGGGCAGAACTTTCACACAATTACGATTCGATACTAATGGTTTGTAATTCATTGTTGTTCTCTTGACACAAAATACAACAAACAACTATCTAGATGTATATAATAAATGTTCAGGATGTAAAATTGCTGTGAATAATATTTTGTTTCATACATACCACTGATCTTTTAATATATCGAGACAAATTGCACCCGTCACAGAACTTATGTTCGGGTGCCATATTTTGGTCAAAAATTTCACCTGAAAGAAAAATCACTTGTATAACTGAAACAAATTTCAAAGATTTACAATAAACAGAAATAATTTGTGTACAATTTACAACTGAAATAAACTCTACTAAATCATTTTGAGGATTACAAACTTGATGTTCAATCTAAAAATTGAACCCTGATCAATATTCAATCATACAATAGATTATAATAGATGACGGATAACATGGCACATGTATTAAGTTCTTTTAGGTTTAATTACCCTTTGGTAGAGTTTTAAAATGACTGTCAATGCTTCTTGTGCAATGGACACCAACCTTTGGGGGATTAAATGGATAGGTTTCCGGTATTTTGATCTCCAGGATAAATTTGCCTCCTTCATAAGGTGTATCGGGAGGGCCAGCAATCTCTCCTTTCAGTTCTGTGTAGGAGTCATTCACCAACTCCACTTTTATACTACATTTGGCTACCTACACAATTTAAACACAAATATAAAAAAGTTAAGCATTGTATCTTTTTACAGGTTTTGTTAATTTTGTCCCATTTTACTCTAATAAAATTGTTCACTTCAAAATATTTTGGTTTTGAAAAATCTTATTTTCCTTTCATCATCATATATATACATACCAATAGATATATATTTTATTTGAGTTTGACTTTCATTCCTTTCAAATTGTGACTATTAGGTATTTGCTAGAAGTATAAGACTTAGCTCCACAAAAATGCCTACAGTCAGCACATGTATATTATTTTACTGGATCATACTGCAGACAAGATAGAAGCCATCAGAAATAGGGCATAGGGCCTGTATCACTGATTCCTTGCCAAAGAGCATCTCGCCCCAGGGGGTTGAGACCTAACATCTAAGATTGATTCCCTTTCACCCAGTAATGCTTTAACACAACATTCATTCATTCTGACAGGAGGAGTAGGATTTGAAAGCTTTTGCTCTATTTCCTCTGATTTGCCCTTCCCCTCCTGCCCAAGGAGGCTGAGATCTAATATCAAAATCTGTTTAGTCATTCATGACATTTAGCAAATTCTATCAAAAAGTTGATGGATGCCAGAAGGATGGCTGACACTGGGCCATAGCATAAGCTCACTGGTCCTTTGGACAAGGTAAGCTAAAAAGGATTTATATCATGTATTGAAAACTTCACAAAATAAACGGAGGCAAGACATTCTTACAATGACTATGTTCTTGAATATTGTTGCATTTCATTCCAACCAAATGGGGACCCCAATGCATATTCCTTCCATTGCATTGATGGTCACCTCATAGCAAGGTTAAAGGTTAAAATGAAATTGTATTTCACTAATGTTTTCAGGTATTACAGCTGTCTTTAGGTGATTACTGGGATTATAATGTATCTGAAGCCTTGAAAATGATATAATGAATCTAATGACAAAATCAAGAAAAAACAGCCGATGGTGATTAAATACAAAAACTTTAAAACATAAGATAGCTTCACTAACTCTAAAATAGCAAGGAAACTTGCTGCTAAGACTGTGAGAACAGCCAAGTATAATTACAAAATGGATCTAGGCAAAAAAAAAATTAAATTAAAACTTATCCTAAACGTTCCTGGAAGTATGTCTGAACAAAGTCCAGATTGGTTTCGACAATCAGCAGCAGCTCTAAACTGTCTGGAGAACACAACTTGATACTGTTGATAACTACTTTGACAGCATTTTTGCTTTCCCGAATTTGTCTTACTTACTTTGATTATTATTGAATGTAATGATCATTTAAATAAAATTGGCATAAATTACAATTTCTTAATTCCTCTCAGAATTTCTTTTATAATGCCAACGTCATACACACAAAAATATAAAGGCCACAATAATTGTGTGATCAATCTGTTGCTGTAGTAAGTCAAATTTTCTCTTATTTTTTCATTTCTTGAAGCACTAGCCAGTTAACCAAAATTTATTGGCGGTTTTTTCTTGATTCTATAACCGAGAATATCATATCAAACTCATATCTTAGCATTCACAAACGATATTGGCAAAATATTTTCTATTCAGCTCCAGACCACAAACTCTATAACCACTTGCATATGAACTCGAATTGCTATTTTCATTTTACTCAGTATAAAATATTATCGAATGTAACGTGGACCATCCAATGTAAATCTACACGAAAATGAGAAAACAGAGGGGCCAATTTAAGTTTTTAAGGGCCCAGAGCTCCATGACCCCTACAGGATTATCCCAGATCTAACACTGGTTGTACACAGAGCTGAGGAAAAGGGGGGTCCGGTACCGTTTTGGCACTTGGGGGCTGATTAGTTCAGAGATAAGTTTTGAATTGATTAGCCATACACCGCTCACCTCTTCACTTTTAACAACCTCTTTAAATTCTCTTTGAATTCGCTGAGTTGCAATATTTGCCATGAATATGGATGGAGTGATGATAAATAGCAAAACACTGGCCGAACCAACATAAACCACTTCCGGTTAACACTATTCTAGAACGGAAGTTGTATAAAACGCAAAAACGATAGCACTCTAAGAGCATTGTTTGAGTCATTCAAACACTTTCTATATTTATTAAACAATTATTTTTATTTGGGTGTTTATAACAACATGAGTCCTACTATAAAACTCTGGCCGTACGCCGAAAAATTAAGAACGTATCTAATGAGTCATCACCCAGTTTTCTGCATCATTTAAACGTTTCAATGGCATTGACTGAAGACCAGTTTTCAAAGCTTTTATGCGACACTGGCTCAATATTGCACCACATGTTGGACAAGGATCTCGAATGCCTGCTACTCGACCATCGTCAGCTTTAGGGAACTACACGAGGATGCCAAACATCAAAGTATTTAGTGGCAGCTCTCACACGGACCTTGCCCAGAAGATATGTGACCGTCTTGGTATAGAACCAGGAAAAGTTGTCACAAAAAAATTCAGCAATGGAGAATGTTGGTGCGATATTTTTTGGATTACTGTTTATTATTACACTACTGTTCTATTTTAAGAAAATGTCACTCATGATCGCGAGGCCCAATACAGGAGTTTTGGTTTGCTTTACTTTAATTCCATCAAAATTAGTATAACGTGTGGTATTTTCTATTTTCGTTTTGCCTCCTAATTACAGAAGGGAAAAATGAAATGTTGGTCAGTAGATTATGCGAACTTAGTGATCAGGCCAATGAGCCCCTACAACATGTTGAAAGGTTAATGACCCTTCTGGGTACATATGTATACTGGGACATCAGTTCAACAATCTAATATAAGGTGGCCATGAAAATTCGTGCTACCGATCTTAGCAGACACAGACTGATGTAGATTAGAACCTGACATGAAAATGAAATGAGCAATTTGCAACAAATTATACATCATTTGTTGAATAACAACTCCTGAACCTGTACAATGTAGAATGATCCAAGACCTTGAAAACTATTTATGAAATATCATTACAAATAAGAAAAGAAAAAAATAATGAGCTCCATCAAAGACTTAATTTGAATTGTTTATAATGTCGGTTTTGCTGTCATCTACAAGTGGGGTTTCTATTCTGATTCCTACACATGGTCCAACTGGTTAAATTTTCAGCAGCAAATCTCATTCACTGTTTAAATACTGCAATTTCTTCATTGATCCAACTTTCATTGGTGTCAAATTTATATATACTAAATATATATATCCTATATCCTAAAATTGTGGCTATTACTTATTAGTGATTAAAATTTAGATCTAACCTTACTGTTGACAGAAAAAGATTAAATGCAGTTAAACTTCTATGAATGAAGCTTTGATAATTCAAATTTCTTGGAAGTATCAAAGTTTTGTCCCATCCCAAATTTTATTCCTATATAATACTTACTTACCCCTTCATGAATCAAAGATTTATAAATCAAACTTTTCAATGTATTGAAGTTTTTTTATTGACCATAAGCTATGATAACACAGTCATCGCCACATCATGATTTGAACACATTATCAATTTCTTGTTGATTTCTATTTAAAGTTATTTTTTTTCATGAATGAAAATGTTCAAGATAAAAATGCATCTTTTCATTTTAAGTATATTTTGGTAGTTGTTGTATTTGTCCAGGTAGAAATATCATGTCATCAACTATATATAGCCATGAACATGAAAAAGGTCCATAAAACCGACCATGAATGATTTGAAATTTTATTTTACTGTATGTAGCTTTTTGGGCCAAGTATTAATAAAAGATACATGCATGTACCAAGTTTATCACATAACATATGTTGATTTGAGTACAAAACGACATGGATATTATTTATATTAACAATATCATAAGAACAATTCAATGTCATGATCATGAAGAATACATTCATATTTGATACCATGATTGCTGTTAAAAATGCAGCTGGCATAGACACATCAGGAAGCATATATAGAAATCCTTACCTTACTAAAACACACATGTATAAAATAGCCAAAATGGTTATGAACTTTCATCTCCCCTAGGTTTCTGCCTAATTTTTGTTTATTTTGTGGGTACCTTTAATCCACAAGTGAACACCCCTACAAAGTAATGAAATTCATAATATTGATATGAAAGTATTTTTTGTTCATCTTTATGCATTCATGTTTCTACAAAATTGGGTCTTAATTATTGGAAAACCACAGAATTTAGGCTAGGCTAAAATACATGAATTTACAGTACTATGTGTATATATATATGTTTTGTAATAAGCCTGGGGCCAATTAAGACTTGAAGTGTCTGCTGAATAGTGCGGGAGGGCATAACATCAGACATGGGTTTATTACTAGAAGCAACCAATAGTTTTCAGTGCCAAAATTATTTTCTTCTGTTATCATTAAATCTCAGCGTGGAGATTGGGGAGTCTGTACGAGGGGAGGATGTGTACATTGTACAAAGTGGCTGTGATGAGGTCAATGATATGCTAATGGAACTTCTCATTATGATCAATGCCTGTAAGATCGCCTCAGCCTGTCGTGTGTCAGCAGTCATCCCATGTTTCCCCTATGCCAGACAGGATAAAAAGGATAAGGTAATTTATTCCTGTTAATAGCTGGTAAACTATACCAACAGAAAATACTAAACTCAGCTATTGATATGCTACCAAGGATGTTTTTCTAAAATATTTCACTTAAGGTTGAGTCGAGCTTTACTCTTCTGCTTACACCATTTTGTCCTGAAGTCAGTTTCATTTATTTACATACTTTCTGTCTCTGACCTTGCCAATGAACTAAATGTGAATTATCATCGACAACTTAAAAAGAAATGTTCATTGTACTTGAAACTTTATCTTGACATTTTTCAGAGTCGAGCCCCAATCTCTGCCAAACTTGTTGCAAACATGTTATCAACAGCAGGTGCTGACCATATCATCACCATGGATCTCCATGCTTCACAAATTCAGGTAGAGTATGCAGAGTGTGTCCCATCTGTTGTCCCATTTAGCAACCTCATTTCTTTCAGGGTTTTGATAATTTTTATTGTTAATTTGAATTTACTCACAATTTTCCTGAAATAATGCTACACAGTGTTCTTTGTGTCACTGTTATTTTGAAAGTTGATGGATATACCAATCTTATAAGCTTGTGATAGCAGTGAGAGTGTGGTGTTGCATATAGCTTATCGTCCTATCAATAGAGAGGGTCATTTAAGGCGGACTTGTCTTTGCATGCAAGATGAATTCATATGCATAGTGCATGTGTTTGTGAAAGGTTTCAATATACATATGTAAGCCTTTTGATAGTGTAGCAGTTATTACTATCTTGTAGTACTGTATCTATCAAAAAGTATCAAGATTCAGGACTGAGAGAAATTGATAATGTCATTGAGTAGATAGAATTTTTTCAGTTCTGAAAGATAAGATCTTTCGTTGATTTGTTGTTCTTTGTAAGGGCTATGTGATAGTTATCTAGTTGGCTAGATATATTAGTTGTACAACTTGTTCTACAATTTGTCACTTACTCACCTTAATAAGTAAGACAGGGACATCATATGGTAAAAATAATCAAACCATTTTTTTTCAGGGTTTTTTTGATATTCCTGTTGACAATCTGTATGCTGAGCCAGCTGTTCTGAAATGGATCAAAGACAACATCCAGGAATGGAGAAACAGCTGCATTGTCTCCCCTGATGCAGGGGGTGCTAAAAGGTCAGCTCAAGGACATTGAAGGGGCTGAGTAAATTCAATCAACAAAATTATGTGTCTCAACCTTAAGGTAAAAAGTTATATGAGGGTGTTTTAACTGGGATGTGTCTCTACTACAAGGTAAGAAAATTACGTAAGGGTATTTTAGATAGGATGTGTCTCAAATTAGAGGTTAAAATTTATGTAAGGATGTTTACCTGGGACCTTTCTCAACCTCGATACTCCAGGGGTTACAATCACTTTCACTCTCTGCAACCCTGGAACCATCCTCGATACTCCAGGAACATCGAGGATGTGTTAACACTATGCATGAGTTTTTGTGCGAGAAGAGTGAAAAGATATGAAATTTAGGGTGAAGGATATTGGGATTTTATGAATATGTTCTTATTGCCTTTCTAGAAATTCATCAATTTTAATAATACATATTTTTATTGAAGTCTATCAATAACAAGTTGTGTAATAGATTGTTACTCCAGCACTGTTGTACAGACATCTTAATAATTACAGAAGTCCTAGAAATCTCCTTTTGTCATTTTAGGGTGACATCTATCGCTGATCGTCTCAATGTAGACTTTGCTCTCATCCACAAGGAACGCAAGAAAGCTAATGAAGTAGCATCCATGGTTCTTGTGGGTGATGTAAAGGAGCGCATTGCCATCTTGGTGGATGACATGGCTGACACCTGTGGAACTGTCTGTCATGCTGCAGAAAAGTAAGAACAAAAGTCCAAAGCTATGTTAAGACACAGCTAATTCAGAAAATTTGTGAAGATCAGAGTGAATCATGAAAATTTGCTCTCTATATCTGAAACTATTTTACTCTTATATAGGTATAGGAATTCCTTGAATACAGCATCATTGGAGTTGAGAGAAAAATATTTGTTGATGATAATGGGGCCTAATAACATATAAAGAAGAGACTACGCATAATGGGGTTTAAAGTGTGCATATCACCAGAACTAACATCACAATAGATAGTGACATCAGACGAGTCATAATCGTGTGTAGTTCATGAGTATATAGGGATTTACAAACTAACACATCAGCTTTGTAGTTTCAGTGGAACAGGCGAAAACTAGTTTGTCTTTACAAGAGATGTTTTCATCTGATTAATGTAAAGAAAATAATAGCTTGATTTTTAATCAGGTTAACAGGGTTAAAACAGGTAAATGATAGATTATACTAATATTGATTTGCAACAGGAGGGAGAGGGGGGTCAACAGTTACCCGGTCCCGTCTCGCCCTGTATCACTGTCAACCCAGGTTCGATGGGTTCAGCTTGCGTTTTCGAAGGAGTACAAACACTGCTAATTTAAATTTAACAATTTATTTAACAACAAACATTAATTAAGGACATCAGCATAGGCCTACACAGACACAACAACATCCCCATATATACCGAAAACATAAACTTACCTACTACCAAACACATCACTATTCCACCGCGCTATATAGCTTCCCACCCGAATGATATCTAATTAACCAGACCTACCTCAGAGAAGGTTTTCACCTCTGGAAGTCAATCCAACGCTCTGCACCCTAAATTACTAAACACACTTATACCCTAAAATGACAATGACCGCGCTATATAGCTTCCCACCCGAATGATATCTAATTAACCAGACCTACCTCAAAGAAAGTTTTCACCTCTGGAAGTCAATCCAACGCTCTGCACCCTAAATTACTAAACACACTTATACCCTAAAATGACAATACGAGACAGCTAGAACCAATTACAACACATCACAAGAGACAGAACACCTCAGACACGGAGGAAAATGCAAGGAAAACAAGACAGGAGAACTTGCACGTGATATACATAGACCTCCGACAAAACGGGTAACAGGTGACAGGACAAAACAATGAAGGGGTCACGGGTACACAGGGTACATACACTACAGTAGACATGACACATCGACACCTGTATAAAGCTGACTAAAAAAATAAAGCATTGACAGCTTTACATCACATAAAATTAAACATGGCATAATGTCCCCTGCTACAGACTCATTGTTTCTGAAATTTATGTATATTTATTGTGTGTTGAACATTGTAGACTATTAGAAGCTGGTGCAACAAAAGTATATGCAGTCTGTACACATGGAATATTCTCTGGTCCTGCAATATCTCGTATCAACAACTCCATGTTTGAAGCCATGGTAGTCACCAATACCATTCCTCAGGAAGAGAGAATGAAGAATGCCCCAAAGATTCAGGTAACGTTGCTTCTGATTGGTTGACCTAGAACTGCAAGCTTTGATTTGATTGGTTGATATAAATATATAACCTTGTTGACCTCCTTAGGTTATGGTAATTGTGTGTTAATTAACTAGAACATGCATAACCTTTTCTTTAATGTTTTCAAATATCTCATAAATTTGTGTGCTGTTTGAATATATATATCTTTATAACCACATTTTTCCTGTAATTCCCCAATTTCTAATATGTCAAGCAAAATGTGTTTAAAATTGTTAGATACATACCTGCCAACTTTTCAAAATTCTCATGGGGGAGAAAAGTGTGTGAATGACATGTTCAACTTGCAATGATATCTTGCAACATTTATAAAAAGGAAAAATTAATCAGTGATATATAATCAATACATCTAGATAATTTTAAATTGATACAGTGCATGCCCTACTTTACTATAACAATGAAAAATATCTGCTTTTTTGCACATAAGGTTCGAAATGGAATTTATTCATTTAAATTCTCAGTATGCATTGAACTTACACAGTATTGAGGAATGCTTGCACATTGTTACATCATAGAGATCGTTTTTTTCAAAGTATTTTCTTGTCAAATATGTTATTTGACCATATAGGTAATATAAACATGGTAATAAATACTTAATTATCTGTAAAATGACCTCATCTTAAGCAAACATTTACCATGGCCAACCCCTGAGTCCTGACAGTGGTCTACCGTGAATTAGGTAGGGAACAAGTGGCCGTGTACAAGTGTGCTCCAGGGGTAGTGGTCAACAATTAAAATTGACTGGAATGTGGTGACACTAATTTGATAATTGGGCAGTGTATTCACCTAACTTGGACTTGATTATGTGGCCAGGTGGTCAGCCTTACCAATTTGATAAACGTAGTAAGGTTATTTACGACCTACCTAGTGGGATCACTAAAAATCGGGAGATTACTCCAATTTTGATCCGCGCGATTGGGAGGCGGGGAAGGGGAGTGAAAATCGGGAAAGTTGGCAGGTAGGTAGATATTTCATACATTTAGCATGACCAAATTTTCTAAAAGGAAAATGAAAACAATTCTATCAATTCTTAATTTTTTTCTTTATTGAAGTAATTCCAATTTTCAGTAGCCTCATTTCATTTTACTTCAAAATTCTCCTTTACCTAGCACCAGAAATTACACTAAATAAATCATGTTTATGAGCATTTCCCTGTAATAAACACAACTGAGTGTGGTAGCTATGTATAGACTTATTTTAGCTGAAATTATGTTCCCTTTACACAGACAAAATTGGAGAATTATTCCAGGAGCAAACATCCAATTGTTACATTTGGTTCAGCTGAATCAAGTCTTTCTCCTGAATTATCATTTAGTTTTTAACCTTCACATACAGACAGAACAAGTTCATGAATTATTGTGAAACCATTTATGAAGAAAAAAAGCGACTTTATTTCTTTCTTGAAAGTAACTGCAGATTTTTTTTAATGTGTTGACATTAAAAGTGACATTAAGTAATGTGTATTTACATAAAAGCTAAGAAATTAAATCTGTTTTATCTGACTGCCTTTAGTTTTGATATATTCTGATCAGTTAGACTAACCAGTGTCGGTACAACAAATGTTAAGACTGACTCCTATTCTCTTTAAAATCCATTTAGAATCACAATATTTTGTTTGAAGCCATATTCTATCATTTGTATAAACCTAGTTTTGAGCATTTTGAGTATACAATGCTAACATATTGATTATTAAAGTAAAAAAACTAAATGAAATCCATGCCTTATTACCCAGACTGCGGATTGAAAATGAAAATGAAGAGTTACAGTTATCTAAATTACATTAACAGTCTGCATTTTCAAAATCAGAAAGGATAAAGACCAAATTCATTAAAGATGTAGATTGAAACCTGCTTGATCATTCAATACAGATTTTACTTTAGATTTTGATAAAACTACAAAGCAGTGTATTCTGCTGTCTGAATAATCCAGTCTGTTTCTTAGTGTGGCAGATTATATTGGTTTGGTTGTACATGTACAAAAAGCTGTGAAGTATGTTCTATGTGCTGGATTTAGTGGAGCCATTCTGTTGTATTTTAGGTTCAGAAAAAATTCATGGAACTTAAATTTCACCTATTTACAATAGTCAATACTCAAGATCCTTTAGAAAAGTTTTGAAAACAAAAATCTGTTGATTTCATGGCTAATCCTTAATCCATAAATTCATCTATCCATGAAATAATATTCAATTAAAGGTAACATTTCTGGTACAGGTGAATTTTGTGAGTGCTTTTAAATCACAAAATTAAGTGCTAACAAAATAAAACAGTGTTTGAGTTCCATGAAAATACAGTTGAAACTCGTCTTGAAATCACTTGAGTCGAAACTCTGCTGGAGTTGAAATAATTTCCAAGTCCCGATTTTTTCCTTTTATATCTTTGTAATTTTAGTTCAGATGACTCAAATTTCATTGAGTCAAAATTTTGTTTGATTTTTCAGTCCCTTCAATTATAAAAGCATGGGAAAAGTCATTCATTGTCTCGAAATTAATTTTTGTCACAACATTAAGAGTCGGCTTCTGACTTAGTGTCATTATCCTCTAGCAGTGACTTAAATGTACGTGTATTGTGTTTTACACAAGACACGAAAACATAGCTTGGTTGCGTGCATCTTCAGGAATGACCAACACAAAATTATAGACAAAATTTGATCCCCACAATTCCCAGCGAATCAAATTTTTGAAAGGTTCATTGTGACCTATTGCAATCACCTTCATCTGGCGTTGTGCGTCTGTAAACAATTTAACATTTATGACTTTTTTCTCTAAAACCCCAGATCAGATTTCAATGAAATTTTGCAGAAACCTTCCCTGACTTAAGATGAATCCGAAATTGTGAATTACACAGTCCTCACCTCACTGGGACATGAGGGGCGGGGCCAAAAGGGGTCAAACTGACCTGGATGTTTCAAAAATATTCATAAGACCCAGATATGGTATAATCAAATACTTTTCATGAATGGAAGCATCTTAAGGTGCTTTACCAAAATTGGGAATTTCAAGGCATTAGGGTCTAGCATTTTCCCTTTTGGAGGGCTTAAAATTCATTATGGTTTGTTTATGAAAATTATGAGTAAAAGATGACAGCATAATTGATGCCCATATTAATTTTGGCTGACCTCCAGAAGCTGATGGGAGTGCCAAAAGGAGTAAAATTAACATAATTTTCAAAGATCTCCTTCTCATCACTCAGATATGGTAGAATCAAATGCTCTTCATGAATGGAAGCATCTTAAGCTCTAATTACCAAAATGTGTCTCACTTTTCTTCCTGGGTAGGATTTTTTTCATCACTCTGTGTCCGTGGTCTGTCGTCTGTTGTCCGTCTGTCCATAAACAATTGTTATTGCTATTTCGTGAGAAGTCCTGGTTGGATCTTTCTCAAATTGCATATGTAGGTTCCCCTTGGTCCATAGTTGTGCATGTTTGATTTTAGGACTGATAAAAAAAAATAATGGCCGACAGGCAGCCATCTTTCATTTTTTCAATAAAGTTTGTTATCACTATTTCTTGAGAAGTACAGGATGATTCTTTCTTAAATTTCATAGGTAGGTATCCCATTGTCGTTTATTGTGCACATTTAATTTTGGGGGTGATTGGGAAAAAAAATGGCCATTTTTTATTTTGCCTTGTTTAACTTGTTATTTCTGAAGAAGTACTGAATGGATATCTGTCAAATTTCATACAATGTTCCATTTGATCTCTCCTTGTGCTCGTTTGCTCTTGGGACTGATCAGAAGAAACAAAATGGCTTCCAGGTGACCATTTTAGATTTGGCAGGTAAAGAATATCATTTATTTCTGCAAAGGAATGTTCATTATCATTAAGAGCAAATAACAAAGAAGAGAAAAGAAGGGTAAAGATCCCTTTTTCACATAGCATATAGAGATTAAACAATGGTGGGTGCCAAGATCCCTGTGGGATCTCTTGGTTTTAGACATTACTTTAATTTTCATAGAAAAATAGCAGTTTTGAGCATAATGTTAGTATTTCCCACTGCAAATAACTTTGTAAGAATGGTCAGCATAAGATGACCGTTTTGATAGTATGCATGTATTGACACTGGCTTACTGTGTTCAGTGTCACAATTTCTGTTTTATGACACTTGATAACTATCCTTCAACCTTTATATTCAATATTGCTTATCTCAGGTGACTGTCAAGAGCGTTAGGCCTCTTGTTTACTAAAGGACTGTGATCAGGCGCTTTGCTAGATTTAGTGCTTGATTAATGAGGTACTGAAGGTATTTTATTGATAGAGTCTGTGTGTAATTTGTTAAGTCTAGTACTTGTATAATGTTTTCTATAACAGGTAAAAAATTTCCAGTTCTGCATTTTATGTGTTTATTTATTCCTATTAAAGTCATATCATCAATTCATACATCATTTCTAGTAGCGTATCAAAAGTAAATTTTATTTTCATTTTATTGTCATTCTGAAAAATAGGTGATCTATATGTGATTAGTCAGTAAGGGTAGTGTACACTTGAGTTTTTCATTGGTGTTATTTTTACGGGTTTCTTTTTATTTTTAACAAAAAATTACATAAGACTGTTTGTACCATGCTATCATACCCATACTTTGTTCAATTGTAATCAACATCAGAAAACTGATGTCGTCAACCTTATTCGGACGCTTTGTTTGAGTCAAAATTTGAAATACTTTCCACAGTCCTTTGAATTTTGAGATAACGAGTGTCGACTGTATATGGTTTCACAGTACAATAATATTGTGAAGCTACTATTTTCACCTTAACTAATTCTATGTGCTACACAGTATATGAACATAAAAATTGAATTCCTCAAATCTTCAAAGGATTAGTCTATTGCCTTGAAATGTTCATGGATGGTTTTCATGATGTTACTGTTGAGACATATTGCCAGATAAAATTGGACCTACATTGTGGCTTAACACCACAGGATATGGACAGTGTTGAAAATATTGACGTTGGAGCGATTTTGGATTTCT